GCAACTTTGGATGTCACCTTCAACAGTCGAGTAGCCTAACAATAACATAGGTATTGTGATGTTGAACGATTTGCGTGTGTGAGCGTTAAACGAACCGGAAAAATATTCTTCTCTCCATGCGTGGAGACCTCACAAATGCGTGAAAGTGACTCTTACAACAACTTTCCTGTTGCTTTATACGGCAGGGATCCTAAATGGAAAAGCCAAGGGCTACGTCTAATTGTTTGTAGAACCGCTTAACTAATCTAAGATTGCTGCTTGAATAACAGTATTGTTTTGATAATCAACACCAGCCTTACCTCTGAAGGGATATTTCATCCTCCGTAGAGATATGTGTTTACTTATTTCGGCAAACTTGTAAAGAAGTTTTTAATACCTTGGTTCATTTTTAATCGCTGACCCCATAGTTAATACCTGACCTAAAACGTGATTCGACAGCTTATTTTTAACAGTTTTCCCACTAGCTTAAAAAGCGTAGTCCCATTTTCTGGCGTGACAACACGGTGCGGTTTTTTCCTCATGACCTCGTGGAAACTGTCAGAATAAAGCCTATCACAGCAAGCCGTGGTCTATGGCTTTTTGAATAGAAAAGAAAAACAAAACAAAACAAAACGAGCAAAGGCTCTTTCCACGTAGTACGAATTTGCTTTGGCACCCTTACGATCTTCGTAAGGGATCTTTAAGCTCTTGACGTGATCTTGTCCTCCTTTAGGGTTTGACCTCACCAGAACGAAGTAATAGTCCATCACATCAACATGAATTTCCGGCGACCGTTAAATCAACGATGTGTCTTGACGCGTCTGAACAACCGGGGAAAAAAGTCTGTTATACTTCATAACTTTATATAAAGAAAAAAAAGTAGGAAAAAATATGAAAAAACACTTGAGGAGTTTTTGAACACGATCGTGAATTAATATTCCCTCTTAACGTGGTTAATACCCCCCAGGCTGTTAAAGTCGTCATGCGATACTTTCCGCCGGCACCTTTTGCTTGCTGTGCGAGGGGACTGGAACATCAAGATCGCGCGCCCGCGTGAATAAGCTTTCCCTTTTAGCACTCTTCACCAATTCCGCCGCTTAATCAATATAGGAACCATTCAAAGATAATATTTAACTGTGGATTGGATTTTGTATTTAGTTCAAACAATTGCTCTATATAAATCGAGATCGTGCTCCAGACAGCCTTCCAGAATTGATGGTTTAAAAGTCTATTTTGCCTATTGTCCTCTTTTGTTTGTGAGAGCTCAACATTAGACACTTTCATGGATCAAACCGTCTAATTCGCTCGTCATAAAGGTTTCTGCTTTTTCTTTGTCGGCTCAATTACCTGGTTTTTTTTCTTGTTTGTAAGAATTTGAAGGGCTATATTAGTCGAGCGTCACAGAACTTTCATGACCTTTGATGTCTACCTGCAAAGCTGAATCACTGTCGTCTTAGATGGTTCTAGTTTCTTTTCCCTATACTCCTATTTTGAAGGTCAATAGAGCCTTATGGTTATGCACAGACGCAGGAGGTACCATCTCAAACGAAAGTGTGATTACCTTACACGTTAGTTGCAGGACGTAAATCATAAATCGTTGTAAATGTGATCGCTTTACTTGAAAATGTGACTTGAGTCACAACAGTTCTACTAGTCTAGTTGAGGACGAGTGCTTGTATAGTTCCGCTTGTCCTGGTTTCCAAGTTTCATGAAGCCAACTAGGAGTATTACTACTCCCCACTGGATGGGATGCTTATCCATCGTTACCCCACACCCCCCCCCCCCCCCCCAGCTCTTCATCATGCTTACCTGACAATCAGCTGATACCCATCTATACTTCTGGGTGCGGAGAAGAACTGTGAGGGTACAGAGTTTTGCACAAGAACACAACTCAATGATCTGGCCAAGGTCTTGAACCCAGGCCTCTCGACCCTGTGTCCAGTGCACTGACCATTAGGCCACTGGAAGGGGGGGGGGGGGGGGGGGAAATCGCAGATTATGGTATTACCTTTGGTGCTCATCGTCGAAATTCCCATGTTTTAGCTGCATATTTTCCTCTCTGTTGGGATTTGCAAGAAGAGGTATAAAATCTCTAACCACTCATAGTTAGGTTTCCTTTTAGGCATACAATAAATTATTTTGCGTGTCGAAAGGAAAAAAACTTGTATTTAACACCATATAAAGAGAACTAAGGAATTATGCAATAAGTCACGAAATACAAGAAACAATTTTTAAAAAAAATCCCTCGTGATTGGGAAATCAAAATAAAATCGAAAGCGCAAGTTCATGGCCTATGGTCAAAATTTCAGGTTTTTTTGTTTACGACGATGGATCACATCCTACGCGATTTTTGACGAATATAACATTCTTAAACAAATAATCGTAACTAGAATAAATAATTTTTTGAAAATAAAAGTTTTATTTTTTTTAAAGTACGTTTTAGTTTCATTTTGGAATCCTGAAAAAGTATGGCCAGAATAATATTTCTTTTTCAAAAGAAAGTGAGTGGGAAACTGTTGAATAAGCTCGTTTCATTGTGATTTTTTTTGTTTTTTTTGTCTTCGGACAGACAGCATCCGGATAAGATATTTTCATTTTGGTCGTTAGAAGTTTTTGTTTATTTAAATTTCCAAAAGGGTGTAATTTGCAGATTTTTTTCGTTCGTGATAATTAACGCCTCGAAGCTCGAACAAAAGAAGAATTAACTGACTTAGTTTTAGGCGGTTATTTATTAATACTCTGGAAAAGCATGCACGTTATGATGATTTCAGACAACATGTACAGACGTAATCAGAAAAGAAACAATCTCGTGACTTTTGGTTCTTGGGCAGTCCAAAATTATCACTGGTTTCAGACATCTTCCGACGTCTCGAAGAGCAATCTTGTTGTTTGCCTTTAAAGTTGCATAAAATTTGCTTTTTTCCCAACAACCTGCTAATCTCTCCCATGAGAGGGCGTCATTGTCTATCACACGTCAAAAAACCCCAGTTTTCATTAAAAACTTGCCGAGCCAAACGTTGACAGGGGAAGGACAGGAATCAACGCCAGGGAATAATAGTAAACAAATTTTACTTTCATATCCGCACGACAGCATGGAAAATGGGTTCTACGCTTTTTGGCCAAAAGGCATATGATTCTTGATACGATTTTGGCGAAACATCATTCTCTGCTTAATCAATCGAAGCGATACTGAAATCAGTTGCTCAAATGGCGGCAAAGCCTCAAACGCCCACGATAAAAATCGATTTCTGGGAGCCAGACGCCGCAAGCACTAACAGCGGAGCAGTCAAAAAGATCTCGGTGGAAAAACCTTCTGTGAACAAACTGAAACTCAAGTACAAAACCGAGCGACTTAGAAGCTACAGCAATAGTCTCAGGGATGCTGTTATGACTAACAATCCCGACGCGATTCCTAGAATTGTCAAAGAGGAAGGCGTCAAAGTCAATGAAATGAGCAAGAACGGCGTTCCATTGATTCACGAGGCAGCATTTGATGGAAAACTGGAATGTGTGAAAGCGTTGCTGGATTGTGGAGCGCAAGTAAACACGCAGGATAGCGAGGACTGGACTGCACTGCATGCAGCCGTCTTGGGCGGCCATGTGGAACTTGTGCGTTTGTTGATCCACAAAGGCGCCGATGTGTACGCTGAAACAATCGAGAGGTACATTCCCTTTCACATCGCGATAGAGAAAGGTGACGAAGACATGATCGCCATATTGGTGGAGGAGATGGCTAAACTGTCGTCGTTTAAGGGAAGCTAAGTAACTAAGAGCAGTAAAGGAAATCATTATATTTGCGAGATTGCATCAAGCAATGAAAAAGCTCTCTTTTTAAATTCATATAATATCTAATGACTTAATTTTTGTTGAGCTGTGTTGTAGAGTTTAAATACGCGTTAGAATTTAACTTCGACTAATCTTATCTAACTCGCTTCCGCTATTCTCACTTTCCAAGCATTTCTAAGCTTTAAATGGAGGTGTAAGGCACACGATACTACTGAAGGCTGAATGGGGTATCATGTTGCGCCTCAAGTATGTACAGCGTTATGTTTCAGTTGTAAACGCGAGCCACGAAAATCAGTAATTTTCAGAATTGGTTACGCACCTCATTCAGGCCTACATGATGAAAAAAGCGCTGACGAAGGGCTAACGCTCGAAACGTCTGCTTCGAAACTCTTTACGATGGCCAATTTACGTTATCAAGTCAGTTGGTAATACTAAATTACCCTGTTATACTCTCCCACCGAGGCAGCACCACAGTTTCTTTAGAAATTTACCCCATTTATTTGAGTGTCATTTAAAGGTCTTTTCAACGGAAATAACAGAATCTTCAAAGCCTGATTTCCACTGATTTCGTTATCTGGAGCGGCCCAACAGTCTCGAAAAAATTCAAAGAGGTCGACGTCGAGTTTGTGGGTGAGTAGGACTGCTATGAGAGATAACCAAGCAAGACGCGGTTGCAGAAGTGAAATACATGGCTCATTGTGTAGTTATGTTGTTCCAATTTTTAAAAAGCTTAATCCTTCCCTTACCCGGACAACTGAAGCAACCACTATCGTCTATATAAAGTTAATTTTCACCAGAAGCCCATTACTATAAATGGGCTCCTGCTTTTACTTAAGCCTGTTTTCCATATGATCGTCCATATAGTCCTAATCTCATCTGCGAGCAGGCTCCCGAAGGTGCTGCTGATCGAGCATATCGCGGACTTGCCTCAAATTCTACGATAGTCGAAACATAGTCGAAACAGCCGAACACAGCCGACAAATGTCGGCGCATTTGCAAACGTTATAGAGGCTTGGTGGCGTGCTTTTAGGGCGGTGTCAAAACCGCGTTGTCTAGTAAACAATCACACAAGCGAGCAAGTCACGGTGTTTGAAAACCGCATAACTTTTTTGATAAAGCTAACAACAAAACGGTAAATCGGCAGGTAACTCCTAATCAAATAAGCATTGTTTACGAAAAGTCTGGAGATTCCATTTTCTTACCTTTTTTTTCCTTTTTCAGTTAACATGAGCGTATCAAGGGGTTTTTCTCATACTTGGCGTGACAGCGGTTGTTTCAATTGTTTCCCCTTAGAAATTTTGCGCGGAAAACTGGTGCACTGTTGACCAAAATTGATTCCACTGCGCATGGCCTACATTTGACAACTGTGTTCGAGAGCTGATTTGGTGCTGGGGAAGCCCGCGAGATGCTCGTGAGTCTCGTGAAGCAGCACGAATGAGAGCGACCCCGTTTGCTAGTCTAAATCTTCTCGAATATTTGTAAGTATGTATGAAAAATTGAGTAAACGGGAACGACACGAGCGATCAATTGTAAGCCTGCCCTAAGTCAAGAAGCTTAAACTGAAAAACTACTGATGCCGTCATTGGCTTTATTCGAAATATTCTTGTTGAAGTCTCCATTGCTGATTGAAAGAAAATATATTTTCTTTCAACGTAAATTCTTAGTCTTCTTGATCCGTAGTAGTTAACAGATGGCCTCTTTTTCTTTTATTTTGAACCTGAGAAACAGGAATTTTTGTCCAGGAAATCGAACAATTTGATCATTTCTTTTCTTGCTTGTCATTTCCATTTTTCCCCTTTAGCTTCAAAGTTTCGCTATCTTGTGCCCAGAAGGTTCGATTGAAATCCACAGTGATGTCGATCGAAGCCGAGTCGGACAAACGCATCAACATGATCGAATCGGGCGCGCCGCCATTTTGTTTGCGCCCGCATTCTTAGAAAGACCCAGCCGAAAAGTCAAATACGTCAGTTGTCCTACTTTTGGCGCATGGTGTTGTGGTGTTAGGAAAGTGGAAAACGGCGAGAGGCCGGGATAGTAAAAAGGCGCTCTCTATTTAAAATTAGCACCATCTGATGATTTCCCTGACTAAATTTACGGGGAAGTCTGAGTATCCAAAATTACCGTTCCTGTGAAATGTCGTTTCATGAGGACACCGGGTAGGCACATGATGGTAGGTGAACTCTCTTAGTGCTGGGATTCTGAATGCGATAAACCTACCGCTTACTTTATTCTTTCATTTGATCGTTCAGTCTGGGTGAGGGTAGTCCTGAAAAGGACTGTTGTTAGTCGTGGTGACTTCCTTATCGGAAGTCATCATCAGATTCAAGTGACTTTGATGGTGACTCTAGTGACTGTCTCGACTCCAAAGACGACTTCCGGTAAGGTTCTCCACTACCGACAACAGTCCATCTCAGAACTACCTCACCCAGACGATTAGACTACTCGATCGAATTATTTCCCCAGATTCAAACCATTGTATATTCTTTCAAAAATCCCTTTGTCAAAACCATCTATAAGAAACTAGCAAAATAGACAACGCATTATCTTCTCGAGACAATCAACACTTTAATCCTAAGGACCCCTGAGCGCCTCGCGCACAGCGAGGATGATTTTGAAGGAAAAAAAATCGACTGTGAAGACAGACCGATTGAATGAAAATGAAGGTATGAGTGGACACTGCAATTACAAACTTTTCGCTCACTGCTTTAAGGCAGGTGTTAATCAGGACAGAGCAGAATCAACTTAAGCCAACAATTTATTAATTCATGCAAGCGAAGAAACTTCGAGGCCTCTGGGAACATCGAACCCCTAAGTTTATGACGCAAATAGTTTCTATTCATTACTCCCCTCATGGTATTCAACGCCTGGCTGGATATAGTCACAGCTGTGTAGCGACAAGATCTCCTTCATCAACAAAACAAACTGAGCCAAAACAAACTCTCATCAGCGAAATTATGCCCAAAATAGGTTAATAATTAACATGCTCTGTTGAACTTAACCTTGAGCGCTAGCGGAACACTGGGACGCATTGAGATCCTAACAAAAGGCATCTATTTAAAAAGTTTTGTTAGATTGGCTTACGAATCATAAAATATTTGTTGAGGAAATTTCTAATCGAGCTCTCAACAGAAATTTACAATAGTTTGTACTTAAATATCGAAGCCCAATATTTGATACCCCCCATCGAGATGACGATGTTTTACGTCAACAAATGATTTATATTTAACAGGTATTATTATCCGGATTTAATTTATGGATACTAAGGTGAGAGCGGAAGCGAGTTTGCATGTTTCGGTGTCGCGCGTGACAAAAACCGCTGGTGTAGCAGCTTATATTTCAGTGGATTAAAACTGATTATCCATTCAGAAGCCATCAACTGTATGTGTCAAAGTTGTCAAGTTATCGTTCTTTTGATCCAATAGTTTCCTTATTAATCGCGAGGGCAATCAGAGTTTTTGGAAGAGGCGAGAGCGTAAATCAGCGAAGATGTCGCTGCCGGAGCTAACGGTCGGCCAGGTGAACTACAACAGCATTGAACTCAAATGGGGAGGTTCGGAAAATGATACCGACAACAAGAAGCGAAAATTGTTTCATGTACAGCTGAACAAGGCTCGTGCGCGAAGCGCTTGTCCTGGCGGACCGACGCTCGATCCTCTGACCAACTACCAGGGTTACAGTCAACAGTTTGTTTTCAAAGGCTTGGAGTCTATGACTCAGTACCAATGCCGTTTGCGGATCATGGAGAGCGACAGTGATCGGCATGGAGGCGGATGGAGCGAACCGATAACTGTCTGTACACCGAACGAACCTCCATCCGGAGCCGAGCTGCACAAGGCGGTTTCCAGGCAGGACTTGGAAACTGTTCGTAAAATTCTTAAAGAAAATAGCGCGGTAGTTGAGGTGATGGACAAGTTTGGATTGACTCCACTTATGGTAGCTGCTCAAAAGGGATATACAGGTGAGTCAGATTCAACCATCATCCGACATAAAAACTGGAATTTAGGTTACTCAGTGGGAATTTTTATTAATCTCGTTTTATGCAAATTTTTTTTTGTATCTTACGTACATCGAACTACATATGTAAAGTTGAAGTAAATCCATCTCGCGCTTGAATTTTGTTTGCGTTTTAACGCCGGCTCTCGTATCGAATCCATTTACACGGGATTACATGTTATATTTGTTACGAAGTTTCCGCTTTGTGTTTTACGTCGATGCTTTCAAAGGTATTTGCAACCCGACAATGAAAGCTGTACTCTGTAGTACGCCGTGCTTAAACAAAACAATAAAGGTCGTAGATTGCTCTATTGATAAATTGGATCCTTAAATCTCCGAAGAGTCTAGTTAATTAGTTATTTCCATTTTTTTCTTGTGCAACACGAAAACGTTTCCTGGAGTGAAAATCCTTTGATAAGGAAATGAAACCTAAGATACAACAGGATGCTGGGCTTATATTCAAAAGTTTTTCTTGAAATGAAGTTTTGTTTAAAATAATTGATTAGTTTGCCAAGACTATTTTCTTGAAATCCAAACACTTCAAAGCGAATATCTGATTGTCTTAGAAGGGTTTGTATCTGTCAGCTTTATCTGTTGTTTCCGGCGTTCAAACATACAAAAAATTCGGTAATTTTATATAAATAAGTTTCCATTCCAAAGATTATTTTTTTGGGGCGACAAAGCTAAATTAAACGCAAAGGAAACTCGTCTACACAACAAAGCTTCCAGCTGCCTTCCTCATTTCATGCAATATAATTTATTTTATTTTATCGCGCGAATTCTTGATATGAGATGGTAAGTGTTGATTATCGATTCAACAGCTACTGCAGAAAATGATTTGTCGTTACTGAAGCCAAGGGACAATTTTAATTCACATTTTTGCTGTCAAAGGACTTTTAAATAATTGAAAAGCAAAAGAAGCATTGCCGCAGGGCCTATTACTGACATTAATGCATCAGCTAAGTTGAAATGATGAATATTTGAAATAGTACAGCGGGTTTTCTATTCAGCATCTCCGATAATTATGAATGATAATTCTATGTAATTTTCATTTGTAAAGCGATGACTACGAGCGAGCGAAGCATATCTCGTTATAACAAAAAGGTGACCGATTTGTTGATCTTAAGAGTTAGTTACCATGGCTTAAGTTTAATACTATCTGATATGCTATTGTGAAATTTTGCTCTGCAAATCAAATCGTGTCAATTTTATTTACTCTAAACTATACCTATTCATAATTACAGCAACGCACAAGAAACAAAAAAAGATCTTTTTTATGATATTATGAGCCTTTCGTTTCTTGTTAGCTTTTGCTTTTAAATTAGGTTTACGTAGCCATGTAAAACAAAACTATCCCTGTTACTCTGTATTTGACGGGTTGCTTTCCGCGTTCGGCCCGTTTTGAATTACAAAAAAAAAGCGAACTCGAAAATGATGCGATTAAGCCATACGGCGCATACAAGCTGATTAGCATGCCGATGCATAATTAAATCGACTAAACACCGTCAACACTTGTGATCAGAGACTATTTGGGTAAGGAATTCTAACTGTTATACTAACGATTTCTGGTATGAAGCGATCGGTAAAGCCAAATAAACTTTTCGGGAGGCAATAGAATTTAAATTCCTTTGTCGAAAAGCTAAAAACAAACAAACAAATTTGCATTTGCTCTACATAAAATCCTTTGATTCGTTTTTAAAACGGTGTTTGATGATAAATGCAGATATAAGGATGTGTTCTGAAGCAGATAATTGGCCTACATAACCTTGCAGTTATACATTTCCTGGTAGCCAAGAATGCACACCGAGATATATTTGAATGAAGGAAATTGAGAGCAATGATAGGGAAACGTGATTGCCCCTTCTCTCGAATAGTATCCCTATTTAGCCTGAGCGCTGGGGCTCTCACTTGGGTTTAAAAGCCTTAAAGACATGGTGAAAAATATAGAAAACAGCTAAGGAGCGGATTGAGGCAAGCCTAGACTCAGGCAGGGGCGTGGGGGGAGGGGTTTGGTCGAGACATAGGGAATCCGCATTTGTTTTGTCAATTTGGATCAACGACGGCTCTCCTTTCGTCGAAATCATGATTTATTCTTATCTTCACCCCAAACGGGAGCCACTCTATAAGTAATTTCTTGTTAATCAAACTTTAACTATATCCTTCGCAACTTTCCTGGCGGTGTCACGTAACACTTTCTCAAAGCTTTGCGTGACATCTCGGAGAGTAGCTTCGGGGGAGACTAACTAACGTTATCTATAATGTGGATGCGGCCTGACACGTTTCAGTTTTACAAAGAACTTATCCGTAAATCAAATTTTATCCTTCTCAGATGTGATGGAAATACTCCTCGAATTTAATGCCGATCCTGAATACCCAAACACCAGCGGCAAGACCTGTCTGATGATCGCCTGCTACGCCGGCCAAGAGGAAGCTGCTAGATTGCTACGTCAGCACGGTGCCTTGTGGGAAACACGTGACAAGAATGGATTAACTGCTGTACACTGGGCAGCAGACGGAGGCCATGATGATCTTCTTTTATGGCTTGTGCGTGATGGAGGCCCGGTTGACATACAAGACAATGTCAATGGCTGGACACCCTTGATGCGAGTTGCGTGCCTCACCGGAAATGATGAAGTCGCAGAAGTTCTCATTGCGAAGGGTGCCGACATCAACAAGATTGACAAATCTGGAAAGACAGTTTTGATGGCGGCCTCTATGAACGGGCATTTTAACCTGGTGCGTTTGCTTGTCGATAAGGGCGCAGATGTGTTTGAAAAGAACAGAGAAGGGAAAACAGCTTTGGAATTCGCCAGATCGATGGACAGGCACAGGATTATTAAATATCTTGAATTCCAGGTGGCAAAGGAAGAAAAACAACGAAAAGCGAAACTCCTGGAAGAGAGACTCAAAGAGAGTCAACAGAAATTGGGCCAAATGCAAATAAACTCTTGAACATAAAGTTTTGGAAACCTCCATTCAGGGCTACTCTTAGGATTATGAGAAGAGACCCTTGAATAGAAAGGTTTCCTTAGTAAAAGGAGGCGGAAACAGTGAAACCTCCATTTAGGGGACATTCTTAGGACTAATAAAAGTGTCCCTTGAATTGAGGAATCCACTCAATGAAGATAGCAGGTTATAACAAGGTTTTTGCTTCCCTTGAATGGAACTCTCCTACGTTTAGGTGTTCCAAAGAAAGCTTTTACTTTCGTCTTAAATTATAAAAATTTTTGGAGCTACTGGAAGATAAATGAATGTCTCAGAACATCTTTTTATGTTACAAACCGCTAATATTTGTCTAGAAACGATATGTTCGTCGTCGTTAGCCCTTACATTCCCATGAGTGACTAAGAGAGAATTTTTTCTTTAAATATCAATACAGTGTCAAGCAGCCAAGTGATGCGTGGAAGGAAAAATATGAATTTGGTATTTTTCTTTGATCCAATTCCAAGTTCTCCGAACAAACATCGTAAGGATTGTACGGCAGACAGCAAGGAGAAATTACATGAGCTCTTGGGAGTGAAAGGATTAAGGTCGATTTTTATGGCTTTGCAAATTTGTTTTCACCAGCTCGATTTGAGCACTAATAAGACAGCAGGCTCAGCCTGATAAGGCAGTATATGCCTCATGCTCGTAATTGAACAGTGTAGTAGGACAGTTAAAGGGACAGTTAACACGTCATGCCAGTGGAAGTGGACAGAACACGTCGCGTGAGCGCGCTGTTGTCTTGCATTTCGTTGAGTTAACCGTTGATTTTTTATGAAAACGTACAACCGATGTCTAGTTTCTTCCTCAAATTTTTTCATAGTTTTGTTTAATTGGTAACAGGAATTCGTGTCGTCCAATTCTGTCTGTAATCATACTCATGATTAACAAATCGGATTCCCGCTTTGGCGGTCGTCCGATTTTGTCAATCACTCGTATGATTACAGACCGAATTGGACTTCACTTAGTCCTATTACCATTATTAAGCGGTGGAAATTTAAAAATCACTTCATAACTGAAAGCAATCTTATAGCCGGTGTCTGATATTCTTCATTTTTGCGAGGTTGTGCATCAGCAAGTTGCTCAAAGGGGTTCGAGTTTACTTCGTTTAATTAATTCATTGGGTATGATTACATTATGTGCCGTTCTCTGTGTCCAATTAGAGGTAAAATAATTAAAGCTTAATTAATGTCGTCAATAATTTATTGTTAATTTATTCTCATTCCCTGAAAAGGAATGAAAAATAAGAAAGGTGCCCATGAAATGAAAAATAATTGCTGCTTATTTTAAAGGCTTTTCAAAATATTTTTAAAAACATGTTCTTTCGTGGCGAGATATTAAATGCAGTTTTGATACCCCGGGCTTAAAAACAAGAACAAAAAAAATTGCAAAGGGAATTTAATTGGCTCAACAGCGTTCATTGAAGTGGTAAGGGGCGTATAAACGGGATTAAATTATGTTTGGAAGTTTGCCACAACAGATCCAGTTTACTGAAATACGTCTCGTTAACAGGTTTTATGTAAGCTTTTAAACATTATAATAGATCAAATTCATTTTGTTATTCGCAACAATCAGATTACAATTAAAACGAACTTTAAGAAAAAAAAAACAACGGTATTCAGTCTTTCCCCATGAACTGCATAAAAGAAACAGATATTACTAAAAATTATTTAATAAATTCCATGTTGCCGTCCGTCTGTTCACTATTAGATCACAGATGACGTCAAAATGTGGTAAGAACAAAAAGAAAAAGGCACCCTTCTGTCGACGCTTTTAATCAGAAGTACCTCTACTAAAGCCATGTTGCCAAGTACTGCTTATATACTCGAGAGAGGGGGGATGTTTTGTGCTTTAGCAAAGTAGTACATAACCACAGCCTCTATTCAGAGTCTAACAGAAAAAAAATCAAGATCGTTAACAAATTGCACAAATGAAATTACGTGTCCAAGGCTAGTTCCTGGCACACTTTTGTTTTCAACAAAAGAAACAAAAAGTTGCAACTGAGAGGTGATTATCAGTCTGAGCATCGTTAGTTTTTGGAAGGAAACTGGCCTTTGGCTCGCTCTTTGACAACCTCGAAATCGACACACTGGAGTTTTCCAAGTAAATCATTTAAATCCCTCTCGAAATCTCTCTCGAGCGTCTCTGATCTTTCCAGCGCACTTGACATCTGTTGTAACCTTCTCATTACTTTGTCGTACACTTTCGCCCCATCGGTGCTTTGTTTTCTCAACATCGACTTTTTATGAAACTTTCGTCGGAGACCCATTGCCCTTTGAACAGAAACATTATTTTGAAGCGCCTTCCTTTCGTCGTTCTTGTTCGGGCTTTTCCCAACACCAGTGTCAGTTTTCTCCGCCTTCTGGGATTCAGACTTCCTTCGGGGGCGAGCGTATGCCGCATGAAACCGCATCATTTTCACAGCAAACTTTGTTGTGAACTGAGAAAGAAATCTCTTAATTCAGTCGATCAAAAGGATTCTCTCGGATGTCTTGTTGCTAGAAGGGTTCTAGCTCTCTTCACACGTTCGTTGAGTGTTTCAGCAAATTTGCTCTCAACAATTACTATTTGCCTGTAGAACGTAATGCAAATAAGTTAAAAGCGCAAACACATTTGTTAATGAATAATTCGAGTTCTAAGCTTTAATTTTCCTCGCGGTGGACAAATTGCTCCTAATGAGTCCTGGCGACAAGTAATTAGTAGCTTAAAGTGCTAAAATGTTACACACACTTCAGCAAAAATTATTTTATCGTCGTGCACCAACTGTCTGATTTCTGTTTTACCAGTACTAACTTTTTTTTATTTGTTAATGCGTGATTCGTTAGTCATTCGTATAAATTGTGGAAGGGGGATTTTTGTTTTTTCAATCTTGCTATGGTAACCTCATCAACGGTCGCCGAAGTTAAATGTAAATTTTGAATGGACTGTCGGTAGACCGGACAAAAAGCTCTTTTTTTAAAGTATCAAAATTCTTGACAAAATTATTGCGCGCTTCTTTGGACAACGATGAAATTTTTTATTCTGAATGCTTCTGCCATGAGTCAAAAAGGATGCGCACTGAAAATATATGATTTTTATTGCAAATGAGTAAAAAGGCCTTTTGTGGAGCATTTCTTCGAAGGACAAGTCAAATTAAGGGCGCGTGGGTGAGTCTAACCTCACGACGGTTGGCGGTCCAGTGAGCTACTTTCCAGTAATTTACGAGGACGGACGTAACGCCGAGTACTTGAAAGCACTGACACGGAAACAGCATGAAAATCAAAACCTACCCAAACCCGTTTCACTACTCTAGAGATATTTTGTAATTTTCTTTTACATACTTATTATTAGGTATTTGCTTTTTCTACTGAGAGGGAAGAGAAGGCTCTGGAAACGAGATTGGAATTGTAACAATTGTAATCCCTCACAATGCTTTTCATATCGCATGAAAACTCCCGGATGAACTTCACGAGGTTCAAAATCCAACATGGCGGAACGTGAGATCACAATCAGAGGAAGGCGACTTTCTCAATTGAAAGTTGATGAACTTAAAGTTGAGCTGGAAAAACGCGGCCTCAAGAAAAGTGGAAACAAAGGAGTTCTTATTGAGAGGCTACAGGAGGTAACGGAGAGCTCTCTAACGCGGGAAAAAACCCGTAGATTGTACTATCTCTTTTCCCCGGTTTGTTTGCGTTTGCAGCTGAGCTTTCTGTTCATTTTCAGCTGTTTCTGTCTTCCGATATGAGGGAGTTCTTTTAGACGTACATATTTTAAACAACAAGAGAAGAAAATTTTTGATAATTGATAAATGCATTGTTTACATCAGTGTAACGATGCAATTTCAAAGTCATCGACTATGTGAAGAACATCTCAATTTACACAGAAGTTGTGCCGTAAAAGGCAGATAATCGAGCATAATAATCTGAATGAAATTCAGTGATATCTCGATCTGGGTTATCATGTTAAGGTTAAGCATTGAAATCATAATTCTTCAATGCAATGTAGTGTCTAAAATTTATTTGCAAGAATTTGGCAGCTACTCGCCATACTACGATAAAATGTAACTTTCCCAAACGCCTAAGTAATTTCACTTTCTACTCGTATTATACTCTCAGCAATGAGAGAAATGTAGATTAACTAGAAACCTTAAGGTGAAAGTTTCTAGCAACTGAAATTTTGTGAGATTATCAGAGAAAGCCCAGTCAAAATCTCCCTTCAACCCAAGACTGAGATCCAAACCTGTGAGAGCACAGCATAGGGTGTTTTGATTTAAATAAGGTGTATCTACTGGATAGAAATATATCCTTTAGTCTGTGTTATGCACCGTTCATATAACCAGGACCTGGTCTGCAGTAGGTCTAAATGGCAACTGTGAAGGAAAGTAGATAGCTTGATAATTATAGACATGCACATTGTGGAAAGTAATGGCAGGCTAAGTGGCATGGGGCTACTTATTAATTGGGACAAATATTCTACAATCCTTGTTATTGATAAAAGAGGTGGTCTAAATGACACTACCTTCTTGGCATCATCATATCCAGCTGATTGTAATATCAATACTTTAAACAACTATTTTCAGATGTTAACAAGGTAGTTTGGTATTATCAACTGAGTTAATAGTATAAATTGGTCATTGTCAATAGTTTCAAAGCTGGCATTTTAAGCGTTAGCCCTTCGTCAGAAAAAAGAGTTAACACTTGAAACTTCAGCTTCAAAACTCTCAACAGGGGCTAATTTCTCTCTCTCCAATGCAGCACTGTAGTTTCTTTAAAAACTTACCTCCTTCATTCAATTGTCAGATCTTAGTTGTTTTATTGCTGTTGTCTGGTTAATTTGCTATTGAGTTGATTAGTGTTTACCATTCACCTTGGTTATTCACAATGTAGATAATTCCAAAAAAAAAAGAAAAATATCTGCAGCCTGATTTGTCATTCTTTTACTCCAAAGATCTAAATTTAGATAGTTTCTGTCATATATGTACATTTGAATTAAGGTATGAGAAATTTGTGTTAAGTGAAGCAATTATTTCCCAAGTATTTCTTTCTTATCAAGCCCCCAAGGTTAAATTTATAATTCTCCCTCCTAGCTGGTCTGGATTCCTAATTCTCTTTTTCCTCTTTTCATTTCATATTTTAGGCCATTGACAAGGAAATGGAAATGAAGGAAGGGTTTGAGAGTTATCCTGTACCACAACAAGCTCCTGCACGGGTTGGAGAGCAGTGGCCTCATCCCATGATGCAGCAACAGCAACAACCTGGTATGCTAGAGAATAAGGCTAACACAATTCTTATGTTTTTGATATGTCCATGAAAAATGTAGAGTTACCCATTCATGCTCTTTCTGCTTCCCTAATTTTGCTTGGGTTATGCCTATTGAGGTAAGCACAAGTGAAAGCACAACAGCTCAAACATTGGCATTAATGCAAGTACAAACACAAGCACAAGGATCAGAGTTTTTCTTTTTCTTGTGCTAATGCTTGTGCTTGTTGACATTAGTTTTCTCTTGGCGTGTTTACCTTATGCATGCATTTGTGCTTGGGTCACTTGTGAAAACCAGGCTCAATCTGTCAGTGATTTGGTTATTTAAGTGAACAATATAGTCTTTTATTCAGAGTTAGCTCTCTTTAACCCTTTATACCCCAACATCAGTATGCATATTCTCCACATTGTCCTTTATAAAGTTCTAAAGGTGCCATCAATGGGAATTTGTTTTACAATCAAGAGCATCTCTCCTTGATGATCATTTCCTGTAATCTGGTGCCTTAACCCTTTAACTCCCAAGATCTGATTGTTAATTCTCCACTGTAGCTGCTAGACATTTCCTTGTAAATTAGTTATGAGAACTTGGTGCTATATCAAGATAGCAGCTTCTACCTGATAAGTTTGAATATTCTCATGACCTGTTTGCTGAAGAATGTATGGATATTGTAGGGAGAAGTTTTATGTTAATCACTTCTGGAAGTTAAAGGGTTAATGTTTGATTCAGAGGTGATATTGTAGGAGAAATTAGATTTTAGTCACTCTTAGGGGCCAAAGGTTTAAGTTAGCATTGTTAGGATTCAATGTGAATGTTCTCTTGCAGGAGAGAGGTTTTGCTAATAATTTTAATCCAACATAAGACTGACAATGTTTGCCATTATTTTGGTAGGTGGTTTCCCTGTTCAGCCAATGGGAATTCCACAAGGAATGATAAATCAGCAACAAGGATTGTTAAACCAACCTCATGTTATGATGAACCAGCAGCAGATGATGATGCATCAGCAACAGGTATAGAGTATATATACTTCAGTGGACTCTGATAGAGGTTCAGTGTTCCCTTTTTACTCTGTATTTTATTATAAAGAATGCTTTCTTCAGGGAATTGGTGATAATTGGTAATTAATATTTAGACAACAAAAAGTGTTTGTTGTTAGGTCATGAACACTTTTTTTACGGTTTTGTGGAATGACTGGATAAGGTGAAACCACTTGGAGTCTTAGTACCTTTTCAGGGGACAAGGGTGTTTTCTGAGGAGGCAACTTTCCTTGTTGGGCAATAATTGTAATTTTTGTAGGAGCAGGGTTCTCATTAGAGGACCTGGGTAAGGGTACCAATATATGCAAGTCTACCTCAATATGGGATATAAAATATTGTACTTCCAGTGTCACTATTATACTTGGCTGCTCTCATGTGGATGCCCTTGCACTCAGAAATGTAATGAAACCCTTGTTGAAGGGGTTCTCAACAAATTGTTTTCAGAAAACTGTCTTCTCAAGCACTTTGCCTATTCTTGATTTTAGTTTTCTTTCTTCCCCTCAATTTTGTTTTTCATTTTCAGCAAATAACATCACCTGTTCAAGTGAAGGAATTCAGAGAACAGTGGCCTCAAGCCCAAATTCCACCACCCCAAATGTTATATCAACAACCACGGGAACAGCAAGTCTTGAATCAACTACCTCTAATGGCAGACAAGAAACCTTTAACACATGCCTCAAATCATCAAGTTCCCCAGCCTGTTCTTGAACCAGAAGTTGAATCATCAAGCTCATCAGATAACGAGCAAGACTCTGCACAACAGTCCTCAAGTTCATCAAGCCAGGAATCAGATGACCATGAACAGGAACGACCCACATCACTGTTGAACTATAACTATTCCAATGACTCTAGGACTGAGGCGAGGGCTGCCCCTGTAGTTGTTCATGAAAGCAAACCCATCACAGTTCAGAATGTTGAGGAACAGTCAAAGGAATCTGCGTCTTTGGCTCCAAAAGAAGAGGAGATGAAGAAAGGGGAAGATGTAGCTGCTAATGATAGACCAGAGTCAGGACAAGATGAAAAAGCAGATGTTGAAATGGATGGAGAAAAGACAGTTGCAGAACTAAAGGAGAATGACATTAAGGATGAAGAAAACAAGAAAAAAGTTGTTGATGAAGGTGAAGATGGAAGGCAAAATGAAGTAGTTGGCAAGGAAAAGGAAGGGGAAGTGCCTAGTGAGTCTCTTGAGAATAAAGAAGCAGTTTCAACACCATCTCCTGCAGAAGAGAACACTTTTGAAGTTGAGCCAAGTGAAGAGGACAAAGCTGTCGTAGAGGAGCCAAAAGTTCCATCACCACAGGTTTGCACTTACAGTACATTCATATAATTTTGGTTTAGGCTAAATTTCCACTTGTGTCTTGGGTGCAGTCTTTGGCATAAGTTAAAGAGGAGAAGTTTCTGTTTGGGAGTAATTAACAGTTGAAGCCACACATCCAATAGTATGGTTGGGGATAGCATATCAAGCCACACAGTTTATGTGTTCTTTTCCTGAACTTCAGCTGGTTACTGAGCCTTCCTAGTTCAGTGTGAAACTAGCATGTTAGCAGGTTAAGTTTGGCATTTTAGGTAATTATATGAAGGTTTTGGAAGATAATTGAAACATTGAGTTTTAGAGAATCTTTTTGTTTATTACTGGGTACATTTTATTGATCATTCATCACATATATTACACAAAAATTACTAAAAGAACAGTACATGTGCATCAAATGAAATAACAAATGTTTAAAAGGATTTTAAAAAATCTTTAGGTTGACTATTCAAGAACTTGCCTAATGCAGATTTAAATTAAGGACATAACTGCATATTTGGAATTGCCTAGAATTCTACCAAAAAAATAATTTCGTAAGAAAATGTGGCACAATCCCACCTGTTGCAGGTGTACGTATACATGTACAGCTGGAAATTATATTTGCAAGCCATTTGCATCTTAATTATTGCACATGTACATGTTCATAAATTAAAATACATGTGGTTTCCTTGAATATCCAGTTAATTTTACTGCATTTTTCTTTCTATAGAAGCCTAGCTCTCCAGTTGTAACTAAGAAAAGAAAAATAAACATACCAAGTAAGTTTCCTTGTGTCTGATGTTCCTATTACATTGTCTGTTTGTAGAATTTTTGTATCTGATTGTCTGAATTTTTTTAAGGAACATCTCTGCCAACCACTCCTACGTCTGAGGGTCAACCAGGATCAAGGAAAAGGAGATGGGGATCATCCTCATCAAGCAAGAAAACGTCTTTGTCCATTAGCACTGATTCACTGAAGGTATTTTGCAATCATTTTACAGGGTACAAGGTAGATTTTACTGTTTGACTCAAGAACTATAGATCACATGTAACCCTTAAACATCCATGAGGGAACTAGACAGAATTTCAATTTTGATAAAATTTCAGCAAACAACTGATGAGAATAAAGAAAATATCAATTAGGAGATTTTTAGTTGATCCTATGCCAAATTCTCCAAACTAACATTATTAGAATTGTATGGTAGACGATAAGGAGAATTACTAGTAAGGAGAATTACTTGGGAGTGAAAGTTTTATGAAGGGACACAAAGACATTCTCTTCTTAGATAAGAAGCTTTAGGCATCTGTTATTGCTACTAAGAGAGAAGCTTTGATCTACTATTGAGGTTTTTAGAGCAAAAACAAATGATCCTAATGGGAGCCAGTCAGTTACTTTCCAGTGGATGGTTTACTATTGAGGTTTTTAGAGCAAAGCCACAAAAAAAAAAAGATTATTCTGTGAACATCACCTATACTGCCAGGATTTGAGCATCATGGCAGTGCTTTTATTCAGTGTCTTATTGAGAGATGTTCCCTCTTTGTACAGGATTTAATTCCAGGAGTGCAAGTGCACAGTACCCCTGCCTTGGAAGCAGTCATGGACATTAGAGGTGATGATAATGATGAGGAAGATGATGAGCCAGAAGAAAAGAGAAAGATTGAACAGAAAACTGACGAGGAGAAGGAAGAATTATCGGCAGAAACAATGCCTGAAGTGAAAGATGAGGGAAGGAGAAGAAAAGACAGGATCGTGAAGGTTGAAGAGAAGAAAACAATCAAGCTTCAAAGAAAGCTGGTGGTAGTGGAAACTGAACCTGATACATTGAAAATGGAGGTTGAGGAAGGTATTCATATGTTTGTGTATATCTGGTTAGGTTATTGTTATCACCATCTACCTTCACTTATGTTAAGAATGTTTTATTGTTTGAAATTCCTAAGCTATAGTGAGGATAGCTAATGTTTGAACAAGTGCAGCATGGCAACTTTTGAATGACCTTGACCTTTGACCACCATGAGGACTTGTGAGGCAAATTGATCAAATTTTTTGTTACTCTTGTCTGAATCTTTTATCTTTTGTTGTTTTTATGATTTTATCTGAAACAGAAAAAAATAGGGATCAAACTGGTTTGAGCAACATCTTATGTACAAATAAACTATGTTGCTTGTTTTGTGTCCCTTTGCTAGGGGGAAATGAGGTTTATTATTTCCTATTCAATATTATTGTTCAAGGCCATTTGAAAGCTGTCACTGCACACGGTTTGCATTTCTCTGAGGAACTCTGTTTGTCTGTCTAACCTTTCTGCACACAGCAGCAGTTACAAGTAGAAAGTGTCCTAAAAAGTCAGCCTTGCACTCTGTCCCTTTGTACATGATGAACCCTTTTCTGTGGCATGCGGTGCGGGAGGTTTTCTTTGGGGTCATTCCAGCTGGGTGCTCTGAGTTGAAAAAAATAAAAACAAAGGAAGCAACTTCAATAATCAAGTGATTAAACCATGGCCACAGACAAAATAGATGGCCATGAACTGAGTGATTAACAGTATGTGATCACATATCATGATGTGTTGCTGATAAACACAACTCTTGAACCATTTGAAATGAAAAAAAGATGAGATGAAACACTTGAAACAAGGCATGTGTGAGGGATGCCTTACAGCTGACTACGAAGACCACCATGCCGTGTGATCCATCAGAAATGTACACAAACAACTGTACCTCCACGGAGAAAACTGCCTCCACAGTTTGTTGGGGCAATTACATGTAGTGTACCTAAAATTGAAAAAAATGGAACTCTGCATTGTAGGAAGCTATCTGCATTTTTGGTGTGTGGTGTGTGGTGTGATACACAATACCATCACTATGTACTCTTCCCCTGACAATTGAATACATTGGAGTTTGCAGCTGTAGAGCACATCATGGAGGAAGCTGTAAAATAAGACTGCCTTCTGAAAGCTTTTCAACACGTGTAATGCCTCAGTACTTGTTCTTTATACAACAGCAAGAGGTTGCACCAAGTAAACCAATGAAACATTGCTACTGGCATTGCACAATTTTTGGGGGTAAATTTGGACAAAAAAAAACTAGTTGTTACCACATCATACTTCAAAAGTCACAAGGACAAAAGAGATCATCTTGCTCAACTAAATGATGATTGTGTGAGATTATTGACTCTTTGGCTATTAACTTTGACATAAATCAGTGAAGAGCTTGCATCAAATGTCATTGGAGATTAAAGTAGTTACCCTTCACTTCTACTACTTCTACTCTTGTGGATGGTGGACATGATGCCTATCAAAAAAGGAACTGTCAATGGTTGCATAGCAAAGACAAGAGACTGCAGCCCTTCTCAGCAGAAGGAAAAGGAGAGGCTGTGTGAAAATTCCAAGCTTCATACCACATGAAAACTCATCATCAAGAACTCTAGCTAGCCAAGCAATGAACACAGCAGTGGTATGGTGGTACATTGCACAGGAAGCAAAACTACAAATTTATGCAGATGGGATTTTCAACTGAAAAAGTTTGTATGGCAAATTTGAACATTCCTGTCTTGTCAGGAAGTAGATTGCCCAACCTTTCTACATCTAGTCGTGAACTCTGTTGGGTTAAAAGGAAAGCACTGAAAGCTGTGCACTAACTTAAATCCCACAGTTACAGACAGAAAGCAATCGCTATTTCTGAAGGTGGAAAGATCATTTGCTCAGTTTATGCTGTATCCAATGGGTTGATTCTGGGACTTGCTGTATCAGTGAGGAGGTTGAATGTACTCAATGATGCTCTCAAGTTCCTCTGTGGCTGTGCGTACCCCCACCAATACTGTGTTTCAGCCGCAAACCATTTTACCAGCTCTTGTAGAGGAGTATTTTCCAAATAATTTTTATTTTAGAGGTTAATGGAATTTTCAAGTATTTTTCTTGTTTGGTGACACAAACTTTAGTCTGTAAATGTGAAAACAAGGGCAGTTTCACCCAAGGTTTATTGAATTTTTCTTTTCCTACTTTTTAAACCCAAATTTGAGGTCAGTCACTTAAACAAGAAAAAGCAATTGAAGGGTTTTATGTTGTTGTAGTTGATAGACCAGAGTTTTTCCATGCAATAAAATGCTTGTGCTTATTTCTGAATGGAACCAATTTTGTTCTTTACTAAGAAACAATGCACCCTGCTAGGCAAAGGTAGAATATCAGAGTTGTTATAATGTTGGTGACACAATGCACCAAGAATTAGTAACACGCATTTAAATTGGGTTTTGCAATTGTAGATTATCCTTTTTTCTACAGGAAAGATGAGTGAAATTAACTTTAAAAAATTGCAAACAAATTAAGAATATATTTTTGTCTGGTATAATAGAGTACTTGAATAGGAAATTTTCTCTCTTTTTTCCCTCGCGTACACTGTTATAACAGAGGATTGCAATTAACTGAATATTCCCTCGTTCCCCGCATATAAATTGACCTAGTCAAAACTTCAAAAGAGAATTATCAAAGAAGAATTTTTACAAAATGTTCGTTTCCAACAGGAATTTGTTCATAAGCATAACAGTGGAACAACTCTGGAGAAATATGCTTAAAATGCCGAAATGTATTTATCTTCTGTCGAGACTATCTACGTTAGAGTAGAACTTGTTTTAGTATTTATTTGTTGGTTAATGTTCGATACCGCTGACTGTTTTTCTATTTTACTATTAGAGCCTTCAGAGAACAAACTGGAAGATAATCCATATCCGAGGCGGTTGTCAGCCCCAGTCCAAGAGGAATCCCCAATACCAGCAGGCAAACGCTCCCCGTCACCCGCTAAAAATCCCCCGTGTAAGACACTGCATGTCAAGAACCTCGTACGACCTTTCACACTGAACCAGCTCAAGGACCTGCTCGGCAAACATGGAACCTTGGTGCCGGATGGATTTTGGATCGACAGGATAAAGTCACATTGCTACGTTGTGGTAAGAAAGAATACCACTTGCAACTAGAGCGCTTTCCGCTTGAGTGTCGTAAAACCGAGACCAAAGTAATCACAACAACCAATCACAAGAAACGGAAATACCTTTAAGAGCCAATGAGAACTTAGTGTAAAAATAAACTGCTGAAAGCGCGGGAAAACGCGGGCGACCAAGTCGTGATTGGTTTTTATCTTGCATCTGATTGGCTGAGAGGATGGCGCGAGTTTCCTGGACCAATCACATAAAGAAGCTTCAATTTATGGATTTAATAGGGCTTCCAAGGGGATGGTAGTAGCATTAACTAGCAATTTTCACATGGTTATCGTTAAGATTGCAGTAGTTTTGCTTAACTATGATTGGTCTAAAAATCACGCGTCGCCTTCTCAATCGATCCGATCCAGTATTAAAGACGAATCCCTCCATGTTCTCCGCGTTTTCCCCTCATCAGGCAGCTGACTTGTGTTTACTTGGAGTTCGTATTGGCTCATTGTGAAAGTTTGTGCCGCTCTCATCAGTCGCCTAGGTTACTTTAGTTTTGGTGTTTCGGCACAATCGAAATAGGTGGAGTTATGTCCGTTGATAAAATCCGTCCCCTGTGGAGATTTTTGAGATCTTTAGCAACTCCATGTTTATTAGTTGAGGTTAATTTGTTTCTCCCGGATTCTGTTTCCAACAGTACACTGATGAGGATGATGCAGTGGCCAGCAGACAAGCCCTACATGGCATCAAGTGGCCAGCAACAAGTCCGAAAATCCTTGATGTTGATTACGCTGATGATGATGAGGTTGGTGTGGCTGTGACTGTCTCTCGGTTAAAGGTTTCAGCTGTTCGGCCTGAGTAGTATTCAGTTTAAAAGTGAACATTATTTTTTAGTTAAGTCTAACCCTTGGTGCTGCATTGCCTCACTTGCAACGAAACATTTCAAAAATTAAATTGATCTTTACTTAACAAATAGTGAAGCCTTGACTGTGCTCTGTTCTGTTGTAAAGCACGCAGGAAGCGGCTAGAGCACGAAAGAAGCGTAGGGGGAAACACGAAACGTAGTCGAGAACAGAGCACAGTCAAGGCTTCTCTATTTGTTTTATAATAAAGAATCCGTTAAATTCCCCAAGAATTACTTTCAATTTTCAAAACAAACTTTATTTCCAAAGCGAACAATAGTGTCGTCAGCATGCTCTATACTCTCATAAAGCACGCTACAATAAGCCAATCAGAAGCCCTGTTAGAATGGTTCAAATAATCTGATGGCTTTACAGGACTAAAGCTGTCAAAAATGTCAAACCGTCAAAGTTTATATTCTGCAATAGTTTACAAACTAAAATAGTTCGGCATGTCAAATTTAAACACTTTTGCCTGAATTTTTTTAGTTTCTAATACAGAATCTGAAAGTGAAATGTTCAGTGAAATTCGGCCCAATCGTGGCTCACAAAAATACGCAAGTTATTTCACATGACAAGTAGAAAACAAACTGTTCAAGGCGAGTGTTTTATGAATGAACGACAGCCGAATTCACCAGAACATGAAGATCACTCGGAATGACAGCACCGTAAAACTCGACTGTAGTGACTGATGTGGCCTTCCACTCAACGCATCGGAAAGGTTATCAGAGCAAGCTCTTATTTTTTCCCTCGAAGGGTAGTCGATTTAGTTCCAGAGGCTTGCTCTACTGCGATGACCAAAGATCGCCATGATGAGCTAGCCGCGATAGACCTCAGCATGATTGCAGTCGCTCTGACACCGTCATGATTAGTATGAATTTTAACAGTTATGCCAGGTTATATTTTTCATCATTCCTTTTTTTTTCTGTTTTGTTTTTGAACACGAAACGTTATATACTATACAAGTGTTAGCTGTGTCTGATTTCTATTACCGTACGTAAACTTGCAATCTAACTGAGCGTGAAAACCTTTAAAACTCGGACTGTCCATCTTGTTTTATCTTTAAGGATTTTTGTCTCTGCTCACGTTACAGTAACGTAAATTACTGCGCCTAGCATTTTTGCAAACCTTTGCTCGCTTGTTCCGAAATTTCACTTTCAATCAACGAAAGAAAAGCTAGAAAGAAGTCCCGGAAAAGGTCGGACATAGTACAATTTGGCAGATGGCGTGACAGCTTTAGCGCAGTTCTATGTTCTATACTCTCATAGAGCACGCTCTTTTAACCAATGACAGCAAGCGTTATATCCGAACTTTATTGTAAATACTGAATAGATCGGAAGAAATCGATTCGGACTTATTTCCATTTTCGCGATTCTACTCGGCGCGAAGCTTCTGCAGGGTGAAGCAATCACCCACCTTGACGGTGATTATTAGAGTCAGCTGTGAAGCGAAAACCTTTGACAGAATCTTCCGTTACGACGTTTGGCTACATGAGTATTAAGCTTTCAACCACTCAGTTAGACGTTTAAATTCGTACCTAAGTATGTGAAATTGATTTTTTTTGTGTTTGTTTTTGTTATTTTTACAGATGGCGAGAGATACAGATGGTCTTCTCGGTCGCGAGAAGGAAAAAGAACGAGAACTGAATGCGGAGAAAGATGAAATAAAAGAACGTGCAGGTACTTGAAGTGTAAAATTACACCGTGTACAGTGATTGTCCAGTTCATTGGTGCTTGATATCGAATAAAGCTGTTCTCGTAGTTATATAAGAGATCGTGATTTTGAAGCCGCCAATCCGTTTCAATTTGCTACAAAATGCAGCTCAAAGAATGTTATTCGTCCTGTCACCAGTGTGGCACTAGGGGAAAAACATCTGATTCCCCCACAGTGAAGCTCGATACATGAGGTGAACTTAAATGGCTGATCGCGTTTACTCTATTTAGTTGAAGAAGAAAAACCAATGGTAACAGAAGAAAAAGAAGAGGAAGAAGAAGATCAGAAGAACGCTGGTAACCTGCTAGATAACCTTTTCAAAAAAACCAAAACTATTCCCTGCTTGTACTGGTTGCCGCTCACCGATGAACAGGTTTGTCTGTCTCAGTGTCAGCCCTGCACGCTTCACTGTTGCATTTCATTGGCCTCACTCTCCTTTTCTGTTTTCGTCCGCGCTTGCGACGAAAAGTAAGAATGAACCACTTAAACGGTATTCGTTAGTTTTGGTTAATTGACCCTTGTGACATAATCAGTTCCTTATGTGAAGCCCTTGCAGTGAGCTTTGCCTCGAATCGACTTTGGCCAGTTGAGCCATTATCAAAGTGCACTTAACAGAGAGACAAATAATAGATTTTTTAAGAAGAACAGTCTGCATACGATGGCCTCTCTGGGCATTAATTGCCTTTTTCAATTGAGAACTGACATTTTATGGTATAAGATGCAAAAGGTCAAACATCCGCTAATTGAGCTTTGAAGAAATCTCTCGACTTTATTTTGCATACCGCAATGGGAACCTTGTTCGCCTTTAAGGATCCAATTCGATGTTACAGATTTGAAAACGTGTGACCCTTCAGGTATTTCTCTAGTCATCGCCACGTGAAAATGAGTAAATTAAAGATGATTATTTTTTCGTAGGATCTAGTTGGATTTTGTATTGTTTCTTACTGGACGATTTCACCGCAGCCTTTATTCTACAGTTACACCGAGAATATGACGAAAACCTTTTTACTCGTCCTTGTTTTTAATTTTATGCAGATCGCGACGAGAGAACGGGAAAGAGAGGAAAGACGGAAAGCTAGACAGGATGAAAGAGACAAAGAGGAACAAGAACGTAAAGAGAGACAACAACAGCGAGAGAAAGAGCGGGAATTGGAGCGCGACAAAGAGAAACGAGAACGAGAAACTACTGAGAAACAGCGCTCTCGATCGCCGAGAAACCGACGAAGAGAACGAAGCAAAAGCCGAAGTAGAAGTCGGGGACCAAGACGGCGATGAGTTGACATTCCGATTTATTAGACTTCCGTTGTAATACTCAGTTTTATGTTGGTTTTGTGTTTGACTTGTTTAAGGGGTGACTTTATGTCTCTCTTTAGAAACTAACCGTTAGATTGATTTCTCTTGGCGCATCAATACTTAAGCAAGGCCTGTTTTGGTTGCGACTGTTTGTCCATTCCAGTATCAAGCAACTGTGGCGAAACTGCTCCTTCTATTCGATCAACTATTGACACATACTTTTTACGGAACTTAGTGATTGTCGATTCATTCTACCATTTTAGCCACTTAACCGAAGTTTCATCCTTCTTCAAAAATACCATTTATTTTTTAACGGTTTTAGGACAAATTTGCCAAAATTTCTGTCCCTTTTTTCAGAAATTTGCCACAATATTTCGTGATATCATAGACAGGTTCAACGCTTTCCGTTTTAAAGTACTCATACACATTGAATTATTTCTGTAGACGTTTTCATAGTCGGTAATGGGAGCAGTGCTTCCTGGCGTTTGTGGCTGATCATACACCTTATCTCATGGTCAGAAAGAAAATTAGAAGTTTTGCACTGACTTGCTTTGTTGTGTTTATTTTGTTTTCGCAACACCTTCTAGTTCCCGGGAACTAAGTGATATTACTACCTTCTTGTTAAGCAACGAAAAGTACTTTGCTCTTCGTTTGTAAGATATTAAGTGAGATTTATGGAAAATCTTGTGAATAAACGAAACTGTGAATATTAAGACTCTCTTTTTATTCCTAGCCACGACTACTGGAGGACTCTGAAATTCGTTTTACTGAGTATGCATGTCTCAGAGATTTTCATCCGCCAGAAAAACTACCCCTAATTGTCTCATTTGTTTATAAATGTGAATATTTAAGCCTGGGAGATGTGTTCTTTGTTCTGGAGCTGTGATTTTGTCTGAAGAGGGTGATTCTGTCGTCATCATCAAATTTAGGACGAACAATGATTAAAAGTGAGTTTTAATTTTCTGAAATTTTATGAAGAAACTACCTAGGTTGACAAAATTTTATGGAAAAGAAACTTTTTGGAAACGTGATCATCCTCAAGTATGAGGTCGAGATTTGTATCACTCTTAGAAATCGAGAGCGTACAATCGAGTTGTTTTAGTCAAAGTGTACACAATACTCGTCCGAAACTTGACAAACAGGAGGCTCATGTTTTTTGACTCATTTAGTCGACAACTGACACAGTTAAATGACTGTAAACATATGAAAATCATAAATGTGAACTGCGGATAGAGACGTGAACATGAAAGCGATCTTCACAAAAACGAACACTATCTGAGCGGTAGTTAAAAGAAGGCCTGAAAAAAATTTAGGTCTGTACGGGATTAAAACCCATGACCTGTGCAATACCAGTGCAGCGTTGGTTGTTGGTTCCAAATAGACCCCTAAAGTAATGAATAAATGACTGTGAATATATATGAAAATGAAGTATGTGAACTGCGGATGAAGACATGAGTATGATGTTATTGTTATGTTACCCACTTTACTCAAATATGTTTTACGGAGTAGATAGCGTGTAGCTGGGCCAATCAGCATTTGTGGTAATCATACTAATTATAGATTATATGGTATAACTGGGATGAGCGCTCCATCACGAATGGAGTACGATCTGATATGCTACCTTACTCGCTCCGAGAAAAATAGTGAGTCATGTGAGTAACTTGGCTGTGTATTCCCACGTGTGTCATCACTCATTAACACAAAAAACATATGTGAGCCTGTCTTGTTCTGAAGCTTTGAACAATAAGTAGATTTCTAACAACTGGATAAGTACCGCTAGATTTCCATGCCTGATGATTGATTCAGGTCTCGCCCTCATTGACTATTTAACAAATAGAGAAGCCTTGACTGTGCTCTGTTCTGTTGTAAAGCACGCAAGAAGCGGCTAGAGCACGAAAGAAGTGTAGGGGGAAACACGAGACGTAGTCGAGTGTTTCTCCCTACTTCTTGAGTGCTCTAGCCGCTTCCTAAGTGCGTAACAACAGTACAGAGCACAGTCAAGGCTTCTCTATTTGTTTTATAATAAAGAATCCGTTAAATTCCCCAATAATTACTTTCAATTTTCAAAACAAATCTTATTTCCAAAGCGAACAACAGTGTCGTCAGCATGCTCTATACTCTCATAAAGCACGCTACAATAAGCCAATCAGAATTCCTGTTAGAATGGTTCAAATAATCTGATTGGCTGTACAAGACTAAAGCTGTCAAAAATGTCAAACCATCAAAGTTCATAAACCATCAAAGTTCATAAACCATCAAAGTTCATAAACCATCAAAGTTCATAAACCATCAAAGTTCATATTCTGCAATAGTTTACAAACTAAAATAGCTCGGCATGTCGAATTTAACACTTTTGCCTGAAGTTTTTTAGTTTCTAATACAGGATCTGAAAGTGAAATGTTCAGTGAAATTCGGCCCAATCGTGGCTCACAAAAATACGCAAGTTATTTCACATTACAAGTAGAAAACAAACTGTTCAAGGCGAGTGTATTATGAATGAACAACAGCCGAATTCACTAAGACAAAAAGATTGCTCGGAATGACAGCGCTGTAAACTCGGTTGCAGTGACTGATCTGGCCTTCCACTCAACGCATCGGAAAGGTAATCAGGACAAGCTCTTATTTTTTCACTCGAAGGGTAGTCGATTTAGTTCCTGAGGCTTGCTCCACTGCGATGACTGAAGATCGCCATGATTAGCTAGCCGCGATAGACCTTAAGTCTTTGACACCGTCATGATTAGTATGAATTTTAATAGTTATGCCAGGTTATATTTTTCATAATTCCTGTTTTTTTCTATTTGAAATCGAAACTTTATATACTATACAAGTGTTAGCTGTGTTTGATTTTAATTACCGTACATAAACTCGCAATCTAACTGAGCGTGAAAACCGTTAAAAAAACTCGGACTGTCTATCTTGTTTTATCTTTGAGGATTTTTGTCTCTGCTCGCGTTACAGTAACGTAAATTACTGCGCCTGGCATTTTTGCAAACCTTTGCTTGCTTGTTCCGAAATTTCACTTTTATTAACGAAAGAAAAGCTAGAAAAAAGTCCCGGAAAAGGTCGGACATAGTACGATTTGGCAGATGGCGTGACAGCTTTAGCTCAGTTCTATGCTCTATACTCTCATAGAGCACGCTCTTTCAACCAATGACAGTACGTGTTATATCCGAGCTTTATTATAATACGCGATAGGAATCTCGAGTTCATGATCTATTAGTGAAATATACAATCATCTAAGTACATCGGTTAAAGTATCAGTAATCATTTGATGACAAGATAAGCAGTAAATAATATCCGTTGGCCTGTCCAAAAAAAAAAGACACAAAAAACACACATCAAAAACCAAAGCCGTATGTCTACCTTGTGTCAGTAACCTATTCAGTTTCACTGCCATAAACAGAGATGGCGGAGTTCTAGTATTCGTTCCGCTTGAAGTTCTTTGCAGTAGCACTTGTATCAAGCAGCACCGTATTAAGCGGTCGCTTGTATTAGCGGTTAATTGCCAAATTCCTGAAATTCCTTCCCCTCAAACACTGTATTTTCCATCTCTGTTAAGCGGTCATCCCTATTAATCGGTCGTGGTCACCCTCAACTGAGTCCCAAGGGCTTGTTTCTTTTGTCTTTCCGGCTGTTTTAGACGGTCACCTAAGGCGAAACCACTCAGATAAAACTAAGAACGAGAGTTTAAGTAAATCTTTGATCCCAATTATGACATAAATGGCGTATTTTACCGTTTTTTGCAACACCCCTTTTCCCTGAAACCTGCATTCAACGGTTATAATCGCCATTTCCCGTGGGTGACCGCTTAATAGAGGTCCGACTGTATTTGGTTTTTCTCTATCTATCCGATTCTACCCTATATCTCTGCAGGTAAAGACGCAGATGAATATGCTTACTCGTTTATTCTTCACGGGTTATTATATCACTACGACTGAAAGGAGTAAAAGGCTATCAGCGCAGATGTATTTTGCTCCTAATGAAAAAAATAAGAGAGTGACCGAGTAAACCACTGTAGAGAAGTAACTCTGAGGTCAAATCAAGTCAGTTTTGACAGAGTGGCTGGTATAGCTTATTCCTGTCCCAATTAGAATAGGTGATCGAAAAAAAGGTCGGCGTAAAACAAAAACAGTAACAAAAAATCATAAGTGCAGGCGGGTCCGTGAGCGGGTCCTCGCCTCACCTGAAGTCGAATGGGTTACTGTACAAAATATACAGCCGCATCATGTTAGTACTACGCGCTCCACTCTTTTTTATACATATTTTATATATAATTTCGGTATGTTTGTTGTTAACGCACATGTCAAATCACGGTATGGACAATTTCAGTTTTTTTGGTAGCAAATTCATATCTTAACCTCGATATTTCTGGGTAAGACACTGAAACTCAGTTATCGATCAACATTTTTACTGATAAAATTTTTGTACAAAAATGGAATATCGATACTTAGAATTGGACATAGTTGGTAAACAAGCCAAATTCTGGAGGAGCTGAATTATATAGAAAGTAGAGCTTCGCTAGCGTGATTTTTCATCTTGTTTTCGTCATGAATTGATGCATCGTAATGAAGAATCGCAGAACATGTATGGGCCATGTGTCTATGAAAGATCGTTACTGATATCAAAATGGCGCCGACTAATTAATCACTGGATACTCTATGTTTGTCAATTGTTTGACTGATAAATCGCCATCATGTCATAACAGCTGGTCGATTTAGGGATCTAAATAATCGTAACATGATGATGTCTTGTCAATTTATGACATGCAAGGACGAACAGCTTCATCACTTCTTTTGTTTGAGGTCACATTGCGTGTAAACCTTGAAGTATCTAAATTCATCGCGTGACCTAGCGGAACGGCTCAAATTTGTTTATGTGGCGAGCAAAACATTTCAAATCAAGCCGGTCCGACTGAAACCGCAAAAATATCAAAGAATCGGGGCGATTGATTAATTAGGAAGGTCAAAGACAACAGGGTTTCGCCGCTGTTCTGGGTCACTCAGTGACTAAAATTAAAAGACCAAACAAACATATTATTGAACCTTGGAATGTACAAAGTAACGGGCTCGTGATGAGGGATAAGGTCACCCGTGCGCAAATGGCTTCCGTAGCGAAACGACCATTTTCGTTTAGCCGGAAAAGCCTTCGTGATTCTATATATGTTTTACTCTTACCGTTGATAACCAGGCAACACGAACTACAAGAAAAGAGGGACAACAGAGAGCATAGCATTTCCTGTTTCTCTTTAGTGATCTTTGGCAACGCCAAAACGGCTGAACTCTGAAAAGCCCTCTTCTACCGCAAAATTTTTTTCTACTTCGCTCCCATAGGTTACCTTCACCGGCGCGTATCCAACCGGAAGCTTAAGTATAAACTTGTAAAGTGGTTTTTAAAAAGACTGGAATGTTCGGCTGAATTAAAAATATGCGTTTAAAACGGACTTGATGCACGTTCAGCAATGTAGTCAAAGATCTTAATGACGGTTAAATAAAAACTGACCAATTGACAATAAGAAATATTTTGTTCTTTATTAAAGATTATTTTTAGTTCCTTTCCCACAGTACTTGGCACAGTAGACTTCCCCGGCTGGAGTGTTTTGATTTGAAAGGAATAACTATTATTTAAGTTTCCATAAGTCATCAGACGGAGCTTTCAGTTCTATTGTTTACGTATCGAACAGGAAAACCGGACTCAAAACCAAAACAAAATTATAAATTTACGAGACAGACTTTGCCCCCGGTAAGTTTTACACCCTCAATCCGTTCGGCAGAGAGATATTGAATAAGTTTTTGAAGCATCAAATTGCAGGAAATAATGGTTTAAAGAGTAAAACGTTTCAGCTGGGCTGTTTTGTCGAAATTTTTTTTAAAAAGTTGCTATTGTTTCGGGTGGGAGGAAACGGCCAAAGCGCTGATTGCTTAATCGTTAACGTCATTCCATGGGGAATCAAGTATTTTCATACATTTGTTATCGCTCTCTAAAAACTTCTCACGTCGATGTTGATTGAGTTTTTCTGATTTACACGTAATCGTCGTGGTTTTTCGCGCATTTTTTGTTCGAACTTAGCTTACTCTCTCATGTGACAAAAGATCAACCAATCAGAAACGTGCGACGGTCTTCAAACAAACAACTTCGACAAACAGCATGGTAGTGGATGAAGAATAGTTGAAGTGGAAAGTTCCTTGTTTTTCACAATTTTTCTCAGAATTGCTTTGTTGTTCTTGATGAGGGGGAATGCATGGAGAATGTGAGGGTACATGTATTTAGCTTAGCCCAGCTGAGCGAAGATGTAATTTACATGTATGGGACAACTGGTCTTAACACACAGATCTGTACAGGGTAATGTTACGTGTAATGGTGGTTGTTTATTTCAGCTGATTTAGCCAAAAATAATGGAAAGAAACGTTTTAAACCTCGGCTCCGTGTATGGAGTGCACTGTTGTAAAGCAATAAATGGACAATGTATTCTCTGAGGAGACGTTTAAGTCAGAGATGGCATCGAACAGACAACGAGGCCGCGGTCGCCGAATCTTGTCAGAATGAGAATGTCGAAGAAGCCTCGCTCGCTTCGCAGGCAACTGCGCTTTTACCCCAAACAGAAAGTGCTAGTCGAGCGGTGGAGGACTATAGTACAGAGGAGCTACACTTTATAGTAGACTATGTCGGCTCTGCACAGATATCTGAGGCGAAATCTGTGACACGAATGATGGAAACCTTAAAGAGGATTAAAAAACAACAGATACGAAGTATCCGAGTTGATTTCATAATACGGGACGGGATTCTTTTAGTATCTAGCATGGATTCTAAATCCTTAATCCTTACAGCACCGCTTTATGCTATTGCGTTGTGTGTGCAAGAGCAGCTTCGGGGATTCGATAGTACTTTTGGCTTGAACATCACGCGAAAGAAAACTCATATGTGTCACGTTTTTCAAGCAGGATCACAACTGGAGGTAAGTTGAAGACAAGACTGTCAATATATTGAAGTTGTTTACATCAGCTAGTAGAGTGCTGTATTTTGATTTCTCCCCGCGAAAGTATTTAACTGTGCTATTTTGAGATTCTTTTACGTTTTTGTTAGAAAAGGAAGGGAATTCAATCGGTGAATAACAGCTGTATTTGTATGAGTTTTATTTAGTGGAATGCTCTCAATCGCCTTTCTTCCTAACGGCAAGTAAGGTAAAAGAAACACGCGTCTGAGAACCATAGGAATGTCTTCTTTTAAAGTGAAAGCGTAGAAATCTCGAATATTCAGGGCTTTGATATATCCTTGAGACGAATATGTCGGCTTTATTTATGTATTGTGAAGGGAAAGGCTAAAAACCCGCCTCTTTAAAATCACCATATAAGTTCTTGTTTGTCACGCTACGAATTAATGCAAACATACGTTTATTTAATTTTAAAAAAAATTTCAATTTTCGCGGAACAACAAGGAGATGGAGCGACATGTTTTTCAGTTATTACAGCGCAGTATTTTTCTTTCTGAAGATTTTACAGATGATTAAAATTGGTCAATTTCTGTTATTTTTCTCAATGGTAATTGATTACAAAGAGTATGTTACATTTTAAATCCGCGCTTCTACCCTAAGGCTTTCCATGAATCGTTGTTTACGGAATTCTGTCATCGGGCGATCGAATTTTCGCCAGATTGTAGCGTTTAGTATTCTTTTCTTGTCTGAAACCTAAAAATGCTTCTTTTTTGTTTCATATATGGAGCCTCAGGCAGAGAAAATTTGGGAGTATTGAACTAAGTTATTATATTTCAACTTGTTTTCGTACTTTTATTTGGCTTTCGGGCTGTTTATGCTAATAATGTACGTAGATGTTATTCTGCTTCTTCATTCAGCACGGAAAACACCACTTTCGTTTCGTAATCCCTTTCAGATCTTTTTTACAGTCATTCTTTAGGGTATTAAGTAAAGTGGCTTTCTGTGTTCTAGTTTAGTTTCAATTTGTGTAATAAAATGTTACCAAAAATAATAAGAATATTTTGGCTCTGGCGATGAGCGATTTCATCCAATTTAAACCAGAAAACGATGGACTTAAGGGTGAAAGCCGGTTATTCTATAAGAAAGATTTTGCTATCATATCTTTATTCTAGACGAATGAATTTATTTCATTTATAAAGCCAGAGAAAGGGTTAAGCCTGATTGCAAGCACAGCTACCTTTTTTCAAAATTATGTAAGAGAGCCCTGTGGGATCCAAGCTGATGTTTTGTCATTATTTACTTTGTACAGGCTTTTGAAAAGAGCTCAATTTCCCTTTAAAATGTCTAATTTTGGCTCGTTTGATGATTGAACATAACATCACCCATGTTATGTAACTTGACACAAACATGATCACCCTGCATCTGACCTGTTACATAACATAAATCAGATGTTATGACTAACAGAGAGCCATGAATTCTTCCAGTGACAAAAATCACTGATTGATAAGGCATTCCTTTGCCCTAATTGAAACATTTTATGCATACTTGGAAAAATGGAGTTATTTTTTGTTTTTCAGTTCAAAAAAATAAGGAGATAAAATCTTGTTTCAAACTTGTTCACTTTTCGTTCACTGATATTTGTTAATAGCTGTTTATGACCTTTTTTGCAATCCTGTGCGGATGAAATTTCACTCCATGTTTATTGTTCTCATGAATGACGCAGAATATTATCAGTTTGAGGAGATCTTTCGTTCTTGGGTCACTTGTATTGTTCTTGTATTGTCCTTGTTTTTTGTCCAGCATTGTTTATCATGTAAAAATATAGGCAGCTTAAGTTTCAGATTGTCTGAGCGTTAATTAGTTAGTTTATATCAAAATTTAAAAAGTTTAGCAAACTGGTCCAATTTGAATTTTGTTCCACTTCATCGGGAAGAAACCAGAATTCTAGTTTGCCATCTTAACATTGCATTGAAATGTGACTTTTTTCCGGGGCTTTTCCCAGTTGGCAAGTAAACAATATTGCTTTCTCAGCAAAAAAAGCTGCTAAGGGCAGACAAGGGAATAATTTATGCATGATTCTCTATTTATAAACCTTTTTTTTTTTCATTTTGTATCTTTGGAACTGGTGGAGCTGTTAAAAGCATGGTATTTTAACACCCTTTAGCTTTAGGATAATTATCCGATATAATCACTCCGATTTCAATCCTTCAGTTTTAGAATGGTCATGTTGACTATGTATTATTATGACATGTTCTCCAGAAGCACTGGCCAGTGCTTCTGTAGAACAGAAGCCAGTCCTTCAGAAAGAAGTGGTCAGCATTTTTGCTGACCACTTCTTTCTGAATGACTGGCAATTTTGGTTAGAGAAAGCAATTAGTCACTATTCTTGATCAGAACCAAATTTCATCCTTCAGTGACCAGAGTCTGTTTGTGATTTATAGCTCCAAAAACAATTAGGGAGTCAAACACTATATTCTGTTGCTAGTGTGTTTATGAACAGCTACAGGGAAGAGAAAAAAGCGTTTTTAATTACTGGTATAATCAGAAAGAAGTGGTCAGCATTTTTGCTGACCACTTCTTTCTGAAGGACTGGCTATTTTGGTTAGAGAAAGCAATTAGTCACTATTCTTGATCAGAACCAAATTTCATCCTTCAGTGACCCGAGCTTGTTTGTGATTTATAGCTCCAAAAACAATGATGGAGTCAAAAACTATATTCTGTTGCTAGTGTGTTTATGAACAGCTACAGGGAAGAGAAAAAAGCGTATTTAATTACTGGTATAATTGCTCAGGTGATTTTATAGTTTTTCACACTTTTATTGGTCATGGAACATTTTATTTCTAGCTATCTAGTTACATTTCAAACAGCTGCCTCATGTTTTGACAAGGTTGCAGAGAAAGAGATTAAAATGCCCAAACAAGATAATTTAATTCCAAAGAGCAGAAAATATACTGCTAAGTTTGGTATCCCACTTTTTAGAGGTAAGATACAAAATGTTGCAGCAAAGTTGAAAAACTTATAAAATATATGCACCAGGCTGCATGTCTCTGTTCTCTGATGGATGACATTTTTTAGAAAGAAAAACAATGAAAAGAAATTTACATTTTTGCTGTGAAAGTACCTGAACCATTACTTAAACAAATTTTTACTTCAGGTCCATTGAATATTGTTGAATAACCCCCTTGGCTTCATTCAAGGGATTGTATTCACTTTCACCAAATTATTAAATATTATAAGCATCCAATGGTCTTTTGCTCTCATTTCAGGCTGCTAGTATTGTAAGAACTGTGGCTCTCGCATTCAAAGCCATAGGCAAACTAACCAGAGAAAAAGTTGAAAGGGAATCACGAAGGGCTAGAAGAGCTTACTCTATCAGTAGTTCTGAGCGAACTCGCACTAACTCTGAAGTCTCAACGACTTCTACAATTGGTAGTTCATCTCTGGAACATAGACATCCTCATGTAAAGTGGAAACATGGCATTGAAAGTTCCTCTGGTCGAAGATCTCCTCACGGGAAGAAATATACCAAAAGTTCCACCAGTCCTTCCATTCTTCGACACCCCACCAGTACCCACACTTCTGGACGGCATGTTGAATTTTCTGCATTGTCCCCTGTGCCTTCTGATGGTAGTGACAGTGATGGTAAGGAAGGGTCTGCCCTACAAGCAAAACAACCTCTTCTCAATGGCCAAATTTCTGTTCAAGCTGATATACATGGATATCCATCTATTGAGGCTTCAGAACCTCCCATATGGGTGAAAAGAGCAGAGCCAATTAGAAGGACTAGTTTGTCTGATATGGAGAATGAGTCAACTAAGGCTAGTTCTCTCAAACATGAACAAACTATGAGATTTAGTTGTGCAGAAGAAATGCAGCCTCAGTTCCACTCAGAGCCTATTGTTGGAACGGAGTATTCACCCCCTATACTTTCCCCATCAACAGATCAAAAGAGTAATTTTTCAGGTAATGTTACTGTGGAAGGAAAAACAAGAAAAAGCAGGAAGCTTGAACATCAGGAGGTCCCATCAAAGGAGAAGATTCAAAGAGAACATGACCTCATGAGTCAGCATGAAAAGGAAGTTGCCACAGAAAACTTTGTTGTGCCTTGGACAAGTTCTCTCCTTCCAAATGAGTCCTTTCAAAAGGAAGCTGTCAATTCTCCTGATCGTCTCTTGTCAAACTTTGTTAAATACAGAGGGAATCAACCCCAAGACATGTCCTTTCCCTTGTCTGATAGCGAAGGACCAGAAGATCTTGATGCAATCCGTGATGCAATAGCTGCAGTGCAAAAAGGAGAAACAACGGTGGTCGAGAAGTTTATTGACAGTGGCATATCTGTGGATTCACATGACTCAGCCAGGAGAAGTTTATTGTACTATGCTGTGTCGCTGGGTGAAGTAGAGATGTCGCAATTTCTTTTGAAGAGGTAAGAGCACAATATGAAGTTTCCACATGTAGACAAAAGTGATTATAATTGTTCTCATCCAAGTTGACTGAGGGTTGGCATTTTCTTCAGACCTCTGCAAATTCCACACTTCGGTGACAGCTGGATCATTTTTTCCTCCCCAAAATCACTTTATTCAAATTTTTGAAAGCGTTTTTATGACTTAATTGAATATTTTAGAGTGCCACTTGATTAAGCATTCTAAAACTGCAAGCAAAGTTATTTCAATGGTTAGATCAGAATGAAAGACAATATCAAAGGGTACAAATGAACATGCAACAAACAGAAGCAACCTTTCTAAAGTGTGGGAAATTGCTAGTGACCAAGTTGCATTTGGTTTTGGTTCTTCATTTGGTGGGTTGTCATGATAAAGAACAGCAAATTCCCTGGATTAGGAATAGACTTTGGTGGAACAATCCCATATTACTTGCTCTACTATACTAAAAAATTGCTCTATCTGTTGTTAATAATAAGATCTAAACCAAGTCTGAAATAGGTTACTTATTTTTCTTTGGCATGTGGCAGAGAAACAACCCATTCTCTCAAAGAATTTGAACCAGAGTGTTTAGAAGCCCTGCCATGTGTTTAAATGTCAACTTGTTTGAATATTGTTTCATCTTATTATTTATTTGCTTATAAATTTGTATTCTGTTATTCCTTAGGGGTGCTGATATAAATTGGGAAGGACCAGATGATAAGTCTCCTTTACATGTTGCAGCAACGGCAGGAAACAGAGCTGTTACTCAGTTACTTCTTGGTTATGGAGCAAATGTCAGAGCTAAAGACAACAACTTGTATGTAAAATAAATTTTTGAAGTCTGATTTCATTGCTGCTGTGGAGTATGAAATCATGAAGTTCCATGTGTGACCCCTTAACTGTGAAATGTACATGTACTTTATTAAAGTTTTTTTTTACAACTGGGTTATGTTTAGTTTTAAATTCTGATGTACATGTGTAGACAATTCTTGAGTTTCATATTGTTTGTCTATGTACTTCTCTTATTTTAACAATGGACTGAAACTTTTTTGATCCTTTGAAGGAAAAAAAAAACAAGAAGAACAACAAAGAACATTTTATAATCACTTATTGTAAATGAGGAAGATCAAATTTTTTCTTGCTTTGAAATTGCCTCCCCTCCCCCTTCCCTTGATACATTCTCTTCAAGATTCTGTAGTCAGAAGTTCTCTTCATTTCGTGTCTTGACTTTGGTCTTTTAGTTGTACACCACTTCACATGTCAGCTGGACACAGGGGCAAGTTGGAAGTGTCCTTCCTTCTGGTTGAGCATGGAGCAAGAATCTTTGAGAATAATATCCACGGAGTGCGACCAGTTGACCTAGAACCGGTATGATTCTTTTCAAATCTTATTGACTATTCTTTGTGGATATGAAATGCTAGGGTGAGATTTGAAAGTGAGATGGTGAGGGAGTGTCTACAGCTTTGTGGGGCTCTGCTCTGTAGCCATTACTTTCTTTAGTTTTTGTGAAACTTGCATAAATTTGCCTTTAGAAATGCTTGTAAGAACCTGGCAAGTTAGGTTTCTTAGACAAGAGCTTTCAGGTACCCAATGACTTGTCCAAGAGCACAGCTTTGTGTTGTCATGAAATTGTGGTTCATGAATACAGTATTCACTACTTTCAGCTCCCTTTTTTGGCTTTGGCAGAGATCTCAGAGAAATACTCAAAAATCACTTTCTAGAAATTGCATGAATAAAATTTTTCATTAGCCCTGTACTTTCAATTAATCTTGTGTTTAGTAGTTAGAGTCATCTTGCTTCATAGTTGTGCGATGAGCTTGAAATTGAACACAGTCTGTGACCTGGTTTTGATAGTAGTAAGTGATGTCCTCTTTTTCCTTTGCCAATTTGACTGACTTAGCCAGATGAAACAGTAATTTACTAACTTTAAACAGGAGCTAAAAGAGATGCAGAGACTCCTTGTGCAGTCAGCCTGTGAGGCCTTTGCTGCAGCAGACATTACCAAGTCACGATCAAATTCAGGAGCTTCGTCCATCAACCAGGGTTCAGTCAGCTCAAATGTAAGATCCAAGGCAGGTGTACAGTCACCAGCCACTGAACGGGTATCTGCTTTGCGAAGAGGACTATTCCAACACAGAAGATCTTCCAGTTTGTGCTCAATATTGGGTGGGCGTGGAAGTCCAGAGACTGGGAGAGGAAAGCAATTTATCAAGAGATCAGAAAGCATTCATATTGCCCGAACACTGAGTCCTCGGCTTGGTATGTCCTATGTCTTGGTGTTTTTTTCAGAAAGAATTCCAAAATACCTGACCAGCAGTTGAACCAGACCATAATTGAAATTAGCTAATCAACTGACAAAAGTTAACTGTAGAAGGACTTTTATTTAATTAAATCAACCCTCTTATAGAGAAAGCCTGTGTCCTAATGACTGCCTAAAACTGTGGTTTGGGTTTGTCTTCTTGTAGATAATGGACCCTTTAACTCTGCAATAAATGTAGCATTAAAGAATATATTTTCATATTTTTTAAATTGGCTTTTTTCACAGCCAATTCCAGAAGAGGAAACCTTATGCGCATGCATAGTTTTCACAAAACAACGCAGGATCAGTTGCAGACTGCAGATGTATATGCAGATCAGAAAAATTCTGTAGAGCAGCAGCATGCTGTCAAACAAACTGACTCATTGCTAGAAGGAGAAAGCATCAAAAAAGACATTCCACACAACAAAGCAGTCACAGAATTAACTGAGGAACCAAAGGAGACTTGCATCTCATCTGTTAACACAATAGATGGACATATTGCAAACACAGAAGAACAAAACATGGATTCTGCTCTGAAGCTTGATACTCCTGTTGAATCACTTGAACAGAATACAACTGTAGTAATAATGAACCAATTTCAGACAGATGTTGTAAGTTCTGATTCTCAACCACGTCCCTTAAAGCAGTCATCTGACATGACTGGATCAAGTGAGCCCTTGCATGCCTCACCTGAGGCCAGTCTTCTGTCTCCTTTCATTCCAAAGAAACATTCCAATGAAAAAAAAAGACCTGTATTAGATCTCATTCAATTTGGGGAAGACCCAGAGGCTATTAAAGCTAAAGTGGAAATGAATAAAGATGTTGTTACCAACACTCTGCCTTCAGAAGAAGTTCAGCATGCAGAGGAAACTAGTGAGGCAAAAGGATTAGAAAGACAGCTTTCAAATGCAAGGCAACCTAGTATGGAGTCAGATCAGTCTGTGGTATGTATAAAATGTTCCATGTACCAGTATTAAGATAAGTTATTTTAAAGCATAGTTAACTGTCGTGAGAGTAACTTTAAGTTATACAATCATATAACTTATGCAAAAAACTGCAATTTGCAATGCAAAATTAATCTAAATACTAGTACTCATGAAAGGATTAAATTTACATGACCTTAACTTGTAAGATTGTGAAAACTTAAGGGGGCGCAAAAAATTTTTTTCTTGATATTAAGTAGATATTTGAAAAAGCAATCTGTTAAATAATTAAGTACAGATTGGAAAAAAACTCAGTTACTCCTGTATGGCACCTCCATATAAAATTATTTTAAGTTATAGAATTTTTACCGGTGCAGTAATTTCAAGCTTTCTTTTCAATGCTACTTGACAGTAATGGTTAAGTATGGTAGTTGATGTGAATTTTTGTGAAAAATTGAGACTGATAATTAATCATTTTGTTTCTTTACTTGTTTGTCAACTGATAGAGCTGTCAAAGGAGCACATCTGAATGTGAGGATAGCTCCTTTATAAGCACTGGCTCCAACTACATGCGAGATATTGATCCTTTAATAGAAGCTCTTGAACCAGTGGTCCTTCTGTCAGGCAATCCTGAGTGTCACTCCAGTTTACTAGCTTATTTATGTCTTCCTAAAGCATCTGGTCAGCTCATTGGGTTAGCACACATGGATGCTGGCTCATCTCTGATTAACAACCACATTGCAGTGCTGATTGGCAATCTTTTTAATGTGAGTAAAATGTTAGAAGTCCAGTACACTTTCTTGCTGGCAACTCCCCCTTTCTCCCCATTGCTGCATTTTAAATTAGCTGTGCATATACTACTTTCTGTAGTGGGCACAAGTAAAACTTTTTTATACCATACATGTGGTCAAGGTGTATTAATAAGCTTGATACAGTTTGGGAATATTGAGACACTCTGTTAGATTGTATCTTTCAGACAATGTTTGTAATAGTGCTCCTAGTTTTATTTACATATACATGTTTTACAATCTTCATGGAGAGTATATATGTGTAAGACCCTAAAAGAAAACTTGATTAGCCACATGTACAATTTTTATGGTTATTAAGCCCTTATTGAGGTTACTTTTGTGAAACATTTCAACACCAATGAGCAGGGGTTATGTCTAAACCTTTTTTGTACTTTTTTCTTGAAGGTGAACACAACTCAAAAATATTGTTTGTTTTGAGACATTTCAGTTGAAAACGGACTTAAAATTTCTTGATTTGAAGGCTTATTTTAATTGATATTTATCTCCAGTTTAATATTCTATAGCATGTGCCTTCATGGGGACATTTTGTGTTCCCCAATCCAATGCCAAGAGCCATAATTTGGTATTTTATTTCTGATCAACAGCTGGAAGGGGCAGACAGCCGTAAGAGATCAGTTGAGGCTGGACTCATTGAGACGGTTTTGAAATTAGTAGACAGTCCTGAACCCATTCAGGTACAGGATCTTTTTCAGTTTGTGTTGCAGGTGTTTCAAGTGGTTGTTTGTTGGCAAGTTTCTGTTTTTGTTCGGTATAGTTGTTGACTTTACAAAAACTTGTTGTCCAGGATGAATACTCTATATTGGCCAATTTAAGGATTCCATTCTGCATGTAAATGTACCTACTTCTAGAATTCAAAGGAGTTAAATCCAAATTTAAAGAACTTGAGGCATTCTATGTAAGACTTGGTTGTTTTTGGTTCCTCTTGTTGATGTTATTGTTATCTTTTCCCCCTATTTGTTTGTGTGTTTTTTGTGTGTACCAATAACACTGAAACATCCAGCTTGTGACTGAAATGGTTTTGTCTCTCCAGAGTACGTGTTTGTCAATTTTACAAAGTATCCTGGACTTCAACAACGATCAAGAATTCTCCACAGCCCTGAAGACTATTCCTCTGGAGCCTCTGCTCAACTTATTGCAGATCAGTGATGTTGACAGTGGTGCATTTGACTTGCGTCAGACAGACTCACCCCCTCCCTATCCCCCAGCTGGTCATGAAAGGCCAAGATATCGCAAGAGAAGTACTTGCAGTCAGAGCTCTTGTGATGAGAGAGCAAGAGAAATGTCTCCGACAGTCCACAGAGGCTCTGTACAGAGAAACAACTCTGGAGCATCAGATGCACGATCTGACTTATGGCCACAACATGGCAGCTATACGTTGCAGAAAAAGAACAGCATATGCAGTATGGGAAGTTCAGCTGATGGAGATCATTCATTCCCTCTCTACAGGTATTCATTCTGTCTGTCTTTTCAAGTGTAAACCATAAGGGTTTTCCCCGGCTTTTTCTGTGTACTCATTTTTATGCGTTAACCTGTAGTACCTCTAATTACTGCCTATAATGTTTTGGAATTGTTGAAAATTCAACATGTAAAAGAATTGCTCTACCGGTTTTAAAATTTATTTTACCTGTCGCGCTCAAAATAAGGGAGAACGTCGCCTGTTGGCCATCTACCCTTGCATTTTAAGCATTCGTATATGGAATAGTTGTCCAATAGGCACTCATTAAACATGAAGTACACCTTTAATCACTCTGCAGCCCTGGATTTGGTCATAATCACCTTCCATTAATGGATTTGCATTCCAAAACGATGCCAAGAGTGGTTGCCACTAAAATGCTGTCAGCCAGCAGTATTCATCCAAAAATGCAGATGGAACTTGGCAAGACAAGGTAATCTGTTTATTGTAAAATATAATGTATTCAGTGAATGACTCGGGGACACGCGTAGAAGAAGAACACCATGAATTTCCAATTAGTAATTGGGATGCTCTACCACTGAGGTGTAGAAGATTTGTGGGAAGCTAGGCTGTTGAATAAGGACCACGGTTTAACAAGGAATGTTGAATGTGTTGCTTTGGCGCAACGATAATGTAAATGATTTTGGTGAATTTTACGCCTGGTTTTTAAGTGAAAGATAACGTATTCAGTGAATAACGCAGGCGTACTCGGAGAAAAAGAACTTAAAGTGCTCGCGATATGAATAAAACCTACGACTTTCTGATTGGTACTTCGGATGCTCTACCATTGAGCTGTAGGAGACTCCAACTAGATCCATGGTGACGAACTTCCTGCTTACTGCAAGGATTCACCATCTTGTTGGTATAATACCTTAGATCTTTCAGTGTTTGATACTTTTTGAAATAAAGGTTACAGATTGTCTATCAAACGTTGTCTCACTGAATAGATAAATTGTGTTGTTTTATAGGCCACTTTCTTTACTTCTGGACACACTGACAGACAGTAACCCGGAAATTGTGATCTATTGTGTTGCAACAATAGCAAACATTGCAATGAGTGTGGACAATCACATGCAGGTAAATATCAGGTGATGTGATGGGCATTTAAGATAAGATCATTTTTTCTACCTGGCAGTGACTCTATGTTCCTATGTATTTTGTAGATTGATTTGGCTGGAGGTGTTGATGGCCTCAAGCAAATGTTGAACTATGGAGATGCAAGGTATTCTGTTGATGATATGTCTTTACTTCAACGAGGAGCTATACTTCTTTACTGATAAAACAAATAAGCAAAAGATGAATTCATTTTTGACTACGTATGTCTTGTAGTGTTTTGATTATTGCACGGTCTTTTTTAATTTGTTTCACTCACTTGCAGCCTTTTATGTTTTCTTCTGTTGACTAGCTTTGTTTCATTATGTTGCAGAGTACGATATCATGCCGCTCGTGGCTTAATTTATCTTGGTTACATTGGTGTCGGAGGAGTTTATCTCTTTAAACGTGTCCCAGGTAGGTTATAGAAATTTGTTTCGATTGTATGCATGAACTCATTACATTTTTTGGCAGATGTGTAGTGGGTGTTGTGATGATGGACTAACGCCCTACCCAGGCACATAGCAATACTTATGTTTGTGTCGCGCTTTAGAAATGTGTAAAGTCTAAAAGGCATCTGGCCCGAAAGATTTTAACTTCACCTCGTTTGTTTGCGAACTTCAGGTGATGAAAAGCTTGATGTGTTGTTCTCAGAGTCAACCACTGGAGAGGAGCACCTCTATGTCAGGTTAGATAATACTGCAACTTATACGCACAGACGTGGAGTCACGTAGTAGATCAAATTTTCCTGGCCCAATTGGTTACCAAATTGTGTAGGTATGGTGCTTCGCTGCGCGCGCTGCGAGCTCCGCAGTTATTATTAATCTCCAGGACCAGAGCCACATTGTGGTGGACGCTTTTTTCTACCAAATACAATTTAGGGAGTAATGCATTGCAACTCAGATTACGGAAACATAACATTATTTTGTTTCGCGTACTATTTTAGTTTAGGAATGAAATTTATTCAATGTTCATTTATATCAAAATCTGCAAGTGTAATAATTATGAAGTACATTGGATTCCCGTTCATTCAAACTCTTTGGGGAAAAAGAGATAAGAATTTCAAAAAATAACGTGACTTCATATTCTCCGCACTGATCCCTACAGTTCTTGTGGTAAGGACAAAATTTTGTGAACTTGATTGTTTGACCTGAAGTTTGCATTATTTATGCACAGAGGAGCAACAGTGGAGAAAATTGTGGAGATCGTCACCCATAATCCGTCCCTCTTGTGGGGTGGTTTGACCCTACCACACTGGTCTGGACGCTCAAAGAAACATTCTTGGTACAAGTCCAGCAGCTCTGGAAACAAACACATGCCTAGTGATGACCAGATCGTAGATTTTTTGCTGACAACTTACAAGAGCTATGTGCATCCTTCCATTTTTATGAGATTGCTGCTTCATAGGTAGGGTGAACCCAGAAGGTCAACTAATCTAAAATCGACTGTTAGAAAGTGTGATCGTTCTGTCTGTCACTCCATAGGAGCTATTTGCAATCGCTTGTCGAAAGTAGTCTGGGCTTGCTTTGGTTTTACTTAACTTATTTTTGTGATTGGTCCGGAAAACTCGCGCCATCCTCCTAACCAATCAGATGCAAAACTAAAAACAATCACGACGTAGTCATTCGTTATTTCCCGCCCTTTAAGTAGTTTTCTTGTTTTCACGTTGAGTTCTCATATGCGAATGATAAAGTAAACTTTTGTTCTAATTGGTCACCAGGATTAGCTTTGTGATCGCTCCGGAAAAATTTGTGCCATCCTCCAACCAATCAGATGCAAAACTAAAAACAATCGCGACTTAGTCATTCATTATTTTACACCCTTTTAAGAAGTTTTCTGCCCCTTCAAACATAATAACGTGGCATCGACACATTGTTTTCACGTACTCTTTCCCTTTCAACTCATCTTCAGTCTTTCTCTTATAGATTTCATGACCCCTGGTTTGGCAAGTACTTTGATGGAGACCCATCCACTGGGCAGATGCAGGACTACAGTCCACTTCCTGTTTTGCACATTCATTTGATGAGATTATGGACAGCCTGGCTTGAAAAATGTCCGGAAGAGTTTGTCAGTAATCCAGTCATGGCAGTAAGTGTCTTCGGTAGTATTTTGTAATTTACTTGATAGTGATCCACTTTAATTTCAAAAGTGTTAATGTTAAAACTTGGTGGTATTATACATTGTACTTTAAGACGTAGCTCAAGAGAGCATGATTGTTAAGGACCTACTGGAAAATCAATGCCAGTCAAGCTATCATTAAACTCAGAGTAAAACCCCTTGATTACGTAATGTTGCAGTGATTACTAACAAGGCTGGTACTCCGTAAGCACACCACAAAAAATTATTTACATTTTTAAGTCAAGGTGCAAGAAGGCATCATTTTTGCTTGAAAATAAATGCTATATGTCTACATTAATACTGACATATTTTTCTCGCTGCTTAGTCCGAGCTGAGCGAAGTTATACTTCCCTTAAGACAAGCTGGTGGTCCGTACCTTCCATGTGCAGAAATCCTGGCAGATCTTATTGAGAGCTTGATGGTAAGCTTCAATCACAACAGTTTGATGATATTTTTCATGCCACCGGTCCATTTTTTTCTCCTTCTTTCTTTCCTTCTTTCTTTCTCTTTTCTGAGCTGAATTTTTATTTCTTGTAGTGTAGACAAGGTATGCTAACGTAGCTCCTTGTGTTGTGGTCTGGTTTTCTTTTCCAACCACGGGGCATCTGCAAAATTCCCTATCAAATATTGTGAACTGCTCGATACAGTCTAGCCAGAGTCCTCCTAAAAATGTTGTAGGGCGCAGCATAGCATATTAATATGGAGATTATGCCATATGCCATCATCATCATCGTCATCATCATCATTGTTGCCATCATCGCCGTTAGTTATTTGTAAGATTCTTTAGCAGTTATAAACTACTTTGATTACAGGAAAGAGCTGCGAAGAAGCACCATCGGGACAGGTTCCAGGCAAACCATTGTCACCATGCGATTCTTTATGAACAGGTGAGAAGAATAAAGTCGTCGTCTTGGTGAATATCAGAAAGAGAAAATTTAAATACAAGGTGTTGTGGAAAACTTGAAATGTGCAAGTAGATTTGAATTGGTGTATTCTGCAAATAAAACAGCAGGACAGACTGCTGATGTTGATGGTTTTTTTTTCTGTAGTGTCAAAAAGCGGTTGTTAGTGGAAGCATGCCTTGTTCGGTTGAGGATTCTATTCACCTAAGCGCCCTACAATTATATATTGAGGTGAGTGGACGAAACCGTAAACATCTATATAATAAACATTAGTGTCCCGTTATCTCTACTTCATGTCCGTGATGAAGGCGCTTCTAAGCGATTTAACCTTTACACCCTGACATCACTATGTTTATTCTCTATACTGTTCTCTAGACTTTTGCTCAACTGCTGACAAAGAGAATTTGTTTAGCAATCAAGAGCCTCTTTTGTTGGTGATCATTTCCTTTATTCCCATGACCTTAATGTGTGATTCGGGGGTGATATTGTAAGGAGAAATTAGATGCTAGTCACTTTAAGGAGTCAAAGGGTGAAACGTCTGCCACAACCCACAATGTCCATTAAACTCTGGAAATAGAGATTCGGCATCCACAGCAGAGTTGCCTTCATAGTTTTTCTTTTTTAGGGGAAGAATGGCGTGAAATTAGGAACCTTATGAAAGATGGCTTAGTGCCAAAATAATTGAGACAGGGCTGCGGACGATTTCATCAAAGCGTCGTACAGCTGTTTGAGATGAGCGTCGTAGAAGTTAGATCAGTTCAGTTACAACGGCCAATCACAACAAACTGAGGCGATTATCGAAGAAAGTTATCGAGAAGTCAAAGTTACCACATTTAACCGGAAAGTAACGATTGGTTTTGAAATGTTTTGCTTCAGATTGGTTGAGACGGTGATGCTAGCTTTCTAAACCAATCAAAGGCTGTAGTCGAAAGACTGAAAGGAAACCATTCTAATCCCGTATTATGTTCATTTGAGACCCACTGTAAGATTTCTCTAACAAGTGTTTGTAAATTTGCACAGGATCTTCTTCCAGTGGAAGTGCGGGGAAAGCCACGCCTCTTTTCATCTTCCAGCAGAGAGAAGTAAGAAAGCTTTATGTTTAAAAATGCTTCCATTTCTTTCTCTATTTTCCCCTTTCAAACGATTTCTTCTTACTGACAGTGTTGAGCTGAAGGTTCATCGCATTTTTGAAGCTGTTGAAATTGTTCATGTGATCCTTCTTCTAGGTTGTCAGTTTCTCGTATCAAGTTGAGTTTGCATCCATCCATGTACAAAGTAAAGAATATGGGTAAAAGGTCAGACAGATTTTTAGATTTACCGTAGCTTATTTGTTTGCTGATTAAGTTATTTAAATAAGCAGCAGGAGGGAAAGAGGTAAAAAATCTTGATTCAGTGTAACATTCTGCGATATTTGGTTTTCCCTTGTACAGGATCAAGGCTCAGTATGAACAGTTTGTGAACAGCGGCATGTCGGAGAGGAATGCTAAACACAATTATATCGACTACTGTCAGGCTCTGCCTGGTTACGGCTGCCACTTTTACAAGCTGAAGGTAAGCCTGTGGAACTTGGGATAACGAATTAAGATGTATGTGTACCATTTTTTCCTTTTATTTTATAGATCTCTTTTTGCTGAAATTGCTTGAAACAGAAACATTAACTGCCAAATTGTAGATGACCATTAAATTAGAGAATTCTTGTCTGCATTTTTTGAGACTCTTTTACCAGGAAGTTTGCCACTGAGTATTAATAGACATTAGAGTTAATCTTCGAAATAAGAGAAAGAAAATAATCGATAATTCTATAATTGGATCACTTTTTCTTGTGTCCTAAGGAATGCGTGGGAACTGTCAACCCCAAGGGGGTTCCTGTAAGATGCTACTTAGGGGTCAGTCCTAGGAGGATCACAATTTTGGACGAGAAAACAAAGGTAAAAGAAATATAGCGATCGTTAGTTTAGCATAAGTTAACTAATATACTACGCGCGTACTCATTGGTCGATAAGTGTATTGGCGAGAGAGTATGAAACACGCTTGCAACGATTTTGATTCGCGCCTTCAGTCGAGGAATATTTCACAAAAGCAATGTGAGATTTTTTTCAGTGTTCAGAAAGCCTCTTCTTAAGGTGAAGGTGAGAATACTTGAAATTTAAGGAAACACACTTGATTGCAGAACTGTCTCGAAATCGCCTGTCCTCCTCATGGTGAGGTGAAGCTATTGTAATACGGAAACGGTCTGCATTGCTTAATTCTCGGTAAATATTCTTTCTGTATTGTTAGAGAAGAGAATAAAGTGGTGTTGTTTCAATTTATTGCGCTATTGACTCTTATTAGGCTGTTATTGGGACGTGGCAATCCAAGGAACTGAAAAGATGGCGGTCTTTGGCAGACGACACTAGACTCCGCTTGGAATTCATCGACAAGACGTTCGAATTTGTGTTGGAAAACAAAGGGTAAGTAGCTTTTTGTAGCGAGTATTCAATGTTTTCGCAAGTGGTATTGATGTTGAAGATCTAGAAGTTTCTGTTTGGAAGGTTCTAGCTCAGAGGATTAAAATGCAGCGTTGGTTTCACTGTATTCAGTTAATTTTGATATATTGTTTTCTTGGTAAGTGATGAGTTAAATTTCATTTCGCAGGGTTTTCAAAGAAATCAATGATGCTCTTCTGCTGTGCACTAAAGTTGAGTTACAGGTAAATTGATCGCTTGCATTTCTAAGATCTCACTCCAGATCTTTCTCTTGTCTAAACATTTCTTTTCCCTACCAAATTGTCCCTAAATTTATCCCTATTGATTGGAGAAGTTCAAATTGTCACAGGGTTTCGTGTATCATTATTTCAGATCCTTGCAGGGCAGGATTTTTCACCATGGAGTAAATACGCTGAGGAAACTGAAATGTGGGGACAACAGGCCTTGGAAGCTGTTGCTCGCAAACCTGCATTTTACTCGGATAAGTATGAAAGTGACTCAGGAATGGTCTCCAGATTAAGAGCCATCTCCCTAGCTTCTTCTGTTCCTGATCAGTACGCAGCTAAAGTGAGAAGGCAACTGTCCACTCAAGCGAAGCTGTCTTCGTCTGCGCCGTATCAGCAAGGAGCGTTACAGCAAAAATGTGACCGAGGCGATGTCGTGGCTCTGAAGACTGGTGCCGAGGCTGTTCTGCCCACCACAGGTTTGTTAACAACGCGCATGACGAGTACAACGTATGAATCTCATTTTAACTTGCTCTTCAAAGCCTTATTTGAAATAATTGAACAAGGAGGGATTTTCGTGGAACTTTGTTTTCAATTCATTTTTGTTTTGTTTTGTTTCGCAAGAGCGAGACTTAGCTTTTTTTCCAATGCTTTCTAGAACTAGAAAACAGTGTGTTCGTTGCCCTTTTTTTTAGGGTCATTAATCTTACTAACTTAACCGGACTTATTTTGGTAATGTAACACATTCTGGACATGTGCAAGGACTGCGTCTTTGTATTTCTCTTTACATATTTTCTCTGTTTTTTTCCATTGTACTTTTTTTTTTTCGACGTTTCAGGAGCAGCTATTTCATCGGCTGGCAGCCCTGGCAACGTATCAGTGGGGTCCCATACATCCGAGGACCTTCTTTTAGGCTCCTTGCAGAGCACTTTAGATCCAAATAAGTGCTCTTGGGAGCCAGGGTCGATCCCGACAAGCGATCAGAGGAGGCCGTCAAGTAAGGAACCTGGTTAAGTCTTTGCGGTTTTCAAAATTTTGGCCGCAATGGCATGGGAAAAGAAGTGAAGAATAAATAAATAAATAAATAAGAAATTGCAGTAGAAGTAACGACTGCTGGTTTAAGGCTAAAACAGGAGATGCACTCTCTGTGTTTTTCTTCTGCTCTGTTGCTTCATGTTCAACTTAATTATAATAACATTCGGTAACACTTAATTTGATACAGACAGCGGGTCTACTAAAATTCACACTTTCGCTGACAAACTGATTTTTTATTGATCATGATCATAACGCCCCATCGTTATTGAAAGACAATTTTGTTGGAGTTTTTGAGAGAAAATTAAGGAATTTGGACAGAAGAGGTATCTTAATATCACCTCATTGGGGCTACTTCGATAGCGTCATCTAAAATCTAACTACGGCTACTGAGAGGCAAATTTAGAATAGTTCCAAAGTGTAAATTAACTGTCATATGGCAACAAACGAATCCTTTTGAGAAAAATATGGTTGATTGATCTTGTAGGAAGCAGTGAAGCAAGTGTAGATAACTCCAGTTCGCCGACAGAACGCCACGCTCTCGACTCCTCGGGCTCTTTCCCCGTGGGACAAGACTTAAAAAATTTGGCATCCAGCGATCGGCGCCTCAAGTACATAGCAAATAGTAATTCCTCTTCACTGGGGAGTGATTCACCCAGTTCAGGACAAACCACGCCGACTTACAAGGGACCGTTTAGTTCGACGCTACGCGATGATGATGATTTTGAAAGTGTAAATCGATCTTTCGGTCAGAGTTCTAATGGACAGTTGTTGATTTGTCAATGCCCACCAGACGCTGAGTTACCGGGATTTGATCGGAGAGACTTCTCGTAAGTACAGCTTCATTTTTGTCAGTAGATAATGGAGAAGGAAAAGGATAGGGGAAAGATAACAAGAAGGAAGAAAAGAAGAAAGAGTGTCGTTGTGGGTTGCAAGGAGCTAATAGGAGAGCGTTTGTTAAGAGTTATGAGAGAGTTACGAGAGGGAAGGTGGAAGAAAATTGTGAATCTCAATGGATGAAGAAGTTTTGGGAAAGTTTGGGTTGTGTGCTTATTGTCTGTCTTTTTCTATGCAGGCCTTATGACTTGCTTCAACATCCCAAAGAGTTGGCACGACAAATAACACTTATTGACCACGGTAAGTACAAAACACTGATTTCACACGATGGCCTGGTCGTATTTTAATGTTAATTTCAACTGAAATCAGTCTGAATAGTAATTTGATAGATTTTTCTGTCCATTCAAATGAATATCTTTGCAAGAAGTAGTTCACGAGCATGTAACCCTTTTCGATCTGATTCGCAAGTTATCCGCAAGGAGCTTAGTGATCATTCTTTGTCAGCGGTCATTGTCACGAGTGCAGGCTCACGCTGAACGTCAGCGTTCAGGGCATTCTGTGTAAAACAGCAGTCAAATGTAAAGTATGTTGAAGAGGATCAATTTTGGCAGCCTACGCGCCAAGTTCCTATGCAAAATTCCTAAAGAAAACATAAGAAACAACCGCTGCGAAAGAAAAAAATGACACCTTCATATAAAAAACATAAGGGAAGAGGAAAACTCGAAACTTTTCGCGCACAAAGCTTATTTATGTGCGGGTTTCTTGCTGATTTACTATTTGTTTTGAACTTTACCAAAAATTTTGTACGTTTTTTAACACCGCAACTTACTGGCTCATGTGCTTGTTTATAGGACAAGTTGGTTTTTATACCCTGATATCACGTCAACTAGCCTTCAGAAAATTCGCCCATGCACAGAAGTTTGACCTCCGTGTTAGTCTGTGTAGTGGTCGACCTTTAGCGGTTCATGTTCTCCCATCCCACCCACGTACCCACCCTCTTATCTTCCTTCTGCTGATCTAATGAGTTTTTTCACCGGTCGCCGCTTCCGGCGCATAAAATCGCCGGTATCTGGTACGTCAGATATCGGCGATTTTCGCTGGCGATTAAATTCGCGGCAAACGGAGAATAAAATCGCCAGGTGGGTCACCGGCCTAAGATTACCTCTAGATTACTAATTGTGATTCAAGGTTTTCAGTGTATTTTGGGGGGTTTCCTTTTCAGAGTATTTCTGTGCAGTGACGTCAGCTGATATTCAAAGGAAGATTGCGATAGGAACGGGAAAGAAACGGAAGGTACCACCTGAAGAAAAACTATCTGTGGAGAAAGTTGCTGACAGATTCAATCAGGTAAACTGTAGCAAATTAAGCAGTTACTTTTGGGCTCTTCACTTTGTTTTCCATTTCCAAGTCTATATTGGAATCTTGAGGTTTTTGGTTTTGTGGAGGGCAAAATACCAAACAACCCGGAAGAAAAAAATGGGAACTAACAATAAACTCAACCCATGTTATACCGAGAGTCTTACCCAGGCCACGGCAATGGAGACGAGCGCTCTCAACTTCGCACCATCCTTAACCCTCTCCCCTTCCCCCGAACAGCTTGGTGATTACCTCCTTTCTTTTTTTTTTTTTGTCTACAAACCTACTCTGATAATTAATGTGATTTGACTGCCATATCGAACATTGATATTGAAAGGTTAGAAGGAACAAACGATTTACTGTCCATTACACTTTTAGCTGAGTACCTGGGTAGCAGCCACGATTGTCACAGAAAAATCAGTGGAGAAGCGTGCCGCCATGTTCATTAATTTCATCGAAACTGCCAAGGTAATTTCAAACATTTCGTGAGCTATGAGGTCTTCTTATGGACCTCTTCCTCTCCATGCTGGAATCCCGAAGTGGACCAATTTGCCACCCTTCACCTCGTAGCCATATCAGTACCAATGCATTGTGAGACTCATCACTCTGTGCAGCTGCGGGTGTGGTTTCTTCTCACTGTTTAGACGTATAGTTCTCGTACTCTTCCAGACGATTTTCGTTTATTGTAACAGTCTCTTCTTGTGAAATCATGCTCTCTTTTTTTTATTTTCAGCTTTGTTTGGAGTTGAGAAACTTTAACGCCGTAATGGCTATTATTGTGGCGGCTCTGGGTAGTGCACCTGTGAGAAGACTGCACAAAACCAAAGAGGTGAGGCTCCAAGGCTTGTTAAACCTTGCATCAGTGCGCATATTCTCTATACTGTTCTCCCTACACTTCCTAAGGTGCTGACGAGGAGAGTTTGTTTAGTAATCAAGAGTTTCTGTGGTTGGCGATCATTTCCTTTATTCTCGTTACCGTAATATTTGATTCAGGGGTGGTATTGTAAGGATAATGTAGATGATAGTGACTCTAAGGAGTTAATTAATTAATGGCTTAATCGCTTCTTCTAGAACTAAACCTTCTGTTTCGTCAAGCAGTTTACTTCCATTCCAAGTCTCTTCTCATGCCAAAGTCGTTCTCGTTCTCCGCGTTCATTCATGCTCGCTAGCCTCGCGGGCTTCCGCGCTTAACTCAGAGAAAAGGAAACATTTAGGAACAGGCTATCCCTTCCACATAGGAAACTCTTATTTTCGTTTTCTTTGTAAGACCGCCAAGGGAGCCCTATGATCAAGTTAATTTTCTCAGAATTTTCAAGCACGAAGATCACACTAATTTTGCTCTGCTCTTGGTCCTGTCGAGTACCGCCACCTATTGTGACATTTAAACACGCTAGTGAGGTTTTCACCCTCGATATCCTTTACTTGCAGCTCGTTCCCAAAGAAGTCCTTGAGCAGTATGCCAAGATGGAAATACTTATGGATACAAAAGTAAGTCATGGTTGAGGTAAAACCGTTCCGTTTTGATAATTTGCACCATGTTCAATCTTCTGTGCCAGACTTGGTTTTACATTTAAGGAGAAACTACAACCCGCGACAAAATAGTTGACTTCGTACCATTTAGATTTGCCATTTTTATCCTTAGCACCCTTGCTTTCACCCTCTTTTCCCCATCCCCCCTGACCAAGCACCACATACACCCCCCTCCAACCGACCCAGGACGTTTCCTGTGATTCTCTGTCAGGGGGTGTTGAGCAAGCTTATAGCGAAATGTGGTTCGTTTTAGATTTGATTTCTTAAAACTTCCGTTGAAGTAGTCTCTTAAATGCTGTGTAGAAATAACTTTTCGTCCATTCTGATCTGGGTTCTCTATTTCTGTTGTATTAGGATAACTATAAAAGATATCGACAAGCCCTTGGCTCTTCTCCAACTCCTTCAGTTCCATACTTTGGTAAGTTTTGAATTTTCTCATCTACTTAGTCTTTGTGCTGTGAATAGTTTTCATTACTAGAAGAGAAAGAATGTAATGTTTCTTCTGGGTGTAAGGCAGCATGATACTCTTCGGAACCGTTATTTTCTTTGTTTTGCACCAATTTTTTTACGACACACGAACTTTGAGCCCTGAACTTACCAAGCCCCTCATTGCTTCACCTGTAAGCTGGCTTTCGCTGGCTCTACGGAGCTAGCGGCAAGGCCAGATTATGACGCGTTTCGGCACGAGCTTTTCTTCGCCCGCGGGTGAGTGTGAGAGTAATGCGAGCCGGCGAGAAATATGCAGTGGTTCTAGTGCCAGACCGCCGGCAAACACTTTCCCAGCCTCGTCTCAAGTTTTCCCGCCGATAGAGTAACGCGCATCCTGTAGCATTATTAATGAGGGCCTGCTCGCAAGTAGCAATTCGCTTCTACCTGTCAACTGGTCTCAATGCCAGTTGCGTGTCCTTCATTGATCAGTGAGCTAATCGCAGTATTATTTCATAAGTCGAGTGATTTTTGACTCGAATCTAAATGACTGACCGTTCACTGTGGACCTCGCTGAAATAAATCACCGTGTTAACCTTACTGTTTAAATTAACAGGTGTTTATATGAAAGATCTGACCTTCATTGCTGAAGGAAATCCCGACTTTTTTAAAGGTGGTCTGATTAATCTGACAAAACGAAGACAGGTTAGTAATTTGTTGCATCAAAGTCCTGATAAAAAGAAATTTCTCGCTCGGCGGCAGAACGGCTGAATGTTTTCACTCTTCACAATGTTTAACAAAAGGGAGTTTGTTGAAACAGTTACGCATCCAGTTGAGTTTCACTTTGAGCCAAAGAATGAGTTTTATTCCTTGTGACTTCATAAAGTTATCAGCAAATTTTACTAGATCTTTAACTATTTTTCTACGTCTGCCGTGAAGGGAATGTTTTAATTGTTGTGCATGATTATCCGTCTTGTCATCAGATTTACCTTGTGATCGATGAAATAAGACGTTTCCAGAAGGATGTTTATAATTTTCAGGAGGTAAGCCGCTTCTTCTTTTTCCCCTTATCGTATGGCCATTACTTTAGCAGCATACGTTTTTTTCAGGCTGACTCCCCTTTTTTTCTTTTCTTTTTTTTTTTTTTTTTCATTGTTCGTTGAGTGGGACTGAATCAGGAATGGCTTAGGGAAAGCTCTGTTTGCAAAAACTCGTCCCACAATTTTGTTTTCACGCTAAAATAGAACAGGTTCGCGCGCTCCGAGTGTTTCTCTCCTTATAGATCTTCTTGATTCAGAGACGTTACTTTCGAATCTCAATGCTGTTATGGTATCCCCGTCTTTTTTCAGGTGTCTGAGATTCGAGACTACCTCGCCAACGAGAAGATTCACACGGAGAAAGAGCTGTATGATATCTCGTGCCAGTTCGAGCCAGGCCTCCCTCGGAGACATTCTGAAGCCGATAAATCCTCCACATCGCGCCCAGTGCCACAGTTCAAGTCGAACACAGTCGGCCGTATGGCGGGAAAGAGGTGTATGAGTCTGTCCCGGAGCTCAACGACCTTGGAAACTGCCATGCCGGATTCAACATGTTAACGTCACATTGACGTCAATAAATGTTTGACGTCACTAAAGCTTTAAAGTATGAAAGTTGTGCTGATGTGGAAGAAAAGATTTATCGATAGTAATTGATCAGATTTGATTTTAATTTATCCAAACCTTTTGACAAAGGAAACGGCACATGTAAAAATTGATATTGAAGTCTTGCTTTGTTTCTTGGAACAATTTCAGTGCGAGATGCCAACTTCTTTTGTCCCATAGAGGTGTACACATTGTTATGAAGTTTATATGTTGTAAATATTCTTACCGAGGTACAATTGAAGTTTACATGATGATTTTATAAAGCTATTTTCATGGACCTTGAACGGTGTTTATAGTACCGTTGAAAATTTACATTCCCAGCGTCTTCTTAGCCTAACATAAGGCTTCATCTTACGTCTTTACTGCCATATTCTCTCCCAATGTTTGAGTCTCAGAGGCTCGGTAACCTTCATGCTCTGAATAAATTGCTGTATTTACAGTAAACATTAAAGATGGACTGTCAGTAATCCCACTCAAAATTGTCTTGCGTCTTTAATGCCATATTCTCTCCCAATGTTTGAGTCTCAGAGGCTCGGTAACCTTCATGTTTTGAATAAATTGCTGTATTTACAGTAAACGTTAAAAATGGACTGTCAGTAATCCCACTTAAAATTGTCTTTTTAAAATTGCCTTACGTCTTTACTGCCATATTCTCTTCCAATGTTTGAGTCTCGGAGGCTCGGTAACCTTCATGCTTTGAATTAATTTCTCTATTTACAGTAAACATTAAAAGTAGACTGTTAGAAATCTCGCTCAAAATTGTGTTAACCCTTTAACTCCCAAGATCTCACTAGTAATTCTCCTTACTGTCTGTCATACAGTTCTTGTGATGTTAGTATGGAGAATTTGCTATTGAATCAACTTATAATCCCCTCATTGATATTTTTCTTTATTCTCATCACTTGTCTGCTTGATATTGTATTGATATTGTAAGGAGAAATTCTGTCCTGGTCACTTATGGGAGTTAAAGGGTTAAGGTACGAAAATATTACAGTTCTATTTACTTTCATTACGTGAGAGTTGTTTACGTTAAAGTCTTGTTTTGTTTCCACGGTATATTTGCACTTTAGTTGTGGAGTGTCGTTTGATACACCCGAAAAATTTATGTGAAATACCTGAAGTAGTATTCGAGCAAGTTTCCTTTTGAAGAAGCTACTTAATATGGTAAGTGTCTGTGTTTGGGTAAATCAGTATTCAAACTTACTGACGACGAGAAGTCAAGAAAAATGCTAAAATTGTTTCTTGAAACACTCATGCGTCCGCCATCTTAGGTATGACACAACTATAAATTTTTTCTTTCAGGTTTTTCAAGCACGCCATAACAACCACTGAAGCTGCAAGAACAGATTTTTATGTTCAGAATGAGTTAAAAATAATTGTTGCGTGGTTTAATCGTTCGATATCAAGACTACAATGAGCGATAGTGTCGCTGAGACAGACCTTTTAGATTACATTTTAAGTGCATTATTTCAAGGCCAAACTACTTTATAACAAAGCTGTAGTCCCAAAGTTATTCCATTGTCTTCGCGATCATTTTCTTCATTCAAGAACTGTATACTGCGGTATGTAAAATGATGTATGAAGCCGAGCGGAAGTCCTGCCCTACCGACTTCGCCAACCTCTGACATTTGTGTAATTCACACACGTAGCAATTGCTTCCAATTACGTCAGTCTTTACTGCTGAGCAGGGTAATTTATTCATAGCAGGTAAATTAGCGTTAACAACTGAGTTGAAAACGTAAATTGTCAGAGCGATTGACGAAGGGTCAATCGCTCTGACGAAGACCTAACGCTCGAAACGTCGGCTTTTTTACCCTTTACGGTGGCCAGTTTACGTTTTCGACCCAGTTGTTAACATTTAATTACCTGCTATACTCTCCCACCGACGCAGCACCACAGTTTCTTTAGAAACTTACCCCCTTTATTAATTTATTCATAACTCTGGCAATCTAACGATGACTTTCAGCGCTACCTTGTCACTCCTTCCTCCTTAGATCTTAAAACTGGAGCCTCTGAGCTCGATTGGTGCTTCTTGTAGGTTATTATACGTCTTTTCAAGCCCTGAGGTTAGCAAAGACGTAAAACAAAAATGAAAATTGAAAGGTTTCACCTTTTGGTTTTCGTTAAGTAATGCGTTGCGTGACTTAGAGGAAGAACTAAGCCCACGCGTTACGTAGCTAATAGCGGGACCCTCCAGCAAAATAATCACAGGCTCCGCCTATCACAACGCCTCTCTGTTTATTGCAAATGGAAAGCCGATGATTTAAAAAATATTTTTTTGAAAAACGAGTAAGTAGGATGAATTGGATCAGGTTCGAAAATGGTCAATTTTTTTTTTTGCAACATTTTTGGATGTTGCAAAATGTTGCGCTCGTTTGGCCAGCTCCTTCACAACATCTCACTACACGATCCAACGATGTTGCAAGAGTTGAAATATTGCGTGCGCATGGCCGAGCTTTTACCATGCCACTTAAGCGAGGTATTCATAACCACCGCCTACCATTACGCGCCTCTCTGTTTATTACAAATAGAAAGTCGATTATTTCAAAAATACTTTTAAAAAAATAAGTCCATAGGATCAATTGCATCTCGTTTGAAAATGGTCAAATCTTTGTAGCAACAAATTTTGGATGTTGCAAGATGTTGCGCTTGTTTGGCCAGCTCCTTCAAAATTCACAGCCTTCCAACAATGCGTTGAAATGATCCATGCGTTTGGTTGTATGTTCACACCCCCAAAAATTCCTTATTTGGTGTGCGTTAGCCCACAACGCAATCGAACGCGTGCATGTGTACCAAACTTATCTATGTAAATCAACGGCTAAGATAATTCTAAGTCTATGATATCGCTTTTCTGTAGAAAAATCTGCAAATGTCTGGAAATCCAGAGCGAAGGTAAGGGTATTTCTTTCTTGCGGAACAGCGGAAAGCTTAAAATAACGCTTGTAAGCGAACCACTTACTCCACGTTCTCGATTTTTGGCCGGTCCGAACTAGACCATGTTTGTTAATTTATTTTTGTGTTTTCGAGTAAGCTTATTGTATTTTAGCGTTTCTAGGGTGATAGAGAAGTTTTCATAATAATTCAGTTAACAATGGTGTAAAATTGCGGTTGAAAAGGTGTAAAATGTACATCTACATTTTGCATTTGTTTATATTTGGGTGATAGAAAAGCAAAGGGACAGGTGACGCTAAAGCTAACATTTCACAATTTAGCTTAATCACGAAACGGTACAATGGCATCGAAATTTTATTTTACTGGGTAAGTTAACCTTTTCCATCCACAAGGATAGCTTTAAACTTTTTAAAATATAAGGCTTCCTGTTAATTAAATCGCAAGCAATATTAATAGAAAATTAAAAAAATTAAAAAAGTCAATTGTCACTATTGAAAATAAGAATTTTAGTTAATGCTCATTATCAAACAATTCCTTCTAATTTGACTATTGAACAGAATAAATAAAGAATTACAAGCAAGATATACTTGCATCCAATTTTTAAATTACTTTATTTTTCATGACTTTTAAAACTCAGGAATGATAATTTGAACACAAAGCAACCTTTCTAACAGGAATAATTTTTAACCTGCATGGCTCATGGTATTTAAAAGCCTTCAGAAAGTGTCTCATTGTTTTTGCAAAATATTTGCCAAATGTCATCTGGTCTTTGTTTAATGATTTGTGCAGTCCCCAAAATATTTAACAAATGTCTAATTGGTCTTTGTTTAATGGTAGCCAAAGACAAAACAACATTGTTCTAGACAAAACAACATTGTTCTGTAAATATCAGAGCTTGATGTAATTTGCATTTTTATTTCGGAAATCCTTTTGGTTTTCTCTTTGCTCTGCCTACTTTGAGATGATGTACAGTTTTGTAACAGAAAAATATACTTTCCTAACCTAATTTTTTTGAAGGTTGGTTGTGCTGTGCATCAGTTAATCTACTCTACACATTACAAATTGCTAAAGACTCTAACCATAATGGTTTTGCATGGCAAGTGACTTACCAGTAATTGCCCGATATTGTAGTTAAAGTTAATCATTTATTACAGCTGTAAATTTACATTACTTCATGATAAGGCAGTCCTGAGGTAAATTTTCCCTATTTGGTCAGGATTTTGCCATTCAGACCATTTCCATGGAAACAGACATCAGCCATGTTTTTTCGCTAAAGCCGCAAATTCAAGATACACAAGTTTGATTCAAGTGCCATATAATAAACTAATTACCAACCTTGCTTGTTCCAGCGGTACTGGGGAACATTGCCTCTTGATTACTTTTGTACAGACTTCACTATGCTCAGTCCATACTGCCACAACCTCGGGCCAATATTCTCCAATACGGCCCTTGGTTAATAAGAAGTTATTATTTTTCTCTGTGGTGAAGTATAATGATAATGAGTTTGAAACAATTAGAAACCTTTGAACCAGGGATAAAGTTGAACAAGAACATCTGCATTGTAAGCCTTAAAATGTGTACTCAGTTAAATTTTTCTGACTTGTTTAGGGAAATCAGTTTCGGCAAAACATATTAAATATGTTTTGTGTATTCAATTATATGGAATGCAATAAGGACAACCAGTCATCATCCTTGTCAGGGTTTGCTACACTTGTTTTGTCATACATCAACTATTTGAGTTGCAGGATGGTGGGGATTCTCTATACTATTTGTATCAAATGTCCAATCATGTTAGTTTTGAGAAGTTGGTGTTTAATGAATCTATTCCATGATTTAATAGTTTACCCTTTCCTCATCACTTGTCTGCTGCCACTTGTCTAGAAGAGAGAGTATCTCTTGGTCACTGCTGAACAGTTTTTTCTTTTGAATATCCAACAGATGTGAATTCAGTCATGACTATGTCATTGTAGAAGAAATTTGTAAAACAATTCTTAATCAAACCAAACATCTACCTACCATTGGTATAATATGTGGCACTGGTTTGTCATCATTGGGAGATATTGTCAAGGATAAGGATGCCATTCCTTATGAGAAAATCAAACACTTTCCAAAGAGCACAGGTACATTAGTGAATCAAACATCAATCATATTTGTCTTCTGTGAGTGAGTTTGAGCCAGTTATTCACTGTTCCATAGCTCTTAACTAGAATCATCTATTGAATTGTAAGAATCTCATACCCACCAACAATTAATCATAGTTTAGGCTCTTGTCATTGATTGTACCATCATAAAGACAATGGTATTTAAACCAATGTTTTTGCATACTCAGTTAAAGGACATGTTGGGCAGTTTGTGTTAGGCCTCCTTAATGGTAAAACTGTGGTCATGATGCAGGGTCGCACACACTTATATGAAGGATATACAGTTGGCGAGGTTGGTTTGGTTTCTGTATTTAAAATATTGTTGGTTAAAAAAGGCACTTAAGTTCATGAAAACTGATTTTTCAGTTTTTTCATAATTTTACTGGCTTAAAGACCTGAGCAGCAAGAGTCAGTTCCCATCCAGAAAGAAAAAAATATGTGATCACACTTGTAGTAACATGTGTGATTCAAAGTGTGATCTCAGATGTGATCCCAGGAGTTTTTTTTTTTGGTCTTTCCAACTTCCTGTTACTTCAATTTTATTTCTTCTACCCTTGTTAAGTTAACCTGTTAACTGTACCCCCCCCCCCCAAAAAATAAATGAATAAAACAATGTTGTACTGTGATTCCATGAATCTTTAGCTACATAAGGCAACATTGAACTGCAGGGAAGGGGGGGGGGTCTTGTCAATGATTAAGAGTGTGGTAGATACAGGAGTGTCATTATTCACAAACATGACCAATTTTGATGCACATTGTAGATAATTAGACAATATGATAAGAGGATCCCTTATTGTTGACATAACTGATCATCAAGATGATGTTATTTGTTCTGTATCACAGATCACTCTTCCAGTTCGTGTGATGATCCACTTGGGTATCAAAACTTTGATTGTCACTAATGCTGCTGGAGGACTTAACAGAAGTTACAATGTTGGTGATATTATGGTTATCAAGGACCATATTAATCTTGCTGGACTTACAGGGGAAAGTCCATTGAGAGGTGTTAATGATGACCGGTATGTTACCTTAAATTTTGTAACCTATATTCTTTGTAGTAAATGTATGTATCAATGTTTTGGGTAATTAAATAATACAGATATGTGATCTTTTCATTAGTTTTGGTCCAAGATTTCCAGCCCTCTCTGATGCATATGACCGATCCCTTGTTAAAACTGCTATCGATACAGCCGCTCACTTGGGCTATTCAACATTCATGCAGGAAGGAGTTTACTGTGCACAAGTTGGGCCAGCTTTTGAGACCCCTGCAGAATGTAGATTCTTAAGCATGGTGAGATAACATTTTGATCACTTGTTCTGTAAAGTAGACATCATCACTTAATTGTTGTGAATAATTGCAGGGAAAGTATTCCCACAATATTTTACAGAATACTGTACCTCATGGATATTTGAAGTAAAGGAACAACAAATGAGGGGATTTGATATGCAATTTTGCGGCATTAACATGGCCTTCCAAGTCTGGGAAGAACATGGATATTATTTAAGATATTGGAATGACTGTTAAATATTAGAGATCAGTCAGCAAATAGACTTTTATTTCTGGCAAGTGCAATTAAAGGTTGCCAAGTGGCAGTGATGAAAAAAGGTTGGAGCCATGTATTGGAGAGCAGAACCATTGGAATCCCTGATTACATTTCACTCTCAGCTGTACTTGTTGTTTCCCCAAACCACCATTAACCAAAATGTGTTTGTCAGGTTGGGGCAGATGCTGTTGGAATGAGCACAGTGCACGAAGTGGTGGTGGCAAGGCATGCTGGGATAAAAGTCTTAGGCATCTCTTTAATAACAAATGTTGCTGTCATGGGTTATGATGACAATGTCAGTGCTGCCAACCATCAAGAAGTGCTGGAAACTGGAAAGAAAAGATCTGCTAACATGCAGAATCTGGTCTCCACCATTGTTGGTAAAATTTAATTTGTCTAATGGTTTGGAATATGGTGGCGCAAGCAAACAAGAATATAATTTTTATGATGTAATAAGACAATTCCTTGCACCCCTATGGATACAGCCTAATTATAAAGTAAATATTTGATCAAGTCATCCTCATAAAGAGTTTGTTTCCTATTGCCCCATAACTTTCTAACGGCTCTTTTATGAAACTATACAATACGCAAAGTTAACTTTTATTTTAGATGATAACAGGGAAAAAATATCTCAAATCAACCTTGAATAAAGAGAACGGGGGGAAACAGATCCTTGGGTGGAGTTAAAAAGTTGTGTGTATCCCAAAACTGTGGAAAAAATAGATCACAGGAATAAGCATGGCAAAGTTCTCTTCCAACCCAAATCACTCCCCACCCCCCTCCCTCACCCCCTCACTTCATCAGCCCCTGGGTGGGTGTTCTTTTCCTTTTAAGCTACTTTCTCAAGAGGAAAGGAGATTGGAGGAGAAACTTTTTATGGTGATGACCTTAATGATAATAGAATGCTTGGGATATCTAATTAAAGAACAACATGTGATCCCTCTTAATTTCAGTATTTTGGGGGTGATATTTACTAATTATTAATTTGTGTGCAATACTATTAATTTTTCCTCTCGGTTTTTTTGTAAAAGTTATTTCATGAGGAGCATAGAATATAGGCATTTTGAGCCAGATATGTCATGGTGGATCAAATGTCCCTGAAGTGTTTGCCTCCTAAAATAGGCATCTCTCAAAAAACCACTCTAAAGGAAATAAGAATAGCAAATAAAGATATAGTAATTTTAATTTACATTAATTTGAAATGGCATGGAGTGAAATCTGGGAGAAACAAAACTCATTATTTTCTGATAGCCATATTTTTTTCTGTCAAGACCAAAAAAAATTAATAATGTGTGAGAACTATCTTATTTGTAACTTTGTCTGTAGTATGCAGTATGGTAAGAAGTGAGTGAGTAAATGGTATCATGTGATGTCAATTTGAAGATTCAACCTCCCAAAATGCCCAGAAGGTTGCTCAGAAGGGGGAAGTTGAAGTTGAATTGACTGACGCATCATTCATTTTTTTTCTGATGTAGACTTCCGTAAACCTTAACAACAGAGAACTGTTAGCTTGCAACCTTTGTTTGGTAGTTCCATATTTGTTTCAGGCTGTAATATGTTTTCTAATTGTTGGGAATATTATAATAATTGTAATTCTGTGCTGAATTTTCCAAAGAACTACATCAGATGCATTAATTCCACATTCAAGCTGAATTCTTTGGTGCATATTTCAATTTGTTTAGTTTTTTTAAGTGTTCCCAAAATCCAAAGGAAACTTCTTCCAATTACATAGAACTTTGATTATTATAATTAAGATGATTGTTGAGATGCTGTTCACGTATTCTGATTGATTGGGCATAACATCATTGAGCAGTTTTCAATTGATGTCTCTAAAGGAGAAAATGAAGGAAAACGCAGTTGCTATTGGTGTCTGTTTCACAACTATATGTACTCTTTCACATTTCTCTCTTTCAGGAAATTAACATTTCCTTCATATTTAATGGTTTGAAAATATTAATTTGAGGTATTTACTGAGGTATGTTATGAGAAAATTGCATTACGTAATACGCCATAAAGAACAGTTGGATATAATATTAATAACAGTTTGTTTTAATAGTGCTGTTGTTGAAGTGTTTTCTTTCTATAAGTTTGTTTTGGAGAAAAACTCTGAGTGTTTTTATTCATCATTTGGTAATTTTTTCCCACCCACCCCTAAAATCCCTGAGACATTCCCTCCTTTGAAGGAAATAAGACATTTGTAAAAAATCCCTCACAATTTTTTTTCGTTTAGTACCCACTGCAGGTTATATCAAGTATTTCTACAATTTAGGAAATAATTTGTTGCACAGCATATAATTTTCAAAATAAATTCAATATTTTTGACTTTAAATCCAAATTTAGAATATTCCTAGAGAGATTTTACAGATAAATAACGTAATTTTACTCCAGAGGTCCTATCCTCTACTATCTTTGCCCATGAACATTCAGTTCATATTCTTCATTATCATCATCACTTCCAAGCTTTTCTTGATCTGCGAGGAGCAGGCCTTTTAGTTCAATATCACCATTCAACTTGAGTTCCTCTATTTTCTGTTTGCTTAACTTCAAATTCTCTGAATCTGAAAAGAAAATTAGAATTTAAATTTAAATTTTGGCCAATAAAAGTTGTAGTATATGGTATTATAGTCAATCAATGCCAATCCAGGAAGACGCAATTTCTTGAGAAGTGCTTGCTAGTATTGTAAACAGATTGAGTACCCAATACAAGTCATTGTAACAGTGATTCTGGTTACATATACTTGTTTGATGGTTTGCTGATAATGTGAGTCCAACAATGTCCTCATTCTTTATGAAACCTACCTCTTGTTGCCTTTGCCACAACATGGACACTTATTCCAATTAGACACAGGACAAGCCCAAAAAAGTTCACAGTAGTCATTCTATCCCCTGCAAACTCAGTGGCGAGAGATAATGTACAGATTTCCTTTAAATAAAAAGAAGGATTGGGTTAAAAAAAAGGTAACAAAACTTTGTGTTACACAACAATCAACCTCATCAAGAATTAATGGAACTGAGCAGTATGACAAAGGTACACGTGTATCTATAGCCACCCCAACAGCAGTCACCATTCATAACCCTCTACATGTTTTTGTCATCATGCATATTCTCCATGCTGTTCTTTATACATTTCCTAAGGTGCTGACAAGGAGAATTTGTTTACTGATCAAAAGCTTCTTTACTTGGTGATCATTTCCTTCATTCTCATAACCTTAATGTGTGATTCAGGGGTGATATTGTAAGGAGAAATTAGATGCTAGTCACTCGTAGGGTTAAAGGGTTTAAAACACCATCACATTGAACCACTAGGTTGAAAACAATTTACTTGCCAAACCCACAACTTATCAAAGAGAAGATGAAAAGGAAAAGACTTGCTAAATGAGCAAGATAAATGACCCAACACTGACAGGCTAGTGAGCAGGGAAATGTGAAAAAAGTTCACCCTGAAATACATAGAGGGGTCTCTGCTAACTTTCTTGAAATAAACCTTTGATGAATTTGTAAGTTCTAAGTGTGATTTTTTTCTTGTTGGTTTTTCTTTTCTTCTCTTTTTTCTCTTTGCGTGTTTGGAGTCCATTTATTTAAGTCTTTTCACTTTGTAATTATACTTATTGTTTAATTATTGCTTTTCTTGTCATTCTGTTGCCACCTTCTGTCGCTCTGTGCTGCCTGCATAATTTATCGAGTAATATAACCGTTTCTTTTTTTTTTTTTTTTGCTAAGAGCAGTTGAGTAATGTTTCTTTGGTCATAACAATGTAAGTATTTCATAGTCTTGTTGTTCGTTATTTTTTTAGGTTGTATATTGTGTAACTAGTGTAACCGTTTGTTATTTTCTTTAGTTTCAACCAACGTCAGTCTTAGAGTATTAAAGATCATGCTTGTATAAAGACACAGAGTTGTCAATTTCAGCCACAGATTCCACATAAGTGCAGTTATAGAATTACTGACATCAAGCCACATCACATTTACAGGCAGTGTATTTCACTAATATCAGAAAAAAAAGTAAAGTACACAGAAAGCAGCTAGAGCACAAAAGAAGTTTAGGGAGAAATAGGAGGTGTAGCTGAGTGTTTCTCCCCACTTCTTGAGTGCTCTAGCTGCTTCCTAGTGCTTTACAACAAAACAGAGCACAGTCAAGGCTTCTCTATTTGTTTTACAATAAAAAGTCTGTTAAATTCCCTATGCATTTCTTTCAAATTTCAAAACAAACTTTATTTCTAAAGTGAACAACAGTGTTGTCAGCATGCTCTATACTATAATAGACCACACTCTTTCAACCAATGACACTGCACATTATATCCAAACGTTATAATAAAACTGCTCAGTATGTGATCCTACTAATGAAATCTTTCAGTTTACCTTAAATATTCCTGATATGGAGAGTGTTAAGCTTGATGTATGGGAGAGAAGAAGAAACTCAGAAACACTAATCATGAAGGCTAAGAAACACCCAAACATCACCATGGCAATGGTCACCCATAAGGTATAACTATCTGAGGCCCTGAAGAGCTTTGGTGACATGGCCAAGTCCTGTCCTACAAAATCACAAATAACAAGTATTTAATTAATTTAACCTTTTAAACCCTAATATCTGTGTACATATTCTCCATACTGTTCTCTCAGCATTTCCAAGGGTTCTTAAGAGGAGAACTTGTTTTACAATCAAAAGTTTCTTTAGTTATTGATCATTTGTTTATTTGTGTAACTTTTAAGTATGATTCAGGGGTGATATTGTTAGGAGAAATTACATGCTAGTCACTCTTAGGGGTCAAATGGTTAGACATTTATTATAAACTTGTTCTTGCTGGAAGGAAAACAAAGTTGTAAAGTAGTTCTGTAGTAAGTATGCATGTTAATAAGTGTTGGCAATAACTCCCTGATTTGCTAACTTGCTAGGATCGATTATTAATGAAATTTCAACAATAAGACAATGTATTTTTAGTTGATTGACTTACCCTCTATGTAAAATGCCAGGGGAATCAGAGTTAATGTCATAAAAGGTTGGAGATGATAAAGTGTATCAAGGGGGTTGTGAAGACCTACAAAAGGATAGAAACACAAGAGCAATGTACATGTAGTAAGACCTTAGCTCTTAGGGTATATGTTTTGTGTACAGTACTGTTATAAATGTTTTGAATCCACAACTGTTGAAGATAAATAAATGTTTCTTAAAGTACTCAATTTTAATATTTCAGTTATCACTATTACTCATGTTAACAAGAACCACACCTAAATCTTCTTTCTGTGTTAAAATCTGCGCAAGTGTCCATCGTAAGCCACTCAGTGCTGAAGCAGTTAACACCTTGAGGATGAAATACACCATAGTGAAATATTAGATCCATCTTGAACACTAACCTTTCATGTCAGTGTCATTTAACCCTTTAATTACCAGAAGCGATTAACATGTAACTTCTCCCTATAACATCCATACATTATTGAGCAAACAGGTAATGAGAAAACTCAAACTTAGACAAGTAGAAGTTGTTATCTTGATCTATCCCCAAATTATTGTAGCAAATTTACCAGGGAATGAGTAGAAGTAAGAGGGGAGAGTTAACAATCAGATCTTGGGAGTTAAAGGGTTAACTAAAATTGAAAATTATGACTGAAATTTAAACACAACTGATAACCATAGATAAACTAAACAATTTCTATCACTAGAGAATTGAAAAACACCATTTAAAAAATATATACTTTTGTTTTTGTTATTAACTTACCAAGACAAATCCCTCCTTATTGAATTCAGTAGCCTCATAAGTGAATAAAAACAAGCCACTCGCAATTAACAGGATTACAGCCACCAATGAAAAGTTCTGTCAAATACACAAAGAAAAACAAACTAATGGTTACTGGGTTAAAAATTATCTGCTGTGAAAATCTACGCGCTCAGCATTATTTTCAATGTTCTATATCATTTGCAGTTATAGCTATTTCAAAACAGTCTAAGATCACATGCTTGGTTTAAAATAGCACATGTAGAAAGTTGACTTGATCATCTTTTTTTGAGGGGGGGCACTGCTTGGTTGCTTAATCCCACCAACTAGATTTTTAAACTCTACATGAACACAAACTACACTGGGATACATTTTATTACTTACCCAATGCTCTAATCTGAGAACAAAAGCAAACATGAGGATGAAAATAATGCTTGTAGATTTAGTCATGGTGTATCTGAAATAAACAAGGGAAGATTACTTGGTTATCTCTATTTATTAAAATTGTGCAAATTAGGGGATAAATCTGAATCATTACTTAATCTGAATCAGTTATGTTCTGTATCTCAATTTGTCAAATTAACCCTTTCACTCCTAAGATCTCATTGGTAATTCTCCTTACTATCTGCCATAAAATTATTGTCAGTTTTGAGAATTTGCTATTGGTATTGATATCCTAATTGGCCTTTTTTTAAAAATTCTCATCACTTGTCTGCTTGATATTGTGTTGATAATGTTAGGAGAAATTCTGTCTTGGTCACTCAGGGAGATAAAGGGTGGACAAAATTGGGGATTTAAGCAGAACAGTTTACAAGCAAAACTTAGTGTCTCATTTGTAACCGTCATATTTACAGAAGGTGCCAGAATCTCAATGCAATTCATCACAGGATATATGTCATGGTTTTCATGTTCATAAGGTAAAACAATTTCAATAAACGAATTAATTGCATCTGATAAATTGATCAATGGCATTTGAGTCTTTGTGAGGGGCTTTTTCTTTGACCAAAAATAACTAGGGAAAATTCCTCTTTACTGTATAAGAAACAATCTTTCCCAAAATTGAAACTGCTTTGTCCTTGTTAGGAAAATGAAATAACACCTCTGCAAGTGAATTTTACATGCAGGTGATTATTGCATTTAGTCAGGACTTGGAAGGAGTTTTCAAATTACATCTTGTACCTCAATTGTTTCATGATTTTTTTCACATCTTCATGAGTATGTCACAGAATAGGGGGAGAGGAAACTGGGGGGGAAGGGGGATACCAGATCAAGTGTTTTTAATTTTCATGACCAGTGAAAATACAAAATTAAAACCACCTGAACTGTAACTTTTTTGCTTTTCATGATGTTTCAGAACATTACAAATTAGCTACTTGGGAAAACAAACCAGTCTTTGAGTGCCAATGGTATAAAATTCAGCTTTTCTTTCATTCATTCCACTTACTCAAGTAAAAGGTACCCATGACATTTGAAAAAAACTCTCCCAATGTGAACATTTAATATCCTCCACTAATAAATGATTCATTCCATGAGGAAATACCTACAATGACACTGTGATGAACATTAAGCTCCAGTTAGAAAACCCAATGTCCAGAGCACAAGCTATTGCTAGAAAAAGAGGAAATCAAATAAAATCAGAGTTAAGGGCTATCAGCAATCTCCTTTTCAACTACATGGAACTGTAATCTGTCGGAAATTTTACCTAATTAACCAGAAAACATGTTACTTTATACACCAAGACAATGAGCTACATTACTCACACATGGCAAGATCTGCTGCAAAACTTTTCCTCTTTAAGGGTCATTTTAAAAATTAAGTACTTGAACATCAGTCTTATACTTTATAGAGCTGTTGTTAATTCTTTGAGGAATCTTCAAATATTTCATAAGGTACCAGAATATAAAAAGGAAGAACAATTCTTAGAAGACAAGATGCAAACATTTGGGGTCATAAGCTAGTCTTAAGTACAATTAAAAGGATTTTCCACCCTCTCACCTGTGGGTAGAACTCTTTTTAAGTACACAGACCAGGGTAAAATAATACGTGTCTTCCCTGTCTTTAATTCCCAAAGGAATCTCAAAATTGCCGCAATGACAAATACCATTGCATAGTGTACCACTGACACAGACAAAGGAAAGTGAAACCTCTGAAATAAAGGATGAGAGCATATTATATAAGTAATATACAAGAGTCATTGAGTACAAATCACACACATTCCATCCGCTAGAGATAAGCATAATTATCACATGATGTGTGTGGCCCTATTTGTGCACAATCTCATAGAAAACCATGGTGAAAGCTGATGTATGTAGGGTTGACTCAAGCAGGTCCAGAAAAACCTGGCCAGCCTTGCACTCACACAGCTTTGTTGCACAAAATTGAAGGAAAAGAGCAAAAAAAAAAAAAGTGGCATTTTTCAAGGAACTAACTGCAAGTTTCTTTTTAAGACTCAAAAAAACAAGGAAAAAGTTTTTATTGCAAAGTCTTTTTTCCCTTTGTCCTACATGTACCAGTCTATCACCTCCTATACAGTAAAAACCCACATAAAGTACCTGTGTTTTGAGGATTCAGGCTGATTTTGTTTTTATTTATCTGGTGTTTCCTGCAAAATCAGCTCGAAAATGTTCTTAAGGTGTTCTTAAAATTGTTTCTAACCATTAAATACTACATTAAATATTAAAATACTACATTAAATATTAAATACCAACAGATGAACTCGATGTGCAAGCACAACATTTTAATTAATGGATGGAATTAACCTTATAACTGCATTAATCAAGGTAATAATATTATATTTGTGAAGGGGTAGCAGATCTGGTGATAAACAACTGGAAACTCAGCAAAAGCCAAGCAAATTCAAAATACACCAGCACCCCAATGATCCCTCTTTCCAGTCTTCTACTAAGGTACAGCACTGGAAAGAGGGATCTTTTTTCAGGCTGAATGTGTTCTTGTGTATTTGGTACTTTTTTGAACAAATTTCAGCCTGAATGTTCTTAAATGCACTTGTTCTTTTATGCAGGTTTTTACTGTCTTTAGGCTAAAACAAAAGTTTTGAAATTTTCAACACTTAGTGCTTATCTGATATATGCTCATTAACTGAGTTTGGTTGGGTCAGACAGGAAAACATTTGACTCATCACACAAGGACCTCACTCCCCCTGGTCTGTATATCATGACCTCAAGCCAAATATTTTCCCATGCAACCTTGCCACTCAGTCATAATATATCATATCTTAATCCTTTCACTTCCTGCAGTGATCAATAAGTAAAATCTCCATACAATTTTCAAACAATATTTTCCAGACAGGTAATGAAAACGAAGAAAATTTTCAACAAAAGGGATATTTGTCTTGATATCACAATAAATTTTCAGTACCAGCCAACAAAGTAATTTATGGACATAGCTTAGGAGAATTAGCTTTCTGATATTGAGAATGAAAGGTTTAAAGCTAGGTAAGTCAAAGACTTTACATATGCATGGGAAAACTACCAACCTTCAATAGCCATTTGTTATAAAATGTTAAGCTGATGGAGGATATGTACATCAACAAAATATAACAAAGAGTTCTGAAAGCTCGCCTTAACTGCTGAAAACCAAACAGCTTTTTGGCCATGAAAGAAACCAACGTGAGTGATTCACAGTTAGCAGTGACGTGGATGAACCTTTAAATCGATATTGCTGCTCTTTCTTGTCGTGTGGTACCAACAAGAAAGGAAGACGAATTCATTTCTTTCAGTTATTAGAATTTCCAAAAAGTATCCTTTAAGAGAAGCGGGAATGTTTATGTTATCTCGATTCAGCATGTAATGAAAACTCGTGATGGATTTGAAAAACTAAGGTCTCCATATTGCTTAGTAACCAATCCAATTACCGTGAATGCCTGGCTACTAAGGAAAAAAGAAAGATAGGCCCGCATATCGCCCACAGCACAAACAGAATTGTGTGCTAAATAGCACGTCTTCCCTCAAGCTGTAGAGGAACTGAATTTCCCCTGTGGTACAGGTGCTTACTTAGAAACGAAAAAGAGTTTCGTATTGTAAAAATAGAAAAATTCTATTCCAAGTGGGATCATTGAAAATCGACTCGCGAGGGCAAAAATTATTTCTTGTAAACAAGTGTCTCTTGGACAAAATTTGGTTGAAAATAGACGACTAGAGTTTAAAGCTAATCAGAGTATTTGTTTACTTATAGGGTCTGATACAGTCACTAGGCATCTTTAAAATTAAGCATAAAGGGGTTAAGTTTCTAAAGAAACTGTGGTGCTATGTCAGGGGAGATACTATAGGATAATTTGGTTGTATCAACTGAAAACGTAAACTGGTCACCGGAAAGAGTTACTAAAGCTGACATTTTGAGCGCCAAAGCGAATGGAGGAATTATGAGTTGTGTGTGGTTTTTACACAGAAATATGGAACTAAACTATTGGTAAGAACATGGTAACATGAAAAACACAAGAACAATTTATTTGAATCAAAAGCGTTCGTTCATTCGTTAATGTGCCGGTTTTAAAGGTGAATTTTTGTTCAAGAATTTGCGGCTCTTAGAACTGCCCAGATGTAAGGAATGAAGGGCTGACGCTCGAAACGTTAGTCTTAGAAACCCTTTACGGTGGCCAATTTACATTATCAACTCAGTCGATGAAGCCGTAAAGTTAACCATCAGAAAGGTTCAGCGAGAGGTATAGCTAAACTGACAAAGGGATGCGCGGTTTTCAACTGATAAAGGAATGTGTGGCCAAGGTAACAAAGCCAACAATAGACTCGTTCCTTTTTTTTTTCCAGCCAAGTCACGGGCATCAAATGGTTCATCACTTTTCCGTTAAGAGGCTAAAACTGATTCCAACTCCCTCGTTCTGCACGTCAACCGTAACTTATGCTCTGGCCTCTTCAATAAATAGAAAACTAAAAATTTTTAGAGTGACGTTCGGCGTGAAAGCTTTTACGACATTTCCGCTTTTATTTAAGCCAGACTGACACAAATCTTGGAACAAAAGTCTTTATAATGAAAAACCATTTTACCGATGGGCTATCACAGGTTGTAAGTTTTCCTTCACGAGGCCATCGTCTCATGATAACTCAATAAAATCTACTCAGTTTTTCTCGCTAAACCGAATCGAGACAGACATCATTCTATGTAAAGGGGTTAGGTTTCTACAAAAAACTGTGTTGCTACGTCGGAGGGGGTATTACATAGATAATGTGGTTTTAAAAACTGAATTGAAAAACTCTTTACGGTGGCCGATTTACATTACCAACTCAGCTGATAAAACCAAATTACCATCTTGTATAAATACCTTTATCCCACAGAGTTCATCAATGACAATGCTTTTGTGCAGCTCGCACATCATTCAATACAATTCCAGTTGAGGAGATATGAGACAATGCTTTTGTGCAGCTCGCACATCATTCAATACAATTCCAGTTGAGGAGATATGAGTTACCGGAGATTCATTATGGATGAAATTTATTTTTCTTGGTCCTATCGTCATCGCAAAAGAAATTTCTAAGGGTATTAGGTATGCCTTTTCTCTTTTTTTCTCTCTCCCTCTTTCTCTATCTATCTCTCTCTCTTAGAGCGTAACACGCAAAATTTCGTGCAATTAGGCACAAGACTAACACGTTAAAAAAAACAGCAAACTGACGTCAATGATAGAATTGTTTCCAACACAAGTAACATTAAAGTTCAAACTGCCACTAAAGTTCATTTTTAACTTTGTTTTATCTTATTTATGCTTACTTTGCTTTGCTTTGCTTTGTACTTTGCCTTGATATTTCCAAAGAATGTGAATTCTGAATTTTTATGAAAATGAAAAGGCCAAGCTTTACTGGGAATACAGCTAGCAAGAAATTACCTACCTTACAATGAATTTAGAAAAACCCTGTCCACCTGATGCTGAATTGTATTTAAAGGAAAAAAAAAGAAAACGAAACTAAAGATTTAAAAAGACGTTGAGCATAAGGTGCTTGAAAGCAGTCTTACGCTTGAATTGAAAAGCTTGAGTTTTTTTTTGTTTTGTTTTTATTTTCTTAATTTTCGTGCAACTTTTATGAAGAATAAGCCCGAATTGTCTTTTGTACGGGCGGTCTAGGGCACAAAAGGTTGGATTTTCTAAAGGAAAATGCAGCTGGCGCTGGTGTAATATTAATACCGCCTGCCTTGGGCAAATTGCACGCACTAACCCAAATACAACCGAAACGAGTCGAGACAAGATTAAGTTAGCTGTAGTTGCAGTCTAATCAGGTAAGACTTATTTTACACTCATAAACTCTTTAGAAGTTACCTTTCGACAAATCCATTGATCTTACATGGACCGTACTAATAGAAATATATATACATAACAAACAAACATACAAACAAAGAAGGAAAATTAAAAAAATGGTAACAATAATTAGTTCAGCATTTGAACAAAATTTTGGCGAAAGAGTTCTGTTACCCTGTTAGTACATTTTTGAAGGGGGTTCATGATCTGTAAGCGACATTTTAGAAATTTCATATCCACACACCCAAACAGAAAATGACTCATCAAATTTAAAGTAGTTGAATCGCCTTAGAGCTTGTCTGTCTGCACATAAATTTATTTCAGACCCATTTAATTGCAATAAAATGGCGATATTTCGGAAGCTTTTAATCTCACATCGTTCGGGGGAACATGATAGAACTCAAGTACGTCCTTGACACGAAAATACAAACAGATGACAGATGAGCGCAATTCCGTTTAGCTACCTCGCTCAGCTAACGTAGCCAGCTCATTTTCACTGAGAGGCGAATACATCAGTGTCGCATTGAAAATGTCTGAAAACTGCCATCGCTCTTTATGCAAATAAAATTCATGGAAAAAAACCGCGTAATCCATTTTCAGATACGGAAAAATATAAAAAAAGTTAACCATCTCGGAATCCAAAATGAAGATTTAACAAAAAGAAGTTTTACACAGATAATTCAGTTTGATTACCTGCGGAAGTCATTCATTGCCACATTTTCTATTCTTATCCAAAATCATCATTCGAACATGAGTCTATTATCAGTCAAAGACAAATTTGAAAAAAGCCTCAGTTACATTAAATCAGGTAGAAATGATATGACCATTTTTTTTACTCCGCTCTAATTTGGCCTCCGCCCATAGTGATGCAGCATTTTTAGTGACTAAAAAAAAAACTTCTCAGATAATGAAAAGTTCCGTGTGGTGCGCACATGCGCAATCATTCACCTTGAGCCGAGGCAGCGGTTCATTTCTAGCGGTTCATTTCCAGATTTATGCAGAACAGAGCAAAGCGTCGATTTACCAGCCTCAAAAGGTTAGCTCCCACTTCTTAGATTCTAGTGTGCCATGATTTAATTCATGTCTGCCTGTGGGTTGATCTTGGGCCTCGCCGGTCTAAATTGTTGTTGTTGTTTTTTTTTTTTCCAACTGTATATAATACTTCTAATCACAAACCCATAATATTTGATGTGTTGTCGTCTTGGGTTACGTTTGGGTCGTTGCTAACTCAGTTTTTTCTATCGAAAAAACCTTTTGATTCAAGATAACTTGCTACGTTGGAAATTTAGAAACGAGGTAAACTACAAATTAATTTAGAAAACTGGAACAAGGATCAATTAAAAGGATAAGACAGTTGTGACGCGGATAGCAAATGTCGAAATTAAAAGCATCATGACAAATGATTTGTTTTGTCATCTGCCTGGGTTTGACAAGCTGAACAAACACAGAGAGGGAAAATGTCATGTGAAGCTGAGAAAGCTTACCATCAAACGAGAAACTGATGACATAAGACCTATAGACGGGACAACTGTTGCCATGAAAATCTTAGTGAACGAGGATAGAGGATATGTTTCTCGCAACCATTTTGAGATAAAACTAAGGACATCAAAGGTAAAGTTAGAGGAAGAAAGCTAAACTCACAACCGACCATGTAAAATCCAGTTGCAGGTTCTTTTGAGTAAACTTTCAATTAAAGGGTATCCAATTACTAATAAATTGTTTTCTATTTTACAATAGCCGAACTCCCGTCGGAATCATCATGGCGAGGATATTCGACTGCATGAAAACCACGTTATTGCTTTTGATAATCATCTGCAATGAGCGCTCAATTACTGTTTGTATGCCGTGGAGTTTTCAAAGTGACCATAAATTGCAAACTCCGGCTAAGCTGCCTGGAAATTATCTTTGGCCTCCACGTAAACCTCTAACGAAACAAACAGATAAAGGTTCTGGGTTTTTCTCCGTAGTTTCGAATAGAGAAGACGACCTAAAAACGTTGACCACCATCACAATAAGAAGTGCTGGATATGATTTTATGGCCACTCATGAAAAATCTCTCAGAATTCGGCGTCAGATAATTACTCGCACTATAACCGAGCCCTCAGTCGTGTCCTCAGTTAAACCCTTTGCGGAAGACTTGGTCGAGCTGGAGCTAGAAATGAGCCAAAAGGGTAACCCAGAGCCTGGGCCTGAGTGGCCAACTGCGATTCAGGCCTGGGGAAAAGCCTGGGACCTACATGTATATGTGTTTGCAGTTCTTTACATCTTAATCACAATAGCTTCTGGCTATGGACTTGCTGATGATCTCTTCAGAAATCAAGGAATCAAGGGACTCAAACTGACTTTGTTTCTGACATTTTTATTTCTGGGTTCCTCACGTGGTATCATGCTGCTCGTCGATCCTTACAACTCACGAGGAATTTTGGACCTCTACAGTTCTTATGTCACGTGGTCATTAGGCTTCCCGTGTGTCCTCACGGCCCTTGGTCTTTTGCTCTTGGTATTTGGGGAGGCAACCAGTATGGAGATAGCCCCTCCACGATTTCAGAAATTATCCACAGCGCTGGGAATCATGGCTTGCAATATAATTGTAGTATTGGGAGTAGATATCGTCTTCTTACTCGCCAAGAAGTTCATCTCACTTCTGATAATTTGTCATATTTATTTCGTCCTTTTTGGCATCATTTTGACCGTTGGTTATTGCTGCGTAGGCTGTAAATTATCCTGCAACTCGGCAGCAAGTGTGTATGGTGATACAGGACTTTTAAGACTTAAAATGTTTGTGTTCACCCTAGCAATGCTGAATGGTCTTTTCATCGGAATTCAAGTCTTCTCAGCTTTTGACTTCGTCCTTCATCCAGGGGCTCCCAGTGCTTGGCCATGGTACGCTATCCAAACCTCCCTGCGGGCGCTGGAGGTGAGCATGTGTTTAGTGATGTTATTGATTGCATTTAACAACAGAGTGAGATCATCGCCACCTCAAATGAGAACTTCTTTTCACTTCCGCAATACTGTTACACCGTTCCAAGCGTGGGAACCCTCAGAAGGGCAGAAAAGTTAAGAAGATACTAAAAAAGATATTGGAGCTTCAGCCGGAGTCGATTCTTAGAGCAAACTTTTAATGGCAAAGGGAAATCTTACAGCTATAATAACTGTCTGCTGAAGCGTCAGTCAAATCCTATGCATACGATTCATGCTCATAATAATATGATACTTGTTTTGTATTTCACCTGTGAGCTTATTAGACGGCGAGTCTCATGTTCTCGAGGTTATTGCCGTATTTAGTATGCAAAGGAGATTAAACCAGTCCATTTTGTTTTCAATGTAAGACTTTAAGTTATCAGCCTAGAGTTTTGCAGTTTAAATTTAAAAATAAAACATCTTTTTTGAATGTGCCAAAAGTAGTGATGCATGAACTCTTGAAGGAGCCGTAAATAGCTCATTATTTGTATCAATGGTAATGTTTGACCCGCCTTGAATAAAAATCTCACACTGAAGTTAAGATTTTGCTGATATATCTTTGGGTAACATGCAGGTCTTTTGCATTGATCACGTTAAATTTACGAAGTCGTCTCTAAAAACTGACTCAAAAACTCCACTGAACTTAAGCAGCTACAGCTGTGAGAGCAAATATAAAGCTGTTCCATACTCAAACCTCAAATATTCACTAAGCAGTCCAAAAATGACTACATTTCACGGAATGTTTTCTTTTCGTGGTTTCACAGTGGGTGACACCACAAGCGTTCCTCGTTTAAAAAAACACCCGTAACTGAAAAACAGAAACAGAAATCATCAGATGAAACAAAGCAGAGCTGACATGAAAACCACTCCGTCGTCGAGATTTTTCCCCTTGCGTTGAACCCTTTGTAGTTAGTATGTCGTGATCTATTTTATAAATGGGAAACACTTGCGATAGCCGTTATAAGCTTCGGGTAGTTGTGTCGTTGGTGCTTCAGGTAAGCTTTTTCCATCTACATCATGGGTTCGCGCTAAAAAAAATTGGTAGTGCTGTTGTTTTGAATACCATTTCATTTGTACTTCAGGTCTGGTTTCAAATATTGGATCTGGGACAAGTCATTTCACTTGAGAATCAAGGTAAACTATAAAAAGTTTTGCCGATAAAATCGCATTTGATTACGGTTAGGGTCTTACCGACTTGTTTTCGATAGTTAAGTATCGAGATTCTGATTAATTCTGATACCTAAGAATAAAATACTTAGGTGGTAGGAACTTTTCCGAAATTTAGTTAGCATTTCAACTTATTTTCATCCGACAAAATCTATAAAGGAAAGGTGAATTTGTGAAAATTTAACACAATCAGTAAACACCGCATAGCGTTATGATTTTAACTACTTTGGCCTCATAGCGAGATCATCTGAAAATAAAAAAGTATATTCTCTCCGAAAATATAATTCACAGTTATATCATGAGAGGGAATTTTTTTTTAAAGGCAAGGAGGACACGTTATGAGACACTAAAATAAATCCAACTATGTAATCATTTCAGATTGAGAATTTCGATCGTGACGATTAAAGAATATATATATATGTAACTTCTATGTCTTAAAAATCTACACACGAAGATTTCATTTTTGTTGCATGGAAATTAACCATGCCCTTGATAAATCGAACGTGCGGTCCGCTCTATTTTTTGCCAGTAACTATTTGCAAAGGCCATTTCAATTATTCTCGAGACATCTCCTGGAACGTCTCCAAAATAAACATTTTGAATTTGTGATGAACGTCCAAATTGCAACTTTTCCAGACAATGTGAAGAATATGTCAATCAGCTCAATCGGGAAATTACCACTTGTGGTGCTCCCAGCATAAATGCACGACTTCTGAAAGACATTTTTCCGCTCGTTATGCGTTCTGTTATTGAATTGGCGGATTATGGAATTTGAACAAATACACTCAATTCTGAAAGTGGTTAAGACAATATAATTTTTTTATGCACTTATAATACGAATTCACCGTCATCCGTCTTGAAACTGTTTTTGAGTTTCGTCCAAAGTGCTTATTTTAAACTCTTACCAGCAAATTCGATGGTTAATGAGTTTCGTCTCTGAGTTGCAAAACAAGTGAAGCGGTAAAGCACCATAGCGCGATTTCCAAACGTTTAGGGTTTGTTCCATCATGCGGAGCTCAGACTTTTTTCTTTGTCTCGCACTCATGACAAGAAAAATAACATCTTTCTTTCTTTAAGTTAACCCTTTCACTCTCAAGATCTCATTTTTAATTCTCCCAACTGTGTGCCGTAAAATTCTTATAATGCTAGTTCAAAGAGATTGGTATTAGATCAACTGGTAATACCCTGATTAATAATATTCTTTATTCCTATCACTCTTCTGCTTGATATGGTATTTTCATTGCAAGGAGAAATTCTGTCTTGGTCACTCATGGGAGTTAAAGGGCTAAGTGGTTCTAGCCGTGGAGAAGTACTCTTCTATGCTAAAACAAGAGTCAGATAACCACAGACTTAAAACGGAGATTTGACTATGAGCCTTGCATAATTTGAGTAGATCAGCATTAATCATAACAGAGATGAACCATAAAAAATTTTGGAAGTTGTTTATTAATTTACTTTGATTTATATATCAGTTCTGCAACATTGTAACCTGTCAACAAAGGCCGCAGTCCTCTTGCCTTTTAATGAACACTACAGAAACAAAGAAGCCCTGAATGGTAGCTTGAAAGTGCGCATGTCTAACATTGAGTTTGTTTCCGGTATCGATGGCGAGCCAGGCGGGGCCATTTTATTCAAAGGAAGCCAAGACTCTTACGTAGAAATTGAGGCAGATAAGCAGATCGATTTTGGCTATTCTTTAACAATTCTGTCTCATATTTTACCATTTGAAAGTCACACTGGACCAATTGTTCATTACAATGCCAATCAGCACGGAGTACAAATGTGGATCCAGGGAACTATGGGGAAGAAAGGACGGTTGTCTGCGCGATTTAACAAAAGAAACCTTTCCTATTCCAAATGGTTGTACGTTGATGTCATCAACGTGGGGACGTGGAATTTTATTGGTGCTTCTTATGACCACGTGACGGGCGAGGCCTCTTTGTATCACGATGGAGTCCAAGTTTACAGTACGTCTATAGGAAAGAATATATATTTGGCGACGCAATACGAGATCAGGATTGGTGCCATGTTATTGCCATTTTTGGGGAAATACAAAGGCAAAGTCGCTTGTGTTCAATTTTATTCTAAAGCACTTCAGCGGCAGGAAGTTGCGGCGGCGAGGCGCGCTTGTATGCCAGGTATGTACACAATCTCTGTGACTGTTGTAACTGTTTAACAAAACGGCACCCTTCACTCGATGAGGAGTAAGCTCGACCTATATCCAATTGATGAGCGAGCTCCTGTGATACAAATACGCTAATGCTGATGTATATAGTGCTAATATCGTAATATTAAATTTCAATTGAGTGTCGAAAGCTATGCGGGATTGCCTTAGGTTCGTTTTCCTTCGCTCTGTGATTGGTCCAGAAAACTCGAGCCACCCTCTTAACAAAACAGATGCAAAAGAAAAACAACAGAGACTTCAACGCTCTTCTTTCTTTTAGCTCTCATTGGCTCCGTGTTTTATTTACCTCCTCAGTGATGTGGATTTACGTTAACTTTGGCCTAGGCTTGACAACACTCGATCGAAATGCCCTTACCTGGATGTGATAACCTTGAGTCAAACGACATGCCGTGTTATTAGCTGAGAGAGTTCTGGCTTGAATTTTTATAGAGCTACTTAGATAGCTTTTTTACTCATCGAGAATATGTTACTGCTCATCGCCTTACAGGGGAACATGAAATGGAATTTTTTTGTTTGGTTTTTGTTGAAAAATAATTGTTTTCGTAGACTTTGTTGGGAAATAACTGTACATAATGGTAGTAGTGCTATTGGTTGGTTTTCCTCGTTATAGAAAATGCCTCACGGCTATTCTTCCAAGATCTTCTTCAAATCTGATCTTGCAAGTAATTGGTTACTGTCGGCAGTTCGTGATCTCAAATGCAATCGAGAAAATGTCATATCTATTTCTTTTGGCAACCCATTTGGTTTAGGAACAAAGATAACGGGGTTAAGCTTAAACGTTCAACAATCGCTGGGTAGAGTTTAGAAACTTCATTCTTGACACAAATTTATCCTGTTTTCAGTTGTGCCTTTGCAGTATCTCTCTCTCAACCTAACCTCGCCATCGCACCTGGTGGAGGTGAATGAAACGAGGTTAAAAGTCAAGGCAAGTGCAAACGAGAACGCCACGAAAGCTAGCTTCAAGTTCGACTGGGGAGACGGCATAGAAACATGTAGGGGAGTCTGGGACATAGGTGATCACATGTACCGCTCCATCGGTAACTATACGTTGCGTGTGCGTGCTTGGACTATGTGCAACACAAGTATGTTGTCTGCTACAGCTAACATATCTGTTCCTACGCCAGTACTCATTCTTGAGAATGTAACCCTGCAAAGTAACGCAACAGTGTTTGGAGAGGCAACTCAGTTTCGTCTCTTTGTGGGAAAAGGGTCTCACTTTGAATGTCTCTGGTCACTGGGTGATCATGTTAATTTCACTACGTATACCTCTCGAACTGATTCGAGAACTTTAGTTCGGAATTATACCTTCACAGTCCCTGGTGATTACAAGGTTCGGGTCACTTGTAGAAACAGAAGAAGCGAATCAACCGTTAGTATTATAGTTGTTGTTCAAAATCGTATCAAGGGCCTTACTATGTATCCGATACCTCCGATATTGTTTGGAACTGAGTTCAAAGTACGATGGAAAATAGACAGCGGCGAGGATGTCACGTACAAAGCAACTTTTTCCGCCGCCCCATTGCAAGTTGCTGCAAAGACAGAGAAAGATTTGCATGGAAACGCTCTTGTAACAATGCAGCAATACAAAACTCCGGGAGAATTCCTTGTTTACGTCGCTGCTTCCAATACAGTCACGAATTGGATCTCCGCATGGACAAAATGCAACATTTTTCGACCCATTAATCCCTTCACTCCTATCGTTCTTGATAGTTCCAGGGATATAGAGATTAATAGAACCATCACTATCTTGTTCACAAACATCTCCTCCATCTCTGGAACAAATGTGTCGTATCTCGTAAACTTTGGAGACAACAGTGAAGGAATAGTCACCCATAGATCGTACGTTAATTACTCGTATAGTCTGCATGGTCTTTACACAGTCAATATTACAGCAATAAATGAAGTATCTACCTTCAATACTAGCATTACCATCAAGGTTCACAAACCAGTCTTCAAATTAGAAGGGGCTAGTATTCCATCGCTCATTGCAAAGTTGAACCAAAGTGTTGACATTCCAATATTCTTTCTAAGGGGATCTGATTTTCACTGCCACTGGGAGTTTGGAGACGGACAGGAAATAAAGAAAAACGCCACGGAGGAGCTAGTATATTTAAAGGATTTAAATAATAGCCACGAATCCTTTACCAATGTAAGCATGTCTGTACGACATGTTTTTAAGAGAGTGGGTGTATATCAAGTCATCGTGAATTGTCAAAACCGTTTGAGTAAAATGATAACAACTGCTCATGCTGTGATTCAAATGGAAGTACAATTCTTTCAAGTTTCACACGTTAGTCCAGTGAGGTTTGGGGACACTTTCACTGTCAATTGCACCATTGGGGCCGGAACAAATGTGAGTTTCAAGGTGTATGTAAATCATCAAGAACTTGACATAGAAAATCAAGATTTTTTTGGTATGGCACATGTAACGCCAAGTATTTATAAACAAGCTGGGAAGTATAACATAACAGTCACAGCAACAAATCTTGTCACCCCTCTACTGAGTCGCACACAAGTGGTCATCATAGAGGTTCCAGTTGCTGAAGTTCACATTAACATGAAGTATTTTGAGGGAGGTAAATTCTATGCTGGACATGGTGAGGGCATGAATATTTTCCCAGAAGGAATTCCAGTTATATTTGATGCCAACGTTGACAAAGGTTCCAGTTTGGAGTACACATGGTCAATCAGTAAAACTACCACATACATTGAACAGAGCACACTCACGATTCAGCATATATTCCACACTCCTGGAACATATAAAATATCAATACGTGTTAGCAATCACGTGAGTGAAGCAGTTTCTGTTGTAGATATTGCAGTTCAAAAACGTGCAAAATTCTTGCATAGTTTTCTCGAATGCTCTTCGCCCAAGGCTAGAAATGAAACTGTTACCATTTGGGCAGCTTTGGAAGTGCTTGGAACAAACTCAACTCTTTTAGTGGAATTGGGCAACATCACGAGATATTGGTACGGAGAAGCCGATGCGATAGATAATCTCAATACAGCAGCGAACAAGATAAATACGCTATACCAGGGAAATCTTGAAAGAACAACCATCATGCGTTACGCCTTTGAAACTCCAGGAGTATATAACATAACAGCAACCCTAACAAATTATGTCTCTAGGTCATCAGTGACCTGTGAAGTTGAAATTCTGCCCAGGCCCTGTAAAAAACCTGAATTGAGGTTAAAAAATGTCGGCAGCAGTCCAGCAGATGCAAGAGATCTCTTTAAAGCTAGTAATATTATTATTGAGGCTGATGTTGACATCTTCTGTCCCGAGTCTGAAAAATCCCATTACGAATGGAAGATATTTGAATACAATCAAGAAACAAGAAGCTTTATGCTGTTTGCCGATATAAGTTCTTACGGAGAAGCTTCCATGCGAGAATTACGACTCCAAAAGAGGGCTTTGCCGTTGGGATTATTCAGACTAAGTTTGAGTGTGAACATGACTGGAGATGGCCTGGATGATTTCTTTGCAGCTGCAGAGGGATATATTAGAACAATAAAATCTCCATTGGTTGCTGAAATCAATGGAGGAAGCGAGATAAGAAGGACTTTCGGGCCATTGGTATCTTTAAACGCTCTGGGCTCTCATGACCCTGACATCGGAGCAGGGAATCACTCAGGTATTTGTATTCAGCAACAAATCTTATTCTCAGGTATTTGCGTTCAGTAGCCTCCTGAAAGTATTGTGCTTTTCCATCGTCCTAATCAGACTGAACCTAAAATTTCACCGCATGGTAAGAAAGCAAACCCACTACTACTGCAGGGTCAATAGGGAGATCGATTTCTTGATTTCTTCTGTGATATCCTTTTTTCAGATCTAGTCACTTTTCCCTATTCAGCAAACACCATCGATTCAATTTCGTTCACAAACGTATGTGCATGCGTCTTGTGCTTCTGGTCAGGTAGATTACCTATTTAGGCTCTTTGAAATTACAGTGATTTTACAGCCTTGGATCAGAATAAGAGCACAAAACTGACAATGGAGTAACCATAATATATTCCTCTTCCCAGGAATGCGTTTCTTGTGGCTTTGTAGGAATATCTCCGAAAGATTTCCGGACCTACTGGAAGAGATTATCAATGGTACCGCAGAATATTCGAATTCAAACCTTTCCCCTAAATTTTCTGCCAGTTCTGAGCGAGGTTGTTATCGAAATGGAGAGTACATCATTTCAAATAGAACACACCTTAACCTAGCGACATCTCGTATGACAGCTGAAGAAAAATATCACATAGAACTGGTAGTTAGAAAGGACAGCAGAAGTAGTTCAACAACTCAGTTATTGGAGTTGAGTGTGGAGGACATTCCAATCTTAATCATAAGGTAGGACAAATTGACGCGAACTAAACTGGAAATATCAGGGGGAGGGGTGGAGTTAGAGTTGGTAACCATTTCTTGTTTCTCTTGTGTCCATAACACTATTCCAAGTAAAAGCAAACTATGGTGATTCCTGATGTAGATAAGACATGTTACTTTTTCTAAAGGTGTGTGGTTAATTGTGACAACAAAGTAAATCCTTCGGAAAAGCTTACTGTGTCATCTGAGTGCCTGGGAAACGCCTGTAACGCGAAACTGACTTATTCCTGGTCTTTGCTGTACTTGGAATTAGACGCAGGTACAAAATCAGTTTGGAAAACCAACAGTTCACTAATGAATCCGCGCTACATCGCACCATATGGAAGCTTTCCAATCATTGTCATAAAGAAAAATGTCCTACAAGGAAACAGACTTTACAAACTTGCTGTGAAAGGAATTCTGCCATCTGGTAGCTATGGACGTGCTTCTCATGTTTTTGAAGTCAATGCTCTTCCAAGGGACGGGACATGTGACATTGAGCCACGTGTCGGTCATGTGCTGACCACGCGGTACAGGCTCTGGTGCACTGGCTGGCATGACCCTGATGGTCCCTTTAGGTACGAGATTTACCACGTTCGTGGAAAAGAGGAATCGCCTCTGTATTACGGAACAGACGCAGCAACAATCATTTCACTTCCATTAGGGGACGGAGAGAATTACACTATGAATATCACAGTTCGCGTCTCCGACAGATTAGGCGCAACATCATCTGTGAGGCTTCAACTTCAGGTAACTGTAGAAAATCATCAATGCGATTGGCTAACAATGTATTCCTCCGGGGTCGTGCAACAGATGCTTTGTGATTAGAACCTCCTGGGTCTTCTTCCCGAAACGCTTTAAATTGATATCGTGGGAAAAACTAGCCGTTTGCATCTTTAGGGTTGATAAAAGTGAAAGTTTCGTTTTCATTTTCTATGGCAAATTACTGTCACTGTGCAAACTACAAAATATTTTCTTTCTTGCAGTCACTTCCTCCACTCCTTAAAGGCACCCAGCTTATAAATCAGCTGTTCGACTTGATAAAGGATACGAACCAGGATATGCTGCGTAATGCTATGAGCATTAGTTCTGTTTTAAACTACCAAGCAGGACAGGACACTTCCGAGCTTGCAGAACAGCGAAAGAAGGTTTGAACTACGAGAATTCTCTCCCTGAAGGCGTGTTACTTCTTGAGTTTGTCCTCATGTTTCCACCACCACTAGTGCTGACATTCTTGTTAATCACTCCACTTTGATAAACCGTCGTATTTCGTCTGTTTGTGAAACACTGCTGACATTTCAATAGTTCTTGCAGCATTTTCTTGTTCAATGAGGCTGAAAGTATTGATGATAAATAGAAACACTCTTACCAATTCACAGATACGCGAACTGCTCATATTTGCATTGGTGAAGGAAACGACTCCTTCTGGTCAGGCCGTTCAGGTTTTATCTGCGTCTCTCCAAGAAGCCACTCAAGTAACCAGTGAAGTATCATATGAGGCACAGGTAGATAGCAGTTAAATATGTTTTCTGTGTAAGGTCGCAAAATGGTAAGGTATAATGTAGGTGTTTTCAATCAACATCCCTGAAACAGCACTGTACACGTTACCTTTTACTTGAGAGGTTCACGTCGACTCGCTCCTCTCGTGACAGTCTCAATAACAGATAAATATCAAATAATAATAATAATTCATTGTCCTTCCATCCGTGCTGTCTGTCTTTGCAAAATAGCTGACTCATGTAGGTTCCATATATTTTTGTACAATCAGTTGTGTGATTGTCGCTATTTTTCAGGAAGCAGCTACCTCAGCGCTGGACAAAATGGCTGCTGTATTTGAGAGTGAGTCCCCCGAGACAAGCTCTGATTCATTGGACACAGCTGCTGTCGGAATGTGTGGAACTATCGGAAATTTGCTTGACGTCGCCTCAGAAAATGCCGCTGTCCATCAGCCAAACAACACGAATCAGACGTTATTAGAAAATGTCAAAGAACAAGCTGACAATGAGACTATGCACTCAAAGGTAGGCTTACGAGTTTTTCATCTAACCTATATTTCCGTACTTAATCAAGGAGTAGGTCTGCCAGAAAAAGCCATCTTATTATGTCAGTAGGTCTGCCAGAAAAAGCCATCTTATTATGTCATTATTGGCGTATCTTTAGGTAATGATGATTTCATGGATTTTCTGCAATATCACAATTACGCCGGCGTGCTAGTTCAGCTTTTTAATGTATGAATGCTTCATTCTTTTCAGAGTAAGGTTTTGGTAAATAAATTATTCAAAGTTGTGGATTCGTTGTCAACGTCAGTGCTCAGAACAAAGGTACCCTATGAAGAAGCTACAGAGATAATTTCCCCACGACTTGCTCTAAACCTGAAGAGCACCGCTCCCTCTGGGACTGGAGGGAACGTGAACACAGGATTTGCAAGCTTTAATGTGCCAAAAGGAAAAGACTTGCTCCGTAATGCAAGGCCAGGATTGACATCTATTAATCAAAAGGTATGTTTCTTAGTGATTAGGTATAATTTAATACAAGTATTTTACTGTATCATCAGATATTACACCTCCAGCAAACGACACACCTCTATGATCGGTTTAGATCCAATACTAGATCCAATAGCGTTGGTGACTATATTTTCCAGTGCTTTAAATGCTTCAGTTTGTATCAATGTCGGATACTGTCATTCTTGTTACTGAGAACGGTCATACTTTTTAGCGTCGCTATCCTCGAGCTCAAACCATTAACTTTGGTAGAGAAGGGTTGTATGTTATTCTCCTTTATTTGCAGGTAATGCATACGCCAAAAAATTACCATACCTACCATAACTCATCAAGGGACATCAATACCCCTGTTGTCAGCCTTTCTTACGAAGACAAGGAAAAGAAAGAGTTGATTTCAGTTTCTAACCTCAAAAAATACATCGAATATTTTTTGCCTGCTCCAGATGTCCTGCCAGAACCGAATAAATACAACGTAAATGTCACAGCAGAAGACACCTGGGCGTATCACAAGCTAGTAATTTCCTCCAAAGACGAAGCAGTTAGCATCGAAGTCACGCCATTCAACTGCAGTCACAAACTTCGTCTTCTCGTTCGAGAAAACCGTCATCCAACCAAGGAAAAATTTTCGTGGCGAAAAGAAATCTGGCACTCTGCTACCGAAGTTCCGTCAAACACTAGCTACTCAGCATGTTTTAAGGACTATTCTCATTACACACTTTTCATATCGAACACAAGACTGAAACAGTCTACCTACTTTATTGGCGTTTGGTATTCAAGTAGGAAAGAGGACATGAGAAGTTTCAACGAGACTGCTGTAATGAAGTACTCCATTAGAGTTTACAAATCAAAATGCCTCTATTGGAACCAGCGACAACAGGCATGGAAGGGCGACGGCTGTTTTGTGAGTCTTTCAGTAGTTTCCATTTCAGTCTTTAATTTCCATCTGATCCAAATGTAGAGTATTATTTATGCTTTAATGTGATGCAGCAAGTAATCAGCCTTTAGTGTTTGATTCAAATGTATATGAGATCATGTGCACTGTATTGGCAGAGGTGTTCACTCCGTAAGACAAGTCATAGTATGGTGGTAGCTTATAATACAGGAATACCTTTATCCACTGACATCTACTGGTAGTGACAAGACACCTATCTTAATCATATTGCTATTTCTAGCTCTTCTCGTCTAGTGTATTAGTATTAAATCAAAAATAAATCCTCGCCAGCGACCATTTTTTACTCAATCATTTAAAATCATTCCTAGGTTGGACCATTTACAAGTCCAAAGCGAATTCACTGTATGACAAATCATCTGACATCATTTGGATCTGGAATGTTCGTAGCACCAAATCCAATCGATTTCAGAAAAGCCTTGGCAGGGTTTGCCGACGCCTTTCAAAGTGGTAATGTTGTAGTAATGTTCACTATCATTACCTCGTTGATGCTCTACTTGGTGCTGGCTATATGGGCTTGGAGAGTTGACAAGAGAGACGCCAGACAGGTAAGAAAAACTAACATTGATAAGTTGCAACTGGCTTTGGCCCAGTTCCTTAAACATTGAAAACCATACCAATCAAGAATTGGTCAGGTCCAGGAGAGGACACATTCGTGTGAGGTATAAATGAGCACCCCTTAAATTTCCATTTGATTCAGATGCAGTTTAATCGCTTTCCATGCGTAGAATGATTGGCGATATACCCATTTGACATAATTTTCACTGATAACTTTCATGAGCACTGAGGAGCCTCCTGGCTCTTTCGATACAACCAAAAACATAATAGTCAGGAAATTGGACCTAAGTGCTAGACACATGAGAGACCATTCATTTCCATATATTTCGGAGATTAATCTACAGTGGCATGTACCCTTAAAAAGTTTTCTTTGCGCACATGACAGCACTTTATTGTCATTATTCACTGATTTGTTTCCTCATCAACAGGTCGGTGCCACCATTCTTCCTCCCAGTCGACCAAACAGCCAGTATTTGTACGAGGTATACTTAGTTACAGGAAGCCGTAACGGTTCTGGTACGACAGCACATGTTGGCTGTGAGATTTTTGGAGAGGATGACGGTAGTGGCCCGTGCTTTCTGCTAGATGCCAACAGACCACTTTTTAGAAGAGGGGATCTAAATGTTTTCATCTTATCCGTGCCGCGTAGTTTTGGGGTCATTCGAGGAATTAAGATTTGGCATGATAACAGTGGTTACAGTCCATCATGGTTCTTATGCCGAGCGATGCTCAGAGACTGTCAGACTGACGAGAAGTGGATTTTTCTCGCAGGTAAGAAAGAGAAATTTCTCATTTTTGTCTCTTTTAAACACCCTTTTTATGCCACAAAGTACGTAAGAGTGGTTTTTGGATTATCAATACTCCCTAAGTTAGTTATGATTTTCACATGTTTGTTGTGAATCGTGTTTAAAGTCGTTGATGCTCACGCCATATGATATTTTCAACAAGAATACGTCTCCACTCGGGTGCTCAGTTACTTGATAGAAGAACATTTCAACTGTTATTCATAGGTTCGTGCTCTCAATTCATCATTAGCAGGTATTTTGTGGTTTGATAAGAATCGTGATCTTTCCTCCTCGTAAATAATTTACCCTTCCTTTTCACAGGGCCTGCAGGCCGTTGGCTGGATGTAGCAGAGGAAGACGGGAAAATAGACGTATTCCTCAACCCTGCAAGCGAACTCGACATGATCTCCTTCAAAAAGCTCTTCAACACAGAAGTACGCAAAGGGATTTGTGACAACCATCTTTGGTTTTCGTTGGCCTATCGACCTCCAAGAAGTCCATTTACTCGGCTTCAGAGACTCTCTTGTTGTCTCTCTCTATTGTTCACCTTCATGATCACCACAGCAATGTTTTATGGATCAGGTTCTGAACCAGGGGACACGTCCTCGTCTGTTCAGTTTGGACCCATAAAGCTTAACATGCGCACGGTCATGATTGCTATAGAGAGTGCATTGATTGCAATTCCAGTTAACATTCTGATAGTGGCCTTCTTTAGGAACTCCAAAGCGAAGGGAAAAAGGTCAAAAGAAAACAAATGCTGTCACGGAGACACTGATTCTCAAGCGTCTGAGCAGGAAACAGAAACTGACTCAATCAACAGCGATTTGCATAATTTAACCAAAAGCATGGAAAAGGATCGGGATCTTGACGATATACAATGCCATATCGGTGATGAGGATGTCTTTCAGAAAAGGATAAAAGCAGACAGAACTGGTTCTGAAAGAGAGAAGTCATTTCTTTCAACTGAAGAGACTGAGAGCATCGATGATGAATCTCTTCAAGACGCCCAAAATCCAGGATTTCTTGAAAACCTGCGTGGAAAGTTCCAAAGCGATGGAGGACCCTGTTTTCCATATTGGTGTGTATATGTGGGTTGGGTGTTGTGCATCTTGACTGTTTCGCTGTCTTGTGTGTTCACATTATTTTACAGCATGATGTGGGGGAAGGAAAAGTCAAACATGTGGTTGACAACAATGGCTATTTCGTTCATCCAAGATACGCTTATCAGTCAGCCATTAAAAGTGGTTATTGTAGCTTTGATCTTTGCGGTGTTCTTTAAGTCAGCTGATGATGAAGACTATTTTGAAGAGTCTCAATCCGCACAAGGTTTGCAAAGTTTTTAATGTAAAACGACTGACAAAGTGAAATATTTACATCAAACGGTCTCATGTTGTTATCAAAATTGTGGAGGATTTTTCCAAACAAAGAAACCAACTTCCTCCTTAAACAAAGGACATGCTGTCGAGCAGAATAAGTTGTAAGAGGCATAAGGTAACGAAAATAAGAGATGGGACTGCATGATTCTCTTAGTTTCAAATTTGCACAGTTTTCCAAATAAATCCCAAACTTTTTGGCAGTAATTTTAACCAATTTTATGTTCAGTGATAAAACAATTTGAGGATGTTGATATTTTTCTTTCGCAATTTTTAGAAGTGTCAAACGAAGAGGAAATACATCAAGAGCTTTCAAATGAGGAACTGGCCCAGTACCATCCCCCTCCGAAGGAAATTCTGAGAATTTTAAGGATCAAAGAGATCCGAAGACGAGAGACCATCAAAATTTTCACAGATATTTGTTTGTACGTTATTTTGCTGGCAATGGTGATGATTCTAAGCTTCCAATATAGGAACCCAGCATCGTACAAGATGATCAACACTTTGAGGCGGGTGTTTGTAAATCCTATGCACAATAACAGTCGCGTGCGGTTTGAACAGGTATACATGTTGAATCAACATATGTCAAAGCTATACCAAGCTTTCACTGCCAGGCTGTGTTGTAATTAAACGCTTCTCCTCTCAATATATTTTGTCCAAACTCCTACAAGCTTCTCATAAGACCTAATTCACAGTTGGTGAGAAATTTTTCTTTCTATCAAAGTTTCCTAAAAGGTGGTTAATGAACCTTTCGGGCTGATCTCCATCAAAATGATAACAAAACTTCACCCCTCATACCATCTCTCCTCAGGTGAACACTGTGAATTCCATCTGGGACTGGAGGAGGCAGACCCTATTACCAGGATTATTCCCGGAGAAAATTTACGAGGGCTTGCCCAGCGAGCCGTACATGGCTGACAGAATGTCGCTGCGGCTGGGTGTAGCGAGACTGCGCCAAGTTCGTATTCAGAAAGGTACCATAACGGTCGATGTTTGTACTCTTTGCAAACAGGAGTTAGAAATGGACTAGGTTGGAGGACGATCCGGCCTAGTTCCCAATTTCCTCACGAGGATCTGAACGGGTGCAGCTAAATAACTGGCGTCACTTTATGAAAACGCTTAACTGGGTGTTATCGAACTGATGATGGACTTAGACCCCATCGTTTCAACAGTTTCGGCTTCCCAAATCACATAAATAAGGATAGGTTGCAGTCCCTTCCAGGCGCTGGCCTAGTACCCTTGTTCTACCAATTAGTTTTCTTATGTATTCTTATATTACGCTGTTTTAATTCATTGCAGTAATTATAATTGTGGGAAAATGAAACCATTTAATCTTCTCTTTAGACCTTAGAAAACTTGATTAACCGACACCTTATTACCACCTCATAAATTATTTTTTTCGTATTTTAAGGTACCTGTTCAGTTAACAAATGGTTTGACGACATATTTCATGAATGTAACGGATTTTATTCAATGCTAAAAGACGACACTAAGTTTTATGATTCTCGTTGGGAGAATGCAACAGTTAAACCCAAGAATACTGATAACAGGAACTTGTTTTCATTCTCGTCCGGGACGTCTGATCACAGACATACCCCGTGGCAGCATATGGACAATTTCGCTGCCCATCATGTATTGCCAGTCATTGGGAAATTTGCAACTTACAGTGGAGGTGGTTATGTAATTATTCTGAACCAGAGTACAGACACTCCTGAGGAACAACTGCACTGGTTGGATAGTCGCACCAGGGCTCTCCACGCCGAATTCGTTGCCTACAACCCCAGCATCAACATGGTTGCTGCCGTAACGATTACATTTGAGCTCCCACCTTTGGGTGGGGTATATAAAAGTTTCGAGGCATTCACTGTTAGCATGTATGGTTCTTTGCGGAAACATCCAGCTGCAAGAATAATCGGTGAAGTTACAGCTGCTGTTGTGCTTGTTTTTATGATATATCGCGCTGTCTTTGCGATATTTCACGACAAGTGTCAATATTTCAGAGATGCATCGAAAGTTTTGGACCTTATCTTCGTATTTACGGGTATTGTAATCGTGTTTTTGAAAGTTTTAAAGGAGGGATTCAAAAACCTGGCCACTGATCAGTTCAAAGAAGATCCAAAACAATTCCTTGATTTTTACCAGTGTGGCTTCTACGATGAGTTGACCGACTATGCTTTCGCTTTCCTCAATTTTATAGCCATTGTTAGATTTTCGTTTTTCCTGAAATTGCTTGGGTGCTTGGAGCACATTTTATTGACCATTGCGGGTTGTTTTAACGAGCTTCTTGCGTGTCTTGTTGTGTTTTTCTGCCTCATGATGGCGTTCACGTCCTTGTTTTCCATTGCCTTCCACGGCGACAGTGATGATTTTAAGGATTTCTCAAGCTCATTGCAAACCTCGATTTCATACATGGCGCGCATGGTTAGAACTGAGGAAGCCGTGACCTCACATACAGTTTTACGAGCAGTGGCGTTATTCTCATGTTGTGCGACTCTGATCTTCTTTTACTTGACTGTAATTCGCTCGATTTTCATTGTAGGTTACAGGAAAACGGTAATGAAAGATCGTGGAAAGGTGAAAGAGAAATCGTTTGAGTCCGGAGTTTTCGAAATTTTAAAGGATAAGTTTCGAGAATTGGCAGGTATTGAAAAAGAGAATAAAGTAATTGTCCAAGAGGAAGAAGATACTCATGAAGTGAGGTTAAAGGCTCTTGTAAATTACATCACTAAAAGTCAGTTTTTGCGAATTCAGCTTTTCGTTAACGAGGTTTACACAGATGATTTTGCAGAAGACCTGAGCCTTTTCGAGGAGGTACCTCTAAAGAAGAGGCATCAACATTCCATAAATAAAGATACTGGCGTCCAGGAAGATCACAATTTAAAAAGAGCGGAAACGTCCAAGCCCACAACGGAAGTCAATCAAGATTCGATTCCTGAAGATATGCAGAGTAAAAGTGAGCAAAAGTTTCGTGTGACTTTCGACCTCCCCGGCGAAAACGACAGAGCCACTACAAGAATTACAACATTTAACGAAGAAGGAGAGCTTGGAGGTAACAATGCCTCAAGAGACAACAATACGGAAATGCCAAACGAAACAGAGAAGTTGAATGCACTTGAGAAATTAATTGAAGAGAAAATAAGAGGTTTGCAGACGCGTAAAGAGGATTCTACACCGCCTTCAGACTTTGGATCCGTCGAAAAGGAGATACAGATGCTTACAAGACTACAACAAAGGATTGATGCAGCAAGAATACAAGGAACACCATCAACGCAACCCTCTCAAGAAAAAGTCACAAAAGATTGATCACAAAACCAAGTTCCATCATGTTTCTAGTAACTATGTGGATTTGCAGAATACCTGTGACAATGGTTAGCGTATCTTTAATTAAGTGCGTACATGTGTTGAAAATCTTACTATCAGTAAACAGTAGTCTTTGGATTCTAAATGGCGGTAGTCTTTGACAGATAAAAATTCGGGGGAGTCTCCTTAAATCAGACCAACTTGCTAAGTGATTGGCATCGTGACCAAGAATGACCACTATGCCCTCGTGAGCTTTAAGTTTAACTACGAGTTTCGAGCAATTAAAAATTGACGCAAAAATCAGTGTAAATAAGTGTGCTGGCTCGTCTCGTCAGATAATTAAAGATCTTGAAGGATAAAGTCATTAGAAAAACCTGTCATGTCGTTGCCTATTTCCACTACTTCACTTGAGGGTAAGAGAATTTAATCTACGGAATCAAATAGCATTTCTTTCCACGGTTTCTGTTTGACCCCTACTCAATTCCATGAACGTTATCCTTCCAAAATCAAATGCATTGTATTACCTTGACAAGTGCCTGATTCCTGCGCCTTCAACTTGAATTTCACACAACTACCTATTCATGCACGTTTCGGACACCCTCAGAACAGTTTAGACCGCAAAAAGGGGGTTGTTTACTCCAAGCAATTAAGCAAAGTACTTTCGGGGAAATCTAAGCAGGGATATGCGCTTTGCTCGATGTAAGATGAACCCTTTGGCACTGAAAAAGCTTCGCTGCTTCTGAAGGTGAAGTACTTAGTGATTTTCGAAATATGTTTTATTGGTCAATTTTGTTTACTTCACTTGTCCAGACCACGGAATAGGTGCGGTGTATGAGGTCGTACAGTCTCGCACTTGACTATGCTCCTGTATATTCCATTTTGCTCACTGTTTTAAAAGGCTGACCTGTACAAAGAGCCCTTCAATACCATCAGTTCAAGTTCATTCTATGAGCGCTTACAAGCCACATTTAACTAACACTTTTTCCTTGATAACGTAAATGAAATGATTGGACAAAATACTGTTGACCAAGGACAGAATTTGTATATGAAGATGACCTGACATCGACACTTGTCTATTCAAGAGGTTTTATAGGAAATTCTACTCCTCCAAGTTTCTCTTGTTAAGTTCTTTTTTTAAACTATTAATTATTGCAAAATGAGTCCGTGAAAAGAGCTGACTTTGCAGGAATAGCGGGCAGGTGTAATAATAAGTGACGCCACACACCATTGAATCACCAAATTACGTGTTCTTTCATGGGAAATAATTCTCTTGTTCTTTAAAAATCAATTTCACAAAAGTCAATATAAATCAAAGGACCAATAGTATACTTGAAAGAGTTACGCGCATCTGATTAGCTAAAAATGAGTGCATTTTTCATGTAACATGAATGCGAAGTTGTAACACGAGTGGAACTCATAAATAGCGGTCAAAATTCCTTTTTTCTTTACTTTCTGTGATGCTTTTTTCATGTAAATTATTACAAATCGCACTCGCCCAATTTTATTTACTCGCGCTTAGTAATACCAAATTGCACGCAAAAAAAAAATCATGTTATTACCTATACTAAAAAGATCCGTATACTTTATTATACTTAAAAATATAAAATCCAGCCCTATTATATGTAATTTTCATCGAGGATCACTGAGATTTAAAAGCTAAAAGAACCATAATATTTCTTAAGTGTTACCACAAAAGCTGCAAAAGGTGTTCAAAGTGTGTTACAAAGTCTCTGTATAGATGGATAATAACAGACGTAACTACAAAACCAAGTAGACCATCTTTTTGTTATCGCTTTTTGTACCGACAAATTGTGAAGTCTTTCCTTCATTAACTTCATGCATTCCACTAATTATTCCTAAAATTGTCAATGACTTATCATAAGACAATTCTTTTGAAGAGAGAAAACGTTTTTAGATGTGTGTTACTTAAACTATCTACATGTATTCCTATGATAAATATCTCTTTGTCTATGTACTGCGTTTGGATTATGCAACCAAAATGGCCATGTTCTTCACTTATCATATCAAAGATGGCAATCATCTATTCTTAATCCCTTGAAAAATATTACTTGCGAATCTACTATAACACGCAAAACAATTTTGAAGGAAATTCATTATAAAACGAGTGTAATAAAATCGGTTTAAAAAAGGTTCACTGCGGAATTAAAAAAAAAGTTACTCCCTGAATGGTACAGAAATGATTAGATTTCGATAAGTTCAAGCCTCTCTTATGACCCAACTAGCATCTACGCGTTAAAAAATTCATATTGGTTCAAAATTTAAGCACCTAATCATACTAAGTAATTACACCCACACATTTGCTGGCGTTTTATCGTTAGACAACGAGCAGATTCCAACATTAACTTCTGTTTCATTGTCACTGTCACCATCATCATCCTCATCATTCCATTTGAGCTCGTCACTCATATCAAACACGGCTCCATGCAGGGTGGGGTGGCTGAAGTAAGGATTTGAAACATCAACAGACAGCTCACGTGACCCAACCTCGTGCGACAAGGCCAGTGATACGATTGGACGGGATTTGTTAATTACCATGGCAACCTGATCTCCATCATCCGTCAGGATGCAGCTGGAAACGGGAAGGTCTGGAGTGAAGCAGGCAAGAAGAGTGCCGGATATAAGGTCCCATATGCGAACAGTGCGATCACGAACGCCAAGAGGAACGTAAGCCAAGGCTCGTTTCCCATCTTTAGACAAGCAAACACCTTTGACAGGTTCCGTGTGGCCGTTCAGTTGGTGGTAAAATTTACCGGTGACCAAGTCGTACACCCGCAAGGTCTCGTTGGTGCCAAGTCTTCCAGCCACTAGCATACGCATGCTCAGGGAGGACACTGCCACATTCCAGACATTCATCCCCTGGCCAATGACGTGTTTGACCTTACCCGTCTCCAGGTCCCACGTAACCACAGATTTTCGTGTCTTGTCTAACTTGCTAACGTCAACTAAGTAATGGCCATTGTAGCTTATGTCAGCAGTTGTCAAACTTGGGTAGTGACCACTGATTTGTAACGTGTACCGTTTGGCTTTGTCTCTCAGGTCCCAGACTATGAGTGGAGCATTCTCACATGAGCACACTGCAACCAAGCCGTTGCCGCTGACCATCACTGTTTCGATGATAGCGTTTAGACCACTTTTAAGCTTCGCTACAAGTTCTCCAGTTTCAAGGGAAGCCAACTTGAGATACAAGCGATCTTTGGACAGGATAAGTACGTGTGTTGTGCCAACCAAAGCACAATCGCTGAATTTCAAACTCGTTGACACAGCAGGCACTCTTGGACTCTCGGCTAACCGCAGAGCTAAATCTCGACGCTTGTACAAGGAACTTGCGTGTCGGTGGACTTTATCCGTTTTGGGGGCAAAGTCAGATCGCATGTGTTTGATCAGTTTTCCTTCTTGAAGGTCAATTATTGCAAGTTTAGTTCCACAACGTATGACAGCGCGAGTGTCGTCGACAACTAGAATTTCATCTGCATTAGTGTTATTCAAGGTTCGAATTATCTGACATGAACTCAAATTCCACACACAGATGGGACCGGTAGTCTTTGACTTGGTGATTACTTGCTTTTGAACACTGCTTTTAATCGGTATTAACTGCTGGATGCTGTTCGTCTCTTTGTTGTCCTCAAAGCAGGCTTCAGAACCTTCCTGGGTTTCCAAATCCCATACACGTGCCATTAGGTCATCGGACACTGTCAAGACTGTCCTCAAATCAACACAGGAAACTCTCACAATGGCAGTCGTTGGGGGATGCTTCAGCACCTGCTTCTCCTTGATACCTGTTTCCAAGTTCCAGATTGCAATGTCATTGAAATTGTTGGTGCACAACATATAGCGCCCATTCTTAGTTACAGTAGGGTAAAGAATATCTGGTCCAAGAACGTGAAGACACTTTCCAGTGTTCAACTCAAACACTCGCACACTACTAGACTTCTCGAAAGACACAATGAGTTGACCCCCGTAGAATGAAGTAAGAATCAGGTTGTTCACAACATCCTCCGAGTCTTCCCCAGACACCTTGATAGACAGACGAATTTCCTTCGTATTGAGATCATAGACTCTGGTGTAGGCCGCCGTGGAGCTTGCGAAGGCAACGCTATTTCCAAGGCCAGCAATTCTGTCATGAAGGAACTTCTTATCCACAAAATCCCTCGTGAGTGTTCCATCGCTCAGGTTTACAAACTTGATGACCCTATCTAGAATCGCCACCAAAGTGTCACGGATTCCAGCAACTGTAATTGGAGCAGGTGTTTCCGTGCTAGGGATTTCCCAAACCATATGTGCTTTGTTAAGATTCCAAAATTGCAGTGATCCTTGACAAGATGCAATTGCAAACTGTTCATCAAGGCAGAAGTCCACATAGCCAATAGGTCTGGATGTATCCAAAGTTTTTTCTACCTCGCCACTCTTCACGTTCCACAGGGTGATAAGCTGGTCATGAGATCCATTCATGGCTTTGTCGCCATTCTGGCTGAGGACGAGAGATCCGTGAAGACCTGGAAATGAGTGTACCAGTTTTCCACCTGGTCGTGCAAGACAACGGATGTTGGGAATTAGGGCTGGATTGGAAGGGTGATGAGCTTGACGTAGAAGTCGAGCAATGAACGGAGATGGGGAACGAGAAGAGGATAAACGTCCAATGAGCTGTGACGACAACTGGTCTGTAGACACGTTCAAGGCTTCCATGGAAAGTTGCAATGTCTCAAAAACAAGCTTTAAATCTGGGTCGTCTGGTCTGACAGCCAGAGCCTCAATAAAGTCGTCAATAACGTCATGAACCGAGGTAGCTTTCAGTTTAACTGACAGAAATTCAAAGTTACAGAGGGCGCTTTGTTTGAGCCTCTCAAAATCGTCAGATTTCAACAAGTGAAAAGGGAGTTCCTTCAACTTTCTGTAGTTGAACACATCATTGGCAAACTGAAGTGGCTGACGAGGAAGATAGCGTTCTTTCACGTTCCCCTTCCCGTCTCCTTTCTTCGCACCTTGAGTCCATCGACCGATAAAATAATCTGCTAGCTCTGAATGAAAGCGGTGAAGGTCCTTATCATCGGAGAACAGGAATTTCTCCATGGAAATGTCATGAAACTCCTGATGGGCCCAAGTGATCAAACGGACTCCATTTTCAACGTGAGCAACAAGGAAGCGGCCTATATCAGCTTTGATGAGTAGCCAAAGTGACAAAGGAAGACGTCGAATTGGTGGAGCCCAGCTTGAAAATAGTTTATCCAACACGACCTCATCACAAGACAAGATATCTTCCAATTCCGCTTCGCTTATTCCTCTCCTAGAAGCGGTTATGTACGCAGCAGTATGTTGGAATATCTCCTTTCCGTGTTTAACCTCCAGATATTCGAACAAGGAGATGATCATCTCCCTCACTGAAGCACTGAGACTTACTTCTGCCAAAGCAGTATATGATTTCCACGTGAGAGCCTGTTCCAGGGAGAGCTTTAGGTAAAGCTGAGATCGACAGTTAGAGACTTGCTTTAGCACGAAGCTTTCTTGTGATTCAGTCAGCTTCCTGTTGTTGCTTTGTAAACATAATTTCATGATGTCCACCATTTCGCTATCAGTCATCTCTTGGATCTCAACGAAATGGCTGTCATCAACGACAATGCCCTGAAAAGATAATCAAGGAGATAAGACCAAGAAATAGTTTCTGTCAGTCAAGTTATTCACGTGATTTTCAGTATCCAACTCGTAAAGAAAGAGACAGCTATCAAAAACCTGATACCTACACAAGACAGGAAAAAAGGAATGCAAAAAAAAATACAGCTTATGTGGATACTTACCATTGCCAGAATAATGGTGTACATATCACCAATTTGAAAGGCGAGTTAAAATCTCGTGAGAAACTCAAGGACTCCAACTCAATGTGCAATATAGGCTAAACTACCCACCTTGAGGCAGGCAAAGGCCTGGTCTCCGGTCAAACACGTGAGGACAATCTTTACGTGAGAAGGCAGCTTATTTGGCAGCCATGACAACTCTCGCTTGATACTGTAACTCTGAAGTTGATCCAGTGAATCCAACAACAACACCAATGGTTGAGATTGGGAGGCTCTTTGAAGCAGGACATGGAATTCTTTCACTAAATTTTGATAGTCCTGTAAAGGATTGAAACCATGACTGTAAGACTAAGAAAACCGAAGACATTTTAATTTGATTTTGAATAGCTAGTTGTGTATTGACCAATCACAAAATAGTTTAGGACATACAAACAAACTTATAAACACAAATTGGCCACTCTTTTTGCTTACAGTTTAGTTTTTATAAGGTTTTAGTCATAAAAGAGTGAAATTTGCCATAGTCCGATTTTATGAAAACGAACTATACAGAAAATTATACAAACAAACCTGTGGAACGTTCTTGGAATCAGCTTTATAAACCAAACAAAGTTGATGGCAAATGCTTCGTAAAAGTGAGTGCACTTTACAGGACTGATGAGTAGTGCCAAGGAAACGCACCACAGTTGCCACTTCACCTCCATTCCACGTCTGACACGAATTAGCCGCCATTGCAATCAAAGATGTCTTACCAGAACCTTGCTTCCCATGAATAACTAAGGGAGAATTGATTTGTCCTGTAATGTAGTCCTTGATGCCATCAAGCACTTTACTAGGAATACAAGAGGAGGAGGAGGAAAGCTTTTTACAGTTTATTTGATGCTGTGCAACTTCTTCAAGCACCCCATCGTCCCATTTAGTATTTCTCTTCTTTTTGACAGCTTCTTCAATGCTTTTCTTCATCTTTTCATGGTAGTCTTGACACAGTTTTTTAATGTATTGGGCGTGTTCCTCATTCGAGTGAGGATCAACACCTTTTTCTCCCCACTTAATGTTATACGAAGCTATATTGTTATCATCAATTGCTTTGGGGATTTGATTTTCTTTCAGTAATTTTAGAATAGCCTTTGTGGACTTGTCCAACCCTTTCACTTCTCCTCTACCACGCAGTTTCGGTGGAAGTTCTTCGACGTCGACATACTTCGCTGCGCGAGGATTGTTGAGGTTCTCTTTCATATCTGTGATGTTGCGTTTGAACCAAAATGCCTGTAAGCTTGACAAATTCCTTTCTATAATGCCCTGCTTTATCTCCTCTTCTGAGTCTGTGAACAGAGATAAAGTAACAAATCATTATACCTCTTAAAACGTTCGGTTTATTTACATTTGCTCATCAAAATGAATGCTATACGCTCTGTAATTGGTGGTTACTTATGGTCTGTCAGAGTATGGACGTATGGACGACCTCAAAAAAGAAAAAAATGGTCTCTCCGTTTTCTTCACGATGACACAAAATTTAGGACTTATTAGCAATCTTTTTCTTTATTTTTTGAAAGAGGAAAGAAATTGAGACGAAAATTGTTCTAAGCGACTTGAAAATTAGGGGTGGCAACCAATTAAAATTAATCCTCATATCTTTAAACATTTATAACGAGGAAATGTTAAAAGTAAAATAGAAACGTGTAAAAAATCATTCATTTTCTTGTACTAGCAAGGAAGTGAGCTTTCCCCTTGTACAGGTTTGTTCCATGTTTGCAGAAATTCCTTTACTCTCTTCGTGAGTTCAAAAGTTAAATGGATAAAAAGGAAATGCAGCAAAGTAAAAATGAAAATTAGTGATTTGCAAGTAGATTAGGTTCCTGTGTTGCCTCAGACAAAGTAAAAGAAACGTCAACTTAGTTCCTCTCTAGAACATAACAGTTACCTGACTGTAAGTACTTATGTGCTGCATCTTCAGGCAGCGTCTTTGTAGCTGCCTTCGGCAGGGCATTCTGCAGGCTGAGGAATACATCCCACCATTCCTTAAGAGCGTGTTGCCTGGCTTCAACGGTGGGAGGATCGAGGAAGTCTGGAAACTGGCTGCTGATTGGTTGAAGGACATACTCCGGTGGGATGGCGTTGTCATCAAGCTTGAACCAAACTTGTAACAGTCGCTTGTCGTCTTCATCTTCAATTGCAGCAAACAAGGAGTCAAACTCAGAGGCAGAAATGGTACGAGGAAAAGGACGATAACCGTACTTATGACTCAAAAATGTCTGTAAAAGATGATCATAATCACGTTTAGGATGGTCTATACCTTCACAATTACTTATCGGGCGGAAAAAGTTCTATACATATGTTTTTTCGCCCTTAACACTTCAGTCCTCCAAAGTAAATTTTAGTGTCATATTCGATTAAGAGCGTGACTGCATGAAGCTGGTTAATTGAATTTGTCTTTTGGGTCTATTTAGATGGCTACCTGCAACTTCTGTCGTGGTAACTGACATTTGGAAATAAGCAAATTCCGTTGCCAACATTGAACTTGGTTCTTCTTGGAAAAAAAATGCTTTGCAAAATACTCCAATGTGATGGAATAGGAAATAAAAGAGGAGGATATATCCATTTTGTCTCAGCTGAGGTTTTTATACATCCAAACTATTAAGAGAGCATTTAGAATGGGTGTCACAAAAACACCCCAAATAAATCAGAGCAACCAATCAGAAGAAAGGAAAATATTATAGGGCCCAATAAAATCTCAAGGTAATCACAAATAAACATCCCCTGCACCTCCCTTTGAAAAAACATAGTTTTCCTTAAAAAAATGAGATGAAAGGAGAGAAAAAAGCAACAAAAGAGTGGTATCTATTCAGGTTACTCACCACAAAGTTGGGACCAGTAGAAAGCTCCTGGCAGAGATTGAGCTCCTCTAACGAAACCTCACTGAACATGTGGTCATCAGTGCATGGATCATGAATACCCCAGCGCATGTCTACCACCTGAAACTCATAACCTTTCTCATGACAGAAGTCTCTCAGTTTTGGATAAACTTGGCTCATCAGTGCATTGCGCTCAACTCTTGCATCTGTGTTGGGATAAAAACTTTCAACAATCAGGGAAAGACCAGAAGCATAAATATACCCCTCAAATGTAAGTGTGCCTGAAAGGGAAGGGAAACTACCCCTGGAAACAACTAGCCAACAAAGAGTTTTACCACTAGAGCCTGGTGGGTCTTTGTTTTGGTCTAAGAAGAGGAGGTTGTTCCAGGTCATCCAGGCCCCCATCTCTTTAGTCAACTAGTTTTTGCTGTTTTTTACAATTTCTATTGAAGGAAGTTGTTAACTTATAGAAATAACATAGGACACAGGGCTGATTATGACACATGGAAAGGAAAATCACATACTTTAGCCTAAAGTACGGAAAGCTGAGGGGTACACCACACATAGACCTCTTACACCTTATACTAACTTGTTTATTAGAACATTTAAAGGAAGGAAGTTTTTCAACAATCTGAGTGAACAAAAGGTTCCTTTTAGGAGATAGGAGGAAACAAAATATATGTGATGTCGGTAGGACACAGGCTCCATAGTACTCACTTCTTTCAGGAGATTTCTAATATATCAACCCAGATATCCCCTTTCTGTGATTAAATGCTTTATGTATTCTGCTTACCTGTAAAAGTGGAACTGGTGAATATTCTCACTATCTTGGCTGAATTAGGAACTGTCACACTCATGTTTCCTGATAAAACCTGATGATATACATCATCCAAGATGAGCTGTTTTCCTGCTGATTTTTCAACTTCAGCATCCTCATCATTAACTGTTCTTTGATTTGCTGCAGAATTCACAACTTTTTTTCCTTCAACATCACTTTGAGTTTCCAGATCTCCAGAAGCATGTGGATCGATTAGACCATTTACGAAATGATTTTCAGCCCCATTGACTGTATCAGGTTTTCCATCATCATCAAGGGGATAAATATCGATATCTGGTTCTTCATTGTCTGGCATATGGTCAATTGGACAAATTTCAATATCAACATCTGTTTCTTCCACTGCATCCTTCTTCTCATTAAGCATATTTTCAGCTGATTTTGAAACTTGATCATCCTTTTTGGGTGCTTCTCTTTCTTTCTTACCAAATAATTTTTTACTAATCTTTGAGAACCGCTCCTCTTTGTCTGCTTTACTTTTTGTCCTCCCACATAACTCATCCAGGGAACTACTTGATCCAGGAACAGCTTTTTTATGCAGTTCAAGTTCAGGTGTTTCATATTGAGGTAAAGAAAGATGAAACTCCTCACTAGATGCTTTTAGTTCCTGAGCTGCATGTGGCATATCAGCTGCTAGTTGCAGGGATGTCTGACTTGCTTCTTTATTACTGAGAAGGTTTAAAAGAGAAACAAGAATTGCTGTTGATTATTGTATGTTTACATAATTCAAGAGTTACTGCTTTCTGTTCAACTGTCTACTGATCACATGTCTGTGTAAATGTCAGCATACATTATATTAATAACAAAAAAAAAAATAGCTTATTTCCAACGCCAAAGGTCAATTTAGGGTGACTAATGTGGCATCAACCCATTTCTCCCAAGAGGAAATAATAGACAATTTCTCCCTTCTGTGGCAACACTTTGTCAACCAGAAAGGTAATGAGAATGTAGAAAAATAACCAACTTGAAGACATTAACTGCTTTTACAGGAGTTCTCTGTATTTACATGAAATATATCAAATATATCACAGACAGTAAGGAGAATTGAAATCAAGATCTTGGATTGAAAGGTTTGAGGTATTTCTTAACATCCAATTTTGCATCTTATCCTAACAAACAAAGAACATTTTCCTAGGCTATGCAGAAAACAGAATCATTGCTTTACTTCAAGCTAGCTCTGTGCTTGCACTCAAAGCCTGATCAGTGACCTAGGAGTCTGTCATTTAACTCAGAAATAAGTTGACAATTCCATTCTTGTTGAGTTGCAATCAGAGCATCAAGATTCTACAAAGTTGTCTTAAAGTCTTCATTGCAGGTTCAGAGCCATATTGACACCTTAATATATCTCATCTTGCTAAATGCGATCCAACAATGAAAAGGGGGGCTCACCAAAATTGTTGAGTTACAGGTATATATTATTAAAAGCTTCAATGAGGGTGTTTCTAAATAGGTGTAGTGTCTTCAAATTGAGAATCAATTGAGTATTTTTATGTTAATTAACCATAAAATAATTTTGTTCAAAAGTGAAAGCAAAACTTTAAAAAATAAATTCATGTCAAAGCACCTTGAAGCTGTGACTATGCCGCTGAAAGAGAAATCACAGAAATGTGTTTTTTTTAAAGAGGTGAGAGAAAATTTAATTTCACGATAAAAGATTTCCAAGGTGGTTTGATAATTATTATTAAGTTTTGGGTAAAGATGTGATCCAATTTGCTTGTAATATAATAAAGTTTACGCGTAACTTCTGAAACACTGTACTTTTCGAAGAATGCAAATTTCTCACACTACATAAATATATGCAGGCTTAGCGTAATACTGGATCATATCTAGATTTAACCCATACTTGTGTATTTAGTCAACTATTAATATTTAATTCTTTTATCCCACTGTCTAAACAAGAAGATATACATACAAATCAGTAGATGAGAAACTTTGAACGGATTCCATCTTAAAATATATGTAAAATCGTTCCATCATCGCTGAACAATTTGTTTCCGTTGCAAAATCGTTTAAAATGCAGTTAGTAGTCCAAGCAATTTGATTAATTTCACGCTGTTGAGCGCTGATAGATTTCGCAATGGTTACATCCTTTTATAATCGTTGGGTATTGACCCATTTACGGACATATCTTCTGACGAAAAAAAAACACACGGCATCCTGCCAATCTGCGGTTTATTTGGAATACCGCCAAATTCATGCGACCGAAATTCTTTTTTTTTCGTGGGGTTGATCGAGAGAGAGAAAAAATAAATCAACAGTGTTCGTCGATATTCAGAGATAATGAGAATTGCCCATTGTGGCCCCAAGTACTTGCTTGAGAGACCAAACATTGACACTCGCGAAAATAGGTTTGCCCTACTTTGTGGAAGAATCGTTCTTTACATACCTTAGAGTCAGATTTTGTTGTCCTGCTTCGAGATCGTCCTCTGAAGAACTTCGGACAGGCCTCCCTTTCGAAACACAGCATCCCATGTTCCCTTATTCAATAGATTTCAAATCAACACCTTCAGACGCACTTAGCCCTTCTCAGACCATCGTGTCACACAACGAGAAGCGTCGACTCAGCTGAGATAATTGTCATACAGAAGTTATTATGGTTCGTCACTGTGGACATAATGACAGCGAATACTGACAGATGAGGTTGATGTTATTTGTACGTTGGCGTTCACGGATCCCTCGGAATGTAACATAGCTAGCTTAAAATGTCAAATTAGCATAATTTCGATGACTCGAAAGAAATTATTTTAATCTTACCTTCATCTACAGATAATTTTCCATATTTCGTACAATGCACTCTACGGAATTTCAAATAAACAAAAAATTTTCCCTTAGGCACGAATCCAAAACAAATTGTAAATTTCTGGTCAAGTCCTCATGACAGCAAGACAAACCTGTAATTTCTCTCCAATTCTAACAAAACATCCATATCATTTTAGTAATAAGAATATCAAGACTGATCATACTTTGTTCAGCGGTTGATCAGCCTCGCTTTGGATCATCACTGTTATAAAACATGGCGGGTTTGGCGCGAAGATAAACTTTTTCATACAGTCATGGCTATTTTAAACCGATTTTACAGATCAGTTAACAGTAACAACTACTATATTGAGTGGACAATATTCCATAATGGAGTTTGATTCTTTAGAAAGAAGGAAGTAATGGATTTAAACTTTTCGCAAGATTCCTTTGCCTTTAGCGACATTGTTGCACCTTCTCATGTCAGTGGGCTCGAGTCCTTTTCGGATTTTGACGCAAGTGAATGCAGCGAAGCATCTTTCGCTGAAATTGTGCCGAACAAAGACATCAACACTGATCTTGGAACGTCTTTGACTGGAGAAAATGTGGGTCAAACCGATGGTTCTGTAGAGAAAGGGGAAGAGTCAAGTGCTATCGAGCAGTAAGTTAAAGATCGATTTGATTACGATACCAGTCTACAGATTTTTTAAAATCTTGTATATTTCTCTTCTTCGTGAGGCTGAGTCGAGTGAGAACTTTGTGTGAATTTTTCTGGTCACAGGCAAGCCTGGTATGATTAAGCGGAATTGTGTCCAAGTTTTTTGATGTTGGTTAGCTGTAGACATTATCACCTAGGTATTAATTAGGCTTGCAAGCAGCAATCATAATGATGGAATAGAAGTCGCGATCAAAGTCAAATCTTTGCCATCAGAATATATTATAAAGTATGTTTTAAAACATTTTTTTAAAATTAAAGCCAAATATTTTTTCATGATGGATCTAAACCTATCATGACGAGTCTCTTTGAATTCGGTACTACTGTCTATTACCTGTTTGATTTGACAACGCGTACACAATTAAAAGAGAAGAGAATTTGAAACGCAATAATTAATAATCAATTACATTATTCCACACCTGTTGCACTCTAAAGATATTTTGAGTTGTCTGCAAATTTTAACATAGTTTCTTATCCTTTTCAAATTTTGAAGAAAATATCACTTTAAATCTTTCCAAATATGAGTTACAGTACTTGAAGCCTGTGATCTTACAGTCTCATGAGAAATGCAACTTAATTAAATTTGAGAAATATGGATTGTTGTTATAACCACACATGAGGCAAACTTTCTGAATTCTGATTGGTTTAGACTGGGGTTTTTCATTATCACCAGACTCTGTGATCAACTTGTTATATTTGGTTTAGTATAAAACATATCAGTTGTACAGCGAGATTTCATTGTACAACTGATATGTTTGAAGTTCTTGTCTCCATGCATTGTCAGAGGCTATCCTAGGGGAAGCCTTTATGAATCCCTTAGGTCACCCATACACCATTTGTTAATGAATCCTTCCACCCATCACAAGTGTTTTGCACAAAATGTTAACATTGTCATATCAATAACTCTCACTTTGACTTTTTTATTTTTTATCTAATCTTTAGGTCATCTCTGGGATTGCAGGAACTGAACTCCAACAACATCAATGAGTTCTTTGAGGCCATCCATAATGCAGAGTCGCTTGGTATGTTTAAGTATTTAAGCAATAAAGAATTACAGCTATCACAGTAATGAGAATTCTGGACATGATGCAAGGGTTTTGATAACATTTTCCACAAGCAGCTGCGGATGATGTTATAGGCAGCTGTGCCATAAGGTGAAACCCAAACACCAAAGCTTGCCCACAAGCTAAACAGATAGCGGTGAAAGGTCTTACAGGCTGCAGTAGCCTTTTGGAAACCAGATTTATTGAAATTCCAGACAATGTGCTAATAATAAGCACACTGAACTTTGAATGGAGAGGTGCAGGCTTGATTCCTGATCAGAGTCATTCTGTTGAGTTTTTAGGCAGGACACTTCACTTTCACAGAGCCTTTCTCTACTCAGGAGTATACCTGAGTGCTGATAAACATTAGGAGAACCTGTTTAAAATATTCTCAGTGGAAATGGTACAAACCTTGTAGATCAATCTCTTGGCCTAAAATATTCACATATTAAGGGGAAAGTAATGTAACCCAGTCTTCTTTTGAAACTTTCTTGAGAATGTTGCTTTAAAGAGCTTGCATTGTGCAGAGATACATATGGTGGCCTGAATTTGAATGCAAGTGCTGAAAACTCAAATACAGGGTAATCTGTGAAAAAATGTTATATGTTGGAAAAAAGATAAGGTTTTTAATAACAGATGTGTGACTTTGCTTTTAGGCTTTGTAGCATCAAGTGAGAGTGGGAAAAGTGTGACTGGAGATGAAAGTTCACTTGGAATTTTGCAGTTAGACGGACTACCAGGTTAATATAAATGAACTCTAAGAAAAGATTTTGAAAAATTGATTTTATTTGTAAGTGAATGATTAGAAATGTTCTGTTTTAATGCTTTTTTAGAGCAGCATGATTTTTAATTTTTACTTTCCCATGGGTATGAAAAGTATACAGTATGAAATTTTTAAACCAAAAATTGATTTGAACCACAATGTTTATATTGAAATAATAGATAAATGAATAATAGACACAAGGTTTACAGGCTCAGGTAATTATGATTTAATTGGGTAGAGCTTTATTGAAAACTGCAGCTCTACATAATGCTGTTTTAGGTATGCTGTTGTAATATATTCTCTGTGGTTGAATTTATCAATACAGTTTGCTACTGTAAGTTTTCAGAATTTCTAGTCATGTATGAGATTTATTGGACTTATGGTAGCTGTGAAACCTCTAATACCTTCTCTACCCCTCCCTTCCTAAAGTGTGTATTTATAGACAGTATAGAAATCAACAATATCATTAATTTATCTTTATAGACCTCAGTGACAATTTTCAGACTCCAGCTGGTTCTATAGAAGCCTCCCTGATGTTGGAAAGAACTTTAATTGGTGACGAAGAAGATGGCAATGACCTTGGTGAAGTTGTACTCAATCGCTATACTGTTGATGGTAATCAGCAAGAAGGAGAGGACATCCCCTTTACTAATGGGTTCCATCCAGCTTCAGACCAGACTCCAGTTGTTAACAAGAACACAGTGATGCAATTAGAAGAAGAAAGACCAGATACTGGTATGAAATAGTTGACTGGAACAATTTATGTCACATTAACCCTTCAACTTCCATGAGTGACCAAAACAGGATGAAACCAGGGGTTTCAAAATGCTTTGAAGTAGGCATCAGACTTTGCAAAAGTAGGTGACTGTCAAAAGTTCATTAAGGGCCCAAAGGGAATTATTTTTATCAGAGTACCTGGCAATATGTTATCAAGTAGCCTGCCAAACTTGGGCAGTCACTGGCTTATTTTGAAATCCTCATGAAACATACAAGTGATGAGATTGCCAAAAAATAAAATTAAGCAATGATTAGTTGATCCAATACCAAATTCAAATAATGTAGATATGCTGCACAATGCTTTAGTTAACCTGTTAACACAGGTTAACTTGTTTATCTTCAGGTCAAGATCCAGACACGTTTTTCAGTTCTCACAGCATACAAGCAAATGATGATTTTCAGGAATCTGTTAATGAGGAACCTTTACAACACAGCTATGGTCAAGGTATCTAATGAGTTTGCTCTCCATGTTCCAACAATTTTCCTGACAGCCCTCGAGATCCATAAAATTGATTTGAAAAACCCTTTAATATCAAAGGAAAAATACAAGTCCAGTTTGACTCAAAAATCCCAAAGCCACTTTTTTTTTTGTTTTTTTTGTGTGACAAAAAATGATGTCATTCAAATCTAAATCATATGAATTACCTGGTAACTAGTGAGGCACGCTTGAAATTGAACAATAATTTAAATGAAAGAAAGTCCATAATTGTGTGCTCCAGGGTGTACATGCTAACTGAGTTCTTTCAAAGGTTTTTATGAATTTCATAAATACAGAAAAGGTTGCAACATTCATACTTAACTTTTCATGAGGCTAAGAGTGCAGTTGCTCAGATATAACTAGCTTGAGGTACATTAGACATAATATAATGATATTATTTGTAGGTGATTAAATATGTTGAATCAGTGCTCTTAAACATAGGAAAGGGCTAACAAAGAGCTTAGTCAACATTAGGGTCATTTGAAGAGTGATGCAATAAGCACTTATGTTAGATGAAGCAATGCAGAGAATTGTGCTGACTGATAAGTAATTAGTGAGTTGGTGATTTGTATACTGTTGCTTTGTTATGTCAACTCAGCAGAGTTTTGAAATCCTTGAATCAGTTGCCAATTATAAAAAATGGAGGAAAAAATGAATAGTCCTGGAATTATGTTGTACTATATTTCTTCACCTATAAGCTGGGTGATTTTTTCAGTATTTGACAAAAAGTTTGAGATATTTTTTCATGAGAAATGGGGTTTGGCTTATAGCCGAGGGTTTAGAATTAAAAAACAAAGTTCAATTGAAAATGTACTGTTAATACAAAATGACCTTAAATTCCATGACTGCAGCGCTCTTTACATGACATGCTTTAAAATTGTCATGACAACAATGTATTTCTGACCACCAATCAGATTCTTTGCTTCCCACGTATTGTTGTGTTTCTGCAGTCATGTGGTAGTATTTACATCTTCACTGATTTGCTTTTTTTCTTTTGTGTTTATTTTAATTCATTAGCTTTTGTGGTCAGCAAGTCATTTCCCAATGTTTTCCATGAGGTTCGCTCACTCAAATGACCGGGTACAATCAAGAATTTTGCTTTTGGCTTACAGCCAATGGTTTTTCTTTTTCTTTTTTTTTTTTTGGACAACACGAGTCTGTTGGAAGATCTCTAACTTTTAGGGTCTTGGCTTATAGGTGAAGAAGTACAGTAACCTTTTTTTTCACACTTTGATCAAAACATCTTGTGGGATAGTTTGTTTCTTGTCTTTTTTCAGAAGAACTTGATATGATGTTACAGAGGAGAGCAGGGAGTGGTGATGGTGGAGAGCTGATTGATAGGGTGTCATTGACATCCAGTATCAGCTTCATTCAATCACAGACATTTCCTGACAGTATTTTCAGTCAAAGTTTTGGCAGGTATTGCGTGGACATGTGAATGTTGTCTAGTGATTTTTTGCAATTGTATCTTGGTCTTTTGCTACCATGCTAGAGAGATAATGTGAGTGGGGTAGTAAAACAAATTAATTTGCTTTTATCAACTGAGTTGATGTTGTAAATTTGCCACTGTAAAGAGTTTCTAAGCTGACATTTTGAGTGTAAGCCCTTCATCATTTGCTCTGACAAAAGACTAATGCTTGAAACATCAGCTTTCAAACAATTAATGGTGGCCATTTTGCATTGTCAAATCAGCTGATAAATCCAAGCTAGGTTTCATACTAGGTTCTTTTCTTCTCCTTGGTTGTTTATGTGATGGTTTTTGCATTTTGTTTTATTTTTAATACAATACAGTAGCAGAGGGCTTGGGAGTGGAATGGATTCCAGATCTGAAAGTGATGGACACGAGGATAATGATGAGGTCACATCACCGCTGCTACATGGTGCAGGAGATGGAAGTAATGATAGTACAGGACGCCCTGGTCTTGAAGGTGCTAACTCTGATGTGGAAGACTTGCAACTCCAAAATGGACCTTCTTTAGATGCAAGTAACAGACAAGAAACACAGGCAATAGGTTAGTATGTGCCTTCAAATACTGTTTTTTGCTTGGAGTATTCACACTATTAAGGTACAAGTAGAATTCTACCAAAGTTTCAACGACAATTTTTTTTTCTTTTTAGAGTTGCGCCAATCAGCAGAGGGAGTTGATGTTCTTCCTGACATTCTAGGTGATGGAGGTGGAGGTGGTGATGGCAGCAGTGGTAACAATAGTGATGCAGATGATGGTGGCCCAGCTGGTAAGAAAGGGATTAATTAGAAGGGTCAAGTCTTATGAGCTGATAGAGTGGACCACAAGTACTAGTTTCTGTATTCTTGTTTCTGTTGCATAAAGCTACCAAGAGTATTTTTACTCTATGGGTCTCCTCTCAGGATGGAATGCCATTCAAAAGTAATGTCACATAGGCCTAGCATTACTCCAGCATTTTTCAGTGCTCTTACATACTCTGACTGGTGAATGGAAAGAGGCACTGTGAGGGTAACATGTCTTACCCTAGACCACAACAGAAAGACTGGATTGGGGCTGGAAAACAGACCTTTCAGCTTGGAGTCTAGTGTATAACTATTTGATCATTGTGTCACCCCTATCTATGGAATAGCAAAATAGAGTATCATCATGCAAATGAACAGTTATGTGTTGTATCATTTGCAGGAGCAGCGTATGCATCCTCTACTGCAAGCTCTTTACCATCCTTAACATTTCCTCCATCAATCATGTCATTTGGATTTGTCAACCAATCCATGGGAGGAAACTTCCAGGGCACTTCCTCTTTACCTACCAGTGATGGTCTGACAGCAGGGAGAGGCTGTCCTGTTGGTGACGCTGCTGCAGAAAGGTCACCTGTCCTGTCCCCTAGTCCTCCAGACTGGATAAACAGGTTACATGATTCTGTGACTATGCCACATTCTCTACATTTCCAAGCTTCGTCTACTCCCATGGTTAGAGAGGTATTGTTTCCCTTCAAGGAGTTTTATCAATTTACAATAGGTCAATTAATTTATTATTTTGATCTACTCAATTAAAGGTTAGCAAAACTTTTATTTTAATTTGTTTTATGTTGATATGTCTTGTTTGTTTGTGTTTGTTTTTTCTTTTAATGAAATGGGCATTACTTTCCTGTCCGGAATTCAGGCTCACCTTCTGCATTGCTGATCTGTTTAAATTTCAAACATTTGGCCTGGCTTATGCAAAATATCTACTTATACTCTTACTTTGCATTTTTACCCTGAAATTTGCAGTGCAACTGCTGCTTAGCTGTGCCCTAGTTGCAGTTCAGTTTTGAACTTTCATAATAAATCATCAGGAGTATAGACAATTGGAAATTGTCATTTACTTCATGGTGTGCATGTATTTCGCTCACTTTTGATTTATTAGTAGTTACTGAAGTGATTTGAGAGAATTATTACCTTTGACTGGTAAGAACTGATTTCCAATAGATTGAGCAATGATTTAAGCATCTCTCCTGTTGTAATTTTCATGTTCTGGATATTTGACAGGGTGTGCCACAGAATTGTGACAACACAGGTACCCACAATGAAACATCAGCTCTAGAGTCTTGTTACCTAATGAGCCACAATGCTGCTACACCTCGTTCAGCATGGGCAGAAGATGGCTCTTTTCATATGTCCCAGGTGTGTTTTTGCTGCTTTTATTCTTGGCTAGCAGAAATGTAGTCAAGATGAAATTGTTAAGGAAAAATTATTTGTTAAAGTCTTATTCACAATGAGTAGGCTAGCTCAATGGTAACTGACCAAATCTTGCCTTGCTGGTGAAGTCTAGTCTAGTTTAACTTAGACTAGCCTAGCCTGGTATAGCATGCATGTTTATTTAATTAATTGCCAAGTTTCTGTCAGCTCAATTGTTAGGCATCAATGTCAAAATAGAAATGTGTGTGGTTTTTAATCCTCTCCAGCGGCTTAGAGCTTTTTCTCCATCCCATACTCCAAGTAAATATGTAAAATTTGTCTTTGTCGTGTTTTTTACTCATCAGATGCTGGGCAACAAACAAAGCAACTCTCTTGTGGATGCTGAGTCCTTGAATTTTGACCCTACCACCATTGATGCTGCCCATAATGCTTCTCAAGATGAGGATAAGGTAAAGCTTGTGGAGGCAACTCTGCCTACTTGCATTTTATAGCTCTTCACAGTAATGAACAGTTTGGTTAGGTTCAAGTGAGTGACTTAGTGAATGCTTGAAATGTTTTTGCCAAGCTAAATTTTTGGCATGGACACCCAAGAGTGATGATTTCAAGGTGTGTAAGCAAGCCCAAGCAGTTTCCATTTATTTAATAGCCTTAAAAGCAGCTTCCATTTATTTAGCCTTAAAATCTTACTGTGTAAATGAAACCCTTTAAATCCAAGATCTGATTATTAATTCTCCTCTCCAGCTGCAATCAGTTAGTTATGATATACTGTGTGAGAATTTGGCATTAGGTCAAGGTAACACATTTTTTACGTGATAAGTTTGGGTATTCTCATTACCTGTTTGCGGGATAATGTATGGATATAATAGGAGAAGTTACATGTCAATCACCTCTGGGGGTTATAGGGTTGAAAGAAAGAACAGATGCACCAGCTAAAGCCACACATAAAAATCCTTAAAAGTCATAAGGTGGAGGAGAAGGGTAATGTGTAACCCTGATCAAAATGTTGCTGCCACTCTTTGTGTTTTAGAGTACCTTTGGTAAATGTCTGGACTGATGCTTTTTTATCAATAAATAAAGTCAAAGACTCTTAATAGGATCACCATGAAATGGTTATTATAATCTAGTGTTCACATGATGATATTTGACAACAACAAAGCAGGATGAGGGCTGACTGAAGAGTTCCTCATTCTTCTATTAACTGAAAATTGCAAACTCTAAACCCCTAATTAACTTAGTGCAAATGCTACCCATGCAGATCTCTGATACGTGCTGGCAAAATAACAATTTATGCTGATTAAGGATCATCACAAATTGTACTTTCTTTAAACACAGAAGGAATATGATTCAAAATCCGTATTTTGCATTCTTGTTTCCTATGCAGACTCTCATTTCCAATGAAACAGCTTTTGAAGGTTATTCAAATCAAGAATCGGATCAGAGGTCAGGAAGCTGGCATGGTGATGGGTCAGCTGTGTCTGCTTCAATTAATCAGAGTAGTCCTGACTTCTCAATCAAGTTTGGAAATAGTATTTTCATCAACGGGGACTCAGCCATTGACAGTTCAAAGCTATGGAAGGTATATGCCGCTGGAATTTGAATGGCATTACTGTATAACTTGCCAAAATATAATTCCATAGCTTACGGAAGCCTTACAGTCACTACTTTTACATTTAATGAATATGTCAATACATGCTGTATTCTTAGAGTTTGAAGACTTATAACCAGGAAAGTCCTTTTTGTTGCAGCTAATTGAGAATTTTAAACAGTGACAAAACTATTACATGTAATGATTATTTTAAACTGTAACAAGGCCACATAGGCGGCAATAAAAACAATTTTCTTTTTTTACTTCAGTCAACACCCAGAGATGAAGAAGAAGACGGAATGAGGTCTACACCTGGTGTTGTTTTCCAAGGCAATCAGCGACCATCTACTGTGACTGGACAAATAGTTGTTAATAATCAGGTATAGTGAAATAATTTTCCACAAAAAAACAAGACAACACAAATTGTCAAGTTATGAAGCTGTTCCTTCCAAACACTCAAAAAGCAAAGCAGAACCCTACAGACTTCAGTAGCAGTACATCTCCACATGTACTGTCTTGAAACAGTGACTGCTTTTCAATATATATGAGCATGTATAATTATTAAGCTTTTGTTACATGTAAGAACATTTTAATTTCTCCTCAAGCATGCTAGAACAGAACATTCAAGTGATGGGGATCCTTCTACAACCTTGGCATCAGGAGTAACAACTTGGAGAGAGGGTATTGAAGCTTAAATGCTATTTGTGAAATATTTATAGAAAAAGTTTTTCAAGTCTTGTAATGAATGTACAACCTTGGCATGCTGTGACATACACATGCTAAATTTGGGTGTGTTGTTAAATCTCCCAAGAGACTCTAGGAAGTGTACATCATGCTAATTTTACTGCGGCTGGACTTATGGGAACTGATTACAGTATGTTTGTTTAATGTAAAAAAATAAATTGTTAACTTAAAAGTTACTCTGAATGAAGTAATTCTGGATACCTTGAGACTTTACAATAGGAAAGGACAATAATTCTTTCTATGATATGGTCACTTCCAATGTGGATCTTGCTGTTTAAACACCATACTGCTAGTCTTTAGGCAGTTTTAAGTAAACCTTGTCACCAAATGAATACTAGCAGGGTCCTATCAAATTGTTGCCATCTGTATGGGAAGTAACTTCATTACATCTACATGTATAAGACAAACAACAATAACATTAAACTCTATGCAACCTTGTTCCCAGTACCAATATCCATGTGAGCATTGCTACCAATAAAGTAAATAAATTACTTTCTGCCAAATTACTTTGATCTGTGAATGAAGTGTATAAACATTTTAAGTGACAAGCCCATTCCCCCTTGCACCAGAATTTAACTGTTTTTGCTGGGTTGGACAAAATTACCCAAACTGAAAGCTCACTGTGTTGTTCCAAAATGCAGGAAATTCCCAGGGGCTAGTGGATCTATCAAGTGGCCAAAATGGTGTTGATCTGCCTACTGACAGAACCTTGACTCCTGGAGGAATTGGCGATGATACTTCTATCCAACAAACAGCAGCACCTTGGGAAATTGATAAAATGCCCTCTTGCCCTTGGCCTGATGGTGCAGGTGGAATGCAAGACTCAATACTGAGATCAAATCCATTTGAAGGTTTGTTTCTAGCCTACTGAAAGGGAATAAGTAAAGAATGATGCAGACTTTTCAGCATGGTGTCACCTCTTTGTCCAGCATGAATTATGTTTCTCTTGGTGGGGTTGAAGGTTTAAATCCACAGTGGTTACCCTTAACCAAAGAACTGGCCCTGTTTGTTTGAAGGATGGATAATGCTCTCTACTGGATAAATCACTTAATTTGGAAGCAATCTTTGCAGTAATGAACACTACCTGAGAAGTGGTGAAAATAAGGCCAGTAAAAAATTCAGGCCTTATTTGAACCCATGACCTCTGTGATACAGGTGCAATGCTCTACCAACTGAGCTGACAAGCCAACTGGGAGCTGGTCAATATGTTTGTTCATGATAAACCTGTGAAGTGATGGATGCATTACTATCAAGATAAATCACTATCAAGCAGATAAAGATTTATCCAGTAGTTGTTGAACTAGTTATGGCTAACTGTTGGAAGTCATTTCTGAAGTTCTTCATGAAACATTCTATTAAATACATGTAAAAGATTAACAGCTTTGGGACCACCTTAAAGGTGCAGACATCTTGCCATCACTGTTGGTTGACAAACTGTCTTTATTCTGTAAGTAGGCTCCATTGATCAACAGCCATGGCCTTTTGGTGAAGGTGGGGCTGTTTCTGAAGAAGATCAACCTTTTGGTGGTGAAAGCAAAAGGTTCTCATGGACAGGCTCTGATTTTGGGTTTGAGGTGCAAGGTATAGGGATAATTTTGTATCACTGAACTAAGGTTGTTACCATATATGTAGCTGAGCAAATTTACAAAAAGGTAGAATCTACACCAAAACTTTTTCTTGAGGCTTGACAAGTCTGAACTTCTAGAAATGCATTTACTTTCTAGCACCAACAGTCTTGACAATATGACCATGCTAACTGACAATGCTCTTTGCCTTCATGGTTCAACACTACTTTATCAAAAGTAAAATAAATTTAAGCTTATGATAAGCTGCTTTACCAACCTGTCAGGTTTTTCTTGAACACAAAAGAATCTGTTTGAAAGAATTCATTGAACCTTAAAATTCCTATTTAAAAATGAAATAAAATAAGCCCTTATTTGCAATGAAAAGGGGCCAAATTTGTACAGAATCTACTGAAACTAGGGATAGCTGTTACTGCACAGTACTATAGACAGTGCCAATAATATTCCAGCTACCAAATCTTCTTTTGAAAGAGACATTATCTCTCTTTTATAGGAGATGCAGAAGCAATTATTGCGGCAGGTGAAGAGAGTTTCAACAGGGAGCATGAGCTTGAAATTCCAGTAAGCAGATTTGCAACCACTGTAAATAGTAATTGTGGCTTTACGGGAATTAGGACATTTTGTGATAAAGTCCTTCACAAAAACTGGATCGATACTCCAAGCCCAGGAATTTTAAATTAATTTTAATTGCATGCAAGTAAAATTTGTTGGCACAACAAAGGTTTTTTAGTTGGCGTCATCCTGAAAGTGATGATTTAAAACTTGGAAAATCTATGCTATTACTTCACTTAATGTACTTAGTTTGGTAGAGGGAGATTACATGACAAGACAAGGCATAACATGTAACTATTTTTCAAATGGAATACATTAATATCACTTTGACCCGCAGATAAATAAATGAAGATAAGAATGGTGATCACTGCACTGCTGTTACAGTGGTCATGGGTTCAACTCCCATACAAGCCTGGATATTTCTATTCTATTGAGTAAAGTGTTATCAGACTAAAGTTTAATTTATGTGTGTTTTGTTTGTTACAGTCTCACACTCAAATTAATGATATAACTAAGTTGCACGACTGGACTGTGCCTGAGAGTCACTTTCTCACAAGACCATCCCTGCTCCAGGTTGTGGGTATAAATGATCCTAATGGCTTGGGAGAGGTGCGTATTTCATTTGGTGCATTTCTTGCAGCAGGATCAGGAGAGCTTGGTTCATTGTCTAGAACTAGTCCTGACAGACCCAGGGTAAGTTTTAAGTTTTGAGGTTTGTAGTTGCTCAACAACCAAACAGAAGTAGAAGGTTAAAGTTTGGTTTGAACAAGCAAAAGAAAGTCATGAATCTAAAACAATTCTAAAAACATGTAGAAGGTAATCTGCAATGGAATTGCATCCCATCCTTGTGAGGCAGTTATACCCCTAGTTGCACTGCAACAGAAATAAAAATATTCTGATTTGGAAGCTATGCAAGCCATTCTTGTGTACAAACCTTTATAGAGAAATGATTATTATGATATTGGTTAATCATTAATCCCACTCTTTTGTTCATTTACCACCTTAGCCTCATTTTGGAGATGACAAACCAATACTGACCCCCTCCCCACAGCCACCAGTGAGAATGATCAGCAAGCCTTCTACACCGTTTGATCAGTTTATGCAAGAGAGCAATCCACCTGATGTTCTTTCAAATAGGACATCTGCAGATGGAGGCATCAAAGAGGCATTGCAACAGCAACCCAAGCATGTTGCTAAGAAACCTCAGAAACACGATCAGTTGAAGAAAGAAGAAAGTTTAGAAGCAGGAAGTGGTCCTGGAACCTCCAAATCCCAGGGGTTGGTTGCTTCAGGTTCAGAAGAGTTGTCTTTGGAAATGCAGAAGATGAAGCTTGATGAGCAGTTCAAAGTTGATTCTACCTTCAAAAGTAGAAGTAGAACAGCAAGTCAGACTAGCTCACAGAGCAGCAGCAGTAAAGGAAGTATCAAGAGTGTCGTCAAGATAGACAGTTCTCAAAGTGTACAACCCAGTAAAAATATTGCTGGTGATATTAGATCTAAACCCAAGGAGGGGAAACGATTACACAGAAAGGAAAAGGAAGAGAGTCAAATTGTCTCAACTAATCCACTTGATGTATCTTCAAGATCAGAACTGGGCCTTCAGCAGGAACTTCAAGAGTTGTACATACACTCCAGTAGAATAGGGTCTCTAAGGAGATCATCTGTTGGGGATGTAAGTTCTGCTTCATCACTAGAAAAGATGACTCAATTTATTGCAAAAGCCATTAATGAGGATCCAGATGAAATAAGGAAAAAATTAACAGCAGTAGAAAAGAAAAAGTCCAAGGCCAAGTTGAGAAGGAAACGTATTTCATCTTCTGAAGTTGAATCAATATCACCCAGTTCTAGAACATCTGACTTCAATCCTGTGTCCTCCAGTAGTCCTCAAACAAAGTCCTCACCTGAAAAGTTAGCATACTCACCAGGAAGGGCTCAAGGGATTGTGCCTAATAACAATTCTGACTCTCCAGACAAACTGGCAAGTTACTCAATTGAGGATAGTGTTTTTCGTTCTCATGATTCGCCATCCATGATCCCCCTTAGTATGAAGGAGCTTGATTCCAAAGATTTTCCATTGGAACAGGAATCCATGTCTTCCTCTGAAATGGGCAACTTTCAACATGTTATTCCTCAATTTGGTGAAACATACACACTTCGAAAACCTTCTGAGGATAATAATCAACATCTTAATGCTCCTATGGTTGATCCCAGGAAACATAGAACACATGAAATTGAACAAAGACTAAACCGCTCACTTCCTAAGGATGAGGACCATGATAATTTTTCACATCCTCCCATGGCAACTAGGCAACTTCATCCTTTAATCCAAGAAAGCACCATGTGGCAGTCAGAATCCTCATCACCTAGGCAACGACTTGAGACATCAGATAGTGCTGTTGGAAGCATGACTACCTCACTCTCTGAGGATGTTACCACCACTAGACATTCTTGGCCAGAAGCAACCCCAAGTCGTTGGTACAAGACAAGGGAGGACTCTCGTTGGGCTGCTAATGTGCAAAGTAGTGCTATCCAACCTGGTGGCACCAATGCAACTGTAGGACTTATGACTCATGTTACTGCAAATGATAATTTAAAAGTAGCTGTTCAAACTAGCAACTTGAATGAAGGACTGCCATCATCTTTGTTGATGCATGGGCATCAGCCTGCAATTTTAACCAATCACAATAGTTCACCACTCAGTATTCCATTTAGCACTTCTCAAGGAATTGTTCCACTTGTGAATCAAGGGACAATATCACATTTGTATCCTGGGGGTAACATCAATGGTTCCATTGGTTTACCAGGCTTGGCAGGGCCTATTTATCCAGGAAATGGTTTAAGTATTCAGACGCATGGCCCATTGTCACATACAGCACCAGTTGGGTATGGTCCAAGGATGGCTCCTGTTGGGTCAGCCATGTATCCAGGTCATGGACATGGCTTAATTAACACTTTACATGGTCAAGTTCCTCTTGTTCATACTGTTTCTGCGTCAATGGGACCAAAACCATCAAGTTTAACACCAAACTATGTCCAATCTGTCGATGTCAACATTCCTCATAGTAGTAATAGTCAATATGAACCCACCCATCAACTTCCTTTACAATTTCAATCTAACCCATCAAACATTTCTGGGTTGCCAGCTACATTCACACAACCAAAGATACCTGCTTCCTTACCTTTCCACCAACCTTCTTTCCAACATGATCCTAATGGACTTTTGCAAGTAAGACCTGAATTTTCACGAGAGAGAATGCTACAATCGCCATCGCAGCTGATTATACCAGGGGAGATAAAGGTTCCTTCGTTTTGCTGTGTGGGTGTCTTGACAGAAACAGTCATTCCTTTGCACAACAGTAGTAGCCGATGGATGCATTGTGAAATACACTCTATCTTATCCACCGTCAACGGGGTCCAGGTAAGTGCTATAAAGACATTTTATTGTGCATTGTTTTGTGATGACTGCTTCAAACCTAGGACAAGAGCTCTATTTGAAGTAAAATGTTTAACAATCTTCTCAGTGGGAGATGAACTGGCAAAAAGGGTTAGTGCATTGGACCATGGAAAAAAGATTAAAGCCCTTGTGGATGTAAAAGTAGAACTTGTATCACTGATGAAACTAGTTATGACCTTGTTCACTGTACTGTGTCTGTGGCTCCATGGTTTAGCATCAGAGCCCAGAATCCTAAGGTCCAACATCTGACAGTTTTTTTCTTTGTCCCAAGCTTGTAACAAGCCAGAAAAAAATTTTTTCTCTCATCATTTGTTCCTTTCTTGCTTTTAGTTGCCTAACTGCCCTTTTTCCTAACATGCAGGTACCAAGTAGCAGTAGTGCATTTTCTCACCAGCTGAAAGCTATCATTGGTCCACATACCACAGAGAATATCAAGGTTAGTGTCTGAACGGAGTATAGGCAATGTTGGACCCCAATTTTGAGGTATGTAACACACACACAAAGAAAAAAATTGGTTTTGATTCTTGAATATTAATCTTTATTAGCAGGCTGATATAAGAACATTTTAAGACAATTGAATGGCAATTACCTTGATTAGTTGACCAATTTAAATTATACATAATTACAGGGACAATAAGGTGTAAGTGTCTGATTGTGCTACACAATGGTTCAATATCAAATTTTTAGAAAAAAGAGCACTTTTTTTTTGCCTCTTTGTTAGTTAAGCATTGAGCCTAAAGAAGCTGGCACACTCACTACACAGCTGCAAGTTTATTCATTCCCTGTTGTGTGTGAAGTACAACAAGTAACGCATAGTGTGGGACCAGTGTTGGCCTTAGAAGTTGTTGCTGAAGAACCTCAAGTAGAGGTATGAAGAACAATGTAAAGAATCAGTCACTTTTAGCAGCTCAAATCTATTTGTGAGTCTGTATAAAGCAAGTTGTTTCTGTGCACATTTTTAGGCTTGTTGATTTGGTGATAAGCTACTCAATGGAAGGCATTTAATGTTTCCTGCTCCTTTTGATTGTTGGTTGCATAGTGTGTTATTGTTAAAGTTTTTTTAAACTTGATAATTAGGTTGTTCTTGAGGATGAAAACTCTATTTTCTTTGGTGAAGTATCTTGTGGGGCCAAGCAATGCCGACCAATTCATCTTGTTAACAGAGGGAGAGCCCAAGTGCCTATCAGAATCATTATATCTGCAGTAAGTTAGCCACTCAATTATTTTTTATGCTAGTATCATTGTAGAAAAGTGCTGTCACTGTTTGTTACTATTATTTAAAAACAATCAACCTAATGGGTGGTGAAAACATGTCTAAGGCCAATTACGTGGTCTCTTACCAGTGAGAGTTATTTTACGTCAAGTCCTTAACCTGTACATTAACCAATTACTATGGAATTTTTTTTTTACAAGTAAGTAATTATTGTCTGACTTAATGCAGAATAGGGCAAGTCTTTTGAAAGATTATTCAACAAACATTTGATTTATTAAGGAACATTTCCTTTTACACTAATTAATAGGGGATGGGTTATTTTTATTTCACATCTCAATGCTCCTTGTCCTGGAACTTTTTGAGACAGGAAGGTTTCTTTCTATATTAAATCATGTTTGGTCTTCATATGCCATGCATTTACTGTCTTTTGCTTTTAATCAAACAGAATAGCAGCTCACTAAACTGTTTTGCATTTGCTGATGCGGATTTCATGCCAAAGACAGATGTGGTCAGAGGACCTGCCTCTGCTGGGGCTAAGGGATCAGCATTAACTATCCACACTCTGTTTATAAAGGGACGGAAAGAATTGGTGGGTGCAATGTGGATTGATTGTGTATATGGAAATTTGAAATACTTGAAGCTCAATGAATGTCATTTAAGATCAAGTTATTTTTCAGGTTTTTTGGAACCTTTATATCAGTCTATAGTTTGCTCTGCACACTCTTTTTGCAAAGTTTCTTCATATAGTGAAGGCAGATTGTGATGCTACAAATGTCTCACTAGAACTCTCTTCTGCCTGTGCATTACAATTAGGAAACAAATAAGAAAAGATTTTTCAGACTGTGGTAGTCATTGCAAAATCTTTTAATACAGCTGTATTTTTTCTGATTCTTTGGAAAAAAATGCACTCCTGGCAAAAAGTTTACAGTTTTGTGTGTAGAACTCAAATTGGTGCAACTAATTGTTTTATCAACTTTTTATATTTTTTTAGCTATTGTTTAGATATCAGTCATCTGAAAATACTCAATAATTAACTTCCACAGACTTCCAAGGTAGAGCCCACTGTTGTCTGGCTTCTGTTTCAGTCTCCAAACATGAGCATTAAGAGTGAGTGAAAAGGAAAGCTAAACTGTACTAGTGACTGAAATTGAGCAAGGCACTTCTTTCAAAGTGATGCCTGTGCTTGGTCAGAAATGCTTTTGATTTTACTGGACTTCCAGTAATAATGTTGATAATAAGCATAGGTAAAAATATGATTTCAATTGCAATTTTTATTTTGGTACATGCTATCTTTATCAAAATGTCTCGGTGGTTCATAAAATCTCAATTCAAGGAAAGTTAATTTTTGTTCATTTTAGGTCCCACATCAGTTGGACCCGCAACTGAGTACACAGCACGGCTTGATGTAGAAATTGACAGTGCACAGCAAGGTTTGAAAAAATAGTGTTGGATTATTTTAACTGCAAACTTTTGGTTTATTGCACTGAAACTTAAATGGACATATGTATTGTTCATGGCAGTTTTCCTTTCAATTTATTTTCTCTCTCTCTGTGTTTTACTTTAGACTTTATCCACTTGTTCACTAAAGAGCAGTTTTCTTGTACTTTTATGCTCACGTACTCTTAATTATGACCATAGGCCTGACTATTTCCAGTATTGCTCTGAAAGCCATTGAGGGAATTGTAAGGCTACATACTCCACATAAACTTCAGGTATGTGTGTAACCTTTAAACATATAACATCTGACTGTTTTTAGTCTGTCTAAAGATGAAAAAATTGTCAGTAGACACTGAAATTGACTGTAATGATGACTTTAACTCAGATTGTAACAGCTTTTACTGACAATGTTATTTCTCTCCTCTGAGACTACCTGATGACCTGAAAACAGTTTTAAAGTTTTATAGAGATTGCATTGTTGTTTTCTAGATCTAAGTAATTCTATGTTGTCGAGAAGAGAAGAGCCATCAACCAATGAACAAGCCACAACAAAGTGAGGCTAGTCCAATTGCCTCTGATCTTATCAGGGCCTCTTGAACAGTAAACTAAAACTGATCTGTCCAGTGTAGTCTACAAATTTCCTCACCCTTCTTGTTTTGTCAATGAATTAATTGAATTCTATAGGTGGTGACTCTAAAAAGTCCAGTGGGGAAGAGCACAAGTTGTACCATTCCTGTCAAGAATGCTGGCAACATTACAGCTAAAGTGAATCTTAGAATTGAAGGAGACTCTAAACAATTCTCAGTTAAACCTGCTCAGTTACGGGTAAAACCTGAAGAGGTAAGAAATTCTGAATCTTCAATAACTATAAACTACAATAATTGGAATAAGAAGCAGAAAAAATATTGTTGAAAAACAATTATTTTGAAAAATGAAAATTTGACAGTGTCATAGTGATTCTTATTTGGAGTTGTATCTCCTTGTTTTCAAGGAGTCCGAGGTTCAAGTCATGTTCCAGCCCACTGAAGGAGATAAACAAGTGGAAAGGTATGTACTCTTTGTTATTGATATGACCCCCACAGGCCTCCCATTAAATTGAAGATCATTAGACAAAAATCCCTCCTACATATTACAGTATAATTATATTTTATGACCGCCAAACAAAATAGCATGAGAAAGGTCATACAAAGCTGTAACCCAATGAGATGCAAGCTAAAAGAAGGAGAGAAGAAATAGTAAGCCTAGGATGATTGTCATATGATTTCCGTTAGGTTGGAGGGGAAAATATTTGGTTCTCAGTCATGATGCACAAATCTAGCTGTTTTTAGTAACTTAAGAGTCAATAATTTGGGATTTGCTTTAAAATCATTCAAAACTGTGAACAGTTCTGTGGGACCTCTCAAACTTATTTTCCCAAGTACACTTGTGCAAGAAATACTGTTACTTGTAAGTACCAGTCTTTCAACAATGCAGAATGACTGACAGGGAAACTTTGATTTTAGATCAAGAAGGCACCATTTGGTTAGCACCTAAACTCTTCAATTTATCTGTAACATACCCCCATTTTTTCCATAGCCTGGTAATTCTGGCAGTTCCAAATGGACCAGTGTATGAATTAGTACTGAAGGGATCAGCTTTGCCAAAAGAGGATGACAAGTATGATCTCACTTTTTTTTTTTTTACTTGCTTCCATTTTGCATCTTTGTGAATTATTTGATCTCAGTAAGATTTTTCAACAGATGCAATGGATGAACAAAAATTTCCTTGCTTCTGACATATGGCTTTATAGCTCAGTATATAGTGGTTCACAACCACCATCTGTCAAAGTTTGGATTTTCTCACTCAGGCTTCTGTTCCTACAATTTCTTTAATTACAGTTCATCTTTGAAGGTTACTTCAATCATTCTTTGCAAACATCCCCAGCTTGAATTGTAACGTATTTCATTTGTTTATGTCATCTTGTTGCTAGGTTTGCTTTATTAAGCAGTAAACCAGTTCTCTGCTGGAGTGGAGTAGCACTTGGATGGTCTCAGTGAGTATTATCATATTTTTACAGCCATACTGTAAATGACCCAGTTTTAGTGACATTGTGCTGAATGATATGATTTTGAGTGATGATGGTTGCAAGAAGGACTAGCTTGACTATGATTCCCCATTTGACAATGGAGTAGGGATATAAATCAAAGTTGTATTAATGAAATGTCAGTTACTGTTACAGTTATCAGGGTCATTTTAGAAGAATTAACTTAACAGAGCTATCTCACCAAGGAGTACTTGCTATTGACATAACATTAGGAGTTTTTGATCAGGCTGTACTTTAAGTTGTGTACAGTATAGAAAGCTTAGCATAGATAATCAAATCTTTATTATTTAAGTGTAAGTGCACTATTGTAACTATTTTTTCACAAGTCAAGAGGCATCTGGTGTGTTTGAATATGTTTTTTTTATTCCCTTCAACAGGCAACAGAAGGTTATACTTAAAACAAGCTCTGCAACCCCAGTAAAACTTCAACTTATGATTGAGGGAAACCACTCAGATTATCAGGTTTGTTTGACAATATAGAAAAGTTTTCCCTCTTTGCAATTTAACAAATGAGCTGTGGTACACTTCATCTTGCAAAACAAATTGAAGTATTGCATGACTTTGTTTTTTTTTCTTTTCGTGTGTTTCTTATGCATCTCATCAAGCAGCATAACTTGTATTGACAGTGGTATAAAGTAAAGTTGAAATTATGCCACTGCATTTTGAGTTTTTAAAGAATAAACAACTTTTCCAAAATTTTCTTTAAATGTCCAAGTAGCATGAAATGACCAAGAGTATTTGCAACTCCAGGATCTCAGTCCATTGCAGGTTTACTGCTTTGAATTTTGCCAAGTTTCACCTTCAATTTGCCAGTACCAATTAAAATATTCCTGTCTGGAAAGAGTTGCCATGAGAGTAAATTATCTTCCTGAGTACACAACATGATGGACCTAGCAAACACTTAAACCTGGATATTCCAATCCACAGTCTAGGGCACAAGCCAATAGGTCCCCATCTCACCTGTGTCTCTTTCCTTGTACCAGTCAACCTTGAATTCTGCTATATAAAAAATGTTTTTTTTTTGGTTCCAGATACAACCCATGTTTAGCTCACATGGTGGAAGCCCAGAGCACCCTCAGGCTACTCTTGAGCCCAAGGTCAGTTTGAATAATTGATCAACAGAGTCTCATTGCAATTGTATTGTTATGTGTTAGCCATTATCTAAATGTGATTTGTGTGTTATATTGACAGAAGGAACTTCCTGTCCATGTAAGCTTTTCACCATCATCCATGGGTCTCATCTCCAGTTCTCTGGTCATCAAATCCCTTGCTGGAAAAACAAAGTCCAAGGTGACCAACCTTTTGTTATACATTTGTTAGTGTTATCATTATTATGATTATAATAGTTATTATTACTTTTTTTATTTTTGTTTTTTTTTTTTGTTTTGAATTGCTCTGTGTCTAAATAATGACTCCATGCATTAATTTTGCTGCTATATCCAAATGTTTCTTGAATATGTTTTGAAAGAATGCCTCTGCTTATTTTGATCTTGTTGAGAGAAAATAAGTATTCATGGAATCTTTTAAAGCATTAGAATAAGGAGAGGAAAACCTGGCTTTGCTTTTAGAGTGACCTGAGATTCTCTTTGTTGTCAGATACCTTTGTATGGCTGTGGTGGAACAAGTCAGCTGGTGCTGGTCGATATTAGACAGTTGAGTGAAGGATATATCACCAACATTGGAGAGGTAATGTAATTGTTAGTTGTATTTCTTATGGTTCTTGAGAAGTTAAAAAAGGTGTTGTAACTGAGGCTGCACCTGGACCTGTCTCCATGGTTGCCAGCTTTAATAACATCACAATGTCTTATTGCGTTATAAAGGTGGCTCTGAATCTTAGCAACTGATTTTTTAAGACTCTGCCTCAAGATGGCCTTTGGTATCTTAATTTCAATAAAGTAACAGACCAATGAGATCCCCAAACCTGTTTCAGTGTTGCATTCAATCAAGACTAAATTTGAGGGGGCTTTAAGAAGCTGTAATGTTGATTTTGTAGCATGACATCAAGGGCATTTGAAAAAAAAGAAATTAATGTCTTACTTGTGCATATGAGCATTCATCAATGTACAAAGCATGCAGGAAGTTTGGAGAGCTTGAACTATGTATAAGAGTTGCGTGATATTTAGCTGGGAATAATGTTAGGTCCTAAAGTGTTTTCCAAACCTTACAGTCATATCTCATTGAATATGCAGTTGATACATGAACCAATTATTCTGTAACAATTCCAACTTGGGAGTTTAGATATTGTCTCAAAAGAAATTCCTTGTGCCCAAGGCATAGAAACAATTTGTCTTTGTCTACAGTGAGGATAATTACATGTATGTAGTGTGATTAAATTTGAGTGTACAGTATTTAAATGTAATTTGACCCACATATATTTCACTTATAGGTTTCTCTGGGAAAGAAGAATTCTGTCAAAGTTGTGGTGAGAAATTCTGGGACAAGGGCAGCTTTCGTCAAAGCCATATGTTATTCAGGTACTCTCAGTGGAGGGGCAGAAATTTGTACAAAGAAATGTCAGTACAAAAGATGTTTCAAGCAACTGTGGGTTTTTTTTTTTTTTCAGATATCCATACACTTCAAAGGTATCCTTCTAGTCACTTAAAGATTCACCCAGACAGTTTTGTCCTTTCTGAGAGGACCTCAAGGGTAAGCTGAAAGTGCTTTTAAGTTACGGTGTATAGCATACATGTATATGTTTTGTACAACCACTGTATGGATGACCAACAACTTAAGATGTGAACCATACATAAATTTTATAATCTGTTTATTTCATTCATAAGGCTGTGTTAATTGAGTACCAACCTCTTGAGAAGGATGCAATTAATTGTCGCACATCTGTGAACTCTGTGGCTGTTGTGGCTTTCTATACTGGAGACGAATTTTTGAGACGACAATACAAGAAGTGAGTAGCAATGGGTTTTTAAAGACTAGAAATCGTTTATTTTTATTGACTGAGATGAAGTTGTTCTGCAAAGCTAAAAGTTAAATATCTCTAGGTTTGAGAGTTTTTTAATTTATTTTCCTCAACTATATTTTCTGTAACATCCTTGTAGAACTTTTGAGTCAAAAGACTCAATGTAATAATTGTCTTAAATTATCTTTTAGTTGCATTTTTGTCTTATCTAAGTTGATGTCAATTGTTCAGCCCACACCCGCCAGAGTAGAAAACAGTAAAGGGACAGATTATGACAAGTGTGTCACCTTTGAAATAAAAATTCTGACAAAATGAGTTTCCTAGGAATCTGCATACACAACCTTTACAGCCTTCGTCTCAAATAATGGAGAGAAGTCTTCTAACAGGGATTAACTTTACCACAGCTTTTCAAGATGAGGATAAACTTGTTGAAGGTATAATTTGACACCTTAAATCTGTAGTCAGGGCCTGTAGGTGAATATTTGTACATAAAATGAAAAGAAGAGCAAAATTTGCCCTTCAAAATCTCTGTAGCAAGAATCTCCTGCAAGTAACTGCCACTGCAAGCTGCTGTGCATATCAGGCACCTTACAAGAACACTTAACTTCTACTGATGAGAATTTAGTCTTGTTCTCAACAACTCTAGTTGACCTTTAAAGCAGGCACTCCTTTTCACCTTTTTGATGGCCAGTGTTAGTCATTTGACTACATGCAAGCAATTTCAGATTCAAATTTTCTTTTATTTATTTATTTTTTTGACTGCCTCTAATCTTGTATTGGTTAGAGGATGGTGAAAATCCATTACATCCAATGTTGTGCTGTATTTCTGAAATTCTTAATTTTTATCTATTTTATCAAGAGTTCTGTTCATGTAAATGAACTTTCTTTTTGGTAGATGTAAAATACCCCAAGGTAGCAAGCTGGGACAGTTTTTTCCAGGGTAGTGTGTCCAGAGTTCTGTTGACTTTGGTTGGTTCACCACCTGGATCCAGTCCCAACAACAAACCTGATCCCAACAGGTCTGTGGACACTGTACCTGTCTCTGATAAACAGGCTGTAAAGTCCCAAGAAACAAGTCCAGTTAATGGTAAGTGTAAAGTGTCACAGAATGAAAGTTTGTTATCATTAGGGCCACTCACTTCCTGCAAAGTTTTTATTTATTTAATTTATGATAAGTTATAGAGTCACAGATAGTTCTGGCAAACTTTGCCTTCAAAGTGAGTTGAAATGGGAAGTCTCTTTTGTGAACTTAAGTTTTTATTTGTGCAAGAGTGAAAAGTTGTTTTCTCATTAAAGGCTTCACACTTAAGAGTTATAAGGTGCTCTTGATGCAAGGGAGAATTAAGCATTTTGTCACTAGTCATTTAGGCCTTTTTTCCATATACCAGCTCAAGAATTTATTGGTTACTGCTAGTGCATGTACATGTTGTGATCTTTTTAGATGTGAGGGTTTACAAAAAGTGTTTATTCAACAGGGAATCTTGCAGCAGAATTTTGGACAGTTATACCTGACTTCCTTACTTTGTCACCTTGTAATTCAAGTAAGTTGGGCACTATTAAATCCTTTTACCAACTGTGGTGTACAATGTAACCTTACCATAATTACACATGTGCTGGGCTGGAGCATCAGCCATTATCAGTCAGTGGCTATATTAAGTCCTTAGGGATGGAAAAAAAACACATTTTTGTGCATTTAAACTTGTTTTGCTGCAAGTCTAGACAAAAGTGAAGCTTTTTCTTAGGGTTACTTAACATGGCATTATGATGATGCCCTAATGCAAAGTGAGAGCTTGTAGGTTTAAAAAGTCTTCTATGTTTGTCTGGTGAATAATTGATATCAGTTGCTCAAAATAGCCATGCTGTGTGTGGAAAGAAACAAAACTCCCAGTTTGTATTCTCTCAGTCATGGTTTTTTCATCCAAACTCTTCCTTATCTTTAGAAGATGACAAGAGTGGCAAAGGATCTGATCAACTCAGGATATTAAACTTTTCTGACCGTTCAATTGGGTGAGTGTTCCATGCAAAATTATTCCAGACATAAGCAAGTTGTGTGTGATGCAGAGGCCTTTTGGTGTATGCTCTTGAAAGGATTCAACAATCTTGGTTCAAACTCTTGAAGGATTATCATTGTGATGTGCACTTGAGAAAAGTGCTAAAATCTTCAATGCCCCTTTATACCTAGTGGTACAGATGTTTATTATTAAAGATTGTCAAGGAAATCTGCTGAAATACTGAAATACTGTGATGAACTTTGTTGTCTACAAACAGCAACAACATTTTTGACACATTGATTTTATCAACCCTTATTACTTCAATTTTATCCTTTTTTCCCCTCCCTCCCACCCATAACAATATTTTGATTCCATGAACCCTTAGCTACATACAGGCAACATTGAATGGGGGAGGGGAGTGGGGTTTTGTGAATGATTTATAGTGTGGCAGAGAAAGAAGTTTTATTTTACACATAATAAGGACTCTTCAAATTTGATGTGTCAGCTAATTTTGATGCTGGTTGTAGTTTCTCAAATAGGGGAGGCAACAATACATCAAGTCTCTTCATGCCTTTAGAACTGGGATAAGCTCAGACCAGTTTAAACCTGGTGTCACTTTCTATTATGCTCTTGTTTAGAAATTCAGTATTTGAGTGGATGATTGAAATAACATATCTTCTGTAGAGATGCAAGGTGGCCCAATAATATTTATATGAAGAAGTGAAGGAGATGTTGAAGAACTTTTTAGAGTGGTATTGATGTTAAAAGTATTTTCATGTTTATTGTAATTTAGATTTGAGTTTACTTGGCCTGCACACTCCATTATTATTACACCTGAAAGAGGAGAAATCCCACCAAGGTAGGAAAAAAGTATCTTAATGGGATTTTTATTGTTTCTTCTGTTGACATGGCTTATGCTTGAAGAAAAAAGCCCATCACTAACACTAACCTTTGTCAAACATTTCTTTTTCTCCATTATTAGGAGTCAGGCCAGAGTGTTGGTTAGTTCAAAGTCAAATCTTTCAAGCTCTTCCACTCCTCTTCCTTGGGGAGGTACAATTTATTTGAAGTGTGATGGTAAACAGCAGGTATTGATAAATTAAACTTGATTTTTGTGTTAACAAGAATGCAGCTTGTTTCTTGTTATTAGCATTTATATAACCTACATGCAACACTGTTAGGAGTTTTAGAAGGGTCTATAATAGTTGGACTTCTCTATGTATGTCTGAACAATGAATAGAAGTTGAAGATGGTTACATGTGTGTATAACATGCAATTTCTACTTTTGCTCTCTTTTATCCCATGTTCTTGTCTAGAACCATGTCCTAGTACTGACTTTTTTTTTTTCTGGGAAGTACCTGCAAACCCATTTTACCTTTTGAAATAATATGTTCTCATTTTAATGTGTTATGCAGGCTATCAGAGTGCAGATAAGAGAGGAAAGGATTTTAGAGAATTCACCACATCAATCTGGTACATCCAATTTTCAGTCCATACCCACCATGGTCACTGGAAACACACCACTTCCAACAGATCATTTGCCTCCCTTGAGAATAAAAAACAAAGATACTGTGTTTGAGAGGACAATGATTGGAACTGTTACAAGTGAGTCTCGATAAATGTTGTTAATGTTTCATTGGGATGAATATTTGACAAAACTGTAATATAATTGCAATATTCTTGAGTTCCTATTAGCAATTTAATTAATTTTATCGATTGAGTTGTATATAAGTGTAAGGTTATTTAGCTACAATAAATGTTGATTTATCTGATTTAAGGGTAAAGGTTTTTATGCATATGACAATATGAGTTAGTAGGGACCATAAGCAAGCCTTGATGACTGGCAGTAAAAATGGCCTTGTCAGTTTGTTTCCTAGCTATCTCTTTCAATATGACAATTTGGAATCACCAAATGTCATGGGGTCTGATCCAGCAATCCTGGTAGTAAATTTTTCATACTTCTGTGACTCTACGTTTTCTTTGCATAATGTTTTGATTGGAAATCTAGCACAACAACCACATGTAACAAAACAGAAAGCAAAACTTTCTGATAAATAGTTTATTTTTTTTCTGTTATTAATATTTTTACAGTCAGTTGTGTCATTTTCTTTGTATGATGTACCTTCATGTAGTGTCAATCTATCAGAGGCATCTGCCTTGGAGAGTTAAATGTTTAGCAAAGGTTTAGCTGTATTGAAGTAATTTTTTTTTTGCACACTGAATTTTATTTGTTGTTATTTACTTTTAGCTTCAGAGATATCACTCACCAACACAGCATCAGAGAATTTGACATGGAACTTGTCTTCAGTGGCACCAGCCTATGTGAAGGTTTGTACACTTGGATACTGTTATATCATTTAGTTAGCAACATCATATTCTAGCACAAATACAAGAGCCATGTAAATGGATATTTCTTCTTGAAAAATTAAGCAGGATGGTATTAAAAAATGTTTGCACCATAGGTGGATGACACTGGAAATATTTGTAGAACCACATATCTTGCCTTCAGCATGGCAAAACAAGAAGGAACCATACAGGCTGGAAGAACAACAAAGGTATTTCAAGCTAAATAAAAAATCCTGCTCTTGGTGGAGCTGTGTGTACTATATTGCTACCAAAGTGCAACGAAGTTGATTTAAAGAGACAAACAGGGACATCTGAATTTCTAAAGAAGATTTAAGTTGTTTTCCTTCAACATAACTCTACAAACTTAAAAAAAGCTTACCTTGAATTTTTATAACGACAAAAAACACATTTAAAGACCCAGTATTGGCCATTATGCATAGCATGCCTCTTTATTTGTTGTGTATTTCCCAAAAGGGAGACATGTATTGTTTCCCCAAAGCTTTTGGAATGATCAACATTGATATAATGGTGATTGATAACCAATGCTGCACATAATGCATACTAGTCAAAACTGGGTCTTTAATTATCAACTTTTCTTTTTATGGGCAAAAGTGTGATCATCATTATTAATACTTTCTTGTCGTCAATTACTGTTTCTCTGCTGCAGATTTTTGTTAAGTTTCAGCCCAGAGATGCTGGTGAATATGAGCAATCTTGGGATCTTATGGTGAGTGACAAAAATGAGCTGGTATTATTACTAATGGGTTTCAAAGTAGGAGGCACTCGTAGGAGAATAGAAGGGGCAAAAAAGACATCTGAAAATAATTTATTTCTGTCAAAATCAAAAGTAGCTAGGCAGTGCCTCTTTTGTTTTCTGTACCAGTACCTGCCACCTACCTTGGGTTAGAAATCCTGGTAACCACTGCTGTTTAGCTTAGCTTTTCTCTGTCCTTGTGAAGAAACTTATTTTCATGAGTTTTGACTGAATCGTTCAAGGGGCTTCTTCTTATGAGTCTTCTTGGTCAGAGTTGGTTGGTGGGTCAGATACTTCCCTATCAGTAATCAGATGGTAGAAATTTTGTTAATGACCTATGATTTCTTGTGCTTTTTTGTTAGACCACATCTGATGCAAATAAATCAAAACAGAAAATTTTTCTCCATGGCCAGGTAGATTGTGAAACATGATGCTAGTTATTATTATCCTAATCTCTGATAAAGTAATCATTATTGAGAACTTGTTCACTGCCAGTTTGATAACTTCCCATAACTCACCATATCACCACAGAGTGTCTGTGGTTCAGTGGCTAAAGAGTGCTAATCCAAAGGCCTGAGGTTCAATTCCTCATGGGCCTCAGAAGTTATCTTTGTCCAGCGCTTGCAACAAAATGAAAAGCATCTGTCTCCTCCCAAATTTGAATCACACCAGTTCTGTGTCTGATTAAAGTGTTGGTGAAACCACCATAAAGTTTGTAACTGATGTAACCTTTGACTAAATGTTACTTTCTGCTTTTTGGGTCATCACTTACACAGCTTTTATGTAAAATAACTGATGAATTGGTTTGGTCAAACATTGTTGCAATTGCTTGATTAATAATTTAAAATTTCCGGCTTGATTAAGCTTTCAAGTTGCATAACTATGTTATTTATGGATATAATTTGATACATCTTTATTACATGAGAAACAGGGCCAAGTAACTCTAATTAAATTGAAATGCTTCTCTTTCTAATTAGGCTGTTGATAGAACTGATGATTTTGAGGGACCAAGTGAAGACATTGACACTCTCTTGCCAGCGAAATCAAAAAAAGTTACCATACAAGAACCATTGAGGTATTTTCAGCAGGAGCTGTTTTCATTTCTTTTGAAGGTGGCAGTACCAAGCTCATCAAATTTTGGCTTCTTTTCAGATCACCCAAGAATGTCAAGAAAGGGCTCTACGTTAAAGAAAATGTGCTTAAATTTCCTGTTACAGCAGCAGGGGCAACAAGTGAAGCACAGCTGAAAATCTGCAATGGCTCAAAGGATGACCAATATGGGGTGAGTATTTGTTAATCATTCTCTGAGTGAAGACCTTGAGTGTGCCTTACCTTTGGTAATCTGTTACTCCCAAGAAAGCCAATTGTAATCCTTATTTTGCAGGAGTTTAGCTGAAGACCATGACAAAATTTTAGTATGCATGGAATGTATTTCTATTGTCTTTCATTTTAAAGCCTTCACTACCCACCAAGGAAAAAGTAGTCCACATAATGTTTGCTCATCTGCTTTACCTATTTCTATTAATACTACAGGTGCGGGTCTCATCAATGAAGACACCTTTCTCTGTTCAGATTTCAAAGTTTTCAGTCAGGTATATTTTTCTCATAATGAGTCAACATTTAGTAAAACCTTGCCCTCTAAACTCAAGTTAACTATTTCTGTGGTGAGAGTGGACCCAAAATTATTTCACTTAAAGAAAAAAGAATACTACAGTTTAAATACTGGAACATGAGAGAGGAACATTGGAAACAAACAATAGGCCACCATGTTTGCTTTCTGATTGAATGAGAATCGCCTTACCAATGATCTTGTGAAAGGATGCACAATAGGAATGCACAATTCCAAATTAAAGAAGACTATGAATGTTGTATTACTCTAACAGAGCCTTGCGGTTTGTGCGACTGCCAGTGCGTTTCTCACCAACTGAACCTGGAAAGTCCTATGAGGCATCACTGGTTATTACAGCAGACCCTGATGTCATTATCACAGTACAGCTTCAAGGATCAAGTTCTGATTGATTCAACTGTGTAAAGTCAGCAGATAATAAGTTAACACTAAATTTATACTATGTATATATTATTTGTATAAGATACTGATGTATATAATAAAGTGAAATTACAAAATTAACCTTAGAACAAATTTCCAAATTAATATATTCCTTAAGGTGATGGGGTACATAACTCCACATTGGTGCCTGATAATAATATTTGCAGGTTTTGTGTAAAAGTGAAGTGGCACTTAGTGGTGTATATTTACAAATTCAATTATATCAAAATCACCAGCTTTTCTCTCTAGGGCAGATTTTCTGTTAAGTGTGAAAACTTAACTGAAAAAAAGTTAAAGGTGCTTTGCACCTCATCTTTCCGTGTACTATATTCAGGCCAGGGAGAGAGGATGAGGAGTGAATGAAGGAGACAAAACATAAGCATTATCACTGTATAGTTTCAAGCAATAATGTTATGACTGCAGTAAATAATGCCTTCAAGAAAGCCCTCATTGCTAATGCTTCAGCACAAATGTTTCTTCACCTGCTGTAAATTATGAGGCCTTAACCCTTTACACCCTGACATCAGCAAGCATATTCTCCATACTGTTTTCTATACATTTCCAAGGTTCTTACAGAGAATTTGTAAACCATCAAGAGCCTTGTACTTTCTGATCATTTCCTTTATTCTCGTTACTTAAACTTTTTATTCAAGGGTGGTATTGTAAGGAGAAATTAGAACCTTGTTACTCTTAAGGATGAAAGAGTTAGGCAACACGACCTGGGTCTAGTGTTGTCAGACCCCCTAGAAACCTCTCTCTGACTTGACCCAAATCTTACCACGGATGGAGGAACATGTATCTAGCAATACTGATATTGAGGGCCTGCATGCATGTATGCTGTATGTAACCTCTTTTTCCAATTGATATTTATTTTAGACTACAATTTATGTATTGCTGCCATTTGTTTTCCTGTTATTTGGGACAAAGCAAAGTGTGAAGTGAGGGTCTTCTAGAAATGGATTAAAGTTAAAATGAACTCCTTTAATAGTAAGTGTTGTATCAATTGATGTAACTTATTCCCTGACCCACATGCACAGCATGTCAATCTATGTAGACCAAAGAATGAATTTAATAAATTATTCTTTGAAGAGAGAATATTTCACTCTTGAAATTATTTTTTTTTAATTACAACAAGACTTCAATAAAGTGTTTATTTACAAACCCATTTAGTGTTTATTTCTTGTTCTCTACCTACAACAAAGTTTGTCACGCACATAACACCTTTTGTGCTGTTTCAGCAAAAAATCCTGATTACCACACCAGATTAACCCTTTAACTCCCAGGATCTGATTGTTAATTCTACCTTTTAGCTGCTACACATTTCCTTGTAAATTGGTTGCAAGAATTTGGTGTTACATCAAGATAAAAACTTTTACCTGAATATGTGACAACTCTCATTACCTGTTTGCTTGATAGTGGGTGGATATTGTTGGGAGAAGTTACATGCAAATCACTTCTGGGAGTTAAAGGTTAACACTTCAATCATAAATGTAAAAAAATTATTCTCCCTGTTTTCCAAAAGTCTTTTTACAATCAGACATTTTTGCTATAACACCATAGCTATTTTAGTTAGTCAAAAATAATTGAAGTACATTCGTATGAGAGAATGAGAGTATTAAAATAAATAACACTCAATACATCCAAGTAACAATGCCATCAATTGTTCACTTCCAATTGTCAGATTTAAAAAAATAATAACCAATCTATTGGCCTTGATGGTAAGAAGATATGTTTCAAAATAAATTACCACTAAGTTTGTTAATACAAGAAAAATTTTTTTAAACATTTTAGTAGTTTAGTTTAAGTGTCCTGCTAGTTGGAAAATTCTACCTCCCATAAGCCATTGATGGCATTTAATAACTATTTGGGTTGAAACCTGAGAAAAACCAGGCCGTTGCCTACAACCATTAAATAGCCTCTATTGCACAATAAGCCATGTACAATGCATGAGATGCTTAGTCAACAACCCATTTGAAAACTTAACACTAACATTATCATGCGTGTAAGTGAAAATAGCAATTAATAATTATTAATCTACTGCTTCTGGGGGCCATTTCATTTGTCCAAGGAACGATGACTTGAATTTTGTGTATCGTCCATATCTTTCCAAGTTGCAAGATGGTTGACTTGATCTCCAACCAACCTCTTCAGATGTTTTAGTGGGAAATTTTGCATTTGACTTGCCGACTGACAGTTGTGACGCTACACTAGCGTCAATGGGTGGTAGCTTTAGAGCCTCGCGTCGTTGCTTTACTCTCACTGCGGCCGCTCCATTTGCAACACTTTCATCTTCATTTGCCAACTAGAAGAGATAAAATAATATTTACAAATTATAAAATGCATGTTACTCGCTCAAAATTTGAAGTGAGTTGCCATAGGTTATTCTTAAATTTATTTTCTACATGCACATACCAATAATTATAATTATTATTATTGGTTTGTTACTATGAGCGACTGTAACAGTGAAGTTCAACAGAGGAAAGCTGTGTTTACTTAAGTGAAAGTTCATTAAACTTGCCTGCTATCGATTTAACCCGTCAATTAAGACATTAATGACATCTCATTTGAGTCCTTCAAAAAGGTTGGAAAGGACAAAAATCCCTAATTTCCCTGATTTTAAGGCATTTTTGGAAAAAGTGAAAATGAAGAACTGTCACATCGGAATTTTTTCTCTCTACAAACTTAAATGAACCGAACAGCTGTCTGAATCATCACGCAACCATTAATTCCATGGAAATCGTATAGAGTCCAAGTAAACATTCGAATACAGCCCAATATTTTCAAAGGAATAAAGAAGACTCTTAACGTCTCAGAGACAAGCTATGTTAATTAAAAGCTACAAGGCTTGGTTAATATTTCACATTACACAAAAGAAATTTCTTTGTTGACATAAAAAACAGGCAAAACTTACAATCTTGTACTGTCCGATCAGAAAACCCCAGTTCTCGGGCCAACGTTTTGATGCACTGTGCTCGTGGCCGATGTGGTCTTTCCTGTTTAAATTAATCAACAAAGTTCGATTAATTTGAAGCTTAACACTTTAAAATCGTCTGTAGACCTGCACTTCAATGAACTCCATATTACAGTTTACAGATCATGTTCGAATGTTCGACTAAAGAAGAATTTATATTAAGTAGCAAACACTTTACCCACCAGATCTGGTCCTGATGAACAAAATTGAATCCCGTTTTGCTTTTCCCAAACACCATGAAGATATCTTTCAGTTGTATCGTTTGGAGAAAACTTTGACGTTTGAGTACACTTCGAGAAATCAGCAAGTAATTGTGAACGAAGGGTTTGCGGTGCTTCTGTTGTCCTTAGTAACCGGTGATCCACGTGACCAAGCGTCGTGCTGACTCGTACTTGTAAGACATAACAAAGGGCTACTTCACTTTGTCTGTGCCAAATTCCTAATCAACTTTCCCGTAATAATAAGAATGAATTGAAATAAGAGAAAATGTCTGAACTGAACTGGGAAAAGCGACAAAAAATTATTCGGGTTTGACAATTGAGCTAGTCTTCCTCGCCGAAGTTGTTTTCTAAATAACGCCTGCTGAGGAGGCCACATACAAGCTGCCTTGACTGTTAAAATGGTAATGCTCAAATATTTTTTTAGTTTTGTTTCATTTTCTCATGATTTTCCGACTTTATTTCCACATGAGGCCCTACGATTGGTGATTTGGTGGAATACACGCTGATGAAAATCGGCACTGACGAGTCAGAGGAAGATCTGGTAAAAAAAAAAAAAAAAAAAAAAAAAACCGGAGATCTAGACTAGAGGATACGATGAGCTGCAATTGAAGAGTCACCAATTCTCTTAGGAAGAAACACTGGAATTAATTCTGATTGATAAGTCCGAATTCAAATCAACGCCTGGCTGGTTCATTGTGGTGTGTTGTTGGAAAAGACACACGACATTGTCCGTCCCCACCCAGGAAATGTAAACAACGAATCATTAGGGGAACCACAGGCATCCCAAAGGGACAGGAATAACAGTGATGGCAAAGCAAGTTTAAAACGGCAGAGACCTCCAGAAACTTCAACGGACACACAAAGAGGGAGGAAGTTTTCTCAATCTTACGTGTGAAATGTTCATATTTCGGAGTATTAAGCGTTGTAAATCGACCATATTTCGTTCCCCACGCCATTCCCACAGTGCGTTCTTATATTCCCAACGGTTCCTCGCGTAACCTAACACCGCGTCACGTCTGAGGGAACTTGTCGGGTTACCCTGAGATGGATTAGCATCGTGTCCAAGGGAATATTACTGGAACCATAATAAGCTCCCGCAGTAAGGTTCGGTAGCCTTTGTGTAGCCGTACCCTTCCCCCCCCCCCAAAGTGAAACCGTTTCACCCTGGGGGGGAGGGTACGGCTGAGGCCTGGTTGTTCAAAGCTGGATTAAGATAACTCAGGGTTAGTGTGAAATCTAGTTTAAGATTCGAGAGCTTCAGTACAATTATTTTTATCTACAATTTGATGACTGGATGCCCATCAAAGAGGAGAGAAAATTATCCGAGAAAGACTTTCAAACAAAGGGACAAAGAAACTTGGATAAAATTTTAACCCTGGGTTAGCGCCGATCAGCTTTCGGACTAATGGGCCCTGGTCTTCTGGACTGAGCTGTTTAAAGCACGATTAGCTCCATTCCTGGTTTAATTGCCATGGCAACGTAAAGTTGTTGTATGCAGCTGACCCAAGAGTAGTTTCAATCGTGTTTTGACCCAGCAGGCCCAGGTTGGGCACGGGTAATATGAAAATGGACGAGTCTTGTGCACGTCGGTCTCAGACATACAGTTCGCATCAACCTAATTTTAATTGTCACATTTCGATATAAATTTAAAAACCAGCATAGTTCTTCACAAACTGCCCAGTCTTCTTGCAAACATTGTGCTATCATCGCAAAATATTTAATACGTTTTAACACTTTATGCATTATTCACATGATTCATTCAGTCGTAACAAAGCAATTTTGCCCTTAAATGTTACCGAAAAAAAAAAGGCAAGAAAACTGTCTAAGAATTCCAACAATGCGACATTACTAAAATAATTACTTGTGAGCGCAACGAAAAGGAAAATCCTTGAAAAATGAAAATCAATCAACTTATGAGAAACCTTAATTCCTATCCTATCTAAGGAGATCCTAAGAATCCACCAGCTCTTCCCTAACGGTTTAAAATAATTGAATGCACCCATTACCCCCAACTTTATTAAAAAATCCCCCAGTATTTTTTACCAGGATACTTATTTTTTTCAACAAACATTATTATGATTAGTTTGCCACGAGACAAGAAAAAACTTTTTATCATTGATATCCAAATCAAATTTTTCAGGGGTTAATTAAAGTTCAGACGACAAAGGCAAAGAATTGTACTGTAAAATATAATGTCCTAATAGAAATGCACTTGACTATCTACATCTCGGACACAGGCATCCCACTCAAATGCACAAATAACCCTCTAAGCGAGAAAGGCTTCACCTCATCTAGTTCCTGAGCTTTTCCGTTAAGAATTTTTTTCTCTTTTTTATCTTTTGTGTTTGTTTGTTAATTTTTTTAAATGCATTTCATATGGTAGTTCTAAAGAATAAGGGTAACTTTAAATATTTCGCAAATACATATACAGTTGAACCCCGGTAACTCGAATTGCCAAGGGAAATTGAAATTACTTCGAGTTATCGGGGTTTTGAGGTATCGGGGGTTTGCACAAAAAGACCAGAAATCGATTCCAGATTACGCGCATTATTTCTCTTTGCCGGGAAGAACTGTAAAAACTGTTTGTTTACGAACCTACAAACGTGTGATATCGAAAAAGGTCAATTTGTCATAATATATAAACGAGATTAGATGTAATATTCCGGTGCAAAATGTTATGGCTCATTAGTCCGCAAAAGTGGAAATCGACTTCGAGTTATCGACGGTAAAATTACAAAGAAAATTACCTGAAGGGAATTGAAAATCGCTTCGAGTTAGCGGGGTTTCGAGTCATAGGGGTTAAAATTACAGTAAACGTATGAGGCAAATCCAAGGGAAATCAGTTTGCTTCGATTTAGCGGGAAATTCGAGCTACCGAGAGTTCGAGTTATCAGTGTTCAGCTGTATATCAAAAATTCCTAAAGTTCACGTCATCCTCTTTAACCCACAACCACTGCAAAACCTCATGAATAGAAGTCTATTTAGGTCAAAAATAAATTAATTATTCGTCTATTTCCACATCGTCAAGTTCCCCTTCCCCTACCATACCTAAATAATTTACAGTACCTCAGTTATAACATTCTATATATCACTTGTATGTTCCATTTGTTCCAGTTTCCCGATTACTTCGGCCATTTTCGGTCTTTCTTCGGGATCTTGTCGTGCGCAACTTGTCACCAGGTTTCTTAAGACTTCATCTTTTATCAATGAGATCTGGTCTTCAGTCTGACGAGGAACGGGGAGTTCCCGGATGCACATTTCGCAGAGCAACAAACCGAAGCTGTAAACGTCGATCTGTGGAATGTCAAGAAAATTAAAATCGCTGGGCAACTATTTCAAAGTAAATGTACTTGACTTTTCCGGTCAAGAACTTCATCATAGGGCTACAATCAACCCAAAACACTAAGAAATGTGGCAACCAACTTTCAATTTCGGGTCAAACTTAATTGAGAATTGAAGTGGTTTGGGTTGATCCAGTTTCATGATTAGTCGAGCCAGCATCTCAACACATCAGAAACCAATCGACGACTTGGGTTTTCCCGACACTCGCATTTTCCCGCACTTGGCGCAATTTAAATTTAATACCTTTGAGTTCTCATTGGCTTCTTGTGGGTTTTCGTCTCTTTTGATTGGTAGTCGTGATTGAATGTTTAGTGCGGTTTTGTGACACTCAATAAGAAAGCACTCTACCATAAAAAAAGTGTTGAACTGCGTAGGCAATGTGCTACTTACTGTCTCTTTATTTAGAGACAAGCACGCGTTGGAAAGGGGGAAAGGGGAAAATCAGCCTTTTTCTTCCCCGTTGGGTGCCCCTGTGACTCGCTTTCATCATTCACGTGCTTTTTTTGACTCGGAACGAGTCAGGTTCCACCCCACTCTCCCACCTTGAAATACAACCGAGTAATAGAATATCAAACCTTTGGTGACTGCTCTAACGAGAGGGCCTCTGGTGCAGAATATACGATAGCCCCTGGGTTTATGGTCCTACAGTGTCTCATGAAGTTCGCAGTACCATAGTCACACACTTTGGCCCGCCACTGGTTGTCTCGTCGCCATAGCAATACGTTAGCACTGCTCACATCGCGGTGGATGATGGGAGGTTTGTTTAGGTGCAGATAGTTCAGAGCCCTGGCCACGTCAAGCGCAATAGTGACAATGTTTACTTTGTTGAGCGGTTGTTTCTCAAGAAGATCTCTTAAACTGGTGTCCATCAGCTCTGTGACAAACAACGGGATGCCATCATCATTCGTTGCCCCGACGAACTGAAGAAGACAGGGATGCCGACACCTGGAGGCAATTTCCATCTCACGCATAAACAAACGCCTGTTGTGAGGGGAGAGAATCAGTTCGTGAATCTGTTTTACCGCCACTCTACAGCCGCGGAATTTTCCTTCCCTCACCACGCCCCAACCACCAGTGCCCAAACTTTTTCCGTTGGATACTTCAATTTCGTCACGGCTGATTATCCAGTCACTTGATTCCAGGTCTGTGTGAGCTTCACTTTCACACGTTTCCTCGTATACCACTGAATCTTGTGGTCCTTCCTTGTACTGGCCGTACTTTTCCTGATAATTCAGTTTTTCTTTCAAGTCCTCCAATTCTCTTTGTAACGCCATCTTACAACTTTTTTCTTCCTCCAATTGTTTCATGAAGCCCTTTGATTGTCGCTCAATATCTGATCTCATGGCGCGCTCTTCGATCAATCTCTTCTCAAATTCAGCCCACTCGCGGTCAAACTGTTTCTGTATTTTACGTATCTTACTTCGTTCCTCCTCTAACAAACTCTCTGCCTCGGCTCGGTGAAGTGCTTCTTCAGCTAAACTCTTGAGCAAAGCATCACACTTCTCTCTTAACTTCCCTCCGAGTGTAACCTCTTCGTCCAGGCGCTTTTGCAAGCTAACAATCTTCAGATTGCTTTCTTTCAAACGATACTGCGTCTCCTGCAATAGCTTCTTTTGCTGGAGATATAACTGTTTGAAGTCCTCTGCTTCGTCTTCACTTGATTTCTCTCCCTTTTCAAGACTCTTAGAGCCGTGCTCGATAGTGTCACATTCCTCTATATTGTCAATAATTTCTGATCCATCCATGTCATTTTCATCCAGAATTAAAGCGTCATTCCTTCCTTGAAGAAGCTCAGCTTCAATCAGAGAGTGTCCTGAGCTTTCCATCCCAGAATCATCTCCACCATTCTTGACTCCTTCTCCTATGCAAGTGTATTCATCTTGGTCATTGTCTTCTGAATCAATACATTAAACAAACCAAAAAAAAAGAGTTACCCTTCTCACTGGTTAAGATTTCCAGGTTGTTTCATTTAACCCTTTAACTCCCAGAAGTGATTAATGCATAACTTCTCCCTACAATATCCGTACATTATACAGCAAACAGGTAGTGAGAATACTCAAACTCATTAGGTAGGAGTTCTTTTCTTGATCGAACACCAAATTCTCATGGCCAATTTCTAAGGAAATGTGCAGCAGTTAAAAGGGCATTATTACTATTATTATTTAATTATTACAAATATTATTATTATATTATCTACCATTTTTGTCTCCTAGATCTAAATATTAGCTCCTCCCTTGAGCTGTAATTGACAATGACCTGATGTTGTGGGTGACAACTGGGATTGAGAGGATAAAGGGGTGTCCCTTCATGACAAAGGAGGAGGGGGGGGAGGTCAGGTATATTTTCTCTGACTTCACACAACCCCTAGATACCCTTAGCTACTCTCTACTCTCTCACTTCATCCAATTCAAATTTTACCATCTTTTTGTACCTTTCACTTGCTGATCGGTTTCTTCCAAAGAAGCAGTGATTCTATCAAGTGACACAAACAAACCAGCCCCAGGGGAACATTTGAAGTACCTCTGACATCTGAATACCCCATCTGTTGTTCCTCTGTTTTGAAAACGGGGGTCCTGGTTATCAATAAGAACAATGAAAAATTATTTTGAAGTGATGCCTAAATAATCATATATTATCTAAAACTATTTGCTCAAACTAGCTTTATTAAATGCTAAAAAATGGTTCATTTAAATTTTTAAAGAAAACCTTAAAAATCATTGTATTGGCCATATTGTGTTAAATTTTTTAAAGTGCAAGCTCTGTAAATTGTAATTAAAAACTGCATTTTACCCCTGGTCTGCAGTCTTTGGTCTGCATTTTACCCCCAGTATGCACTTTAACCTTGGTTCGTAGTCTACATCTTACATTGACCGATATAAAAAGTAAAAAGTTGACCATATAAGAAGTAAAAATTGATCTTATTAAAAGTAAAAAGTTGACTGTATAAAAAGTCGAATTGACTGTATAAAAAGTAAACTGGGTCTCAGAAATACAGGGGAAATATTGACTGATTTTGCGCCCATGTGCTGAGGCTGGTGTCCTTCTTACACAAAGTTACCCTCCCTCCAATTCTGACAACATTCCAAGTTTTGACCATTTTAATTATCATAGCAGACACAAAAAATATTTGGCGACTAACAAACATAACTTAGTTTCTACAGTCTAAAGTAAAAAAGAGACACAATGCAATAAAATATTGTTTACTGGTATACTGACACATGCACACATACACATTGGTGCGAAATTTGGCAGAAAATTCAGAGAATACATTTTCCTTCTGATGTACCATCCATTTGGAGGATAAATATGGTAATAAAATAATATTGTTATCTACAACTCACTGACATATCACTGACAGATTACCTACTGTTCACTGACAGGTGTTTAAAACTGTCCACCAACAGGTTTTTTTTAGGAAGTTGTTCTTCACATTTACCACTGTATTTTGGTTTGGTTACTTTGTTTGTATTGTCAGGTTAGAATTTTGCAATAATATACTGATGCGTACTTGCTGAGACTGAGCAAAGTCATTTAGAACAAGCTCAGTATTCTATCAATAGATCTCTTTAGGTTGCATGTTTTGTTTACTCATTTCAGGTCTCAAGAGAATTTCCACTTTTTATCTTTTGTAAATTATCATGTGTATGCAAGTGAATAAAGGGGGAATTTAAAAACAAACAGTTCTCGTGAGTATTTCCACATTACCTGACATGGGTAAATAGTGCAAGCTAAATAGGTTTATTGATCACATGGGCAGCAATTCAAACAGGAATCTATCACAGAATATTCTAAAATCTATTGGAGTAAAGCAGAGGAACTACATCAAATGCAGATTGGAAATGGTGATCTGATCTTGATGGAAGAAAAATGGAGACATAACTGCACTTACCACAATCTCAACACCAAACATGATCCCATCATAAGGAGGAAGGGCGCCTTTGTAATGAACAACTGCATCCACATTCTTCTTCAAATCATCCAACCAAACAAGCACATGACATCCTTCATTCTCCGTCAAACCCCACCTCAGAAGATCCTGCTTGTCGTTCACAATGTTACATCTTTCACTATAGGATTGAACAGCCAACAAAATTTGGGCGTCTTCTGGTGTGATTACTTGTAAATCTTCTTTAAGACAATCGACCTCCAGACACTTCTGCTTCAGCCCACGTAAAGCAATTCTGTCGCTGTCTCCAGTGGGTTGTTCTTCTACTGGACGAGCTTCAAATAATTCACCCTTCAAGGCTACTGGAGGTTGCGTTCCGTATACATAATTCGTCAACATTCCCCACAGTACACTAGAATCTTGGGTCGAAGGGTCTTCCAAATCGCGAAGGAGAATGAAATTACTCTTCTTTTCCATCTTTCCGACGGTTATTTCCGCGCTTTTAAAATTCGAAATAAACCACCACACCCTTACTGTAAATATTATTTCATAGCAAGCGACGATCAGCTGAAGATGATGATGAAATTGGAACGATGACGAGGCAGGATACTTTCACGATGAAGTTGCAGCCGTGGGAGTAGAAAAGGCTTGGTGATTTCGCGAAAAAAACGTATAATTATTTCCATCTAAACTCTCCCAAAGAGAAAAATAAATGAAAGCTAGGCTCTGAAATACTTTGACTAAAGGAAACGTCGCGAAAATTTCAACGGACTAGCTGGGACCCGCCTTCAACACTCCTTCCGCCATTATGTGTAAATTGCCCGTGAGAAGTCTGGGAAGGACAATAAAAATATTCAAGATGGCGCTGGTTTAGGACTACAATGAACAACCTTTCAGGTACCCTGAAATATTCATCGTCTACACACTTAATGTACTTTTGGAATTTTGGGGGGTTAAAATATTTCGTACAATTCTACATTTAAGTTATTTTATATCAAGTTTTTCCCTCAATCTGCAGTTCTCGCCTTTCCGGCTCGTCCCCTGAATGTCCTGAATTTCGAGTTCTCCCTAGGGTGTACATCGAGTTCACCGGTTCAGAAAGCAACATTTTTATTTGAATGTATGTGCGTGGTATTAATTATTCAAGTTTTAAGAGATACGTTTACGAGTTTGTAACATCAAATACCAACGAATGGTAGAACTTGGCTGACATTTTCTGAAGAGGCATAGGGCGAACTCAGGTGTTGTGTGCGAACTGTAACGGGAGTGGGGAGAGTGGGTGGGGGGAGTAGGGGAATCCCCTGCTTCAATTTTTTTTTTTTCACCTCTTTCATAGTCAATATGTTTCTACAAACTACAACCCACATTCTAAAATTGGGTTCGTAGATATGTCAACTGCTGGGAATCTGAAATGTGGAGATGTTTCATGAGTAGAATAACATCTGCAAACCCAAACCCCAAATTTTTAGAGACTGCTTTGTCCTACATATTGATAGTCAGTGATTTAATAGAAAAATTACAGATTGAAAACCTGGTTATATTTTAATGAGGGTAAATCTTTCCTGTTTTTTTTTTGTCCTTAAATCTGCATGATATGGTAACTTGTCTATAGGAGTGTGGGTGATTCATTTTGAATACAATAGACAATGGAATAATCCAGAAGGATTGGAATCTGTGTCTCCAGAACCCCTAGTTTGATGTTGGAAATTCTGTCTCGTAGGTCTTATAGAATTGTGAAGACCTAGTTTCTACCTAACACTTGATACTGAGGTTGTAGATTATTTGGTGAATATTTTTCAAGTACCATGAACTCTTTCTAGAAAAGTGGACTCTCCTGGGTATTATTGATTTCTGCTAACCATTGTCTTGTCAACTTCTCCTCTGTAGTTTGTGAACAATTGCAAGGGTTTGTTTATCTTTGAGTGATATATCAGTAGAAGCTGAAAATCAGGATACAGATATACAATACAAACCCACAATGCCTAGAGGTTGGCGTGACATGAACAAACCTGACACATCAGATTCTCAAAGGGGACGACCAAGACTACCTTCTTGGAGGAGAAAGTCAAGGGAAACAGAATCTTCTCTTCCTTCAGCTTCTTCTCCAGACAAATTCTATGAGGGAAGAATTGGTGACATTGCAAATGAGAAACTAGATGTACAAGCTCCATCAAACTTAACAGGGACCCTTGACGTAAGTGAAATCTCCAGCACATATTCACCAGTTGATCTACAAATAGAAACTTCACAGATATTGAGTAGTCTTGATGGTATCACTTCACTCGTAACCAGTGGTTCCTCAAACTCTGGAAGTAAAGCACTCAGCCCAAGTAGTCCAAAACCACTGGGGCTTCTTCCACTGTTAGCAGGGTCACCTAGTAATGTGGCAGGGTCTGTGGCACTACCATCAACTACACCACAGTGGATGCAGTTTTTAGGTGATCAAAAGTTCAGCAGAAAGGAACAAGATTTGAACTTAGGTTTGTAACTTAGTCTTCTATATTTATATCTGAGGTAATTTATAAGAGTTTTTACATCTGGTTCAGAGGTATAAGTGTTCCTCTGGTTTTGTGATATTTTCTCCTTTCTTCCACAGATAATGTTTAATGTCATTTTGTGAAATTGTGACAGTGATAGATTTGATAATTGCAATTACAGCTGATAACATGTACTTTTTAGAATAAAATTGTTTAATTGTCTTCTCATTAACCAAGCTTGCTCTGTAACGACTGATGGTTATACACTTGGTTGTAGTTTTTGTTGTTGTTGTTGTCACTGTTTTTTTTAATGGATGGATTAGGTGTACAAAGGGTTGATAAAATGGCAAACAAGAAAAAAGCAAACAAATAAAGAAATAAATTAAACAAAAACAAAAAACTAAGGACACTGTCCAGCCATCTTGAGTAAACAAGCTTGGTCAATTAAGAATTTCCTGTATTGCTAAAATGCTGGCAATGAACTATTAGATACCATTGGGGGGGGGAAAGCATTACACTTAAGTCTCCAACTGTGTCTTTGTAGCTTTAGTAATCAGATTTTAATTGTCTGGCTGAGCTGGTTCCCTCATTTCTCATTCATTTCACTGGTAGTTTCACCTGCAGCCTCTTAACCCTTTAACTCCCAGAAGTGATTAGCATGAAACTTCTCTCTTTCATACCCATACATTATTCAGCAAACAGGTGATGAAAATATTCAAACTTATCAGGTAGATGTTGCTATCTTGCTCTAGCACCAAGTTCTCATAACTAATTCACAAGGAAATGTGTAGTAGGTAGAGGAGAGAATTAATAGTTAATGGGCTAAAAAGAGGATGTTCTCTAAGAGATCATGTAGTTATTATAAAGTGAGAGACAAATTTCAAATTGATTTGATAAATTACAGGTGCTTCCTCTAGACATCAGCATTTAGATGAAAAATTTCAATTTGAGAAAAGTAAATGGGAGGAAGAAAGAAATGTCCTTGTAACAGAGCTAGAGGACCTTCAAGAGGAACTTGAGAACACAAAGCAAGCAAAAGAAGAAGCTGAACAAAGAATTGCCTGCTTGGAGGGAGAATTGAGAATCAAAGATGAACATGTGAATGAGTTGGAACAAACTTTATCCACAATTCAACAAACACTGGATGAGTGCAAACAAAAAGTGTCCCGTGATTGGGTTATATCACGGGATGAGATTCTCATGACAGATACCTGTCTTGGCGTGGGTGGGTGGGGCACAGTCCTGCTGGGAAAATTTAGAGGCTGCAAAGTGGCTGTGAAGCAGATTCATGAATTGATACTTTCTCCGCATAACAGACGTTTGTTTGAGCGGGAAATGAACATTGCATCAAGGTGCCGCCATCCTTGCTTGCTACAATTCATTGGAGCTACAAATGATGAAGGGACTCCTTTGTTTGTAACAGAGCTCATGGAATCTAGTTTACGAACACTGTTAGAACAGCAACTTCTCCCTACATCAAATATCTGTATTCTATCCGTGGACATAGCACAAGCACTTAATTACTTACATTTGAGCAAACCTCCCATCATCCACCGTGACATCAGCAGTGCAAATGTGTTGCTATGGCGACAAGGCGAGCAATGGCGAGGCAAGGTTTCAGATTATGGAACCGCTAATTTTATGCAACAGATCATGACTGTGGCCCCTGGTGCTATGATATACAGTGCGCCGGAAGCACTCACTTCGAATCAGACAATCAAGGTTAGTTGTTCATTAAAATATTAAATTAGAATTACTCTGAGCCAGTTTTCACTAAGTTATATCAGTGCATAGTGCTTCCAAATCTGCTCCAACAGTCGACATGAACTCTTTGAAAAGCCTCTGAAAGTTGTATCACCAACATGATATCAACATTGAAAACAACAGTGCTGCAAATGAGATTTGGAGCTCACTGATCTTCCACATATCTTTTTTTTGCGCTCAAAAATTGTGATCGAATAAATTGATGGAAGGTTTTCGTTGGTCAGTCTTTTCAAATGACAGTAACCCATGGAGTATATTTTCACTAGGAGACGTGAACCAAAACTAAATGATTCACAACAATCAATCAGACCATGCTAGTGTGAATTCAAACTTTAAAAAACAAAACAGTCTAAGGCGCGGGGAAAAAACGAGTGACCGAGTTAAGTCGCAACTGTTTTTAACTCTGAACCTGATTGGTCGAGCAAGAGACGTGAGTAGTTTTGAGACCAATCACAGCCTCAAGGAAAGCAAAACCCAAGAAATCTTGGACTACTCTTTGTTGAAAATTACTCTTACATCGAATATGCCGGTTTTCCAAACCAGTTTACCACTGCAACGGTAAACTGATAATATCGCAATTATTTCATATACCTGACCCATTTTCCCTTGCGCTTTTTGTTTCCTTTTCAGATCGATGTGTACAGTTTTGGAGTTCTCCTTTGTGAGATGTGTATCCGGGAACTACCAGATCCTCAGAATCGCGAAGAGCAAGTAGCCATGGTAACAAATTACTTGTTTCGAAGTCTGATGCGGCGTTGTCTTCAGGCGGAGCCTAAGGAAAGACCACATATGGAAGAGGTTATCGAGAATTTGGAATCTTACACTTTGTGAAGAATGTTTTGATTCAGAACCAAGTGTTTTCTCCAAAGATAAGCCAATTAAGTTCAAATGTGAAATTAAAAGCTCCTCGCAGCTAAGAACACTACTGAAACGAGTAGTTGAAAATAGGACCTAAAAAAAATTCAGGCCCGTACGGGATTTGAACCCATGACCTCTGCGATACCGGTGCAGCGCTCTACCAACTGAGCTAACAAGCCAACTGGGAGCTGGTCAATGTGTTGGGTTCAAAAAAACCATCCAAGTGATGAATGATGATTTTAGATACATGAAATTTATATATTTGCACTGCGGTGAAGAGATGAAATAAAGAGCTCCTCGCAGCTAAGAACACTACTGAAACGAGTAGTTGAAAATAGGACCTGAAAAAATTTCAGCCCGTACGGGATTTGAACCATGACCTCTGCGATACCGGTGCAGCGCAGCATTCGGCAGTTTTCTGTAATATATTATTTCCATCAGGTTTTAATATCACCCGATACGCTGGGGAAAAAACTAGAGCTTCAATTAAGTATGCTGTAGACTCAACAGGTGAAAAGTCATAGAAAAATTAACTTAAACATACTCTTTACTCGAATTCTCCCCATGTTCTCTAATAAACGAAAAATGCACGGGCGCTGAGGCTCAAAATCCATCATCTACTGCAGTCGAAATTTTCTTGCCAGACTTCAAAGAGGACGAACCGAAAAAGGGACCATGCAGAATGTTGAGGTCGTCCGGTAAGAGTTAAAACTTTATGTTTGTAACTCGCAAAGACCTGAACTTTGTTTGAAGTTAAAAGAGTTGTCTGTCCGACTCGAAGTATAATGGAAAAGATGGACTGTGACCATTTAAAGGAAATAACAGGTGTTACCTCGAACAGTCTAGTTGCATTGTGTCGAGTGTAAAGGCCAGTAGCACTTTCTTAATACCCCAAAGAACCCTACTTCGTTCCCAGACCCAGGCTCTCTAATTGGTTTCCCAGCAACGAAGCCAGAAGAGTATGCGCGTCAGTATTATCCGATTAAAGCTTTCAAACTGATTACATTGCAAAATGAGCATTACGAATCGTCATGCGAGGCACTTATATCTACCGTAATCTTTCTAACATTTTTGCTATCGTCAGCTGCTCTCCAACACTCCATTTGGTCTTGATGTAATCAATCCGTTAGTAGGTTATTGGTATCAACTGATTTTATAAAGTCATATAATTACAACAGATCGAAAGAAACGCTCAATTACCCTGAATTATCTACTTAAGCTCTGAGGCTTCGCTTTGGTGGTTGGGCAACTTTTGGTTACGTTGAATCGTTTACTTTGTCCACGGAAAATTTCTCTCGGTGTATCTGGGATTCAAGAGGGAAAAAGAATCAATCAAGTGGAGGTTACCTAACTTTATCTTCGTTCGTGAAAAGGTCTGGATTTTCGGGAACCGAGGAATTTGCGTAAAAGCACAGAAGCAAGAGGTGAGAGCATAATATTTTGAAAAAAATAAAACACATTTCGAAGTCCGTGATTTTGATTAATTAAGTCGTAGGAAGAAGACAGTATTATGATGCATGGACTGTAACAAGTCGGTAGGATTAGTTTCCTTCTGGTAGGATGTTGTAAATTTTCGCCAGATAGTGAGAATCAAGAATACTAAAAATTGCCTACAACGACAGACGAACAGGACGGAAGAGTTTTACTTTGTTCTGTTTACCTAAGGGTCACCTGGGCACCCTAAAAATTGAAGGAAACATTGCGCTTCCGCAGGAAGCTCTTGTAAACTGGATTATCTGACAGCCTTTTCCTTTCTTTTTCTCTTGACGCTTGAGAAAAATGATTGAAATGTTTTTGGGGCTTGTGGTCCTATTGCTCGGATAATAGCTTCGATTTATTGTGGTTAAGTCTCGACATGATGCGTGAGACATAATGCAATGCCTTTTCGTCACGATTTACTTGTCTTAGTTTTTTTACACATCTGTTTTTAATAAGATATTGTTGAAAATTTTCTCTCGTGAAACAGTTAAAATAATTGTTTTAATTTCGCTTGAAAGATTCAGCACAGACAAGACTTGATGTTGCTTTAGCAGCGAAAAAAAAAAAAAGAAAACCCTTTTTTGTAACACCACTGACATTAATAACTAAAATAAGGAGTATTTCCGGCTGCGATTTGATAATAAATGCCAATGAAGACTAATAAACATACTTCACATTACTACACGTCTATGAGTAAAATGCACTCGTCATGCAGTCATGCAAAGGTTACCTTCGCATGTCATTGACGTCACAACAAACATATTATTCTTTTCTTCAACAGTCTCCATGCCTTTACGGATGGTTCTCTCATGATAGAAAAGGAAAACGGACAGAGGTTTGGTTAGGTGGTATTCTTTCAGTGGTAGGATAAAAGACAGAGAGGAGAGATGAATTATGATTGATCGAGGAAGTTGAAGATGGTTCCTTTCTCTGAAATAAGCGAAATTTGACAAGGAAAAGAAGATCGACATTAAGGGGAAGTGTATTTGAAGGTTGAAGCAATGGAAAACAACTTGACTTATCTTGAAGGAGTTAAAACAACTTTAGAATATCAACTCCATATAGCAGAGCAGAAAATTTCCGATTTGCAAGGACAGTTGGAGGAAAAAGATCAGCAAATAAGAGAGAAGGAATCAAAACTGATTGAACTGGGAAAACAGGTGGCAGATAAAATTGTCTTGGAAGAAAAGTTAGAAGAAAAAGAACGAGAAGTTTTTAAGCTAGAAGAAAACATTAAAGAAAGTAGGCAAGAAAACATAGAAGAAATGATCTCGGAGGAATTACTCCACGTCACAGATCACCAACTGAGAGAGAGACAAGAGGAACCAGCAAATTGGCAGACAGCGCCACATCTGAGGTTGGGAGAAAAAAAACCTCCATCATTTAAATTGGAAAAAACAATGCATGAGAACAACACAGAAATCTCGCAGAGAAAATTAATCACAAAACAACAGTTAGGAGAAAGTCAAGGCAAGCCAGCGGAGCTACAAGAGGGAGAGAAAGAAGACGCGAAGATTATACTAGAGTTTAATGAAAAGTTACAGGTGAAAATAGAACGCTGTGATGAGACACGAAACGAGTTGAAGCCAACAAAGGAACATCTTTCAGCAAGTAAAAGTCAGTTAAGAGCAAAGCATAACACGCTAATAGAGAAGATGGGGCAATTAAAAGGTGCGCGAAAGGAAAAAGCGGAGCTAGAAAAACAAATTAAAAACCTGAAGTGTCTTGTAAAAAACAAAGAAGAGGAGATTGCGCGTAAAGGCAACAAGGTAACTCAACTAAGCGAGGAGCTACAACGAAAAGACAATCAAATTCAAGAATCACAAGCACAGATGAAAGGCATGCAAAGTCAAATGTCTGCAAGAGAGCAAGATATTACAAATCTGCAGGATCAAATATCTTCAAAAGAGCAAGAAATTGTCAATCTTCAAGGTAAATTCACTTCAAAAGAGGAGGAAATTTCCAATTTGCAAGCTAAGCTGACTGAACGAGAACAAGAAATTAGAGATCTACGAGATCAACTGACTGTAAAAGAGTAAGACATAAACAATCTTCAATGCCGATTGACCACAACAGAAAGAGAAAAAACACATCTGCGTGGTTCACTGACTGTTGTACAAGGTCAACTGACTGCCGAAAGGCAAGAAATTACCAAACTGCGAGAACAACTGACCCAAGAAGAGAATGAAATTAGAGATCTAAGAGTGCAACTAAATGCAAGAGAGCATGACAGTAACGATCTGCGGGGTCAATTGACCGCGTTCGAGCAAGAAATTACAGTTGTACGTGCTCAAATGTCTAAAAAGCAGCAGGAATATAAAGATTTTCTAGGTCAATTAAATACAAGCGGGCAAGAAATTACCAATCTCCGAGGCCGAATGACTGCTACAGAGCAAGAAAACAGAAATCTGCGTGATCAAATGTCTTCAAGAGAGCAAGAAGTTATCAATCTGAAAGGTCGATTGACTTCAAAAGACCAAGAAGTTACTAATTTGCAAGCTCAACTTACCGATCGAGAGCAAGAAGTAAGAGATCTAGGAAGTCAACTGACTACAAGAGAGCAAGACATAAACAATCTTCAAAGTCAACTGATCGCAAGAGAGCGAGAAACACGTGTTCAACTTACTGAAAGAGAGCAAGCAATTACTAATCTGCAGAGTGAAGTAAATGAAACACGGCAAGAGATCACAAATCTGCGAAATCAACTTATCGAAAGAGAACGGCAAATTACAGTTGGGCGAGATAACCAGGAAGGGTCTCACTCTAGTAGAAGTCACAATCTACGTCCACACGACTGGGAGATAAGAAAAACTGAAATTTTTTTGATGGATGAAGTACTTGGAGAAGGCGCGTCGGGAAGGGTTGTTCGTGGGAAGTTTCGCGGTTGTAATGTTGCAGTAAAGCAAATCCATCCCGCCCTTTTGACGTATCGTCACATAAGAGATTCTTTTAAACGTGAAGTTGACTTTGCTTCACGAAGTCGCCACCCTTGTTTGCTACAGTTTATTGGGGCAACAATTGATGGAGCGGAGCCCATGTTGGTAACGGAGCTGCTGGACCGTAGTTTAAGATCATTGTACGAGGAACGAAGTCTAATTGATAAGGAAATTTCTGATATTTCTCACGATGTCGCTCTTGTTCTAAACTACCTTCATGAACAGAAACCTCAACCCATCATCCACAGAGACATCAGCAGTGCTAATGTATTGTTATGGCAACATGGTGACCATTGGAGAGGTAAAGTGTCAGATTATGGCACCGCTAATTTTGTGCGTGAGTGCTCAACAGACGATCCTGGAGCTCCAATATATTGTGCACCAGAAATTCTTCCCGAATCTCGGGATCAAACGATCAGCTGTAAGGTTAGTTACAACACTTCAAATCCGACACAAGCTAGTCGCAACTACTCCCAGCGTGGATCTCATGAAAACCTTCAATTACTACCAATCATTTATAGATATGAAGATAGGTAGGAGGATGTAGGTACTTGAGGAAGGGGGTCCATAGTGGTTGGTTGTTGGATGCGCGCGCCTCAGCATTGCGCATTGTAGGAAAAAATCGACCCCATCTCGATAATTGTTTTGTTTACCTCAAGCTTTACGCCCGGGAAGCGCTTTCGTTACCAGAGTCGACCGAGACATTTTCATTATTTACGTTGGAGGGATTTTGCTGTCAGAATTTCCCTTTCTAACTAGCTCCAAAGTGCAATATCAGCATTCAGACTGATATATTGATCACTGGAATGTGCTAATCATTATTGCTGTCATACGCTTATCTAGGTTGACGTCTACAGTTTTGGTGTTCTTCTCTGTGAGATGTGTATCCGAGAACTGCCAGATCCTCAAAAACGCGAACAACAGGTCAGAAGGGTGACAAAGAGAGTGTGTCACGCTCTCGTGGAGATGTGTCTGCAATCAGAACCTGGAAGAAGACCCAATATGCAGCGAGTTATCGACGAAGTCGATGGGTGGAGTAATTCATTCAGACTGTAAGAGTGTTCCGTTCGACTTCAATCAAGATAAACAATGACTATTATCAAATTATTTTCAAAACGATTCTAAATATAATTTATTGAGACAAGTAACCACCTCGCAGGGGGAATCAGCTTTCTGGCTTTCTGTCAGTTTACTTTTTGTACTGAAAGTTGAAAGGAAATGATGAAATGCGCTTTGAAAAAGTGTGCTGCCCGTTACAGTTAATTAGATTGAATGCGAGTACCCTCTGGAAGGATCTGGCATTTACAGAAATTAAATTTACCCAACAGGCACTTACCACCGGATGAAACGGAAGGAAACACTTTTCCTAATAGATTCAGAAGCTGTAAGTTATAGGTTAGCAGCTGTTTTTGCTCTTATTCCGCATATTCAACTGGCCTTCAGAGAACGAAGGATGATTCTTAATTCTTATTTCCACTTCTGCCTAATTTTGTCAGAGGCTTGTTCTTAAAGACAGGCTCACGATCAGCAATAAACACGATAGTTGATCCTTACAACAAACGTACTTAGGTCAGCGTTTTCTGGACTAGCGTAAAGGTAAAGTCGTTGTTCAGTCGGGAACAATCAATGCAGTCTCTGTTCACTGAAAGGAAACTGTGACATTAATTTGCCCTCTCATCGTGACATGTTCAATTGTAGGGTGCGTTGAGCGTGTGACTGAGAGCTCATGAACCGCAATTTATGCTGGAAATTGGTTTTTGAAGACAACCATGTTCTCGAGGAGCTAGGAAGTAGGGAGCTTGTGCTTTAATAAAACGTTTTCCTGGTTTGATTTGAGCGTGTAACACAATCCGAAAAAAGTGAACAAAAGCGTCGCTTATCGCCACGCGCGTTTTATCATTCGGTATTCGATACTTCCGTTTGAACTTCTGTGTTCAAAGTTCGAAAAGAATACTTGTAGTATAATTTTTCAAGCGGGAATCGGTCATAATCCAACCCCCTTTGAAGTCTATTTGCCCCTTGTCTTTCTGAATCTCTTCAGTTGCCTCCTAACAACAAATTTTTCATCACGGAGGAATAACAAGAGTCGCGCAGGCCTGCAAACACTTTTAATCTTTCGATGGAACGGCGACAGACAGTGAATCTCCATTACGTTCCACGTTTATTCACGCCATCTCGCTGTCACCAGAGATGTTCACTCGACCGCGACAGGATGCAAATAACTCGCTCTTGGTTTTACGACCACGATGCCACGCAATCAGAGTGCACACACCGCCTGAGTCCAGTCGATATTTTACCCTACACCACCTGTACATGCACAGAAGTTGAACTGTGAAAGTATCCTACGTGTCAGTGTAGGCCATTTTTGAGTACTTCGTCCGTAACTTAATTTCGTGTTAAGGTACATATGGCCGTCGCTAAATCCAAACGATTCCTTTTGATGGAGGATATCGCGAATATCACTCATTATAGAACACATCTTTTCCGCTCAGACGAACGGACATGGAAGGAGAAATTGGTGCGAGGTACTTTGCTGATTTGTAACGCTAAGACTGATTCAGTGAGTGGAACAAAGGATGTGTTTAGCCTGGGCGATCATTCCGAAGTAGTCGTTGAAGGTATAAGTGGACACGAGAAAAAGTTACAAGAGATTACCGAGAAAGAATTTAAAGAACTTCTGAGGACTTTTGTACCAGAGCAGAGATACCAGAAGTATATTGAAGGGCGAACAGACGATCAAGGAGAGGTTAGTCGATTCAGTGCAAATTCCTGTTGCATTGTGGCATGTGGCTTTAACGGTATTTGGTGAGCAATCAAATTGATCTGATAGTAGATTTGGTCTTTCGCACTTAGACGATGTGAACAATAGATTTTCTCAGATCAATTTCAGATTTCTAGAAGTTCGGTAGTGCGTCACGTAAGCAAGAGGTAGAATAAAAAAGCAAACTAAGAGTCAAGTTTTCGACAGATGAATTTGAGGTGGATTTCGTTTACAATGTTTGGTTTACAAAATGAAGCAGAACAGTTGAACGATAATTTCGTTTAAGCTTGTAATCGACATGTATAAATTGCCTGTGCTAGTTCTGCCTCGAAGCAACGTGCTTTACAGTTACAACACAACAGACTCTTTTACAACAGCAAGCCATCAAGTTGCACGCGTTTGATTGATGGTCGCACCCGATAAGATGCCAGATTGAGACATGTACGAAGCCAGATTGATTATCAACACACTTGTAACTGGTGCAGCATGATCCTTGTAACTACTAAAGATACTTCTTATTTCTTCCCCAAACATAAGCATCCATTTTCACAATTTATCGATCTAACATTGCGCGATTGATATCAAATTCCGGATATCGAATTACCTTAAGAGCTAATGTCAACATGCATCAGACAAACAACGGCAAGTCACCCAAATTCGTTTTCTCTCCAACTCTCATAGTTAGTAGCCCAATATGTCCTAATAATTGTGGTATGGTTTTTTTGTTAAAATATATTTTAGTGTTTTTGAGAAGTTAGTTTTTTTGTTCGACCGCTCAAATATGCAAATTTTCACCCTGACCATTACCTGAGTTGTATGACCTCATATAACGAATTCACTTGACCTCCGGTATTTCTGTCGGCATAATCCCTTGTTTTATCTTAATCCTAAACTTAATCCCCTATCATTATTGAAGCTGGCAAAGAAATATTTATTTTTAGGTAAATATTTTTGTCCGACATACTTTTTCTATGTCGAAAAGGAGCATCAAAACAAAGATAGTTTTAAAAATGACCGATATGACAGAATCTACTGAGCTTCCAGCTTCTCAAAGACAAAAGGATGGTTATAAAGTTTCTGTAAAAATTTTCTTGTGTATTTGTGTTGTTCTATCGTGAGGCGAACTCAAACTCCGGCAAAATTTGCCTACCTGTCGCCACCGTTTATTGGCATATCGAGGCATAAATCACAACAATTTGTTAAAAAAAGATCAAACATAACACTCTTACCTTGTTTATTTATGATTTTATGAGACCAATAAGCTGTTTCAGTTACTATGTTATGCTTGGGTATTACTTTTTGCTGGGAGCCCAGGTTTTACGTTGTGTTTTCCCCATCCCATTTATATCAGAGGCTGGTCACGCAATAATAGATGCCAACACAAATGAATATTTACCCTGTATGAAGATTTTTGTTTATGTTAAATTGACAATATTACAATATGTTACTTTTGTAGTCACTAATCGTTGTTTCAATAGCAGCGTAGCAGTTCAAAATGGGTTGTTGCTTCAACGCTATTGAAATTTATAGTGTCCTGGCAGGAGAGCAGAGCGTGATGCTCTGGGAATAAAAACTCTTAGGGGCCTTTTACATGATATCGGAATGAGTTTTGTTCAAGAACGAGTTCATCCCGGTTGCCACATGATACCAGAGTAAAATTATTCGAAACGAGTCATTACTGAATGAGTTTGTTGAGGTTTCCATTCCAGAACGAAACACTTATTCTGGACGACCTTTTGTACCTGTATAAAGTAAACGCGGTACTACACTCATAGCTTTATGAATCCTCTTTAGGAGCAAGGGAAGCATAGAAAATGGACGTAAATACTTGTTTTTAAATGCTAAATTATCTTGCATGTGAACGCGGTATGAAATTTTGTTCGTTCCGGAACGAACCCATTTTGGAATAAAGTACCTTAGGGACAGAGCATTAGACTTTTGATGGGGGTGTGTCTTTTGCCAATTGCACTATGTGTTTTCTTCCATTAGGCCTGTGCTCGATTTTTTCGGGGATTATTGCTCAACATCCCAACCCCCGCATCAAAAGTCTGTCTAATGCTCCGTCCCTAATATGCCATCAGGTCCTACAACTTTTAATGTGATGAAAGAATTTGGATATATATATTAATTACTCGCGTTGTTTTTTTTATATTACCGAGCGAATTTCAAGTGATAATTTCTGAAAGTAAGAAGCAACAACAAAATGATTCCTATCAAAGCGAGGTGCCATTTTCAGTCATACCTGGTCGTACACCTTGACAACAAAGGGTGACACGTCAGCAGTTTACTGCAAATTTGACATAAAATAATTCTGATGCCTCTTTGAAAAGAAAAAAAGGCTTGAACAGTAGACATCGCAGGATCTTTGGCTATGTTACAAAAGAACACTTAATGCACTAGAAATGCACACATCGAGTTCAGGGGGGAGGAGGCGATCGGAAATGGGTGAGGATATTCGTCGTACCTTTCAGGGGTCAAAATCAGTGATCTGGTACCTTTTACGGTGTCTCAAACTTTAGTGGACTACCAGAGACCCAGTTAGTACCTTTTAGGGTGTTTTTCGCTCAATAAAATACCTGAAATAAGCATTACTAAGACGATTTTAATGATCTGACTTGAGCCTCTGGAGCACATCGATAAAGGAGTTCTTATTTTTGGGATTTTTCAGTTTTTTCGTGTTTAAATTGGTACATTTTAGGGGTAGATATCAGTTGTTGCCACTCCCACACGGATAACACTCAGCTACCTTTTATAATTTTATAGGGGTCGTTTTCGAAATTCCCGGCGTGCATCCTCGCCCTCTTATGTAAAGGGTTCCCCGGAGGGTGCTGATACGTGTAGCACACTTGAAATTTAGCAAGGACAGATTTTGATGTGATTTTCGGTGAAGAGAAAACAGTTTTGTCAGCGTCTTGTAGCTACTGCGGAAGGCCCTTCACCACTGTGTGCTTAATTACGCGTCCTGCCAGACGGCGGGAAGCCTACAAAGTGCTCAGACATTAGTATAGAAAACTCCGCCTCTGTCTGGATTTTTGGTAGCCCTATATACCAATTCCCAATCGAGGCCCAAGTCTGACAGGACGCGTAATTTTGCACAAGGTGGTAAGTAGCCAGGTTATATGAATTTTCCAGACGTCTTGCGCACTATCTGTGGTACACGCTTGCGAATTTCCCAATAGACATTTGGAATCGACTTAACCCTACCTTTACCATGGCCGTATACTTCTTTAGGCACTCTACACCTACTAATGGAACCACGAATCCACCCAACACCGGTACGGAGATTTGATCTACGAGTAAGGCAAATTGTAAAATCATCGATATCTTTTGGTGTCTCGAAGATGCCGGCTCGCGACAAAATAAGATCAACTTCAGTTTCTGGATCTCCGCAAGTAACTTGAAATGTCTTATTTACAACTACGCAAGGGAACGAGCTGAGATATGTAACGTCGGTCTTCTCGTTAACTATACCCAAAAGTCCCACCGGCGAACGATTTAAATGAAAAGCAAATCTCTTTGTTAGCATGTATGATGAGACGTTTACACAAGAGATCAGTTATCTAAATCAGATGTAGCTTGTCAATCGAATTGACTTTTGTAAACATTCTTTGACTTCCGCCGGCAAAGAAATCATTGATGGATCTTGACATTTTAGTTTTCTGAATACAGTAATTCTTGGAAGGTTATTATAGATATCAAAAGAGGGAAAAAAAACCCATCTCTTGGTAATTCAGAGGTTGATTCATCTTTGAATTTATTTGTGTCACGCTTGTCATGCAACTAATATAATAATGTGGAGAAGATTTACAAACTGTAAATTAAATCTGACTAAAATGTGGTAGAGCATAACTTGATCGTCGAAACAGTTAATAAAATCATAAATAAACAAGTTTACAAACTGTAGTGATTTATGCCAGTAAACGGTGGCGAAAAGTAGGCACACCATGGATATTTCATAGTCGCTAGCTAGAAAATTTTGCCGGACTTTGAGTTCGTCTCACGATAGAACAACACAAATACACAAGGAAATTTTTACAGTAACTTTATAACCATCCTTTTGTCTTTTAAAAGCTAGAAGCTCAGTAGATTCTGTCATATCGGTCATTGCTAAAACTGTCTTTGTTTTGATGCTACTTTTCGACAAAGAAAAAGTATGTCGGACAAAAATATTCACCGAAAAATAAATATTTCTTTGCTAACTTTAATAATGACGGGGGATTAAGTTTAGATGATAAAACAAAGGATTATGCCGACAGAAATACCGGAGGTCAAGTAAATTCGTTTCATGAGGTCACACAACTCGTGGAAGTGAAAGGGGTCAAAAAGATTTTGACAAGTCTAACCGTCAGTGGTTTTCAATTTTAGGAACAAAGCCGAGACAATAACGGTCATAAAGAAGGTGTTGAATTGACAGCTAACTCATGGGCCGAGGTAAACAAAGAACCGGGTGGTGAAGGAGCAAGGGCTTCATCCGCGCCCAGAAAGTCTCTGCATAGGAATCTTAAGAAAGAAACTTCCTTCAGTTTTCAAGAAGAGATGACAGATACAGACCAGCGGATTAATGACTTGCAATTGCACAATACTAATCTGTTAAGACAATTGCAAGAAAGTGATCATCAAAAGGCTGATCTGGAGAGACAAGTTGCAGAATTGCAAAAGCGACTGAATGAAGAAAACGAAAAAGCTTCCGGTTCTAGAAAGCAACCATCCCTGAGAAGAGACCAAATCACAAGTCATCAAAGACGACAGGCAGAACCCCAAGGACAATCGGCCACAGGGAACCAACAGCTGGTTATTCAGGGTCTGCAAAACCAGCTGTCATCAAAAAATGAAGAGGTTGCTGTCTTGAGAAATCAACTGACGGCGAAAGAACAACAACTGAGGGATCTGGAGAAGCAAACGGATACACGCGGCTCTCACATTGATTTTAAAAAACTTTTGAAAGAAAGAGATGAAAGGATCAATGAATTGGAAGCTCAACTAAAGGAAAAGGAGGAGTTATTGGCCACCCTTAAAAAGCAGGCGAGAGCAAGAACCCCAAGACTGCCTGATTTGCAATCAAGGGCGCCACCGGAAAGAGACCCACAAGTCAGCGGTTTCCATAGAGAACTCACAGAAAAAAACCTGCTACTCACTGAGCTACAAAGGCAACTGGCAGGAAAAGACCAGGAGCTCAATGATCTCCGAAACCAAATGACTGCCAGAGACCAAGAAGTTACCGACCTGGTGAGAGAACTTGGAGAATCGCAGCGGCAGGTCGTCGATCTGCAAAGACAGGTAACAGCAAGAGATCAGCGAATTGTCGATTTGCAAAGAAGACTGACAACAAGGGACCAGCAGGTAATCGACTTGGAAAGACAACTGGCAGAGAGAGACCGTCAGGTTGCAGATTTGGATAGACAACTGAAAGCCAGAAATAGTCACGTTGATGACCTCCAAAGGCAACTCAGAGAGAAGGAGAGGCAACTTGCTTCTAGAGACGAACAAGTGTCTGATTTGCAAAGACAGCTAATAGAGAAAACCCAACAAGTTAATGACCTCCAAAATCAAATCACTGAAAAGGACCAAGAAGTCGTGAAACTACAAGGACAAATGACTGCAAGAGACCAACAACGTAAAGATCTTCATAGGCAATTGACAGAGAAGGACAAAGAAGTTGCAGAATTGCGAGTACAACTGAGAGCGAGGAGTCAGGAAGTTATTAACCTCCAGGGGCAACTGTCAGCAAGAGATCAAAGAATCAGCGATTTGCGGAGACAGTTGTCGACTAGTAATCAAGAAATAACTGATCTGCAAAGACAATTGAGATCCCTTGATGAACAGGTTTCTGACCTGGAGAGACAATTACATGCGAGGCCTGAGAACGAACCAGAGAGGTCTCAATCCAGAAGTACTCTACAGGAACATGATTGGCTGATAAATCAGAATGAACTCACTCTTTCAGAGGAAGAACTTGGAAAGGGTGCATGGGGAAGAGTTGTCCGGGGAAAATTTCGCAGATCTGATGTTGCAGTCAAAGAAATTTTTGATATCATTCGATCTGATCACGTCTCTGAATTATTTGAGAGGGAAATTGAAATGGCTTCCAGATGTCGTCATCCTTGCCTGTTGCAGTTAATTGGCGCAACAATCGACAAGGAGGGCCTCTTGTTAGTTACAGAGCTTTTGGAACGCAGTCTTCGATCGTTGTATGAAGAGCGCCCTTTAGCTGAGAACGAAATTTCTCTCATTTCATTGGATGTTGCCCAAGCTCTTAATTATCTGCACAAGAATCGACCCGTACCCATTATCCACCGCGACATCAGTAGTTCTAATGTGCTGCTATGGCGACAAGGTGACCAATGGCGAGCTAAAGTGTCAGACTATGGCACGGCCAATTTCGTACGGCAGAGCTCGAGGAATGATCCTGGAGCTCCAGTTTACAGCGCACCGGAAGCCAGCTGTGAGGCCACGGATCAAAACATGAGTTGTAAGGTCAGCACGTTTTACGTATAATTGTCTTATATATATAAAAATATATATTGATTCGTGGCGCCAGTTTTACCGAAAAGAAAGCAATGTAAAAGAAGGGTTTGGCCTTGCTGATAGATAGACTGGTCTGCTATAACCGTCACTCCAAAAGAGTAAGGAGCTGAACATGAGCAGATAGAGGCGTATCAGTCTATAAAACAATTACTTTAGATTTCATTGTTCCTGGTTGGATTCGGAAGTGTTGGAATCTGATATTGCGGGTATCATCGATTTCTACAGGGGCACTTTTAGAGAGAAATCCCTTGATCAACTAATTGTTAATTCCTTACTTAGGTTGACGTCTATAGTTTTGGTGTGCTCCTTTGCGAAATATGTATCTCGGAGTTTCCCAATCCTGAAAGGCGTAAACAGCAAGTCGAAAAAGTAAACAACGACTTGCTTCGAGCTCTCATCCGGGGATGTCTTCAAGAGGAGCCTTGGGAAAGACCGAATATGGACGAGATTATTGAAGAACTCGAACATCTATGTTCTATGACATTATAGTTATATTTTTATGTTTGATGAAAAAAATGGGACTGTTTTGGGTTTTCTCTGATCAAATTACGCAGTGATTAAGTATATTAGTTTATTAGTTACTTAGCCGAATCGTATGCAATAACAAAATTAGTCAAAAACTTGAGACAGGAACAAACGGAAATAAAACGAGTAAACGAAACCGAGGAAAGAAAAACACGCGCGAAAAAGTGATTTATTTGGCTGATGCATTTAGCGCCAAAACTGATGGAAGTACCAACATCCTCCACTAGGGGTGGGGAGTTGGCTAGTACGTATGTCCAAGGGTTGAGAACAATCGAAATAAATACGATTACAAGGTAGAAATTATTTTAGTTTGCTTTGTGTTTTCTTAATCAAGAAACCAGGGTGTATGTGGAGTCTTGGAATTTTGCAGGTTTGAGTGATAATTTTCGAAAGAATTCGAGTCCGTTTTCATGTCAACTCAGGATTCTGAGATCCGCTACACACCCACCCATATATTATTTAGCCCCTCTCCCTAACGAAAGTAGAGCGCTTGAATTTTTTTTTGTTTGATGGATTATCACTCGTTAACTGTCTGAAAATTATGCGGACAACATTTACTTCGTTTGCGACGTTACTGGCAATTTCAGTATAAAAGTTTACTATATTCTCACTCGGAATATAAAGAATTGCGCTCTCTTCTAGGGAAATGTTTATTTTGCCTCGAAAAAGTTGCAAGGCAAAGAATTAGAAAGAGGAACGATATTCGAAAGCGAGCAAACCAACCAGACCAGATTCTTTGCGGCTGATCGAAGAGAAGTCTTTTCGATAGGAGCAGCGTTAAAGGAATAGACGGAAAGCTAGAGCTTCTTTCTCCTGTAGATGCTGGACTACTTTTGGAGATTATTTCTTTAGAGGAAAGATTACAGGTATTCAACCGACAGCGACGCTCCGAAGGACAGACAGAACAGGTGGGTCATCGGTCCGGATAAAGTCGGTTGGTGGTTTAGCATCAATTGCCATCCATCGGTGCGGATCAGAGTTTGAAGCAACCAGCTGCTTTGAATTACGTTGCTTGATTCTACTGACCTATGCAGAAGTTGAAGGTTTCTCTAATGATGAATTTGTTTTTCCGTTGGTAGAATTGATACGCGACGATTCGAGTGTCAAACCAGGAAATAGAATTAAAAAGAGTCAGCCCCGCCATTAAGAACAGTGACTCCAATAAAAATAATGTGTATATGATCACACTTCGACAAGAGAGGAAGTAACACAGAACCCGTTTCTTCATTTCAAAAATCTGAAGGATGGAACAGTACCGATCTTGTTTATCGAAAATAAACAACAGAGATGCGTGAACGAATACAATGCATGATTGTCAGCTGGCAGAGAGGTTAAAGCTCAAGGATTCTGGTCAAATGGAGATTACAAAGAGTTGCCGCATCACCAAACCTATCTTTCGATATACTCATTTGTATTTTTTGGAACCAAGTTACGTCCAAGAGGTCCCCGACGTAAAGTTTCTAACTTGGTTATTATTTGCGAGACCGATGTTATTTCAGTTAAGTTGATTGTGTATTTTTCTCTTGAGTGTTACCCACGAGCTTTCAGTCATTACCACGTTTGATGACGTGGTTTTCATTTCGATAAGGCGATAAATTATAACGGGCGAAACCTTGCGAATCATGTGGCGATTTAAAGTGCGTATATCTCCAATTAACGGTCTCTCCAGTCCACCGCAGTTTTTCTAGGGACTTCCTATGCAGATTCCTCACGAGAAATTCAGACATGTCTTCAAAGGTGGATTCCACTGTCGTAACTTACTGAACAATTAGACGTAATTGGAAGCAAATCACTTTCTCAAGTTGTTTTTAAGTTTTGTACTAGCAGTGGTCCAGTTTTAGACTCTTGTTTACCTCATTTGACGTGAAAATATCAAAATATCGTTTAAGATTTTCTCGAAACTAGATTTAGGAAGGTAGAGAGGAAGGTGAGATGAAGTCGATGTAATCTGCTTTGCGACGAGCACGAGACAAAGAATAACATTGAGTTTCCTACCAGGCATCGAAACCCACACCTTTGGATTTCGCGCCTCCGCTAGATGCTCATAATTCCCAGCGATGGAACTCTTTTCCACACACTTGAAGGACGAATTCCAAATTTGCCATGTTTCTTACTCTATGCTAGGAGGGCTTGTTAAAATAATTGTTGCGAAAACCAGCTACAACTGTTTATTCGCTAAAAACTACACAACTCATGTATTTTACGAAAACATCTGCCTTCTCTCCAGCGCATTTTTTGATGATATTACTGTCGAGTAATACCTTTATTTTAGGCCTGATACAACACAACACAACACAATGGAAGCGATACAGATTAATCTGAAACAAATTGCAAAACACAGAGAAAAAAAGACTTCAGTATAGGTTTGCTTTATTAAGAGAGGTGATCGGAGGGATTCTCATGAAGAGGATAAGCTTCTGAGACCAAGAACACCTTCTACCGAAGGTATGTACGATCAGCTATCAAAGACTTTATTCGAAATTATTTCAGTTAGATACTGTGTATATGATTCAGTGGAATAACGCAGCATAGAACTCTCTCTGACTGGCTTGCTGTAAATAGTTGCAATTTTATTTTTGACTCCATGCCTGTCTGCATATCATTCCATGTCTGATATACACTAAAACAATTATAACCTGCGGGGTCGGAGAAAGTGTTGGATGATTACCTTCACTTTGATGAACTGTGTTTTTTCAAATCTAAACTCTTAAGCGTGCTTTGAAATTCAAACATGGTACTTTTAAATGACCTATCCTCCCCCCCCTCTCATTATTTGAATAATCCCACTTACGTTATTGTGATCTCAGATGCCGACGGGAGGAGAACATCCAGAAGTAAACATTCAGAACTTAGGTCTGCCAGACAAGACGAAGAGCGTCAAAAACTGGAATATGAGCTACAATTATAGAAAGAACAAATCAACAGCTTAACTGCGAAAAAAGGAACTTGACAAAGACTTGTCCGAAAAAAGGTAAGTACCAAAGCCAAACATGTCTTTTTAAGAAAGTTTTCTAATAATTCAAGATTTCTAGAAACTTCGATAAACGCTGTACGTGACACGAAGAAGGAAGTGGAATGAAAGCACACATTAATTTTCCTGAGCAACATGTGAATTTAAAGAGCAAGTGAGTTTACATCGTTTAGTTTACAAAATGACTGTTTAATAACATGACTTAAAAACTGCACTTGATGAATTATTTTTTCATATTCAAACCTCATGATACGTTTTTGTCGATAAAATTCAAATTTGATCATTTTATAGGACCTCTCCTCCCCCCCCTCACCATTGAACAGTCGTAAATTACGTTATCGTAAGGTCAGGTGCTAAAGAAGGGCTAACGCACGAAACATCAGCTTTAGAAACTCTTTACGGTGGCCAATTTTTATCGTCAATTCAGTTGATAAAACCAAATTTATCTGGTTATACTCCCTCACAGACGCAGCACCACAGTTTCTTTAGAAACTTACCCCTTTTACTTATTGTTCAGAACTTAGGTCGGTCACACGAGACAAAGAACGTCAAAAACTGAAAAATAGGATAAATTTGCTGAGGGCACAAACCAACACCCTAATTGAGAAAAAAAAAAGCACTTGAGAATCTGTTGTCCGAAAAAGGTGAGTACCAGAGCAACTATGTCTTTTATGTGCGTTTTCTAAAAATTTAACTTTTCTAGAAAGTTCGGTAGAATGGCACGTGACATGAAGCAGGAAGTGGAATGAAAAACAAATATCCAGTTGATTAGGGACTCATGAATTTGAAAAGAAAGTGATTTTTCTTAAAATTGGATCTTGAAGCCACGCATACCTTATTAACAATAAAAGTTAAACATGATCAATCCTTTTCACAAACGTGATTGCGTTAGCCTTTTCTCGAACAGCATAAGCACCAGGTATTAGTTATTTAAAACTGAGAAAAAATTAAACCTCTCTTTGTTCGCCGCATGAAATTAAAACAACAATTTTCCCTCACATAACAAACGTCAAATTAGCGGAATCTGAACTAAAGCGTGACATACCTTTAGTTTCGCTTTATCAATTTCATGATGATCTGTTTCAACGTTTGAACTGAATTCGATCAAAAGTGATTCTCCAAGTGATAACACAAAATCTGTTGAAGTTTACTCACCTCTTTTCTTCATTCACCATCTGGTGTTCGCGTTATAAGGGCGCTGCGGATACTGAGTGCAGGAACATTTCGCAGTCACAGTAATAATTCGTTTCCGTAGATGTAATACTATCTACTTACCTGACATCTGTCTGTCGTTTTTGATTATCATGGAGATCTAGAAGCTTTGTTTTGATTAAAATTGAATTTTTTATTAAAACTGTTATCAATGTAAATTTTCTCTCATTCCTGCATCTAAGCAAAAAAATCTTTCCCACATAGAGGGTTATGGATTGTTGTTGTTAACCTGTCAAGCTCAGTCAAGGTTCCATTGGCGGCTAGTTTCAGATTTAGTGTCGTTTTTACTGAATAATATTTTTTGGATTAAAGGGTCCGTACCGGCTTAAGCCGACTGACTTAATACTGGGTTCTATAAATCTATCGAAAATGACTCTGCTAACGCTGGTTATTTTAATTCAAAGCTTCTTCAGCTAGGCAGTTTTCACCAAAATGACTTTAAAATTACTAGTGCAGCTTCCTGATCGATTTTTTCACGGTTCTGAGACCCGCCACACCTCGACCCATACTTCTATTCAGGTCCCCTCCCCCCCTTCAAGCAGGGTCACTAAACGTGTCAGTATCGTGTTTTTGAAAGAGTATCACTTGTGTGCTGTCTGAAAAGTATGAGGATAACATTCGCTCTTTTTACGATTTTACTAACAAATTTAGCATGACTGCGAGTTATATTCTCATTCAGAATATTAGGGAGTGCGCCCTCTTTAGGCGACACGTTTATCATGCTTCTAAAAAGTTGCGAGGCAAAGAATTAGAAAGAGGAACGATACTCCAGAAAGATCCAAATGACAAAACGCGGTTCGTTGTGGCTGATCGCAACGAAGTCTTCTTCGATAGGAGCTGCATCGAGGGCCTCGACGATAAGTTAGAACTCCTTCCAGACGCATTAGCTGAAGACCTTTTGGAGATTATTTCTCTGGAGGAACGACTTCGGTTTTTCAACCGAGAAACAAGACGGGTGAGTCATTTCCACTGATAAAGACAGTAAGAGTTGATATGTTAGTTGCGATGCATTAGTCTGGGAGATCAGACTTTGAAGTAATTACAGCTGTTAGTGCTTTGAATTGGGTCTTTCAGTTCTACGTAATTGGAACCAAACAGCAGTAAAAGTTTTCTGAAAATTATCGTTCTATTGGTAGACATAATATACGTGACGACTACAGTGTCAATTCAGGAAGTAAAACTTGTAAGTCAGCCCATTATGAACGATGGCTCTAATTAAATCAAATGCTTCTGATCACACTTTGTCTTGGAATGTTGTAACTAATAGTACATACTTCTTCATTGCAAATATCCAAGAATAATCACACCATAAAGATCTCGCCTTTTACTGATAATACGAAACAGATAAGCCTAAAATGGAAAAACAACACATGATTGCTAGGCTGGCATAAAGGTTAAATCTCAAGGGATTCTGAATGAATGAAAATTACAAAAAGATGCCTGTCGCATCACGAAACGAATATTTATCGCTTAGATCCAAATTGTGTCCCGCCGTAATCCAGGCCATAAAGTTTTTAACATGGTGATGAGTTTCGAATAATTTACATTTGATGTGAGTTGATTGCACATTTTTCACTTGCGTGTTTGCTCACGAGCATTCAGTCATAACATGTTTGATGACTTGACTGGTTTTCATTTCAAGTGATCTATATCGGTTGATATCTTAGTAATCATGTGTCGAAATAAAATGCATTTATCTCCACTCTTTTCAGTTGATCTCGATGTTTCTATTGACTTTATGTACAGAATCTTGATGAGAAATTTAGAGATGTCCTCCAAGCCGGATCGATTCTATTGTCGTATAACTTTGTGAAAAAATTGAACGCAATCAGTTTGATGCAAATTGTATACTCTTAATGTATTTGTATTTAAGTAGCCCATTAATAAGCTTTTGCATCTATTAATAGATGAACGAAACAATTTAGTTTAGGATTTTTCTGCAGCTCCAATTGCATGTGTTATCCGGCCAACTGAGAAAACAACAAGTTAGAGGATAAAGGAGGCTGTTATCTGTTTTGTCAACGGCGTGAACGTAAAAAAAATCAATGATCTGAGTTGCCCACGAGACATGGAGCCTTCGGTTTTCGTGCTCTGATGCTCTTAGTTCTCAAAGTATCCTGAGCCCACAGATTGCAAATTTATACACATTAGATTTAACTAAATATACATTTGGAATTTCCTATGAAGAGGGCATTGTCAGTTTTAACTGACAACAGCAACTTGATAGGGTGAACAACTCTAACTATCGAGCTGTCAGTCAAAGATGCCTGGTACCAGATGCTGGAATCAGAGCAGATATGGAACAGATCATTGATGAACTAAATTTATGTAACATACGATTCGTTTGGCTTTTTCTAACTCCTCTCTAAAGTTTTTTGAATCAGCCAATATTCAGATCTATACTTCACAGAAATGTGATTCAAGATCAGCTAGCAAAACAAACAAATTTAGAACAAAGTGCAGGATCTCAAAACACACAAGGAGGGGTGCATGATTCAGATCAAACCAGAACAAGTTGTAAAACATTTTATTTAACCCAGTTATCAGAGAAACCAAGAGTTAAGTATAGGTTTCTTTTCAGGAAGGCAATCGGGAGGACACTTACTCAGATGCTGAACTGTTGAGACCAAGAGCATCTTTTACAGAAGGTATGTACGATTCTATCAAAGACATCATTTCAGTTAGATACTGAGTGTAGGTCACGAGGATGATTAGGTGGAATAGTATGGAATAGAACTCTCTCTGCCTAGCTTACCGGAATTAGCACCTTACTAAATAAATTTCCGACGATAGTTATGTTTGCATATCGATGTTTATTCGTTTACCTCCACTTTAGAGAATTATCGTTTCGTGTATTTAAACTTTTGCTATACTTTGAAATTCAACATGTGTTCATGTCATTCATGTAACTGCACTTGGTAAATAATTTTTTCATATTCAAACTTTCTGATATGTTTTGAAAATCACGTGATCGTTTTATAGTGTCTCTACTTCCCCCCACCCCCCCCCCCCCCCGCCCTCTTCACCACTGAACAATCCCACTTGTGTCATTGTAAATCTCAGATGCTGACGGGAAGATATCACCCAGAAGTAGACGGTCAGAATCTAGGTCTACCCGACACGATGAAGAGCGTCAAAAACTGGAAAATGAACTAAAATTACAGAGAGAACAAATCAAAGACTTGACTGCAAAAAAAGAGGCAGTTAAACAGCAGTTGACCGAAATTGGTAAGTACTAATGTAGATATGAATATGCTTCAGTTTTAAGTACGTTTTCTAATAATTCAAGATTTTTAGAAAGTTGAATAAAACGGTGCGTAACATGAAGCAAGGAGTAAAACGAAGCACAGACGTTCAGTTTATGAAGCGATTTATGAACTTAAAGAGCAAGTGAGTTTACTTTATGTAGTTTACAATATGAAGCAAATGTTAAATAGCAGATTCATTTAAGCTTCGATTCCACATGTTTTTAATTTTACTGAATTACTGCTCTTTGTGAACAATTTTTTGATTTTCGAACGTTCTGATACGTTTTGAAATTCGAATACGATCCTTTATACAACTTCTCCTCCTCCACCCCACCACCATTCAACAATCCTACTAACGTTATTATAATTTCAGATGCTGACGGGAGGAGAGCACTCAGAAGTACATGGTCAGAATCTACGTCTGCCAGGCAAAATAAGGAGCGTCAAAAACTGGAAAATGAACTAAAATTGCCGAGGGAACAAATCAACATCTCAATTGAGAGAATTAAAACACTTGAGAATCAGTTGTCCGAAAAAAGTAAATACTATTTACGTCGAGTTTCTAATAATTAGAAGTTGCATATAAGTGGCTCCAAAGTACAAAACTTGAAGTATTTTGTCAAACACTGATCAATGTGTGGTGGAAGAAGTTAAGGCTTTAAAGGAGATTGGATTCAAGTCGAGATATATCAAGTTGACAAATCATTCAGCCAAGGTTATTATGTTTCGTTCTACTTGAGGTCCGTAGGCTCTGAAGAGTCTATGTTCGCGGCTAAATTCAATAAAATTCCTGCTTAACTTTCTAGTTTAAATTTTGTAAATATTAATCAACATGAGCCAAACGTGAGCCTATTAAAAACATTACAGGTTCCAGTTTTACAGTAATTTCGTAAACTCGTTGAAAGCTTAAAAATGATGCCTGTCACATATTGTGTCAGTAGGTATTCGAAAATTTCCCATCAACTTAAAAGTTTCCAGTTCATCAATGATGTGTTCCATATCTGCTCTCATTCCAGCATCTGGTCCATGGCATCTTTGAATGACAGCTCGATAGTTAGAGTTGTTCACGCTACGTACTTGCTGTTCACGCCACTCAGGGTCTGGTAATTTCCCAGTACTTATTTCACACAGAAGAACTCCAAAACTGTAGACATCAATCTTGGATAAAAAGAAAGGGTATTATACCGACTAGATTTTTAAGTTTATCTGAAATATTAAAAGAAGTTTTGGACACTATTAAGAAAAAAAACACACAGAATGGTTCCATTTGTAGATGTCACACTTGATGTCACACGTGATGGCGTACATAGATTAGCTTCACGAGCCACGACGCTGTACTAACAAGACACCTCTTTATACCGGCCTACACATGCAAATTGTCATGGCAAGCTGATCCGCCGTTATATCCATTAGCTTAACTACTCTTTTAGATGCCGGCTAGAAAAGTTAGAGTAAAAACCAAGATTAGACCTTAGACGATCTAAGGGTGTAAATATAAATAGGATTCCTGTCATGTGACAGTGTAATAGCTAGTTTTTCTTGGGTGTACTGATTTCAAGTTGTTTGACATGGAAATATTCCAAATGCTAAGAAAAACGCAAGAATCAACAAGCGAGTGGCACATTGAAGTATATTGACTGATTAAGATTACCCTCCTAGGTAGTAAATTGTATATTTTCTTCATTTTGATCGATCAAACAACAAATAGCATTGAACAGTGGGCTCAATCATTTCTTAGCTACTTGTATGGTCCCTTAACTGACTACTTTTCTTAAGGAGAGATTTACATGAAATTTCTCCCCATCATATCCTCACATTATCCTGCAAACAGGCGATGAGAATACTCAAAGTTATCTGGCAGATTTTTGTTATCCATCATTGAATATCAAATTCTCATAACTAATTTACAAGGGAATCTGTAACAGCTGTTACAAATATCATGCTGTTTATGGAAATGGTTGTTAACCATTCACAATTAACTGATAGCAAAGATGGCAACAGAAATGGAAAAAGGCTCCTTTTTTCAAAGGAACTTGCGAAGGAAAAACTCTAGTGTAGAATTTCCATTTACACTCCTGCAAAACTTTTGTGGTATTAATTCTGCTTTACATTTTTAATATCGCCCTCATCAATTAAAGAATGATTTCCATCCTTGTTTCCTCTAATATTGCCCAAAGGAGGCGACACGTGTTCTTCCAACTACGCCTAACTTTGTTGTTTGTTGTATTCTTAGAAAATAAGGGAAGCGAGATTTCCCTTGTTTCCAGTGGTCGTTCATGCTCGTCACGCAACCCATCCACTTCCTTTAAAGGACCTCTATGTGGCACGTAAAGAGTCCATAAGATGACAATAGATTAGGGAAACAATCATAACACTGACTGTGACAAGAGCGTTTCTTCAAAAACTGTTGTTTATATTTCTTATATTTTGATTTTCATCTCCGTAAACTTTGTGGCATAGATTTAAGTTTTGAAAAGTGGTCAATCTCAAAGAACTTGCAAATATAAAAAGTGTGTTCGCTCTATTCGTCTTTGAAGTCAGCTTGAAATTGAATGTTGCCTCTTTATTCGTGAGCGTCAAACAACAGTTGAAGCCGGCAAACATTTTAAACTGGAGTAGTGGGGCTACTTTAAAAAGGATTTTCATTTTAAATGATGCTCATGCACATGACAAACAGGAGCGAGAAAATTATAAGTTAAATTAAATTACTTCAGCTTCCTGATCAATTTTTCTTTCCAACAGAGGCGCAGAATACGTGACTCTGTTTCCATGATAATTCACAGTTCTGAGACCCGCCACACCTCTACCCATACTTTTACTCAGGTCCCCCCCCCTCAAATACAGTGTCATTAAACGGTGTCAGTATTGTTTTTTTGAAAGATTATCACTTGTGTGTAGTCTGACAAGTATGTGGATAACATTCGCTATTTTTGCCTTCCTGATAACAAATTAAGCATGACTGCGCGTTATATTCTTACTCAAAATATTAAGGAGTGCGCCCTCTTTAGGCGACATGTTTACCACGCTTCTATAAGGTTGCGAGGCAAAGAATTAGAAAGAGGAACGATACTCCAGAAAGATCCAAATGACAAAACGCGGTTCGTTGTGGCTGATCGCAACGAAGTCTTCTTCGATAGCAGCTGCGTCGAGAGCCTCGACGATAAGTTAGAACTCCTTCCAGACGCATTAGCTGAAGTGCTTTTGGAGACTATTTCTATAGAGGAACGACTTCGGTTTTTCAACCTAGAAACAAGACGGGTAAGTCATTTCCACTAATAAAGACAGTAAGAGTTGATATGTCAGTTGCGATCCATTAGTCTGGGAGATCAGACTTTGAAGCAATTACAGCTGTTAGTGATTTGAACTCCGTCTCTCAGTTATACGTAATTGGAACTAAACAGCAGTGAAAGGTTTCTAAAAATTATTGTTCTTTTGGTAGACATGATATACGTGACGAATGGAGTGTCAAATCAGGAAGTAAACTTTATTAGTCAGCCCATGAAGAATGATGGCTCCAAATCTATTGCTTCTGATCACACTTTGTCTAGGAAAGTTGGAACTAATAGTACATGCTTCTTCATTACAAATATCTAATCATAATCACACCATAAAGATCTCGCCTTTTACTGATAATACGAAACAGCCAAGTGTTAAATGGAAAAACAACACATGATTGTCAAGTTGGCATAAAGGTTAAATCTTAAGGGATTGTGGCTGAATGAATATTACAAAGAGATGCCTGTCGCATCACGAAACGAACATTTACCGCTTAGATCCAGATTGTGTCCCGCCGTAATCCAGGCCATAAAGTTTTTAACATGGTAATGAGTTTCGAACAAGTTACATTTGATGTGAGCTGTTTCCGCATTTTTCACTTGCGTGTTTACTCACGAACACTCAGTCATAACATGTTTGATGACTTGACTGGTTTTCATTTCAATTGATCTATAACGGTTGATATCTTGGGAATCATATGTCGAAATAAAACTTATCTCCACTCTTGAACGTTCTTTTCAGTTGACCTCGGTGTTTCTATTGACATTATGTGCAGAATCTTCATGAGAAATTTGGAGATGTCCTCTAAGCCGGATCGATTCTATTGTCGTATAACTTTGTGGAAAATTGAACGTAATCAGTTTGATGCAAATTGTATACTCTTGCTGTGTTTGTATTTAAGTAGCCCATTAATGAGCTTTTGTGTCTATTAAACAATGAACGAAACAATTTAGTTTAGGATTTTTCTGAAGCTCCATTATCCGTTTTGTTAACGGCGTGAACGTAAACAACCAATGATCTGAGTTGCCCAGAGGCATCGAACGTTCGGATTTCGTCTTCTGATGCTCCGAGTTCTTAAATTATCCTGAGCCCACAGTTAGAAAATTTATACACATTTTATTCAACTTAATAGAAATTTCGAGTCGCCTATAAATAAGGCATTGTGACATACGTTTCCTTTGGCCTTTTCTAAATCCTCTCCAAAGTTTTTGAATCAGCCAATATTCAGATCCTAACTTCACAGGAATGTGATTCAAGATCAGCCAGCGGAACAAACAAACAAATTTATAAAGCTCAGGATCTTAAAACACCATAAGAAGGGGTGTATGTTATAAGAGAAACCAAGAGTTAAGTTTGCTTTCAGGAAAGCAATCGGGAAGACACTTACTCAGATGCTGAACTTTTGAGACCGAGAACACCTTCTACAGAAGGTATGTACGATGTGATCGAAAATACAACTTCAATCAGATATTGAGTGTAGATGATTAAGCGGAGTAGTATAGAATACAACTCTCTCTTCCCAGCTTACCGGAATTAGTACCGTAACAATTAAATTTGCAACGATAATTATTTTTTGTATATCGATATTTCGTGTATTTAAACTTTCTGCTATGCTTCGAAATTCAACATTTGTCAATGTTATTCATGTAACTTCACTTGGTGAATAATTTTTTCATATTCAAACTCTCTGATATATTTTGAAATTCACATGTGATTTTTGCGATTGAACAATCCCACTTGCGTTATTGTAATCTCAGATGCTGACGGGGGGAGATCACCCAGAAGTAGACAGTCAGAATCTAGGTCTACCAAAAATGAACTGAGATTGCTGAGGGAACAAATCAATACCTTAGCTGAGGAAAAAAAAGAACTTGAGGGGCAGTTGTCCGAAAAAGGTAAGGACCAAAGCAAACATGCCTTTTTCAGTAGGTTTTCTAAAAATTTATGATTTCTAGAAAGTACTGTAGAAAGGTACGTGACACGAAGCAGGAAGTGGAATGAAAAACAAACATCAAGTTGATTTAGTGACTCAAGAATTTCAAAACGAAGTGAGTTAACATTGTGTAGTTTACAAAACCAAGCAGAACGGCTTAATAATAATAGATTCATTAAAACTTCGATTTGCTTGGTGAACTATTTTTTCATATTGAAACTTTCTGATATGTTTTGAAACATATTATCCTTTAGAGGGCCTCCTTGCCCGCCAATAACCGTTGAACAGTCACACTTAGTTTATTATAATCTCAGATGTTGGCGGGGAGAGAGCATTCAGAAGTAGAAGGCCAGAATCAAGGTCTGCCAGACATGATGAAGAGCGTCAAAAACTGGAAAATGAACTAGAATTACAGAGAGAAAAAATCAACGACTTGACCGCAAAAAACGAAGCACTTGTCAAGCAGTTGACCGAAATTGGTAAGTACTAAGGCAGACATGAATATACCTTTTAAGTAAGTTTTCTAATAAGTCAAGATTTCTAGAAAGTTCAATAAAACGGTGCGCAACATGAAGCTCCTCCCCCCACCCTACTACCGTTGAACAATCCCACTAACGTTATTATAATCTCAGATGCTGACGGGGGGAGAGCACTCAGAGGTAGAAGGTCAGAATCTAGGTCTGCCAGGCAACATGAAGAGCGTCAAAAGCTGGAAAATGAACTAAAATCGATGAGGGAACAAATCAACACCTCAGCTGAGAGAATCAAAACACTTGAGAAACAGTTGTCCGAAAAAAGTAAGTTCTATTTAGGTAGAGTTTCTAATAATTTGAAAGTTCAGTAGAAAGGTAAGTTGCATGAAGCAGGAAGTAGAATGAAAAGCAAACATTCAGCTGATGAAGAGACTTATGAATTTGAAGAGGAAGTGTGTTCACGTTGCATTGTTTACAAAATGAAACATGACGGTTTAATGATAGATTCCTTTAAGCGTCGAATCGATATGTCTTAATCTCGATTATATTTGCACTTGGTGAATTATTTTATCATAAGTAAATTTTCTGGTATGCTTTGAAATAAAAATAATATTAAATTTTTACTGGACCTCTCTTTCCTCCTTTCCCCGCCATTAAGTAAACCCGCTTACGTTACTTTAATCTCAGAATCTTGGTGTGCCAGACAAGACGAAGAGCGTCAAAAACTGGAAAATGAGCTTCAATTGCAGAAAGAACAAACCAAAACCTTAGTTGAAAAAAACGAAGCCGTTGAGAAGCAGTTATCCGAGATATGTATACAGACTCTGAAATTTTTTCAGTTGCTCCCAGCTCAAAAGAATCGATCAAGCCAGCGTAGTTGTTGTTGTTGTTTTTTTTTTAATGTAACTGTTTTTGTTCCCGTCAAGGCATCATATTTCTTTGCTCAATAAACGTTCTCGTCATTTATCATCTTTGCAGATTCGCACTTGGAACTATTTGACCAGCAACGAAGAAAGTGGAAGGAAGAGAAGAGTCGATTGATGAAAAGGGTAAAAGAACTCCAAGAAAACTTAGACGAAGTAATACAAAGTGGAAGAGAAGAGAGAGATCAATTAATGGAAAAGCTAAAAGAACTCCAAGAAAACTTAGACAAAGTGACACAAAGTGGAAGAGATGATAGAGATCAATTGATGGAAAAGCTAAAAGACCTCCAAGAAAACTTAGACGAAGTAACTCAAAGTGGGAGTGAAGAGAGGGATAAATTAATGGAAAGCTTAAAAGACCTCCAAGAGGATTTGGATGAAGTAACACTGGCTAAGGAAGATGCTGAACAACAAGTAGTGAATCTGAAAGCAGAGTCCAAAGTAAATGAAGAACATATGAAAGAACTGAAAGAGCCTTTATCCACAATTCAACAAACTCAAGATGACTACAGACCAAAAGAGTCCTGCGAATGGGTTATTTCTCGCGACGAGATTTTCTTGACAGATGAGATGCTTGGGGAAGGTGCGTGGGGAAATGTTCTCCTGGGAAGATTCAGAGGCTGCAAGGTGGCTGTGAAACAAGTTCACAGCTTGGTTCTCTCCCCCTCTTCCAGATCCTCATTTCTAAGAGAGATGAAGATTGCTTCAAGATGCCGCCACCCTTATTTGCTGCAGTTCATTGGGGCAACAAACGATGAAGGAACTCCTTTGCTTGTCACAGAATTAATAGAAACCAGCCTGAGAGCATTGTTAAATCTCGAGTATCAACCTCTCTCTGACTCAGGGATCTCCATTATCTCTTTGGATGTAGCACTTGCTCTTAATTACTTGCACCAAACGAAGCCTCTACCCATTATCCACCGCGATCTCAGCAGTGCTAACGTGTTGCTATGGCGACATGGTCTGCAATGGCGGGGCAAAGTGTCAGATTACGGAACCGCTAACTTCATGCAACAGACCATGACTGTTGCCCCTGGTGCTATGATATACAGTGCGCCAGAAGCACTCACTTCAAATCATACAATTAAGGTTGCTTGATGTGCATTCATTAAATTATTGAAATAAACTTTCTTTGAGTCAGTTTCACTGAGTTATATCAGTGCCCACTGCTTCCAAATCTGCTCTGACAAGTGATAACATTATCGAAGAAATGAGCTTTTTGTCTAAAAACCCACAACCTCCGTCATAGTTTTTCGAAACAACCCATTCGGCTCACCATATTTATTGTTTTTTCAAGGGGTCCAATCGAAAGGGGAAATGTTTCAGCAGTTATGAAAAGGATTGTATGACCTTAGCTAAAGTTATTCAGCTAATTTGGAACGTCAGTTTGTAATCGTAAGCTGTCCCTACTAGGTTGAGAGATTTCGGGAAAACTTTTTTCTGGAGGGACATGATTTTCATGAAAATTACTGACCACGTTTTTGTCCACATCCTAACCTTATTGCTCATGATCCTATTTCCTCGAATAACCTTAACATGGCTTAAAATGCTTCAATACAAGGAACAGAAGATTTTCTGTAATATGTAGCTAATAATGTCGGGTGACATGCATGGATCAACTGACTACGCTACAAATAGCATGTGGTATTCGTTTATTCGCTACTACATCAGTTTTGTAAGAAAAATAATCAGACTTTTGATGTTGTTGTCGTCAGATTGATGTGTACAGTTTTGGAGTTCTCCTCTGTGAGATGTGCACGCGGAAATTGCCGGATCCTGACCAGCGAGAGGAACAAATATCCCAAGTGACAAACCAAGAGTTTAAAAGCCTCATACAACGTTGCGTGCAGCCAAACCCTGGGCAGCGACCTGATATGCAGGAAATCACTTCTGAACTAGAGGCCTTGTTTGACCCTCAGTCAGAAAGGGAAGGCGATATACCATCAGTTGGAGAGATAGAGCAAATGGGCCCTAGGCGGCGACCTGATGTGCTGGAAATCAGTTCTGAAATAGAGGCCTCGTTTGACTCCCAGTCAGTAAGGAAAGGCGATATACCATCAATTGAGAAGATAGAGCAAATGTTTAGAAGTGCTGCTGCTACAGGAGCTAAAGATAAAGATCAGTCAAGGGAAATACATCAAGAAGCAAATGAACCGCACAAGACGAGCAGCATACATCCAAGTCGAGAAATACCTGACTGGATCATCCCACGTGACCAAATTGAGCTGACAGATGAATGGCTTGGCAAAGGATCATGGGGCAGGGTCTTCGAGGGCAAGTACAATGGCTGTGCTGTCGCCGTGAAGCAAATCCACGAGACTCTTCTTTCTCCTGACAGCCAAAGTTTGTATGAGCAAAATGATAGACGTGGCTTCAAGATGCCGCCACCCTTGCTTACTCCAGTTTATCGGAGCAACTAACGATGAAGGATTTCCTTTGATTGTGACAGAACTCATGGAAACAAGTCTAGAATCATTGTTAACCTCGCGATGTCTTTCAGAACAAGAAATCTCCTTTATTTCTAAGGATGTAGCTGGGGCATTGAGCTATCTCCACCACAAATTACCTTCTCCAATTATCCACCGGGACGTTAGCAGTGCCAATGTGTTGCTGTGGCGGCAAGGTCACCAGTGGAGAGGAAAACTGACCATTTCAATTGCTACAACTTTCCAGCGGGAAACCATGACAACTGCTCCAGGTGATATGAAATACAGTGCACCCGAGACAATTACTTCAACACAAACTGTGAAGGTTGGTGATGATTTGTAACTTAACAGATAGTGTAATATACCATACGGTTTGAACCCAGATGTCACAACTGATTGTGCGGTTTCAACGTCTGAGTGAGGGTACGATCAAGTGCTCTGCATGGCTTCGGATACAAAAGCCATTTGCTGAAATGCAGGAAAACATTTTGCGGCTTTTTGACGTTAAAATAATCCTCCACTGGAGCATAGTTGCATTTCGCTAATAGTCCTCAAAATCGTCAACGATTTCTTTAGTTATTTTGAGCTATTATTAATTTACCCTTGACGTTTTTGTGATATTGGCATTAATCTAAATCTAGCATTGCGCACAACTTGGCCTTTTGTCCATTAACAGTAAGTAAGTCAATTTATATTTTTATGTTTTGATCAGGTGGATGTCTACAGTTTTGGTGTTCTTCTGTGTCAGATGTGCATCCGTGAATCTCCGGATCGTGAAAGGCGTAGCCAACAAGTCGAAATGGTGACCAACCAGGCGATTCAAGACTTGATAAAGGCATGTTTGGAAACGGATCCTGAGGATCGACCAGGCATCGAGAGAATCGTTAACGAGTTGGGCTAGGGCAAGCCCCATTTATTTCAGAAAGGTCAAACCTCATTCATATCGAGTCGGTTTTGCAGTTGCAAGTGTAATCAAAGCCAGAGAAATAACAAGTTTAGGGTTATATCCTTGCAGACAAACGTTTTGTAGCATTGAAAATGAATCAGATAACGTTTTGACAAAATGATAGTTGCAAAATCTTGCTATCTTTTGTATCGATTGAACGAATAACAACATAACCTGAAAGAAAACAGTCAAGTTTTCATAGTGATTTAAAAGTTAAAACCTGTTCTACTATAAAAAATCATTAATCTAATTTAATCCTTTGATCATGTAAGTGCAGTCAACAAGGTTCATAGGACCGTATGACTCATCATAACAGTGAGAAATATCCATAATTATCATCATCCAACCTGATATACCTGCAACTCGTTCAAAATTTTGCTTTTTGTTTCTAAAACTTACCTTTTTCCGTGCCATTGAGCTCGGGGCTCCCTAGTCGAGGATTATATTTTTAATTTTTGTGTAAATTTTGTACTTCTTTGCAGCCTTAGAATGTTTCATGGGTTGCAAATTCGAGAACCTCGGGAGTGCCGTTAAGGCCCTATATATCAGACATTTAAACCATATAGACGCTTCGGAGAGCTTTGAATATGATAGGCTATTTATTCATCTCAGGTCATTTTGTTTTATAACGTACTTGACCTTTTTAGGATGTTGTACACCAAATGTCTTTTTTTGTTGTAGAGAGAGAAAGGAAGTCTAAGAGGGGTGAGAGAAGTTGAACTTGTGTCTGAACCTGGCCATTTTTCTTTTATAAAAGCAGAAAACTCTCAAGGTCAAGAAAAAAAAAGAACAAAAGGCACGTTTTCCACCTGTGTTTTGAAGTCAAGTTTAACATTTTTTTTATTATTTATTTACCCACGCTACATCTAGGAGTGATAAAATTTTTTTTTCTATTCTTTAAAAGTTTAAAATGTGATTCTTTGTCGCTGTTATACGGATTAGCAGCCTAGAACAGCGAGAGCAAAGAAATGTATTCATAGCTTAAACCTTTGATAGCTTCGGAAAGTGATTTTCATAATACGAACAAGCCAAGCCAATTGGAATGCTTTTAGCTGCCAACCAAAATTGTAAAGAATATATTGGCTTATTAAACCCTTATTGCAGCTTCCCCAGATTTTTGCATATTTTGCCTTTGGTTAGTCAATACAGGGATAGAACGGAAGAAAAATGAACGCGAGCGTGTTTATCATTGTATGTTCTAGAAGCATCAACTGTGAGGAATGTAAGTAATTCTATTTCATAAGAATGAGCACCATTTTGGACTAAACGAAGGAAAATGATTTATTTGTCACACCGACTCGCGAACATCTTTGAATCGAGTTTGAAGGACTTTTTAAGTGTGACCAGAAAGGTGTTTGAGTTTTTGTTTGCATTGTAGTACTGCAATTCAACCATTTATAAGTATTAGAAGTATTGTACATGTAAGTAAATTTTAAATTTTTAGCTTGTGTGAAATGAGAAGCATTTATTTAGTGTATTTTTCCTGAAATTTCACGCTGATAAACGGCAAGGTTAGGAGACGTCATGAAACCAAAGATCTGTAGCGATCACCGAAATTTCGAAAATGCGATCCTAAAGTGCAAAGGGAGAGAGCAGCTTCTAAGGGCGGGTGATTTTTTTTTCTTTGCTTCGGTAGAGGCACAAATTTTGAACGCCCATTAACCCTTTTACTCCCAGGTCAAATTTGTAATTCTCCTTACTGTCAACAATACAATTCTTATAATGTTAGTTCAGAGAATTTAGTATTGGATCAACTAATTATCCCCAAATTGATATTTTTCTTTATTCTCATCACTTACCTGGTTAATACTGTATTGATACTGTAAGGAGAAATTTTGTCTTGGTCACTCATGGGAGTTAAAGGGTTAACAACAGGCAAGTCCAGTGACACCTCCGCTACCACCATGGTCATGGTCAAACCAGAACAGAACGACGCCATCTGAAATAGCTTAGCTTAACCCTTACACGGACCGTCTTGAAAAAACGTGTCTCAACTGTCCACCATTACCATACAGCCGGCAGCTGATGCAACCCTTCCTACCTTGTAAACGTGTTGGCCAGAATAAGAAGAAAGAGATATACGAATGTTAGATAGGGGTCACCCAAGGTTTACCTACCCTCTTTAAATGGGCCTTTAGTTTCATCTGATCACAATAATGAAATAAACTCAGTGAAGAACTAATCGTACCAACATCAAAGTTTGCCTAAACAGGCAGAGTGTGGAGCGAGAAAAACTAGCACCATGACTCTGTGGTAATGATGTCTTTTCCAAGTGGAGAAAATTTCGTTCCATTTTGTTTATTTTAATATCATTATGTTTTTTTGTAAGATATTTACAAAGGCAGCTCTACTCTAAAAAACAACATTCTGATCCAAAAGTATTTGTTACTCAGCTTAATTTGAGATATGTCTGCGGTTTATCCAGAACACCATGGTTACTATACTGTAGAAATTCCCGTCTAATCCTGTTTTGCTGAGGAATCTATTTCATCTCCCATACAAATGTCTTGCAAGTTAATCCTCGGACGCTCGCGATAAAAGCCTTCTTCTCCCAGTGAATTATTTGCATGTTTACTGGCTTGGGCACCCCATCTACGGGTTTAAGACCTGCTGAATTATGTCACTATACTAAAACCTCCTGCTACTTGAAATATGATCCAAGATGTAGAAAGAGAAATGTCCTGTTGAGCACAACGAGACGAGGACGAGAATTTTGTTCTCTAGGGTACAGAAATTCAACATTTGAATCAATTCTCCTGAAGAAACATGAAAGGTAAAGGATTAAAGTTCATCGGGAGTATACTTCCGAACCCAGAATACAAGATCCGGAGCTCAAGTTTGATTGATTGTCACGCTTTAAGAAGAAGAGACATAAACATACATTTTATGAGCTCTTATGTGCTATAATGATATGTTCGCAGTAACGACCTTGAAGTGCCCACTTGACCATATGGTCTGATACAAAAGGATTCTGTTCGCTAAGCAGAGGTTTCCTTTGTTTTTCGCTCTGAGTGTCGGTCGATTGTTTTTGATATCAACTCGCAGTTATGCTATGCAACGCTTGTTCGAACTTTTTTCTCGTGTCATCGAGAATAGTTCGGTTTTTTTATCTGTAGTTTGACACCAGATCTTGACACCTATCAGTTTTAGCGATATCCTTCGCTAGTAACAATCGAACTTGTTGTTGAAATTTTGCCTAGAGTTATTGTGACTAAGTGACCGATGGTAAGGCCAAAAGGCTGATAGGCAAGTCCTCTGAACCATTAACCAGATTTTGATTATTTCCAAAAACAGTATGCATTTCCTTGGTTGAAAACTTTCAATATTTGAAATTGGAAACTATGCAGGCTTCCAGAAGCAAGCATATTTCGTATTCCAACGCTACAAAGCTTTAAAAAATAACAACGAAATCATTAGTTTAGAGTTGTTGATAAGTGCGAATCACTTGCCACTTTCTGATCAATTTTTCGTTTCCCTTGAGGTGCAAAGCATTTGAGTCTGGAATAGGTATGTCAAGTCGCGGCTCAAAGACCCACCCAACCCCCACCCATACTTTTGTTTAGCCACCCCTCCCCCAATAGGGTGTCAGTTAACAGTCTCAGTATTGTGTTTTTGAAAGATTGTCACTTGCTTACTGTCTGAAAAGTGTATGGATAGCACTCGCTCTTTTTGCGATGTTAAAAACGAATTCAGCATGACTGTACATTACCTTCTCGTTCAGAACATTAAGGAATGCGCCCTCTTCAAGTGACATGTTTTTTTATGCTTCTACGAGGTTGTGATGCAAAAAATTAGAAAGAGGAACGAGACTACAGGAAGATCCAGATGAAAAAACGCAATTTGTTGTCGCTGACAAAACGAAGTCGTCTTCAATAGGGACTGAGTTGAGGGCCTCGACGATAATTTGAAACGCCTTTCAGACGCCTTAGCTGAACTGTTTTTGGAGACTCTTTCTCTTGAGGAACGACTACAGTTATTCAACCGACAAACAGAACAAGTAAGTCATTTCCACCGATAAATACAGTAAGAAATTCAATGTAAGTTGCCATCCATCAGTCTGGGATATTAAACTTTGAAGCAAATACTTCTGTGGGCGCTTTCAGTTCTACTGACTCGGATATAAACAGCAGTGAAAGGTTTGGGCATGAAAATTGTTCTGTCGGCAGACATGATACTTGACGACTGGAGTGTTAAATCAGGAAGTAGAAATAACGAGTCAGCCCATTAAGAACGATGGCTTCAATTAAATTCAACTGCTTCTGATCACACTTTTTCTTACAAAGTTGTAACATGCAACATATGCTTTTCCTGTACAAAAATGTAATAACAAATGAAATGGTTATGATCTCTCCATAAACTGATAATAAGAAACAGACAAGCGTAAACGAATACGACTTATGATTGTTAGGACGGTACAAAGGTTAAAGCTTAATTAAGGATTCTGGTTGAATGAAAACTACAAAGATGCTTGCCGCATCACGATGTGTGCATTTATCGTTTAGAACCAAGTTGCATCCCGTTGCAATACATGCCATTAAAATTTTAAGATGGTTGTTACTTGGGAGACCGCTTTTATTTCAGTTGAGTTGACTGCGCATTTTTCTCTTGCGTGTTTACATTCAATCGTATCGTATCGTATCGTATCGTATCTTATGGCTCGGCTTTCATTTCGATAAGCGATAAATAGCACCTTCAGAATTATGCGGCGAATTGAATTGTAATTATCTCCAATTTAACGGTCTCCTTTCCATCTACGCTAGCTGCTACACATTCCCTTGTCACTTAGTTAAAAGAATTTGGTATTAGATCAAGATGACAACTTCCACCTGATAAGTTTGAGTATCCTCATTACCTGTTTGCTGGATAATGTATGGATATTATTGGGAGAAGTTGTATGTTGATCATCGCCGGGAGTTAACGGGTTAATCGTTTGCCTCACGATGTAAGAGTCGGTCTAATCAATCGTGTAATGATACGCGACGTTTCAAATGTTATACTGCTGGCCTTCGTCAGTCAGGCGACAACTGAAGACTCGCAGCATAGCGGTTGAAATGTCGCGATCGATACACGATTGAAAAGACTGACTCGTACATCGTGAGACAAACATTTAAACATTCAGTTATCCATAAAACCACGACGAACAACGACACTCTCCATAAAATTTAAAAATGTTTTTGAAGGCAGATTCCACAGTCTTGACTTACTGAACAATTGGACTTGATCAGATGCAAAATATTTACTTTAGTTGTAAGGATGTTTTGTATTTACAACGGCCCATTTTAGACTCTTGCCTCCTTATTCAACGCGCACAAAAATATAGTTTAGGATTTCCAGAAGCTACATCAATTTGGATCGTTACCGGACATCTCGTTCACTCTTAACTAAGAGGTTTTTTTTAAAAAAACCCTTGGCTTTTGGGTCACTTGGGCTCAAAATAGCCTTCGAAAGCGTTACTGCCACTATCAAAGCTCTTTTGACAAACAGTCAAGTGGCCTAGTTATTTAACACTCAGAGTTATGAAACGTAACACTCGGGCGAAAGTCGCCCCACAGCAGAATTTGTCAGGGAAACAATTGAAAAGACCACAAATGAAATTTTCCAAGTCTTTATTAAAAATAATGTCTGGCTTTGTTCTGTGTGATTATCTCTGCGGATTCAATCGTGATGCCAGACCGCGTCAGGCCTGATGTGACACGCATCCTGCTAGGATTAGCAGAGTCGAAAGCGTAATGTTTGTAGATAGAACTAAGAGAGATGGTAAGTTTTGAGCTCGGTAAAAAATAAGAGAAATATGTTTTCGTCTTGCCACGAGCGTGGAACAAAGAAAAAATTCTGAGTCCCCATCAGGAATCCAACCTCAGACCTTCGGATTCAGGCTTGTTTTGAAAGAATTATTTTCATTTTGCAAGAACAGTTAACGTCAATTTTTCAGGATCACGTGTTTGATTTTCTATATTATTTGAGGGTTTTCCAATACACACAAATAGATTCCATTGGAGAAAACACGCTTTCCATTGGAAAATCGGAAGTCTGTCGGTAAAATTGGAAAGATGCTACCGGAAAGGCTAATGATTAAATACATCATTAGTCAACATATTTGATGATTTGTATTCCCTGTTCTACTTCTTTCGCAGTCCGATGGAGTCCGATGGACACGAATAGATTAATTTACATGGGCATTTTTGTGCAGAACACATATCTGCATCACAATTTATAGAAGAAAACGGGAAGATATATGTCAGGTGGTTCTTCAATGTCTGGGTCGCGCGCTCGAAATGAGCTGTCTCGTATAATAACTTCGAGAATCTTATATATTATTTGTGCATTTTGTTTGGCTAGGTTGCGTGCTTGTAGCGGGCTGTCATCATAGCTTTATAAAGGACAAGAAATTTAAGTCAATAGCACTTGCTTCTGATCTGCGCTTGCAAAGAGCTGCCTCGCCTCGCGGCCCAGAGAACGGGGCATATTTCACGTAAATTGTAGTGTCAAGCGCCGTTTCGCTTAAAGACTTAAAAAACGAAGTATATTTCAAGAGATCGGCACTTGAAATGAGCTCTTTCGTTTCAAGGCTCAAAGAAAGCGGTATATTTTGGTTTCTTAATAATAGCTTCTGACAGAAACCATTTCACGTCAAGAGCAGAAATCATTTTTTTTCGGTGAACTCTCCTCTGCGCAGATAAGCTTTGTCACATGGCATGTGCAGATTGTAAACTTAAAAATTTCTATCATTCAAACTCATTATCATTTTCATCATAGCATTTGCCATTATTATTAGTATCATTATTATTTGTGATCATTAATGCCTTTCTATTAGTTCTTTTCGATGGAATTCTCGTCGTTTTTTAAACAATATGAAGTATTTTAGCTTTAAAACGTCAAAATTCTGCACTAGATGAGCGCTATTTACTTTCTTGTTAGGTAGAGAAGGAGAAGAGGAACTCAGAAAGAGAGTTCATATGCGGGATGGGTCAGACACTAACAAGGTTAAACTTTTGGAGAGCACGAGATGAATTAAGAGATACAGAGGCGACCATCAGATACCTAAGACGAGAAATCAATAGAAAAGAGGAGAGGGTATCAGAATTAGAGAGAATTAAAGAGGAAAGAGACGCAACAGTTTCTGATCTAAGAACACAACTGAATGAGATGGACCGGCGAAATATTGAACTCAGGCAAGAGCAAATATCTTCTCAGAGCCAACAGCTACAATTGAGACCAGAAGTAAAAAAAAATCGTGACTGGGTTATAAATCGAAATGAAGTTCAACTCATGCATAAAATTTTCGGAAAAGGAGCATGGGGGAGCGTGGTCCAGGGTAAATTTCGCTGCTGTGATGTTGCTGTAAAAGAAATGCATGATGTAATTGTGTCTCCTTACAACATACAACTGTTTGAAAGAGAAATCGACATGGCCTCGAGATGTCGCCATCCTTGTTTGTTGCAGTTTATTGGGGCAACGGCAGACCATAAGAAACCGCTCATGGTAACGGAACTCATGGACACAAGCCTAAGGAAACTATATGAAGATCACAAACTTACCGGAAAAGAAGTTTTCGTTATCTTTCTAGATGTGGCTCTAGCTCTAAACTACCTGCACCAAAACACACCCGAACCCATAATCCATCGGGACGTTAGTAGCGCTAACGTATTATTATGGAAAAAGGGAGAGCAATGGAGAGCAAAAGTTTCTGATTATGGTACAGCCAATTTTGTTCGCCAGAGTGTGAGAAACTACGCAGGCGCTGTACCTTATTGTGCACCGGAGATCGTTGATGAAACGGGATGTAACAGCTGTAAGGTAAGCATCTTGAAGTCAGTTTTCCTAAGTACTCTTTCCGCATTTTTAAAATTTTAACTGACGATAAGATGTTTTATTGCTTGATTTGCTCTTAAATATCAATAGCCCACCCTCAGAAAAGGAGCAGAAACGGATTAAGATACCTCTGAATTAAATTTTGTCTTTAGATTGATGTCTATAGCTTTGGTGTTCTTCTTTGCGAAGTGTGCATCAGGGAACCGCCAAATCCTAATGAACGTCGTCGCCAAGTAAAGTTGGTAAAGGACGACGGATTTAGACACCTTGTAGATAGCTGCCTGATGGAAGCACCCGGTGACAGGCCAAATATGGAGGAGATAATAACTAAACATTTAAACCAAACTTTCCCTAGTAAAACGGCCTATCTTTACAGTAAGACCTTACCTACTGACGAATCACTGCCCGTTGTAAGTATTTAATCAGTCTTCGCGTTTGTTACATTGATCGTTACATTGAAACAAAGGTAAGAACGCGTTTAACTTAAAATCGAACATCCTGGTAGCAGGCAGACAGTCACATCTCTTAACAAGTGCTTTATTCGTTTTCGATCGCTTTCGTAGAAATCGTAAACCGATGGAAAATGCGGTCTACTGCTTAGTTATAACACACACTTTCACAAATTTTTTAAACGCTAAACTGCTCAGGATGGAATCGCAGAATCACAGCTCAGGTTAACAGCATTAAGTAAGGTTTGATAAGGTCATTATTAAGATCGATTTTTCATCTCTATACCTGAGAATTCCAAGTTACGGCCTTTGCATAACTTTTCAATAACTGCTAAAGGCTTAAGTGTTTTAAAATACAACACTTTTTTTTTACAGCTGTTTTCATAGATGTTTGGTAGTGGTCAGATATTTTGCCTTGTTAGTTTTCAACAAAATCCAGAACAGTATTATGAAAATTTTGATCTCATATTTCGAAACTTTTGTTATTCTTGCGGTCTTATCGTCTCATTAACAGCCGCTTTTTGGAGGCGTCAAGGAATGACGCTCCCGGTCCTCAACAAAAGAACGTTGTTTTTTTATCCTACCCAAAAAATAAATGGTTTTAAAGGAGACTGCAAAGCACAGATCGTTTCAGGAAAAACTTACAGTCGAACCTGTATAGGGTGGTCACCCTGTATTAAGCGGCCGGTTTTCAAAATCCCGAATCTGTTTCCCCTTTCAATCACTGTAATTTTCACCTCTATTGGACGCTTACCCCTATTAAGCAGTCGTGGTCACCTTTGAGTGAGTCCCATCGGCCTGTTTGTATCGTCTTTTGTCCGCGTTGAACGGTCACTTAAAGCGGGACCACTCAAATGAAATTTAGAATAACCTTTGAAGTAAAATTTAATACATATTTCTCTCCCGAAATCAGTGTAAGTATATATTTTTCGAGCAACTTTTTTTTGATTTAACGGTCAATTATGGCATAAAATGGCGTTTTTTTGGTTTTTATATTTCCGCTCTTCTATCCCCGCCATTTCCCATGGGTAACCGCTTAATACAGGTTTGACTGCACATGACGTCAGCTTCTGCTTTTGTTTTCAGAAACTTTTGTTCTTTGGTTATACGAGTGGCATAGAGATGGTTGTGCTTTTTGAAGTGCCGCTTTTGTTACCAAGGTCACCTATAAAAATTTACAAATATATTATAGGAAATAAACAATGATCAAACGAAATAAACTAGTGACGAGCGGCAAAGCAAAGATGACAAAGAATTTAGGTGGAATTTTCTATGTATAACCCGATCAGACAGTGAGCTGCGTGTTAATTTGTAAATTTTTTTGTTATTCTTGCGCAAGTATTTGAATAAAGTAATTGTAAATACTTACCCACTAAGCAAATAAGTATTCGGGTTTTTTTGAGGTATATCATTTGTAGAAACCATATTTATTATGGTGGCTGCTAACCTGATGTATTACTGCAGTTTAACTGGAGAAAAGTATTGTTAGCTTTGTACATGTAAATTGTAGATTTGAGTAGAATTAAAGCAATAGCTCTGAATGATAGCTTATGTGGGTTTCATAGATGCGTTGCGCTAACAAGGCCCTCAGGAGAGGAATAACATACATGTGGTGAGGACAGGCGTGGTCACAGAAGTGTGGCATGGAAGATGCCTTCGCAGGTGTGTCACGTGTTTCATTTAATGAAAGCACCATTACCAAATCAAAGCGGAATTCTAACGATATCAGGATGGCTACCTGAGACGTTGATTATCATTCAACTTAAAACAAAACGGTGCCAATTAAAATCACTCATCTCAACACTTATTATATGCTACAAGGAACGAACAAATGTGTCTTAACTACCGGTAATTTACAGATGGTAATCAGCGTGACACAAGGGTCTTGTAAAACGAATCGACAAGGACATTTTATACGATATGCAAATTTGACAGCACCGGTAAACTGCCGCTAATAATTTTTTTTTCCTCCAAACAATGCAGCTCAGAGTAAGGTTTCAGTCTGAAAGAACAAAATCTTAATTCTTGATTATCAACAGACTATTACCTCAGGGTAATTTAGTAATATCAACTGAGTTGATAACGTAAATTGGCCACCATAAAGGGTTTCAATGCTGACGTTTCGAGCGTTAGCCCTTCATCAGAGCTATTGCTATTACCTCATCTATTATCTCATCCTCTCCTAAGAACTGATTAATTGCTTGATTCTGAATAATGACTAACCGTTAAAAAAAAAACTAGGTTCCCTATGATATGTAAGTTGTCACTTTATTTAACGGGAAATCCTCTCGTGTCCACACATGTGCTTTGTGAGTCAATTTTGGAACACGGATACAAAAAACCCTCTTTGATTGCAATAGGGCTTAACTGCGCATGTTCATTTTTCAGATACGTTTTGCATGTTAGTGCACCTTTTGTCTAAGATCTAGAGGCTTCGCTGCCTGTCACGCAACTTCCTGTTGACTACGTCGAACCAAAAAACTTCGTAGTCATCCAAGATATAGACTGAAACGTGTTTAGAACAGCTGAACAAACGATAGCGAGGATTTGAATCATGGAGAACAAATATCGAATGTTTGAGAATCAGCCATCCCATCGAAAGACATCGAAGCATCATACTGAGGTAAAGAATGTAAGTTCATCTTGCTCGTCTATGTCTTAAGCGTAATTTCTTCCAGTCGGTTGTGTTTATATGGAAGATTTTACGCCAGTAACTAACGGCGTAATTTCTTCCAGTCGGTGATAAATATATGTAAGATTTTACGCCAGTAACTAACGGCGTAATTTCTTCCAGTCGGTGATATATATATATAAGATTTTACGCCAGTAACTAACGGCGTAATTTCTTCCAGTCGGTGATATATATATGTAAGATTTTACGCCAGTAACTAACGGCGTAATTTCTTCCAGTCGGTGATATATATATGTAAGATTTTACGCCAGTAACTAACGGCGTAATTTCTTCCAGTCGGTGATATATACATGTAAGATTTTACGCCAGTAACTAACGGCTTAATTTCTTCTAGTCTATTAATCTACCGACTGGGTTAGTGGCGTAAAATCTTACAGTATATAGACTGTGTTAGTCGCATATTACGCCGTTATATATATTCCCAGTTTTTATTGCCAAAGCCTCAGGAAAATACTTAGTCGCTAAATAAATTATTGAGCTGTGAGGCAGGCAAGTGAAACCCTTCAGTTGTAATAACCACTGTTTGCCAAGTCTAGTGTCGATTTTGAGTTTTGCGATTCGAGGTTTCGATTTCCTTGTCCAAAAATAGGGTAGATGCACGTATCAAGACTTACTGTACAGTTGCAGTCACGTGCCTTTTGATTCCACTTTTCAACAGTTATGAAGAGCCATTTTTAAAATAAACCCCTAGGGACACTGCAGGCATGCCAAACAAAACAAGCTGCTCAACACCCTAATGAAATTTAGTAGTATCACTTCATAACTTGCTTGAAGGTCAGCTCAGTTAGCGACGGTACGCTGGGGCATTTCCGTTGTGAGATCAATAACGTAGAGGGAAGAAAGTTGGAAGAAAACCGTGAGAAAGTCGTCAAAATAAAAAGTTCAAACTTTGTTTACATAAAGTGTGAGGCATAGCCAAGCCGCCATGCACTTCCAGCGGATTACTTCTGACAATGATCAATTTTGTTATCAATTGAATTTGTCAAAACGTCACGCAACAACGCCAGTCCCGTAGAGGGCTACCCTCAATTGGACGCTCAGACCACCCAACCGACTACTGTCGAACACCAAGAATATAAGGCCCTTTACTTATCAGTTACCACTCTGATATCAGCCTTACAATTTAATTGTCTTGTTATTTCCTATAATTAACACAGACCATGTTGTATTTTGTCATTTACCTACGACGTGCAATTTTTAAAAAGTATTCTCCAGTACTACGTATGAAGTGTTTTAACTGGCCCAATTGTTCCTGAAATTAAAAATGTAAGAATAATTGAGTATCTTGTATGCTTCTCTGATTTTTATATCTATCAGAACAGCACTCATCAGTAAGTAGACAACTGATCACCTCCATGTTAAAACCTCTTGTAAGGTGTTCAAAGCTGAGGAAGGTTTGACCTTACACGCGGCTACAATAAATACAAAATCGTGTTACTTTTTCTCAAGCATCTTCTTAAAATTGTACCTAGGGAAATCCGGGCTGGAGAAAATCGTTGGGTTTGAATAACCTGACGTCTAGTAGCCGGTCAAGACTCTCATGGCTTTTTCGAAGAAAAGGTGAAGTAAAGGAAAGAATTGACCCAGAACTTGAAGTCAATCAAAGAGTTGTGACCTTTATCGAGGACCATGTATCCAGAGGGACTGTTCGTCATATTGGTGAGGAGAAAGACGCTGATGGAAATGTTCAAAAGATTCTTGGCTTGGAAATGGTAAGGCCTGTACTTATAAGAATTTTGTTTGTGAAAAAGAGCAGTGATAGAACAAGTATCGATGTTTAAGATTCAGTCATACAGTACTGATGTCGTCTTTATATATTACATGACCTAAGAAAATGATGTTCTCTGAGAGGATTAGCTCCTGAACCTCATGCAAAGATTTAGCGGCCGGCCATTTTAACAGGATTCGTGCCACCTGCTTTTATTATTATTTACCGATAGGTTATGTTTTATCTTCAGGAATGACTTGGCTTTAAGATTTGCTACTTTGTGTCTCGTATTAGATTGGCAGCAATTTGGCCTGATACCTTTAGAGAACACTTTCCCATCACTTAAGGCTGAAAAGCAGCCATATACTCATTTCTCGGAGTTTTGCATGTAAAGTGTTGTAGTTTTATAAATGCTGATAGCTTTTAACAACTTAAAGCAAATTAGTGAGAAAACAAATAAGTTATCTGCAGTATTGGTTAAAAGAAAGAAGGTAGAAATTGTCTCTTGTATAGCTGCGTAGGTTTTCTAGCGACTTTGTGATATTCTGGTAAAAATAATTACGGCTGTAAAATTCCTTTTGAACTTCGGGTAGGACGAAAGTTTCAGCATAGGTGGATGTGGAAGAAGGAATGGAAGACAACTATTCACTTGTGAAGATGGTTTTTCCATGTTTATTCCTCTGGAATCTGTTATGCTAGAGAGAGAGTTTGACGCTGAACCTGAAGAGCCTGAAACACCGGAAGAGAGTTCTGAGGAATTCGATTCGCAGTCCGACGATAATTCATCAGGTAAGGAACACTAGTCTTCTGAACATAAAGCCAATAGTGCCAGGTGAGCTGTAGAGTTATCTATGTATGAGACACAGGCACAAAAACCTAATTATCAAGGACTTTGACAGCGACAATAGATAAAAGCTCTCATTATCAGGGCTAAAATCACTGTCCTGCCGAAACACATCGCCATTACTGTTTTTTTTTCACGTCAAATACATGTATCACTTCTTCGCTGCCCTGGGAATTCATCTATTCTTCTATTGAGGATACTTATGGCTGGTTACCTGTCATGTTAATCGTTTACAATAGAATATTCAGTACTTGATAAATGCTATATGTCTCATTTTGTTTGGTTATGTAGCGCCTTGGACATTTGAACTTCAGTGGTGCCCTGTAGATTTTGACTTATCATCATTATCTAGGTATTTGTCGCGCTTTTGGGTCCACGTGAGATTTTTTTGATAGATTAAATGATGCTTGGCCCGTTTAGTGCTGAGATTTGCCATTTGGATTGATTCTTAGAAACGGGTCCTGGTCCTGGGGCACAGTTGGATGAAGAAACAACGCATCAAAACAATGGTATTTCGAAACAGCAAGTAAGACAGGAACCAGAAACTTTTCTGAACAAAGCACTTCAAGAAAGTGAGAAAGAGCTGGAGACTGCACTTCAACAAACGAAGGCTGCCGAAGAGGACTACCAGGAAGATTTTTCCATTACAGCTGTTAGATTCCACGACGGAGAGAAAGACGAAGAGCGACGAGAGGAGAATTTTTGTTCAGGGTTAAGTGACACTGAACAGAGATTAAGAGAGGAACTTACAAGAACAGAAATTAGAGTAGTTTTGTTAAGTAATCAGCTCTCAAGAAAGCATCAGGATGCGAAAAACTTTCAGAGACAAATTCAGAAGATGGAGCAACAGTTGACAGTAAGAGAAGATCGAAAAGAGAATTTTAGAACACAACTGGATAAGGAGCAAAGATTGCGAGCGGAATTAAACGAAAGAGAAACGACAGAAATTCTGCTACGAAAGCAGCTCAGAGAAAAGGATTGTCAAGAAGCAAGCCTCCAAAGAACACTATGTGAGCAAGAGCGGCAACTGGAAAAGGAACGAAGATTACGAGAAGAATTAATCGAAAAAGAAGCAACAGAAATTCTGCTACGAAAACAGCTCAGAGAAATGGATTGTCAAGAAGCACACTTCCGGATGCAACTGAGGATGCAAAAGCAACAACTGGAGGAGAAAGTTAAGGGAGATGAAACTTTAAGAGAACAATTTCAGGAAATGGAACGCAGGTTGAGGGAAGAAATAACTGAAAAAGATGCAAGACAAGTAGTTTTGTGTGAAAAGATCACCGAAAAGGACCAGCAGTTGACGGAGATGATACAACAATTGACAGTGACAGTGGAGCGGGAAGAAGATCTTAAGACGCAGATAAAGAATGTAGAAGAACAGCTGAGAGAGAATGAGGAGCAAGTTGAGAATTTACGAACGAACCTGAAAGATGTAGAGAAACGATTAACACAGAAAGAGGCACAAGAAGAAAATTTACGATTAAGCCTGGAGCAGATGGAGCAAAGGATGAGAGAAGAATTAACACAAAAGGAAACGAGAGAAACTGAGTTGCGCAAACAGCTTAGCGAAAGGGAGGAGCAGGCTGTTGACTATCAGAGACATTTGAGCGGGATGGAACAGCAATTGTCAGAAAAAAATGATCAAAAGGAAACTTTACTGAAACAACTTAGAGAGATGGAACAACGATCGAGAGAGGTTACAGCGGAGAATGAGATGAGAGAAAATGAGTTTCGTGAACAAATCAGAGAGAGAGAACAAGAACTGAGGGAGATGGCACATCAGTTGACTGAGAAGGAGCAACAAGAGGAGAACTTACGCGCGCAAATAAGGATGCACTTAATGGAACAACGACTGAGAGAAGAAATGGAAGAAGAAGCTACTAGGTTAGGTGAACAGCTTAGAGAAAGGGATCAACAAATAGAACACTTTCAGATGCAGTTGCAAGGGCTACGTGAACAACTCAGAGAAAAGGATCAGCATTTAGCAAACGTTCGAACGCAGCTGGACGAGCGAGAAGTACCCAGGACAGATTTCCAGCACCAATTTAGAGAAATTGTAGCAAAAAATTCCAATCTAAGACAGCAGGTTGTTAACCTCGAGAATCAAGCCGGATCACAGTCCAATGATTGGGTAATTTCCCGGGATGATATTCAGTTGACTGATAATAGCCTTGGAGTTGGAGGGTGGGGCGAGGTTTTCGAGGGCAGGTACTGTGGCTGTTCTGTTGCTGTGAAGCGAATCCATGAGGCAATTAACTCGCCTTACAACCAGAGTTTGTTCCAGAGGGAAATTGATATTGCTTCAAGATGCCGACACCCTTGCTTGCTGCAGTTTATTGGAGCGACTAATGACGAGGAAATTCCATTGTTTGTTACTGAGCTGATGGAATCAAATTTGCGCGAGCTACTGGGACAACGACCTCTTTCCCATAAGGAAATCACCATAATTTCGCTTGATGTGGCTCGAGCGTTGAACTACCTCCACCAAAAGAAACCTTTTCCTATTTTTCACCGCGATGTTAGTAGCGGCAATGTGTTGCTATGGCGACAGGGTGACCAATGGCGAGGCAAAGTGTCAGATTATGGCTCTGCTAAGTTTGAGGAACAGTTCATGTCAATTGGCCCAGGATGTTTCGCCTACAGTGCACCTGAAGTGCAGAGACCAGCAAAGCATACAGCAAAGGTGAGAAAATAAGCTTACAGAATTTCCTTGGAGAAATTTTTTTAAAAACATAAACCTTTTACAATTAAGGATCACATGGTACTTGTGTAACTTGGTCTTGCGTCGTGTGCTCGGTCAACGCAAAACGGCAGTGTGCTCGGTCTACACAAACGGCAGAGTGTGCTCGGTCTACGCAAACGGAAAAGAGCTTGTGAAAACAGCGATCTTATTTAATTGTCTTTTCTTGTTCTGCTTTTTAGATTGATGTCTATAGTTTCGGTGTTCTCCTCTGTGAAATGTGCATTCAGACATTCCCGGATTATCAAAACCGTGAACGTCAAATCGCTCAGATAACAGACCATGTATTGCAAGACCTCGTCCGCCGATGTCTGCGGTCAGATCACACTGAAAGACCAGACATGGCAGAGATTATTAGTATACTGGAAGACTTTGATAAAACAGAACATTTAATTGTAGGCGATAACTATCCAGCTACAGAGCAGTTATATTAGGCTGTAACATGCAATCCCAGAGTCTCAATCTGCAAAACACGACGAGTGAAAACAAAAAAAAACTCTAGGGGAAAGAACTTATTCAGAAATTTTGTGTAAGCATATTTGGACCCAAAGCAATACTTTACGTGTTGGATTGATTTCAAAATAGTACCAATAACCGGGTTCAGAATGGTTCGTCCCAGTCTTGGATTTGTACCCTCCCACATGATATTAAGATAAAATTTGTTGACACCTGGTCGTTGATTTTTATTTGAGCCATCCACAATTTTTGGTGGTTTGAAAGCTTGTACCGCTACCACGGAACCCTGTCTTTGTCTAGGTACTTCAGTTCAATTACATATGTTCATCATCAACTGATACAGGGTGGTGCAAGTGAATCATTAGTTAAAAGTCATTAGGAGAATTAAGAGTCAGTATTCATTGATAACATTGTCATATATCTGTACATGTTCTGCTAATTAAAAAAATGTCCAATAGATCTTAATTTGCCCACCAGCAAAGTTTTTTCTTTTTGTACCATCTGCTCGTTCATTACCCTTGGTCTTACTTGGATGCATTTTCCCAAGGTTCTCATGTAAACGAGTTTTCGCGGGGTGCAAAGAAAACTGTGTACTTAGATGAGTAAACTTTTATATATAAATTACTGAACTCTATTTTCAGGGAGGAGGAACAGAACTCCTGAGTTTCGCAATTTACGTTTCAATGCTCCACCAATGAGAGTTCAGCAGTGAGATAGGAAAACCACTAATATAGGTTAGGATGCGACAAGCGTTTTGCTTCCCTGTAGGATGATGCGCAATGCCGTAAACATTGTGTGAGTGAAAAGAATAAGAAAGCGAAGGGCATATGTTTAGCTAAATTGTCGAATGAGGAAAGATGTTATCCGTTTTGTCTCGAGAATGGAACTGTAAAACAATCTGCTTTCCTCGTGGAATGGGGTGCTTCACTTGAAAGGGTTTTCTGTTTAGTGCTTGGGGTAAACCACTGGTCAAAAATATCTCACGAGTTAAGGTCCAGAAAATTATTCCTTGAGTGTCTCAATGGTATAAAGAACCTTGTAGCAACAGCGGACTTGCATAGCCCAAGTTTTGGGGCTGTGATTAACCCTTTTACTCCAAAGATCTCAATAGCAATTCTCCTTACTGTCTGCCATACAATTCTTGTGGTGTTGCTAAAGCCTATACACTTGGATGCAGAAGAATCTGACTATCCAGAACCAAGGGAATTCCAAGCTTATAAAACACACCTAAAACACACCTACAGACTGTTACAAGGAGGCATGATCCACTTCATATACACCAAAAGAGAGCTGACAAAGCATCAGTGCAAACTGGTCAAAACGTCGTTACTCTTGTCGAGGATGTTCCAACCAGAGAAACTAAACTGCAGAGGAGAAAAGAGTAATCTGTCGAGGAAAACGAGGAAGCAATGGCGGGCCCGCCTCTGGTAAGATACATTGCATTTAACTTTCACTTTGTTCTGTTTTATCAAACCGTTGGTATTGAAACTTGTATGATTGAAAGCATCGGCTAAAAACAGAAAACGATTAATCTCAAGTATTCTAGGTGAGTTTACCGTCAATGTAATGTAATTATACATGTACAAATCACGAGATGGCGTAAATCTACAGGGGAATAATAACGTTCGTGCATAAAATTTCCATGCAGCATTTTAGTTCTTTCAAGTACAATCAGATTACCATCCAGACTTTATAGCATTATATAGCATATCCTAACGTTTTTCAAACAAGGCTCCCTCGTAATGGCTCAGGTGTTCCCAACAATCAGGTATCAGCACTTTTCCCTCTTACCCTTCCCCTTCAAATTATTTTCAATTATACTCGACTTTCCCTTTGGTAAAGAAGGCATGTGAAACAGCTGTATGTACTCACAAATGGAATAGTCTCTGTGATACTTTTGTGCCGCACGGTTTAAGTTAGCTTGGTTTTTTCCCCTCAGGATTTGAGGAGTGGTGCAGATGAAATTGGCAAAGGAAATGCTATGAAGTTGTTAGGGAATGAAGAGCAAATTGAGTGAGTTGAAACACACCCTGATACAAAGTCATCAGGTAAGCACCACATGCCACGAATTGGTTAACGAGTGATGATCTATGGGATTCGATGAGAAACTTGGTGAATCAGAATTTTTCGGATAAATGCCACAACTAATCAATCAGACAAATGAGGAGTTTATTATATCTAAATATTAAGGAGGTTTCAACCCAATAATTTACTCAGTCAATAGATTGCAAGTGAAGGGAACTTATTACAAATGTTATTTACAGAAATTTACCAAAGTCAGTTACTAAAGAAATCTGATCAGTTTGAAGAAAAGGCTACTCTCGAAACGCCAAAATCTTATAAAAGTGCTGAGAGTATTGTTATCAAACGTGGGAGGCACTTCCATAATTACGTTATGTATCTGGGTACTATCAGATGATTCAACTCATCAATCCTCCATGATATTTTGCCGATACGATCCCTTCCAGCATTAACTGTATGGGGAGGTTGGACTTGCTTGAGATCATGAAATACCAAAGGAGCCAGGCCACTAAGGTATTAGTCATTATCTATCGCCGGGTGAGGGGGGGGGGGGAAGATTCTGATTGTGTCACGATAAAATGTACCTCATAACTGGCTCTGTAATATTGTTATGATCCTCCTACATGGCCAGCAGTTAATGGGCAGTCAATTCTAAATAGTCCCCCTCTATGCTCTTTTGGTAACGGCTGATCCCCTTTTCGTTCACCCCGAAAACCATGTAACAACCCCCCCCCAAAAATCCTCCCCTCTTCCTATGATAATAGATAATAAATGATCCCTACACATTTAGTTACTCAAAAAAAGGTATGGTACTCCTATAGTTTCATTAAGAGATAAAAACGTTTTTATTGAAGAACCACTTCCATTATTACTGTCTGGAATACTTTAATCATCGCCTTTAGTGTTTAATTGAATTTAGAGTGTGTAACAAAATGCTGATTTGACAAAACATTTTGTCAACATTTTTCTTACAAAAATTAAGTGACTATTTAGCAGGATTCTAACCAATGACCTCTTTGATACTTATGCAATGTTCCACCAACGTGGTTATTTCATAAAATTAAGACAACATCGATCAAACGTCAGGCAAAGTACAGCGCGCTGTTTTCCAGCGAATGTTTGGTGGATTGAACTCTCGGAATGCACATGACCTAAATCAGGCTAAGGATCCAACAGATAATACATGGTACTTGGCCTTTGCATGTGTAATTTTCTTGTTGAGGATAGTCGTGAAGACAGCAAGCACCAATACCCGGGAGCTCTTTATCTCACCCCTGAGGGAATAATGTTTTTTCTCTTTTACGGCTGCAGGTTCAGCTCTGCACAATATCAAAAAACTCTCCGAGCAGAAAGATAAACCAAATTCTGCGCTGTGTCTAGCCACCCCAGCAGAACTTTCCTGGCTAATATTATTTTATTTCATCAGAAGTTTCGGAAAAATGGAATGAACTCTTTAACTCCCATATGTGATTAACATGTAACTTCTCCCTAGAATATCCATAGATAATCCAACAAACGGGAAATAAGAATACACAAACTAATCAGGCAGAAGATTTTATTTTGAACCAACAACAAATTCTCATAAGTAATTGACAAGCAAGAGGGGAGAATTAACAATCAGATCTTAGGAGCTAAAGGGTTAAACGAAAGCCGGAAGGAACGGCAAAGAATCTCTCATTGGTAAATTATTTTCTCTCTTGGACAAAAGATCCTGCAAAAATATTACAAAAAATTTAGGAGGGGTCGCGTGGGATAATTTCGTAGTATTTGCTAGTTCAATACTCGGAAAATACTGGGCCAGCAAAGGACAAATTCGATTTGTTTATTTTTATTATTTGCGCACTGGACAAGTTAGCTGTGTGTTATAGGTTGGTGTAAGACGGGCTTTTCCCCCTGCACGTACTCTACTCATCCTGGATATCGATCTAGCCTTCCCTTGCTTGCTGGCTCTATCTAAAAGTGAAAGAGAGGTTCTCACACTGGAACGATTTGTGCAAAGTCAAAGCATTCTGATCAAGAAAGAAAACGCTTCAGCTCCCTGTATCGAAATAAGTGAAAGTTTAGGGTATGCGAGGAAAGGAGGAACTTTCTTTTCATGAGTGAAAATAGTTTTCTCGGTGATTCCCATGATGGCCAAGTTGACTTTCATTAAGGGCCTATTTTTACCTAACGCCGGGCAATGTTGTTCGCAGCGGACGCGAGTAAGAAGAGACTCACATTTTTTCAAATTGGAATGCGAGCTAGTTTCATTAGTTTTGCGATTATTTAAGTCATGGGAAAAAACGATGGACTTGGAAAGATTAATTACAGTGTTCATTTTTGATTGAGGGGCTGTATGTAAATGCGATGGTAAAAGTGTCACAAATTCAAGGGGTGACCTTGCAATGAGCCTTATATAGAGTGTAGAGAGCGCGCTGACAATAACAAGCGAAGTTGCCATGGACAGTCTTTGCGTGTGTGTGCGTATGTGTTCTGCCCACGGGCAGGAAAAAAACGAGCAAAGTCGAAATTGCCATGGAAAGTGTATGCGTGTGTGTGTGTGTGTGCGTGCGTGTGTGTGTGTGTGTGTGTGTGTGTGTGTGTGTGTGTGTGTGTGTGTGTGTGTGTGTGTGTGTGTGTGTGTGTGTGTGTGTGGTTGTTCTGCCATAGTCAGGGCTCGTGAGAGATATGAAAAATAAGTTTTGTGCTTATCATTTATTTAGAAGATAGCCCAAAACCGCCTATGTGAGATCTGCTAAATGAAGTCAGGCACATAAGACCCAACCATGTATATTTTGTTGGTTCGTCAATGTACACTCTTCTGTGTTTGCAGTGAACAGGTAATAGAAAGCTACCTGTTTAAAAGAGTAGTAATGCAGTTTTAGGATTTTGGCATAGACGAGAGTTCTCATTAGCTTAACCCTTCAACCCTCAGGATCTGATTGTTAATTCTCCTCACCGGCTGTTATACATTCTCCATTAGACTGGCTACAACAAATTTCAACAATCAGTTATCAAAGTTCAAATGCCCTAGGGCTTACCTGGGAGGGAGGGATGTTGACGCTTCAAATGGATAGAGGCATTAAATCTTATTAATTTTTTATTTCTTTCAGCAGATTGAATTGAATTTGGTCATTATCCTCCAGTATGTTTTACTGTTTGATCACCAATTTATAACCTTTTTAAATAAAACTTGAAACCCTATCTTTTGTTAGTGTTATTATGTATATGGTCTAATTGGGGTACACCAGGAACTAGTGGAAGGATATGGCATGGCAAAGGGGTA